CGAGTTGGAGGATCTTTAACCTAATAACGGAGATCTTGACATGACAAAAAAAAAAAAAAAAAAAAAAAATAACCTTTTTTGAGCTCAGGATAAAACCTATTTCCGTAAAATCTCAATTAGCAACAGGCTATTGGTTTCCTCTTTCTCGCTTTTCCAGCTTAGCAACTATTTCCTACAGCAAAAGGTGTTGTTCAATACCAATGTTGTGTTGAAGAATGTCGATTATTCTAAATAAATAAAAAAAAAAAACTGAAAAATTATTCAATTTTTTTAAAAATGAGTCAACGGGTAGAGATTAAGGTTAAAAATTTCTTTTTAATACAAGAGCCATTACTAGTAGTTATGAGCACCATCACTAGACAAAAGGATATATAGTCAGGAAAAGGAAATCGTATTTACAGTCCTGAACTATTTTTAGTTGTACGATTTTAAATAGTTCAGTAAATAGGTTTGCTTGACTAAGTGAATTTCTTGCTGTAGAGATTTTTCTAGGTTTTCACAGTCTCGGCACTATCAAGCAGATCGAGATAGTGGAGCTTACTGACTTGGCTAAAAGGATAACATCTCTAAAGGAGATGCCATCTACTAACTACTCTGATTCCAAGTCACGTGATTTCGGCGAATAGTAGAAAAAACCGTTGAATTGCACAGCTCCAGAGAACCATCCAATTCCAAGTGCTCAGTGGGGGGGGGTTGGGTTTATTTTTTTTTTAGAGTTAAAGATTGCTATTTGCAATACATTTATTTAAGCCTTTGCTTCTACATAGAGTTGACTGATATTCGAAAAGTTTTATTGAGCAGTATGTATCGTTTCAAATATTCTCTTTGTGTCATTGGTCAAAATTTGCAGCCATTTTAGCAAAACTTGTAAGACAAAATATTGAGTAGAATAAACAGCCAAACACGGGCAAAAGCAGGTAAAAGCAGGGAAATTATTGTTCCAGGTAAAATCAGGGAAATTATGGTTCCAGGTAAAAGCAGGGAAATTATGGTTCCAGGTAAAAGCAGGTAAACTCATGGTTCCAGGTAAAAGCATGTCTTTCAAGAGTTATTACTTGAAGAACGACTGTTTGATACTGGCTCAATTGTTGCATGCACACGGGTTTGATTGGTCAATGAGAGTGTTTCGAAATGATTGAATATTTGCATACTTGACGACTTTAACTTTCAAGTCCTATTAAATGTCAAGGATCCTCGCAAGTTAGAGGTTAAACCAACACCTTTCAAGGTATTACAGCTATATGGTGTCCCTTTAAAGAGTACTGTATCCACTAGAACACTACTACTAGAGACTTCTACTATCTCGAGGGGAGACCACTAGAGTACTTTTATTGAGTACTATCTACTATTTGTTCCTAGATAGTAGATACTCAAAAGCAGATTATAGAGCACTACTACTAGAGACTTTCTTCTATCGAGTATCTATTGGTCAGTACTGCTCAAAAGGATGCTCAGTACTGCTCAAAAGTGTTGGTCAGTACTCCACTATCGAGCAAAGCGAGATAGTGGCTAGGTTGGTCAGTACTGCTCAAAAGTGTTGGTCAGTACTCTACTATCTCGCTTTGCTCGATAGTGTCTAGTTTCCCCTTTTATATCACGTGACCAGATTCAAAAAGAGGAGTCAAGGATGTAATCAGTTGTAGTTTATAATGATTCATTTCTCCTCATTTCAACCAAACTGTAGTGAAACATTAAGCTTTTCTTGAATGAATTTCAAGAGTAGAAAGGAGTAAGAAAAGTAAAATTTGAGGTTGCATGCCCAAAAGTAGCTACACTCTACACTATCGAGCGAAGCGAGATAGTGGAGCAAGAGGCTGTTTAAAAATGCTACAAATCTCTAGCTACACTATCGAGCGAGTCTCTAGCTACACTATCGAGCGAGTCTCTAGCTACACTATCGAGCGAGTCTCTAGCTACACTATCGAGCGAATCTCTAGCTACACTATCGAGCGAATCTCTAGCTACACTATCGAGCGAATTTCTAGCTACACTATCGAGCGAATCTTTAGCTACAATATCTCGCATTGCTCGATAGTGGAGCAAGAGGCTATTTAAAAATTCTACAAATTTCTATTGACAAATCTTTATTGGTATTTATTTCTTGTATTTCTACTCATCTCTTTGATACTATCGATTATTGACTATCAATCACTACAACACAACTATAGTATTTATAGAGTACTACTATCTTATCGCTACTATCGAGCGAAGCGAGATAGTGGAGCAGTACTGACCAATACTCTTGAGCAGTCAGTGATTGATAGTCAGTGATTGATAGTCAGTGATTGATAGTATCAGTCAGTGATAGTATCAGTTAGTGATGCTCCACTATCTCGCTTCGCTCGATAGTGTCGCTCAATAGTGTCGCTCAATAGTGTCGCACAATAGTGTCGCTCGATAATAGCAGTCAGTGATGCTCCACTATCTCGCTTCGCTCGATAGTGTCGCTTGATAGTGTCTCTTCCTATTGTCTCTTGTCACACCTCCTGTAGACCTAAAAAATTTTTCTTCTTCCAACTGGTTCGTTTGATCGTCTGTTTTTGATTTCCCTTTCTGAAAATTGTAATTTTTTACAATAATAAAACAACAACAAGACAAGTTGAGCAAAGTAACTCTTGGTTGGTAAACGCTTTTTAGAGTTGATATTACTGGTACTAGTATACAGCTACTACTATACTTTCGCTTAGGCTACAGTTTCCCCCCCACACCCACACCCACACCCACAGACACCCACTCCTTTGTTATTTGGGAAACGCAGATTGGTTCCGATTTCAGACTTATGATTGATTACTTATTCCCCTGTTAATGTCCCTATCCAGTTCGTCGCTACAAAATGATCAAGATTATGAGTATGCTGTACAGGATCTTGAAAAGGAAAAGCAGATGGTTACTGCTTTGAAACGTTTGTCCATAGGCCATATGATGCAGTATGATCCTGATCTTCCTCCAAATACCAGCTTGTCAGATATCAATAGTGGCTCCATTTTCCCCACTTGTAATTCAAGTGGCTCTGCTAACCCGGCCCAGGTTTTCGCTGCAACTGGCTCCATTTTCCCCACTTGTAATTCAAGTGGCTCTGCTAACCCAGCCCAGGTTCTCGCTGCAACTGGCGTCCTGTTGCAAGGCGACGAAAACGAAGGTGCTGATGAAGAGATACCTTACCACACAATACCCGTCTCAAGAACCTCTCCAAGAAGGCAAATAACCCACCATCACCACCATCCTTCTCGTCAACATTCAACTTCCTCCAATGAAAATCATCAAACTGCAACAACAAGCAAATCCCCTAGTCCCATCAAGAGAAAAAGCCTCTTGAATGATAACTCGAGTATAACCACCGCAGAAAGTCAAGATCTGTATTCCGACGCGACAGATGATCAAGTTTATGACTCCTCTAGTGGCTTAATTTGGGTACCTGCAAATATGCACCCGCAGATTAATCCGGAATCTTTTAAATCGCTAATTAAGAATCAGTTTGAGGAGATTTTGGATAAAAAGTTGACAAAACAGAAAGTCTTGTCGAGAAGATCGACATTGTCACATAGCACTTTGGACACTACAGAAACAACAACACAAGGAGGAACAGGTGGAGAAGAAGGAGGAGAAGAAGAAGGAGAAGGAGAAGGAGAAGGAGGAGAAGAGGAGGAGGAGGAGGAGGAGGAAGCATCATTATTAGCTGCTGCTGCTACTGCTGCATCGGGAGCAAGAGATGGCACAACAGACATGAAATCACATTCACTTGAGCAAAATGCTGGTGATGAACTCGATCAGAAAAGATTCTCATTGTCAAAATCTCTGAACTCAGAGTCGAATTCACCTCTGAAAGACTCATCGGCAAAAAGAGAATCTCAAAAGAGAATTCTGAACCCATCGTTGAGAGAATTAACTTCAGAATTACAACAATTGTCGAAAAAGGCTGGATTGGATAAATCAGATGCAGTCACTGTGGCTAGAACATTATCTTCAAACTTACTAGGGTATACCGATGTGGAAAAAATGGCATTTGATGAGTTGAATAGATCTCCTCCTAATGAACTGGATGAGGGAAATGCCCCCTCGAATACTTTACATTTGCAACACCGCTTACAGCAACAGTTTAAACAATCCTTGTTACGTTCATATAAAGATTCAATAGATAATCTTGATTTGAGTATTGGGCCCTTTCCAACCAACACCAATAATTCAAGTGATTTTGCACTAAAAAGGAGTAGGAGAACAGATTATCGAAAACGGGACATGGACTATTCTCCTGCTAGTGAGTCAATGGCTACATCATTGCCATCACCAACATCATCATCATCGGCGTCAGCGCCATCATTATTGCCATCTAAACACACCAATAAAATACTCCCCTTCCCACCAACTCCAACTACCCTGTCATCACCTTCCTTTCAAAGGAAATATAACTCAAGGAATTCTCAATTATTATTTAATTATAGAAAACCTAGTGATCCTAGTTTAGAATCACGAAGAAGCTCTTCTAGTAAGGGTAACTTACAGTTCCCAATTGACCTATCAGTGGAGAATATGCTGACATCATTGTCAAATAGTGGTCCATACATGACTGAGTCCCCACTTGTGAATTTCAATCGTATGCCTACTAAGAAATCCAAAGACTCTCCACCAATTAAGTCAGAATTTTTACACATTAATAAAGACAGGAAAAATGCAAATACATCAAACTCTTATGGTGGTGGTGGTGGAAACCATCGGAGAAAAGATGAAGAGTCTCGTCGTCACCGACCGACTTCACCTCCACAGCAGTCTATGTATGGATCGGCCTCAGTGCATAATCATAATTACCAAGAACAAACTCAGCTGTTGCATATGTATCCGGAACAAGGGTTATATCAACAAAAAAGCCGTCATAGTTCAATGCCAGATGGATCAGTACGCTCAAAACAACAACAACAACAACAACAACAACAACAACAACAACAACAACAACAACAACAATACCAACAATACCAACATCAGCACCAGTACCAACAACGCCAGAGCCAACACCAACACCAACACCAACACCAGCAACAACACCAGCATTCAAATTACTCACTCTCGCCAATTTCTCAGACCCCCTCTCAGAGGCACAGAGCAGCAACAAGTAACAAGCTCTCTTCCGCCTCTAACATTGACACTAACGATTTTATGGTTCTGACTCCTACACGATATAAGCAACAGAGATTACAATACAAAGAAATAAATCGAAATCAAGTACAAAAAGGGTTAAAGGTCAAAGACACAAATACTTTGAAACATCCCACTAAAGAGAAACAACATGGCTATCCACCAGTGTCCAATGTCATGGTCCCGCGCTCACAGCAATTGCATCAAAATTTAGATTTGTTAAGGTCAGAAATTAATGAGTTTAAGGAAAGTTTAAGCAAAAGTGAAGAAATTAGTGAAAAACAAACAAGTAGGAAACATAGACAAGCCAATTATGACGATTATTATCGTACACGTCCCCCACTTTCCGATTCTCGTCATAGCCGTTTTGGTTCTCGTCATCATGCCAATGAATATGACAAAGTAGATGAGCCAAAAAGCCAGCTAAAATTTGTTGAGCAAGACGATGTTATTGGTAAAGGCGTAAGTCACCCTGAGATCAGTTTTGACTTGAGCTATCAAGATTTATCTACTGATGATCCTTTAGGTATGCAGAATGATACAGAATTGGAGTTTAGAGGTATGGAGAACATTAGAACACCATTCCAAGTTAGGGAATCGGTAGCTTCTAAGGTCAAGGATGAAGATGAAGATATTTTTGCAAATATCCCTACTGTTGATGGTGCTTATTTGGATACTGTTGATGATGATGACAACAACAACATCGAGCAAGGAAAACCAAATCAACAACCATCTAATCAAAATGGATCATTCACACCTCAAAATAAGGAGTTACGTCTCGATTATGCCCTTCCGGCAACGCCACTGTTACAAGAATATTATTCTCCGTTTACCGAATTGGAACAACAACAACAACGACAACAGCAGCAGCAGCAGCAGCAACAACAACAACAACGACAACAACAACAACAGCAACAACAGCAACAACAACAACAACAACAGCAACAACAACAACAGCAACAACAACAGCAGCAGCAGCAGCAGCAGCAACAGCAGCAACAACAACAACAGCAGCAACAAAGTAAATCCGGCACGGAACGTAAATATGGTAATACTTCAGATGCTCTGACGGTGAAAACATCTTCCAAGGCAACCAAGGTCAATACCAAATTATTCAACAAGGCTAGTGTTCAAATTATTGATTCAAATAATTACGAGGAGAAAATGGGTATTAAACAAGGAAAGAAGAGTGATGACAACAACAATAACAAGAAGAAGGAAGATGATAGTCAATCGATGAAGAATGTAAGAAAGAAAAAATCGTTTGGATTGTTACCAGGTGCAATTACTGACGAAGAAGCAAAATTGAAGAAGAAGAAAAGCTGGAATTGGCTAAGAGATAGATCGTCTAGTTTGTCTTCCATTGATACTTCGAACCTACCACCCGTTTCCGAAAATAACAAGGTACCTATTAGATCATTTTCTAGTCCCGAAGTGCGTGACGAGTCAAAAGAAACATTGTTACTACTGCAAGAACCAAAACATCGAAAATCATCATCGTCACATACAGAGAATGCCGAACTTGCTTCGTTCAATTCGGATAAGGAGAATGTTTTATCTAAATTGTTCAAGAAGAAATCCAAGGCGAATTTGAATAACGCCTCAACCACGCAGTCCATTCACTCACAGGATAGTAATAATAGTAATGGTAATAATAATAATAATAACAATAACAGTAATAGTAACCAAATGGACGGTGTTGCAGTTGATTATGAATCCAACCATCATAGTCCCACTAAGCCATTGAAGAAGAAAACTAGTGGATTGTTTAAGAAGAGATCGAAAGTGAAATTAAATGAAGTGAAGGATAAATTAAATTCGTTGAATGTTTTGAAAAATGAAGGTTTAGCACAAAAGAAGAGGTTGAGTGAAGAAAAAGCTGAAGAACAAAAGAGTCATACTATCAAGAAATCTTTTTTGCATCAGCATGGTGCGAACCAATCACCATTAGCTAGTGACGATGTTGATAGGATGGAAGTGGTGCAGTCGAAAACTATGACTCAAGATCAACCTTTAGAACTGAGCAGCAGCAACAACAACAACAAATCCAGTAAATCCAGTAAATCCGGTAAATTCAGTAAAGATGAAAAAGTAAAAGAATCAATAATATTAGTTGATGATAAGGGAAAAGCAGCAGCAGCAGAAGGAGAACGCAAAGACACTGATGAAAATGAAGAAGAGGAAGAAGTAGAAGAAGAAGAGGAAATTAGGAAGAAACTGATTATAAAGAAACATAAACGAAATCGTCACAACAATAAAAGAAAAGAAAAAGCAACACCAACATCATCATCATCTTCTTCTTCATCATCATCATCATCTTCATCAGCGCCCCAAGTTGATGATAATACCAAAACTTCACAATTAGAGCAATGCGAATCCGAACAACAAGCTCCATTATCACCTACCAGCATAGAAAAAGAACACCTTAATAAACTTGATATTCAAGAAAAAATCAAGAAACAGATCAAAAGAACGTCAAAAGCCAACCAGCCCATACAATTCACTGATTCAGCATTTGGTTTCCCCTTGCCACCACCATCACAATCCACCATTGTAATGTTGGATTATAGATTTCCTGTTCATGTTGAGCGGGCCATTTATCGATTGAGCCACCTAAAATTGGCCAACCCCAAGAGATCACTTCGTGAGCAAGTACTCTTGTCTAACTTTATGTACGCATACTTGAATTTGGTTGACCATACTTTACATGTAGAGCACATGGAAAGTGAGGATATGAGTGTTAGTGGCAAGCTCAGTGATGATGAAGATGAAGATCTTGAACATGATGGTGACGACGATGACAACAACGAGGAAGTTGTTGTTCAAATTAAGGAAGATCAGATGCACTTTAGTGAAAACGAGGTGATTTTTGAGGAGGAGGATATGCTAGTACCATTAACAACTGAAGAATATAAAAATGAAGGAAGAAAAAGAGGTCCTGTTGCAGAGTACATTACTGCCGACAATATTCATTACGAGGAGGAAGATGAGAGGGATTCGATATCCATTGAATTGGATGTGGTTTCTAATGAAGATGGTGCAAATGTAACGTTGAGTAGAGACTCTAGTATAATTGCATGAAAATGAATTAGGAATGAATATACAAAAAGAGAAGAAGGGCGTTTTTTCCATAGAGGGGTTTGTTGTAGTGTTTACTTTGAGCCATTATAAGCCACTGTGGGCCACCACAGTGGGTCTAGGGTTCGTTGTAAGCCACTTGTAGGAACACATTTCTGGTTTTCAGTTGAACCAAATGGGTGTTTGTCTCTATGTATAGATACAATTTTTTTTTGCAACCAAATATTAATTCCATTGGTAAAGAGTCTTGGTGTAGTTAATACACGACAGGCAAGTATGATCACATATACGGACCCATTTATGACGAGCAGTAATGATAGTAGCCCACAAACTTCCAACTCCGAACGAGAAGTACTTGATGGTGATTTGCTTCAAGATTTGTTATCTACGGAAGGAAGTTTCTATTTTACGCCAACATCGCCATTGGCAGAATCCTTGGTAGAGGAGTATGAGTATACTACATTAGATCCAAAAGCTAGAGGATTTGAGATTGAATTTGGTAGAAACGTGAATGATGGTGGTGAAGGTGGTGAAAATGTAAATTTGCTTGATGGTGGTGAAGGTGGTGAGGATGAAAATTTGCTTGACGGTTTTTTTGTCCCCGTGCTTCCTGTACTGGTGAGCACTGAAGTTGGGGAAGAAATTGAAAAAGGTTATACATCCCTACATGGGGGGGTGTACAGTGGTGGAGGGTGCAAGCGCATCAAGGCTAAAAACGATAGAGAATTAGAAGTTATAGCTGAAATCAGTTCATTATTACAGATTTTGATCGAGATTGATTTGCAAATTGTTGACGAATTGAAAAAACTACTCACTATCGAGGAACTAGACTGCACACTATCGAGGAACTAGACTGCACACTATCGAGGAACGAGATAGTGTAGTCGCATGGCTGTAGTCCAGTTCCTCGAGTGTGTAGACGCATAGCTGTAGTCTAGTTCCTCGAGTGTGTAGACGCATAGCTGTAGTCCAGTTCCTCGAGTGTGTAGTCGCATAGCTGTAGTCTAGTTCCTCGAGTGTGTAGACGCATAGCTGTAGTCTAGTTCCTCGATAGTGAGTCTAGTTCCTCGATAGTGTAGTCGTATGGCTTGAATAGGAAAAAAGAAAGGCATAAACAGCAGGAAATAATCTCTAACAAAATAAGGAAATAATCAAACAAAATGACGATAATCTCTAAAAAAATGAGGAGATAATATTTAACAAAGTCTACAAATCATATGGTCTTGTAATCCCAGAGTCTAGTAATCTACAGTCTATTAATCTACAGCCCAGTCCTCCCACAGTCTAGTCATCTTGTGTTACTTTGATTAATTACTAGGTGGAAAAACGCGTGAGATTATTTTTCCATTGCTCGGCTCATAGTGGTACAGAAAAAAAACAAAAACTTAAACGACAAGATGAAAGATTAGCTGGAAAAGAATACAATACATAAACCATTAGACAAAAATTCACAGAAGCAACTAAAAGGATTTAAGGATTTAAGGATTTAAGGATTTGGTTAGATGTTTTGTAAAAGAAAAACTACTATTGGCTAATGGAGGGCACACTAGCTTCGCTCGAGAATGTCGCGATGGTGTCGCAATAGTGCCGGTGGCAGCTAGTGCTGCTCCACCATCTCGCTTCGCTCGAGAGTGTCGCGATAGTGCCGCTACTTTAGATAGAGTCAGTGGTGCTCCACCATCTCGGCTTCACTCGATGGTGCAGAAAAAAAAAACATAAATTGAAGCTACGCGAGAAAAAAGATTCCCCATTGCCTATTTAAGCCAAACTTGTCAATTACACCCCAACTCTCTTCTAAGCTTTGAGGTGGGTCCTTGTTATTGCTTTTTCTTTTTTCAACACAACCCACTGCTGCTGAAAAAAGAAAAAGAAAATGGCGAAAACCCATATGTATGTATTGGTGCACATGCCAAATGTCAAAGGACTGGATGAAAAGGAAAATAGAATAGAGTTTTGAAAAATTGAAAAATTGAAAAATTGAAAAATTGAAAAATTTTTTTTTTGGTGCATTTCAAAATAGATATAAAACTAAACTTATTTGTCACACCACTTGGTACCACGGAGCAAAGAAAGTGTGTGAGTGTGAGTGCAAGTGTGTGAGTTGAAACGCGTAATTTGTTTTATAAAAATAGTCAAAGGTACCAACAAAAAAAATAACAAACAAATCAAATAAAAGCCAAATCAAATAAAAGCCAAATCAAATAAGTGCTAAACCAAATAAGTGCTAAATCAAATAAGTGCTAAACCAAATAAGTGCTAAACCAAATAAGGTCCAACCAATAAGTGCTACACCAAATAAGGTTCTCCTCAGATTAAGGCAAACCAAATAAGGTCAACTTAGACTAGGCCAACTTAGAATAAAGGCGATTCAAACAGAGTTTTCCTCAGATTAAGGCAAACCAAATAAGGTCAACTTAGAATAAGGGCAATTCAAACAGAGTCCTTTCAGATTAAGGCAATTCAAACAGAGTCCTTCTCAGATTAAGGCAATTCAAACAGAGTCCTTCTCAGATTAAGGCAATTCAAACAGAGTCCTTCTCAGATTAAGGCAATTCAAACAGAGTTCTCCCCAAGCTAGATCCATTTTGTAGATGTCACGAAGTTTACCCTTGATATCGGCAGCAGAAGTTGCTAAACATAACCAAAAAACCGACTGTTGGGTGACATTGTATCAAAGAAAAATCTATAATGTTACCGGCTTTCTCGATGAGCACCCTGGTGGCGGAGATTTGATATTGCAGTACGCAGGTAAAGATGTAACCGAGATCATGGCTGATTCCGCAAGTCATAAGCATTCAGAAAGTGCTTATGAAATGTTGGACGATGGTATGCTTGTTGGATACATGGCCACGGAGGTTGAGGAGCGAGAATTGATAAATAACAAGAATAAAACCTTGGTTGAAGTCAAGTTGAATTATCCCAACGAAACAGAGTATGACATGTACGAATTTCACGAGAATTTACCTACATTGGATAAATTATGGATTCAAACTGATTTCTCCAAGGATGCCACAGTGCACAAGTTTTTGGATTTAAACAAACCTTTGCTCATGCAACTATTGAAAAGTAACTTTACAAAGGATTTTTACTTGGATCAAGTTCATAGACCAAGACACTATGGTAAAGGCTCAGCACCATTATTTGGTAACTTTTTGGAACCTATTTCATTAACTCCTTGGTGGGTCGTTCCTTTGGTTTGGATTCCTCCAAATTTTTATTTGTTCTATATCGGATTCACGAACCAACATCCAGTTGTTGCTTTGAGCCTTTGGGCTATGGGATTATTTGTTTGGACACTTGTGGAATACTGCTTGCACAGGTTTCTTTTCCATGTCGATAAACATTTACCTGATCATCCTTATTTCTTTTGTGTGCACTTTTTGTTACATGGAATTCACCATTATTTACCTATGGATGGTTATAGGTTAGTTTTACCCCCTACCTTGTTTGTCGTATTGGCATTCCCATTCTACAAATTGATTTTCAAGTTGTTTCCATTTTATATGGCTTGTTCAGGATTTGCTGGTGGTACTTTGGGTTACATCATATATGACGTTACTCATTATGTCTTGCATCATTCTAGGTTACCAAAATTTTATCAGAGTTTGAAAACCTATCATTTAGAACATCACTACAAGAATTACGAAATGGGTTTTGGTGTCAGTTCGAGGTTTTGGGATGTAATCTTCAACACAGAGATTGAGACTACTTACGAAAAGGGAAACTAAAGGTATTTCTCACTAGTGTTTTTAGTGGGGGGGGGAGGTTTTTTGCTTTTGTTTTATTTGTAAATTTTGTTTTTGTTTTTGTTTGGTTTGGGCATAGATTAGGAGGGAAAAAGAGTAGAAGAGGTAATTTATTTGGGGAATATAAAATGTTCATATAATAATGTAAAACTAAATTGATTAATTTTGAATATGATCTTTAGATTGTATAGGTTTTGACTAAACTTTCCTTGTCTAACATCACCAGCTGCTGCTGTTTTTGTTGTTGTTGTTGCTCTCTGGCAAGTTTCATGATGTTTAAAATGTTCTGTTCTATTTTTTTCTTCTTGAGCACTTCTTTTTTTTGATTCATAGTTAAAGGAGAAGAGGAATCGTAACCAACTCCACCACGAGAGCGTGGGAAATTCGTTAAATACTCGCGATAGCTGGACACGTTAAAGCCTCCGCTTTCTGTGATTATTGAGTTGCGTTGAGACTCGTCCATTGTGTCGTCGAATTCATAAACGTTCCTTACATTTTCAAATAGATCTTTAAATCGTTGATGTAGCCTTTCATACATTTCAATAGTACTAGCTGTACTACCTGAAGCTGATTGTAAGTCATTGGTCATTGCTGCTTGTAACACATCGTACCATCGTATTACATCATTAAGTTTTTTCTTTTGGTTCGTAGGAACATGCAGTTGCATTAAAGTATTGAGCATCAGATCAAATTTATTAGCAAGTTGACTGTGTACGACAAGGATGTCCCCCGTTAGTCCCGAGTCAGTCATGCTCAAGTTTGTTTCTATTTTACCCTCCTGTTTCATTTTAACAATCTTTTGATGTATCTTAAATTCAATAAGGGCATGTATGCAATTCATCAAGGCCAGTTTTGCGTTCGGTAGCAGCTCGATATAGGTAACTTCATGAATTGGCTTATTTAGATCCTGCTCTTGGTGCTCTAGGTCCTGGTGCTGCTGCTCTAGGTCCTGCTCCTGCTGCTCTAGGTCCTGCTCCTGCTGCTCTAGGTCCTGCTCCTGCTCCTGCTGCTCTAGGTCCTTTACTCTTTTTTGGTTTTTACGCCGCGGTTTGATCACCCTATCATACTGAAGCAAACAGCTTTCGAATATTGTATTTTCCACCTCAATATCTTGTTCATATACCTCATTGTCATACACATTAATCAAGTTATCAACATATTTGACATTTGGGATAGGTACGTCATTAAACAGTTTTGGCCAATTTGCCCATATTTTGCGAGGAAATTCACAATTAACTCGGTGTAGTAAGAATGTAGAGTACAAATGAATGGACAAATTGTCAATAAACTCTTGTTCTAATGAATTAAGAATTTGGTTTATCTCTGTTTTACTAGCCATTTCCTCATACTAAACATTACCTCATCGCGATGTCCTAAAGTCCAATTGAAAAATTAAAAAGAAAAAAAAGAAATTCACACTATTCTACTCCACTATTGAGGTACACTATTGAGCTGCTACACTATCGAGCTACTCAACTATTGAGCTACACTATCGAGCTGCTCCTCTATTGAGCTACACTATCGAGCTACTCAACTATTGAGCTACACTATCGAGCTGCTCCTCTATTGAGCTACACTATCGAGCTGCTCCTCTATTGAGCTACACTATTGAGCTACTCCTCTATTGAGCTACACTATTGAGCTGCTCCTCTATTGAGCTACACTATTGAGCTGCTCCACTATTGAGCTACACTATTGAGCTACACTATTGAGCTACTCCTCTATTGAGCTGCTCCTCTATTGAGTTACACTATTGAGCTACACTATTGAGCTACTCCTCTATTGAGCTGCTACACTATCGAGCTGCTCCACTATTGAGCAACTCCTCTATTGAGCCGCACTATTGAGCTACTCCACTATCGAGCTCTGCTCAATAGTAGAGCAACACATTGACTAGAAAATCAAACGATAAAGCTAAAGGGAGAGCGTCTACAACAGGCGGCACCATCGGCGGTAAAAGCTTTGAAAGTAATGAACGTGGTGGAGATGAATGTAGTGAGGCAATGAATGTACTTAATGTAATGAATGTAATAAAAGTTAGTTGAAATAGTAGCACCAGCAATAGCTAAAGAGAAAAATCTCGTGGTTTTACAGTTATCACCTGATTAGTGAGTTACAGTTGAATTTCTATACAATTGGTTTAATTCATAGCCACACCCCCATCACTACTAACCTATAACTACTAACCTATAACTACTAACCTATAACTACTAACCTATAACTACTAACCTATAACTACTAACCTATAACTACTAACCTATAACTACTAACCTATAACTACTAACCTCTTCCTGACTTCTCACTTACTAGTACCTCCCTCCTCCTCCCTCTTCTAAAGCCCCTATTTATTACCGCTACTTACTCCCACTTTCCACTACTTTCTGCTTTTTTCGACTGCCCACCTGCCTTACCCCGATTATCGCTCTATGTAAGCGCATGAAGCCAGATTAAGTTGAAAAGATAAAAAGCCAGATTAGTTTCTGTCCAATAAGCCACAATTTACAACTTCAAACAATACTCCAATATACCTTGCAACGTTTTTTAAAGATAAAAAAAAAAAGACAAAGGATTATGGAAGATTTCCGGGTTTGATATTATTCAATTTTTTTCCTCCTTGAGGCAAAAGTTTGCATTTTTGCAATCGACTTTGTTGATCGCCACAATTGTGATGAGTACACTACCCTTAAAATCCTCTCTCGACAAGCCAGCCAGCCTGCAAAATAACCAAACCTTCAAAGCCAATCTTTAAAAATTTAGTCCCTTTACCTGTTCCATCAACAATAGGTTGTTTATTCTCTATCTAAAAATAATGTTGCTTCTCTATCAATGTTGCTTCTCTATCAATGTTGCTTCTCTATCAAAAAAATGATGTTGCTTTTCTATCAAAAAATAATATTGCGTTTTAATATTGCGTCTCAACAATAGAGGTAACAACCACTAAATATTTTTTTTTTTTTTTTTTAATTGAGACATGTCGTATACGTACAAAAAGGAGAGAAGGACGACATAATATGCATATTATCATCGTCATTACCTATTATCATGGATGCGCATTATCAAGATTATGAGTAAGAACACACGAGTTTGTAACTAAAAGCTTCCCCACTCTTAAAAAAACAAAAAAGTGATTTATCTTATTTTATCTTATTTTACTTTTTAACGTTGGAGAAAAGGGGAATATTATCGTTTAATCGAACTTAATTGAAACAAAACGGTTTTTTTGATGAAGGGGGAGAAAAAAAAAAAAAAAAAAAAAAGATGCAAAACACTTATGTGCCAAAAAGATATGATTATATTCAACCAATGAGAGAACAATAAACTTACTGTACATATATCTCAAGTACTCTGAAATGCTATTTGCTCCTCTTATTATTAGGAGTCGGCCAATCAGCGTTCATCTTTCCAGTTATAATAATCTACTATCGTCAAAAAAAAAAAAGTCACCACCTTTTTTTCAAAAGTGGTTTTGAGGCGTAGAGTTGCATATCTTACAGAAAAAGTTGTCAAGGGTAGCGCATTTGCATCGTAATTTGTAAATATCTCGGTTGAATTTATATCCACATGCCGTAAACTATTAGGCAATCCTTCACTGGCATATCATTTATGTAAACAAACGTCTAATGTGTATCAATCTATCTTTAAAAGTGATTCCATCTATACCTGATTTTTGAAGAAGATATAGATCTATATCTGATTTTAAGAGGTTCCATCTATATCTTATTTTCAAGAGATTCCATGGATATCTAATTTTTGCAAGAGATTCCATAGAAATTTTATCTTTGCAAGAAATTTCATGTATATCATATTTTGATGTAATCAAAATATAGCTATTTACAATCACTACCATTTAGGTTTACTATGCAACTCATATACTAAACAAGATAACAATATACAAAAAATAGGAAACGATAGGGCAGTTAAGTTGAAAAAAATTAGCACGTTTTCCAAAACAATCAGGGGAATCGTGCTCAATGTTTCTTTTTACAATAGATCTCTTTTTATGCTGATAGAGTCATAATGTTTATCCACGTTTATCCACATTTTGTTGATTGGTTTTGTGTGGGAAAAGATTTTCTATTGTGTGGGAAAAAAAGGCTTTTTTATTGTGTGGAAAAGAAGCTATTTATCGATAAATGATCCACTCTAATTTGTTTGGATGCTTCTTTTATTTTTTATTTTATATTTTTACCGGGGATTAGAAACTTGCATATTGCATCTAAGGTTCCTATCGAATGCGGCGATTAGGTGATTCTGACAGCTTTTAGGGGGAGATTAGCCAAGTAACACTAATTTCGAAAAGAAGAAGTAGACGATAAAATTAAAATCAGGTGAAGAAAATGTAAAGGCAAGTAAGGTAAGCTGATGAAAAATGTAAAGTCAAAGCAAATAAGGGACACCACGCTGATGAGAAAAAAGTTAGTGATGGCTTCTATTGTACCGAAAATTTAGTTTTTGGTTGAACAATGTGTATTTGCCCTCAACTTATCGATATACCCTCTCCACACCTTTTCTTTGTATAATAATAGTTACTAAAAAAATGTGTGGATGTGCGCAATTTTGGTTACTTGATTTGCCCGTTTTACACAAAACGACAATTATCACCAATTACTAACCACCACATTTAGTATCTAGAGTGGCAATTGGTCAGTCCCCCCTTCCCCCCTCCCCCCTCCCCACCGTAAACTAACCAAAACGAATCATTTACTAGGTACAAATGCATCTTGGTTCATTTCTTTTTTATTCTTTGTTCTTCTTTTTTGTTTTCTCTAGTTTATAGAATACCTCTAATGCATCTAATTTAAAGAGTCCTAATGCATAAACGTAACGGAGTGATCAAAGGGAATGGGTGATGCAATAACTTTAACAGTTTTAACGACACCCGAATTTGGGAAACAAAGTGCCAAGTAGAGAAAGCGCATTCCAAAATAAAATGACTAGTGTTGTAACCGGTTTCGTTAGATCAATACAACTTTGATTCAGTATATTCTATTGATGGAAAATTCTGGTTCTGGCAATATCAACTCTTTTGAAACGTATGAGAGAGAGTAAAAGTGAGAGAGTAAGAGTGAAAGAAGGTGAGGGTGAAAGATAGAAAAGATAAAAAAAATATCATGCAATTTGTTATATTAGGAAGAAAGAGGATGGGAAAATGTGGTCAAGTAGGGGGTTGTTTTGTGCTGCGTCGTTTAATGTAAGGTTGCGAGTCATGCACTGTTTTTTGCAGTATAACCAAATAATGATAGTAAAATCAAATTACAATAGGTTTCCAGTGTGAGTATTGGTATTGCATTGTCTTGAGCATGTTTTTTTCCAATAAGGAAAACCGCACGATATTATAGTCCTCGGCTTACGCATCCTTGTATGTTGGTTGTCGGATTACAATAGGTTCAAGGTACTTGTCCAGTTTTTCATTCCCAGTTTTCTTTGGTTGTTGCAGGCAAACAGTGCATCTGGAAAGAGTATATAAATACTCGATATGTTTTCTCAACCTTTGACACTTTTCGGTTTCAACTCAGTACCACTAACACTAGTAATATCCATACTTTAGCTAGCTATCGCCATGAAGTTTACTAGCATTGCTGCTGTGGCAACTTTTGTAGCCGCATCAAGTGCTGCCGCTATTTACCCAGATCAGTTTGCGCCTGGTGCTGCAGACCTTGTCATTTCTGGTGCTGCTTATCAAAACTTATTAAACCAATTACATATTGATGCTGTTACTGCTTCTGCCTTAGGTTTGACCGAGGGTAAAACTGCTGCCGAGTTAGCATCTGACTTGTCAAACATCTTAGAAAGACAAACCAAGAGATCTGCTTTTACTCCAGTTTCAACTAATGATGCAAAAGATGGTATCGACGCTTTAGTCTCTGGCTCAATTGATACCGACACTCCTTACGGATTCAACAAGTTGTTGAACATTTTGAACATTGACGAAGATACTGCTACTCAATTAGATATTGTTCAGGGATACCCACAATCCCACTTGGTAGAACGTTTAGCCCAAATTGCTTATCATGATGACTTAGAAAAAAGAGGTATTGCTTCTTCTCTCATTGAACTTCCAGTTCACTTATTAACTGCTGCCATTGACCTTTTGTTCAGGGGTGTTATTGTCCCAGGTGCTGCTGGTTTCGACACTTTGCTCGGAATTTTGGGAATCAACACTACTGTTGCTGAAGACATTGGATTGAAAGTTGACTCAACCGTTGAAGAATGGGTCGCAGCCATTGCTAAGATTATCGGATCAGTTGCTGACAGTGCTGTTAGCGGTATTACCAGCGGTATTAGTGGTGGTCTTAGCGGTATCTTCGACAACAAAGTTAAGGTTGTCGCTAAAAGAGGTATTGCTTCCACTCTTATTGAGATCCCAGTTCACATATTGACTGATGCTATTGACCTTTTGTTCAGGGGTGTTATTGTCCCAGGTGCTGCTGGTTTTGACACTTTGCTCGGAATTTTGGGAATCAACACTACTGTTGCTGAAGACATTGGATTGAAAGTTGACTCAACCGTTGAAGAATGGGTCGCAGCCATTGCTAAGATTATCGGATCAGTTGCTGACAGTGCTGTTAGCGGTATTACCAGCGGTATTAGTGGTGGTCTTAGCGGTATCTTCGACAACAAAGTTAAGGTTGTCGCTAAAAGAGGTATTGCTTCCACTCTTATTGAGATCCCAGTTCACATATTGACTGATGCTATTGACCTTTTGTTCAGGGGTGTTATTGTCCCAGGTGCTGCTGGTTTTGACACTTTGCTCGGAATTTTGGGAATCAACACTACTGTTGCTGAAGACATTGGATTGAAAGTTGACTCAACCGTTGAAGAATGGGTCGCAGCCATTGCTAAGATTATCGGATCAGTTGCTGACAGTGCTGTTAGCGGTATTGCTAGCGGTATTAGTGGTGGTCTTGGTGGTATCCTCGACAACAAAGTTAAGGTTGTCGCTAAAAGAGGTGTCGCAAGTGACCTTATTGAACTTCCAGTTCACTTCTTGACTATTGCCATTGACCTTTTGTTCAGGGGTGTTATTGTCCCAGGTGCTGCTGGTTTTGACACTTTGCTCGGAATTTTGGGAATCAACACTACTGTTGCTGAAGACATTGGATTGAAAGTTGACTCAACCGTTGAAGAATGGGTCGCAGCCATTGCTAAGATTATCGGATCAGTTGCTGACAGTGCTGTTAGCGGTATTGCTAGCGGTATTAGTGGTGGTCTTGGTGGTATCCTCGACAACAAAGTTAAGGTTGTCGCTAAAAGAGGTATCGCTTCCACCGCCATTGAACTTCCAATTCACTTCTTGACTATTGCCATTGACCTTTTGTTCAAGGGTGCTATTGTCCCAGGTGCTGCTGGTTTCGACACTTTGCTCGGAATTTTGGGAATCAACACTACTGTTGCTGAAGACATTGGATTGAAAGTTGACTCAACCGTTGACCAATGGGTCTCAGCCATTGCTAAGATCATCGGATCAGTTGCTGACAGTGCCGTTGGTGGTATTACTGGCGGTCTTGGTAGTATACTCAACAACAAAGTTAAGATTGTTGCTTAAAGAATTTAACACTGCGTTATAAAAAGTTAACACTGCGTTATAGGTGGTTAACACTCCGTTATAAAAAGTTAACACTGCGTTATAGGTGGTTAACACTCCGTTACAAATGACTTCAATTTCTTGATAAAACTCCTTTTACACATTTCGGTTTGATACTTCATTTAATTTACAAAAGTAAAATAGTTATATAAAGACGATTAGAGACCGTTTTAAAGATTTATATAAAGTAATCTCGCTTTGAATCAGTTTTGAAACAACGTTCCAGTACTTTTCTTTACTCTCAACTCATCCTCATCTCTGCCCTCTTTTTAGTAGGAGTCTTTAATTTTTCATCCAATTTGTAAAATCCTATTTTTCTACTGGCCCAGTAAATTCCCCCTTTAAGAAAAGTTTTCTTTCTTCTCATTGCGTCGTGTAGCCGCCATCAACAACCAATGTAGAACCTGTTATATAACTAGCTTTATCGCTAAGTAGAAAAGTAATTGCATTAGCAACTTCATCTGGCTCTCCCAATCTGCCCAAGGGATGCATTTCAATTAGTTGGTCAAATTGTTTTGCACCCAAAAACATTTCTAACAATGGGGTATTGATGAAACCTGGACTAACTTCATTGATTCTGATTCCCAATGGCGCATATTCTAAGGCCAATGTCTTTGTCATCATATGAACGCCTCCTTTCGATGCACATAAGTTTGTAAAACCATATGTACTACTTCTACCTAAAATAGAACCAACATTTACTATATTTCCTCGCTTCTTGAATTCCAGCCAATACTTTAAGACTAATTTATTCAAGGCGAAAGTAGCGGTTAAGTTCACGTTGATTACCTCTTTAAACTGTTCAACAGTCTCGTCTGCGCCAGCTACGTTGGTGTTAATCATAGCTGCATTTGCTACAACAAGGTTGATATCTTTAAATTCGTCAAGTGCATAATTTACTAATTTGACATTATCCTCGTAGGTACCAACGTCAGTACGCAAAAACTTCAAATTATGACTATGTCCTGGTGCCTTTTTGTCAATCAAGCCGAGAATCGGACCAACGTCTTCTACATGTAGGAGGTCTCCTACGACTACTTTTGCTCCAGTGCGCAAAAGTTCAATTGAAGTAGATAATCCTATCCCAGACAACCCGCCAGTAACAATCGCAACTTTGTTTGCGAGATTATAAGACATTTTTGTACATACAAATAAGGGAAGGAGAGAAAGAAGGGAGATTCTAAAGCAAAGGTGTATTCTCTATCTCTATCAAAGATATATAGAAAGGATGGATGAGCAAAAAGAATATGCTAAAATATGCAGAGGAAGATTGTGGGGGGGGACTAAGTATTTAGGGGGCCAATGCAAACCTAGCAAAGCAAGCAAGCTTTTCAATTCACTCTCTGTAAGTCGTTAACAACCACCATCTTCTGTGTGCTCTACTACTTCACAACCAGATCCATCACTAGCCGTTTTCTTCTCATCATCCATTCTGATATCTTTGTGTTTCCTTTTTTTTTCAGTTGCAACTGTAAAGTTTTTCAAAATAAATTCATCAGCAACATCACCATCCAATTTTGCTAATTCCTCTTTGGGTATGACCAAAGGCCAGACCCATTTAGCACATATAGCAAGAAAAAGTAAAACTCCTGGAAATCCAACCGCACCTTTTGTTAGCGTTATCACGAATTCAGCTACACCACCTAAAACTTCCAAAACAGTGTAAATGTAAAGCCATTTTTTGTTCGGTAGCGCATGCATATCTTTCCATAACTGAGGGCAATTTGGGTCGTTTTCAATGTACACCTTGTCCAAGAAGATATACCGTATCCTGTTTGTTACTATATTCTCGTGTAGGCCGGTGATACCCATGATGAAAAACAAACCGGATAGCACGGCTTGCGGTACAAGACCTAGTATCACCAAAAACGGTCTTGACATCATCACAAAGGTCATAGCACCTTGTAATGCGTTACTGATACGTTGTTCAACAACAGATAGTTTCCTTCCGAGGTGGTCATATACTACCAAGGAGTCTGTATGTAGTGGTGCTTGCGGTATTAGCCCATTTGGTGGGGGTATTCCCATTATGCCCGAAAAACCAGTAGTAAGTCCCAACAATAAGAAATCCCAATGGAATGATGCTGGTTTTTTCAATGGATACTCCTTCAGTTGGCACATTAAAGATGACACATTGTGGTCAAAATAAAACAAAAAAGTCAACAAGATGGCAAAGGGAATAGCTAAAAAGACGTCCGCCACTTTGATGTTTTCTCCCGGCCAGAAATGTATGAACCATCCATGTGGTCTTACAGCGCCACTTTCTGTAGGTTGAAATGATTGGGTAATTGGTAATCTCGCCAATGTTGTTTCGTTCAATTTGCCTCCAAAATGAATGAATCCAGTGAAAAAGATAACCGATGCAACTACCCCATAATCAACAAATATTTTACGCACCCATGGTTTGAAATAATGCAAATGATTGCCAAATATAATCGATCCAACTCCACAAATAATCATGCACAACGAGAGCATTACTGAGCAATACCCGCTTGCCAAATCCACATCATCAAACTGGTTTGAAAGAATTTGTATGCCTTTTTGTATATAAACCATATTGATGAAGAATCCAAAAATGTCACACGAATAAAGGCTGATTATTCTTAACCATGAAATGTAGTTCCCTACTGCAATAACAATATGAAACACCATCGACCATAAATACACCCAACACATAAATGCAAAGTAAGGTGTTCCTCGTGGCGTAATTAACTCGTAAACGGTATAGCTAAAGATGGCAACAGGGCCAGTGACACCCACAATACATAAAGGTTGTCCTGAAAATAAGCCAAATACAACCCCTGCAAGCGCGCTTGACATTAGAACCTCATTCACCCCATAAGCATTATTTGTCTTGTCAAACATATCCTGAGCAAACGCAATTGCTGGTAATAGATTAGCGAAAAATATGAATATAGTTGATGGTACAACCCTATAATTCCAGGCATCTTTGAAATCTGAAATGTAATACGGTAGTCTGGTCCTTATATCGTGGTATATACCATACCCATAGTAATTAACATGTCTGAATGAAAGCCCCATGTAAAAAGAAAACTCTAAAGACTCTGTCCTAACAAATGAAAAATGCCCTGGGGCGGAAAAAAAAAAAAATGAAAAATGAAAAGAAAAGAAACCGTTGGTTTGATAATAACGGGGGGTTTATTTATGAATATCAATAAATGATTTGCTTGTGAAGTCAGAAAAGGTTCCGCACTGAATTCTTAAAATGATGGTTGAAAAACATACTATAGGGAGGTTGTCAAGGCTATGGTAAAATCAAGAGCCGTTAATACTTGCACAATTTCACCTCGGGCAATAGTTATTTTGAATTCCATACTAGACTTTTTTTTTTTTTTTAGTTCAAGCTCATCGCAATTTTTTTCTTTAACAATAAACATAAATTAATTAGGGATTATTCTCTTTTAGTTTTATCTGCAATCTGGGGAGGTGGAGCAACACTTTGTAGTTTGCTTCTCTTTTCTCATCTTGCTTCTCTTTCCTCACTTCTCTTACCTCACTTCTCTTACCATCTAGGGATTTTTCTCTCTTCTTTTAGTTTTATTTGCCACCTGTGGCTTTTTTTTCTTAATAGCTTTTCTAGCTCCGATTTAACGAAATTGTAAAAACGTGGCTCATCAAGGGGGTGAGGCTGATTTGTACTTTGAAAAAAGATACAAATAATAAATAACAATTAACCATTTTAGGCCTCCTCTATTTCCATACCACACTGGTCTAGGCCTGGATTTAGCTTCTTCTTCTTCTTTTTTTGTTTTTTTTGTTTTTTGTACTATTTAAACTCCTTTCTCCCTTTAATCATCAGAATCAGAAAATATACAATCTAGGTTCTTGTTTGCAAGGTTTTCCAACTTTGTGAAAAAATCATAGCTATTCTCCTTATTCGCGTCAAGGGCTCTTTTCAACAAATCGTTTGCTATAGGGTCTAGTGGCGCTATAGCCAACGCATCGTGTAAATGGTCAATTGCCAGAAAATAATCACCTAGTTTCATGTGTATCAATCCCACTGCAGATAGAATATTAGCGTCATTTTTATTGTTGATTTTCAACACTTGGTTGAGACATTCTAGTGCCTTATATGGGTCGTTTGACTTCCTATAAACATGACCTAGGTTAGCATGTATTGAAACCCAAGTTTTCGAATTTGAATTTAGGTATTTTGCCATTTGTAATGCTCTTTGTAAATAAAACTCCGCTTTATCGAGCTCATTTTTGTGAAAGTAAACTACACCAAGTTCATTGAGAAGAAGCGGATCTTCCGCGCAGATATGGTGCGAGGCTAAAAGATACTCTTCAGCAAGATTCAAATTGTTCATTTGAAGATGTTGCATTCCCAAGAAGAGGTTTGGTAAGTGAGTACCAGAAAACAACCTAGCTGCATATGCATATGCACTGATGGCTTGTTCGTGCTCTCCTTCAGCGGCAAACGTATGAGCAAATCCGATCCATGCTTGGCCAAAATTGGGATTCAATATTGTTGCTTTGTTAAAAAACTTTCTCGCCTCATGAATCTTATTTATCGACAAGTAATAAGTGCCAATGGCCAACCACGTCATTGGACTTGAAGGGTGAAACTCTGCCAATTGATGGCTCTTGTAGAATAGCTTGTTTCTACCTCCAAGCTCGTACAAGCAGCTTAAGTAGTTTGGCAAAATATCAAAATTGTAAGGATCTTTGAAAATGATTCTCTCGCACAAGTTTAAACAAGCATCGAAATTACACTGTATGTATAGGTAGTCAGCTTGGCTGAGCAATAAGTCGCAGTTGTTATCGAGATCATACTCTTCTCTCAAAATCTGTTCGGCTTCTTTAAACTTATCCACATTTAAGTATTTGCTCAATTTCGTAGCGTATAAAAGCTTTATCAAATCGTCATTGTTGTCCACCTCTCTATAATTCAATCTGGTTGTAACAAACTCCCATTCTTCAAGCGGCGTCATTAAATTGTTGCTTATTAACTCGTTAAACGCTTCGTAGCATTTGACATCCACCAATAATGCTTCTTTATAGCACTCTTTTGCCTTGTCAAAACTAGTTTGCGCTGCATAGATTAATCCTCTCAAATAGCACATTGATGCCTCAAGTTTAACTCCGCCATCGTCATTCTTCAAGCGGTCATCCTTATCAAAGGGGTTATTTTCTCCAATGACCTCCAATGCGTCTTCCCATTGTTCTAGCTTAATTAAACTATACCCGGCCAAGTATCGACATATAATACTCCTCGAAAATTCCTCATTTGATAAAATCAATTCCTTACATCGTAGATAATTACCCTGGTTGAAATATACTTGAGCTAACCAAAACGCATCATTGGCATCCGTGGTCAAGTCCAAAATCTTGTCTCCTAAAAATTCGGCTGTCTTGTACTGATGCTGCATAATAGCATCGTGTCTCCACAATCTGAGTTTTTCAATTGGCGTAAGCAAATCGGCCTGCAGCAAAGATTCGTCACTTCTGTTATGACTCGCTAAATTGTTATTTGACGTTGACGTTCGATCAAGATTGAAAAACAGCGATTTGGTCGACGAACCTGGCGTTTCAAATATCTTGTTACTCTGTTTTGAAGTCGTCGTTGTTGTTTGATTTGGCGGCGTACGAAAGAGTTCCTTCCTTCGGTTCAACATTGGCGAAATAAACAACGTAGAATTATGCTGCTGAGGAGTCTTTTGGTTCTGAACCATACCTAAAATTTGCAACTAAAACTAAAAACCAATATATCAAACAACCTAGCTTTGGTATACTTACCTTTGACCTTGACGATGTTTCACTCTGTTAAAGAAGGAAAAAGAAAAAAGATTTTTGTTTATCTCATCTCATCTCATCTCATCTCATCTCATCTCATCTCATCTCTTTTTGCTTTATACCGAAACATGTCTGAATCTATAGAAGCCAATGCTTCTAAAGATGAGTCGAAAAGTGTGGCTTTTGACAAGGTAAATATTAAGTCATCTTTAAAAGGTGGGAACGGTACATCTTCAATTTCTGTTACACTTGCAAAAGATTGTCCAGTTACTTTATCGATTCAATTTCGGATATTTGTTGGGTCTTATGAGCATAATCTTCTTTGTTTATCAGTAATGCTTGACCCTAAGAACGTTAAAGAACCTGTTTTCCAGCCGATATTTCATTTTCAAGCCCATTCCTTGTCTATTAAGTCCATTGATGTTGCGAAAAGGTATTTGGTTACAGGATCAAATGATGAGCATATACGAATATACGATTTACAGAAACGTAAAGAGCTTGGAACATTATTGAGCCACCAAGGAACGATCACTGCATTGAGGTTTTCAAAAGAAGGTAACCATAACTCTGCTTCTGGTGGTGATGCTGCTGCTCCTGCTGCCGCTGCTGTTGCTGCCGCTACAACGGCTGGAAAATGGCTTTTATCGGGGTCAGAAGATGGCAAGATAATAATATGGAGAACTAAGGATTGGGAAATTTTTGCAACCTTGAAAGGTCATACAGATAAGATCAATGACTTGAGTATCCATCCAAGTGGAAGAGTGGCAATAAGTGTTTCTCAGGATAAAACAATTAGACTATGGAATCTAATGACTGCGAAAAAGGCAGCTGTTTTGAAAATTAAAGGTAAGGATCATTTGGGGCAACTGGGTCAGTTTGTCAAATGGAATAGCACTGGGCATCTATTCATTGTTGGGTTGAGTAATACAGTGTTTGTTTACAAAACATCAACTGCCAAAATCGTTAAGAAATTAAAGTTCAAGTCTACTTTGATGTGTATGGATATTGTTATGATTGATTCAAAAGAATGGTTAATTATTGGATTTGGGGATGGATCAATTGGGGTTTTTGACTTTGAGAAAGTATCAAAAAGCATTCTGGACTCAAATGAAGAAACAAAAAAAGAGAAGGAGGAGGAGAAGGGGGAGAAGGGGGAGGAAGATGAGGAGGAGGAAAAGGGGGAGGAAAAGCAAATCGAACCTGTTTATTCACTAAGAGGACACACCAATAGAATAAAAGATTTCCAAATTTTCCAAAACGAGGATACACAAGACATTCCATTTTTGATTTCTGTTTCTTCAGATGGTAAAATTGTTGTTTGGAATTTGCTGATTAGAGATCAGGTTGCAGTTTACGATACAGGCGAGAGACTAAATTGCATAGCTTGCGCTCCAGAATATATTGAAAAAGTAGATACAATGAAGAAACGGTATATAGAAGAAGAAGAAAAGGAGAAAGATCTTAGTGAATCTGAGTTTGAAACTGATAGTGAGGAGATAATGACGATAATGAATGGTCAAAAGAAGAAAAACAAAAAAGGAGGGAAATTAAAGAAAAGCAAAAAAAGAAAAGTTCAAGTTACCTTGGAATGATTTTCAATTCAAAGTTGTTTTTTGTTTTGGAGCAATCTATGCTCTATTTTTTTTCCTCCAATCTGGCAACGTTCTTATCAAACAACTGCTTAGCTCTAACCCAAACTGATGCAGTGTCTCTTTCCGGTAATTGCAACAAACTAGGCATTAAATCTTTTGAGAAAAATTCTGAGGCTTCTCTTGGTAATAAACTAGGTAAATGGTCAATAGAACAAACAGATAATTTAGGGCCTTTACTGGTTTTAACTTCAACGGTTGGATCGTTAAAGACGGTAGCAATTTCATAAACTGGAATAGGATTATGAGGGTTTGTAGTATCAGCACTTACGTCAACAATTGTAGTTAATTTTCTATCATCAACATTCAAACTTTCATAGTCTACAAAAGGTGGAATTGGTTGAGATAAATAGATACAATTAACAAAGATATTGGTTTCAATAATCTCTTTGAATGGTCCGCCTTTGGCAGTTTCTTTCATATCCCATTTAACAACATTTTCATCAGGAATTCCCACTTTTTTAAAGAAATCAATAGCACCAGAACCGCATCTACCAAGCGCGCCAATCACCAAAGCTGTAGGATATTTACCACCATTTTTAGCCAACGCTTTCTCCAATTCCGTTTTTACATCTTCAATTAACTCTGTTTCGTTGGGATATGGGGTAACACCAGGCAAGTTTTCTTCTGGTTTATTCAACTGCTTAAAAGCCCAGTCCAAAACACCAATCGCGGCTCCTGCAAACCCAGCATAGAAACCAAATGCGGCAACTCTTCTTCCTTGATCATTTTCTAAAAACTCCAAATCATAAAGTATACCATTTCCGGCTGGGAATCTACCCAATACTTTTTCCCATCCCAGTTGATTTTTATAACAATGAGCAAATTGAATATGCTCATGAACCAATGGGAACGTTTCGTTTTCAGGCAATTCTTTTAACCCAATAATCAATCGGTCCTTAGGTGCCTCTTTCCATGATCCTTCGGGAACAATTGTAGCCCCAACTTTTTCATATTCTTTAGCATCAAATATCGATTGCGAACTCTCTTCAACAAAAACTTTAAACCCAGCATCGAGCAATTGCTTCGTAGTAGTTGGCGTCAAAGCCGCTCTAGCTTCTAATGGTTTCGTCTCTGCTCTCAAATGAAGAGTTACTTGTCCTCCACTCATTTTTTTTGTTGTTAACTCTTACCTTAATGTTACTTCTTCTTTACTCTTTTGTTATATTAAAAGAAAACTCAAACGAATTTTTCACTTTTTTTTTGGGCGTGGAGATTTGTGAGTCAACGCATGTGGTAGCGTATTTATGATAAGAAAGTAATTGCAAGATATGTTTAATCAAACCGACTACCTTGTTATAACACTAGCTCGCTTCACTCCCTAGTGTAGCAATACTGACTACCTTGTTATAACACCAGGGAGCAAGAGCTCACGTTGCTCCCTAGTGTAGCAATACTGACTACCTTGTTATAACACTAGGGAGCGAAGCGAGCTAGTGTAGCAATACTGACTACCTTGTTATAACACCAGGGAGCAAGAGCTCACTTTGCTCCCTAGTGTAGCAGCACTGACTACCTTGTTATAACACTAGGGAGCGAAGCGAGCTAGTGTAGCAATACTGACTACCTTGTTATAACACCAGGGAGCAAGAGCTCACTTTGCTCCCTAGTGTAGCAGCACTGACTACCTTGTTATAACACTAGGGAGCGAAGCGAGCTAGTGTAGCAATACTGACTACCTTGTTATAACACCAGGGAGCAAGAGCTCACTTTGCTCCCTAGTGTAGCAGCACTGACTACCTTGTTATAACACTAGGGAGCGAAGCGAGCTAGTGTAGCAATACTGACTACCTTGTTATAACACCAGGGAGCAAGAGCTCACTTTGCTCCCTAGTGTAGCAGCACTGACTACCTTGTTATAACACTAGGGAGCGAAGCGAGCTAGTGTAGCAATACTGACTACCTTGTTATAACACCAGGGAGCAAGAGCTCACTTTGCTCCCTAGTGTAGCAGCACTGACTACCTTGTTATAACACTAGGGAGCAAGCGAGCTAGTGTAGCAATACTGACTAGCTAATGTAGCAGTGCTGACTAGTTAATGTAACAGTACTGACTATCTTGCTCTGCTCAATAGTGCAAGAGCTCACTTTGCTCCCTAGTGTAGCAGTGCTGACTACCTTGTTATAACACTAGCTCGCTTCGCTCCCTAGTGTAGCAGTACTGACTATCTTGCTCTGCTCAATAGTGCAAGACCCAATAGCTTCAACAAAGTTCAAATATATCCTTTTCATCTTTTCATGTGCATGGTTTTGCCAATCTTCACTCTCGATAAAGCAGTCGCTATACAGTTTAAACCATTTTTTCACTCTGGATATTTCATACTCTTGCTGTAAAATGTTATGATCTATAGCCTTGTTAAAAAGAAGCATGGCAAATTCCCGATCATTATTTATTAGACATCCTAATATTATTGCTTCAGTAAGCAACCCCTTTTGCGATTTACCCTCGTTGATAGTGCTAGAGACCTTGTTAATCCAGTAATTATACAAATTCAAACCCTCATCAATATTGAAGTAGCATTTGAGCAATATGAGGATTTGCAATACTGAAACTGTTGTCGTTGTTGAAGGCTGAATTGCCTCAGCCATTGAGATGTATACCGGTTTGTCGTCCCTTATGCCGCGGTAGGCAAAAACCTTAACCATTGTCTTTTTATACTTGTCCAGTCCGTCATAGTCTTTCAATCCTTCATACTGGTTATATTTTTTCAATGTAAGTTCCATATCACCAATTGCAATCCCATAGGTTTCTAGTAAAAGTGTTCTCAAATTCATCTCACCAAGACTCACGTCAAGTTTAGATTCATTTATCTTTTGCAATATCTTGAAAACCAAGTTATCAAAGTTTAAAGTATCGTTATCATTATCGTTTCCATTTCCATTTTTCTGCTTGAAAAACAGCTCAAGTTGGTTTCTATGGGAATTGAATATACTCAAAACAACTTCAATCATCCACATGTCCTTACTAATATCCTTCCCCTTTTCAATGAGACTTTTTACATACTCGATAAGCGCAAATTTCCCCGATAGTGTATCCAAATGACGAACAAGAATACTGTTGTAGGACCCCACGCTATCACCAATTGTAAAGAATCTCCTAATCATAAACAAATCATCGCGCAAAATCATTTCATTTAATATCAATTCATTCAACTCTTCCACCCTACTACTAGTTTTCCCTTTATACTGATCAGCTAATGTGAAAAACTCATTCAAGTCGCCCAGTTCACGACCAATATACTTCATAGCCAAGTCCTCAACTAAGAAATCAATCAATGCACTAAAATGGACATCATCATTTTCAACATGGTGTTTCTTGTACAATTCAACATTACTCAACACTCTACCGGGATTAACCTCAATTAAACGTAATAACAACTGGTTGTCAACCACATCAGGGTCAAGCTTGAAGTAGTACGAGAAATCAGGCACTAGCTGCTCATACAACTCGCGCTTATAAGGATTGGTGGAATTGACTAGTCTATGAATTAGTGTTTTGCGACCCTGTGTATCATTTTGGTCTATCGACGCTTGGATTAGATCTTGAGGCTTGATCCCAACTATATCTCGTTTGAGCAACGTTGAAAGTAGCCTTTTCAACTGAAAACATGAAACATGTCCAGCTCGTATCATCTTGTCTGGTAAAACCTTTCATCAAAAGGTTTTGAAAAAAAAAAAAAGAATACATCTATATATACAAACCATTGAAAAATAGAAAATGTGGAATCGCTACTGATATGTATGTATTGAATCTCTAATAAACAAAGTGGTTTCTCGAAAGTTAAGTTGAATCTGTCTTTAGCAAAGTTTCCTCCATCTTAGCCAACATTCCAACGCCTTCAAAATACTCTTTCCATAAGTTTTCCTTTGTAAAATCCTCTAATTCATCACCATCATCAAACAATTTTTTAATATACTCGTTATATCCAATAAACTCTCCCCTTTGTTCGCATTCAAAACTCCAACTTGCCTTAAAAGCGCCACCTAAAGCACATGCATTAGGAATCTCTACTTTGAAATTGCCATTTTTGGCACCTAAAATCTGGGACATTTTATGAATTATACTAATATTATTAGAAGCACCACCCGCATAATAACATTTATTTGGTCTTGATGTAAGTGAATCAACTGTCTGCTTCTTCCCATCAACAAACAACTCACCAAACTTAGAAACTACTTGATCATATATTTCCTTTTTCCCTTCATTGTTCAAGTGCTTTCTGTTATTGCCATCATCATCATCATCTCTATCCTTTTTACCATTCTGGTTGCCAGATTGGCTCAACATAGAACCTGCTCTTAGTCTACAACTTAACGTTTGACTTTCCACAATGGCTAATGCATCTTCATTAATGGTAAACCCATATTCATTTAATTCACACGATCTTACTCTGTATACTTCTTGGTTCTTCTCTAAAACGGCTCTTATCGTTTGAGCAGACGCCTGTGGTACAATCTCGCCAATGGGGAAATAAATACCCAATTTCCCATTGAACCCAAAACTTTCATCAAGTTGCTGATTAAACAAATCCCAGGTCTTTGAGTCTTCAACTGAATTTTGTTTGTTGATTTCGTCTCTTGCCTTTTCTCTAGCTAATGCGCCATTGGAGTAACAAATCATACCCATATAGTGATTGGGCATGGCAGGGTGTTTAAACAAATGATACTGAGATGAAGGTTGGTAATTTTCGGTGATTACTAGAACCGTTGTTGACGTGCCTAATGACAAGAGACAATCATCGGGTTGTAAGGGCAATGATAGTATCGTAGCCAAATTATCACCGGTGAATGAATAAATGCGACAATTTTGCAGAAATCCATACTTGGAAACAAAATAATCACTAATGACTCCTAAAGACTTATACGTAATAGGAGTTATAGGACCCAACTTTTTTTTCAACTCATCAATTGAACTTTGATAACAAGGATCATTCTTGGCAACATGATCAGTTTTAGTATCCACGCCAGAGGCAATAGCCAACAAGTCATCATCATACTTTGACTTCTTGATATCATATAAATTCATGCCACAAGCATCACTTTCTTCTAATTCAGTAACGTGGCCCAACAAGACACTTGCAACAAATGAACTCACAAGAGATATTCTTGCAGTATGCTCATACTCCTGTCTATGCGATCTCGTTATAAATTTTCTAATTTGTAAACCTGTGAATCTCAAATGTGCTTTTGAGCCAGTAATTTTTGCCAATTTTTCCTTCCCAATTACATCATGGAAAATCGTTGCCTCGGGGCTAGTTGAATGATCTTGCCAATTAGGTGACATTTCCCAAGAAAAGGCATCTTTCAATTGTGTACTCAATTCTTGTTTTGGCGACAAATGCAGTAAGAGATTATCTGCATTATACGACCAGTATACTGATCCATGTTGTTGTCCAGAACCACTTATTCCAACAACTTTGTCAAATGGAAACCCGTCCTTTTTCATTTGAAGGAATAAATAATCAATAGCATCAAGCCACATTAGTACGGGACTCACAATTTCTCCGTCATCACCCGAGATCACCCCTTTGTAAATCCCATATTTTTCTTTGAATTGAGAATCAAACTCAACGTTATAAGTTTTAATTGCTTTTAGATTTTCTGTAGTAACTATTATTTTCAATTGTTGGGTAGATAGGTCAAACCCAAGAAACAATCTGGACTCAAAAGAAACCGTCATAGCTTTTCAACAATGTTAATAACTTTTCAAGTTACCTCGGAGTTGATTGCTTTTCATCTTCACCTTTTTTTTTTAAACATTAGATTAATATGAAATGCTACCAAGTGTATATCAAAGTAGATCCAACACGATGAATTGAGCCCTTTACATAGAACCAGACTTTTATAGACACTATCGAGCAGAGCGAGATAGTGGAGCAGCACTTTGTAGTTTGCTTCTCTTTTCTCATCTTCTCCACTCTAAACCTCACAAACCTCTTCTTTTTTACTTCACACCTCCTCCGACACTATCGAGCAGAACAAGATAGTGGAGCAGCACTTTGTAGTTTGCTTCTTTTTTGGCTCCTCTCCACTCTAAACCTCACAAACCTCTTCTTTTTTGACTCCTCTCCACTCTAAACCTCACAAATCTCACAAACCTCCTCTACTTCTTCTCTTTTCCGCGTTTTCCTCTAACTCAGTTGAAACCCCACTCTCTCGCCACTAATGGTATCTGTGGCATTCAGTGCTGCATCAAAGTGCTGCCTCCCCCCCCCCTCCCCCCAGTGTCGGTGGCAGTCAGTGCTGCTCCACTAGCTCGCTTCGCTCCCTAGTGTTGCTCCCTAGTGTCGCTCCCTAGTGTCGCTCCCTAGTGTCGACAGGTCATTTCAATACTCGACGCTTAACCATTCAATAGGTTTTTCCTTTTTAAACAAGAAATTTGGCGCAGTAATCAAAACAATCAATATAGATTGTATGCCAAACAGATAACATAAATATATCAAGGAATCAGTAACAACGCCAACTAACAATGACGAAACAATGTTTACCAAAGAAGCAATCTTGATGATTTTTTCAACTTGCGGTTGATTAGGAATCGTTACCGGAAACTCAACAATTTGTGCTATTTCATTCATATTTTACTACAAGATATAAAGAAATAAATAACAACCTGTAAATCTTTGTTCGTGGCTTTTCAAGTTTGAGCTCTAACGTTTAGTTGGTTACTCGTTTTGAAATTGTTACTCGTTTTGAAATTGTTACACGTTGTATATTATTCCTTCTTTTTTCTCTCTGCTCCACTAGCTCGCTTCGCTCCCTAGTGGAGCAGCACTGACTGCTACCGACACTGACTGCTACCGACACTGACTGCTACCGACACTGACTGCTACCGACACTGACTGCTACCGACACTGACTGCCACCGACACTAGGGAGCGAAGCGAGCTAGTGGAGCAACACTAACTGCCACCGAGACCTTTAGCAGTGACGGGTTCTATTGCTAATAGTGAAGATTACAGAGTCGGTAACTTATTTATATTGCTTAAAAACAACTTAAAGATTGATGCGACACTATTGAGCAGAGCGAGATAGTGGAGCAGCACTTTGTAGCAGCACTTTGTAGCAGCACTTATTTATTTTGGCATTGATAATATATGAGCGATGCTATCGAACGAATGCCCTGAGTGCCACCGACACCATCGAGCGAATGCCCTGAGTGCCACCGACACCATCGAACGAATGCCCTGAGTGCCACCGACACCATCGAGCGAATGCCCTGGGTGCCACCGACACCAACGACACTATCTCGCTTCGCTCGATAGTGGAGCAGTTTGTTTCTCTTTTCTCATCTTCCTCTAAACATACTTGGCATTTTTCATCTATACTTGTAGTTGCTCGAATCATAATAACATACTGAAAGCGTTAATTTTCAAGAAAAAAGGGCGTGTAGCTCAGTTGGTAGAGCGCTTGCCTTGCAAGCAAGAGGCCTAGAGTTCGAATCTCTACTCGTCCAAGTAATTTTTTTTCCACTTCTCCTTATCAGGTAAGTGGTCATGAATTTTAAAGAGAAATCATTTACTTGGAAAGTCCTTTATTTTAGAATCATTTACTTAGAAAGCCCCTTGCTTTAGAATCATTTACTTATCAAGTCCCTTATTTTAAAATCATTTACCTATAAAGCCCCTTGTTTTAGCCTTTTAAGTTTTTGTTTTCAAAGATTAGCCTTTAAAGTTTTTGTTTTAAAAAAATTAACTTATGGTTAATGATTTATTATTACTTTATATAATTATTGAATTACAAAGTTATTCTTTCATCAAAATTGAGATTTTGGATTTGATAAGCTTAAAAACTTTTATCAAGATTTGATGCAAATAAATACAACATTGTTTTTTGCACACAAAATCTTTATTAGAAGTATCATGTGACTCGTATATAAACAAATTACCCAAATTAGCAAGGTTACTTTTCCACCTATTTTGAAAGATAAAAAAACTCAGATTCATCGAGAGATCCAATTGGACAAACAAGAAATAATAATATATTTAAAAACGTTAATGATCAACTTCAAATGTTTTAGTTTGGTTACTCCGCCTTTTCTACAACGTGACATAGTTATTTACCCCACCTTTAGATAGTTCAACGCTCTAACAAAACCTCCAACTTTGCTTCACAAAACCTCCAAGATTACTTCACAAAACACACACGGGGTTAAATGACAATTTATTTTGCATCTGTCTACATTGCTATAGAATCCTATATTGCTACCAAATACAACAATAGAAACTGAAAATTAGTAGGTTCTAGAAATTGTGGGGAAAATAACTGAAACTGCATGGAAAATTATCAAACTATGTCAAGTCGAATTTTTTTTTTCTTAAATTTACGACAACAAAGATTTGCCACTTGAAAATAATTGTAATGCATCCTATCGACACTATCGACACTATCGAGCAGAGCGAGATAGTGGAGCACTGATTACACCGACACTATCGACACTGACCACACCGACATTAAGCCTGATATAATCACACTGATTACACCGAGACTAACTACACCAACCACACCGACATTAAGCCTGATATAATCACACTGACCACACCGACATTAAGCCTGATATAATCACACTGATTACACCGACACTAACTACACCGACACTAATCAGTGTGCTCCACTATTTCGCTCTACTCGATAGTGTCGCCAAACATTATAGACACATTTTTATTTTTATTTTATTTTGTGTGATTATTTTTATTTTATTTTTTATTTTTATTTTTATTTTTTCTTTTCGGCCCTAAATAAATACAAGTACTAAAATTGGTTGATGATATGTATTGTTAATAGCTGTACATAGACAAAGTTACATCAGCAATAACAGCAATAACGACAATACTCTCTTGCTACGACATCTATCTGCAAAAAGCTGCTTCTTAATAAACAGCGAACTTTACAACTTTCCACCAAACCTAAATTTCTTTGAATTAAATACCCATTCGACACTATCGAGAAGAGCGAGATAGTGGAGCAGCACTTGGTAGTTTGCTTCTCTTTTCTCATCTTGCTTCTCTTTTCTTATTTCTCTTGCTTCTCTTTTCTTGCTTTTCTTGCTTCTCTTTTCTTGCTTCTCTTTTCTCATCTTGGTTCTCTTGGTTCTCTCATCCTATTTCTCTTGGTTCTCTTTTCTTTTCCTTCTCTTTTCTCTTGGTTCTCTCATTCTCTGTTAATTTATATTGTTATACAATTTATGCTTCATTGAACACATAATAATGTTATAATTATAATACAATTGATTCACCAGTTCAATAACCAAATCAACGAATAATAAACACATTAACACCAAATTCATCAAATAGTATAGATATGTGTCTAATAAATTGTAACAAGCCTCTATAACTCCAGATATTCCTGTCTTCTCCGATAATACCTTGTCCAGTGGTTGCTGCTGCTGCTGCTGCTGCTGCTTTTGTTGCAGATGCTGCTTCCTCTGTTGAAAAGTGGTAATACTATTTCTTAGTATTGTAATTATGCTCATAGGAAAATGTGTAATATAGAAAAATATGTAAATGTAAAAAATAGTAAAAATGTATATATTTGACGCTCTCACTGGGAGAAGTTTTGGATAAATCGTAAAGGTGATACTATAAATCCTAATCAAACCCGTGTGGATATCTCCAAACAATGAGGTCGAGCTTACTGGGTTTCAAATATTTATTGGTATTTTCAGAAATAGGACATTATTAGAAGTATTTATAAAACAAAGAATCCCTTTTTTTCTTTTTTTTCTTCTTTTCTTATACAGTTGGTAGCACTCCTTAAACTAAGAATCCCCCATCTATTTTGAGAGATGAATGCAAAATGCAAAATGCAAAATCCAAAAGAAAGCGCTTAGTTTGGTCATTTTAGTTGTAACTTCCCCCTTCTCCCCTCTTTCTAGTGACTACCACTTATCATTTCTGCCATGCATTCAACTTACTCTTGTGCAATTTGTACTAGTTTTACAAAAGCAAAAAAACCCGTGTGTTGTTCAGTTCCATGTCACAATATCCAGTGAGCACCCGTGTCTTAGGTGCTACACATGACGCACAACACAACACTATATATGAGACCCAGTTAACATATATTTGAAATTTGGTGTACACACGTCTTACAAATAATAGGGTGTGTTTTACATCAAACATCATATATCGAGTTGGTACAACCTACAACCTACAACCTATTTTTTTATTTTTATTTCAATTTCGTACGAGACCGTTCTCTCACCTAGTTTAATAAACCAAATATTTATACTTTCTCGTTGTTATTTGCAATTTGCAATTTGCAATTTGCAACTTAAAATTCATAATTTGCACCTAAAATTTTCAATGTGCAACTTGCGTCTACTGTAAAGGATAAAAAATAGGAACGGAAAAAGAAAATTTTGAGTTTATTGAGAATATACAAAAGAGAACAGTACTATAGTTAGGTCCATCCCCTCACTCGTCTTTTACTTGATGTCAAAATAGCAACAAATTAGAAATAGCAAGTGAAAAAACTACAAAAACCAATATAATCTATATACCCACCATCTCTTGTCAATCACCGGCCCGCAATGATTTAATCACCTGCCCACAATGATTTAATCATCCGCCCACAATAATTTAATCATCTGCCCGCAATAATTTAATCCCGCCCGCAATAATTTAATCCCGCCCGCGCCATGACGATCTTATTTTTTTTTTTTTGGAGTTCTTTTTCCTTATTCCGATTTTATTACATAAGTAAAAGCCTCTCGATGACATTTAAATTATGTAATATTTGGGGAAAAAAAAGTTGATTTTTCGTCAGTTGCCAACATGGCTAGTAAGTTACGTTATATAACTAACCAGCTGCCTTTTCAACCTCAAAAATTCGAAAGTTGATGATGATGATGATGATGATGATGCTGTTGGTTTTATGTTGATTGTGATGTTAATGGTTTATGGTTCATAGTGCTTTCTTATTAAGTTGTAAGACCTGTATCATTTAGCATGTGAAAATATAATAGAACTACCATAGTCAGTTCTGTAGGAACTACTATATTGCATGTCTAACTATCACCATTTTTTTTTGTTTCTTCTGTTTTGTTTGCCATTAATTTAAAAACCTTCGATTTCTTTGAAATTTCATGTAATGGAAGATTCTCATACTAGTAGATAACATTTTTGACATACTAGAGAAAAAAAAGAAGATGAAATTTCTCAACCTCTGAATGAGTTTAGTAATAGAGTCCCACTGAAACTAGCAGGTTCCCTGTAGAGCACCAGAGCACCGCTAAAAGTTTAGTTTTCGTCCTGTACTCATATTTCTTTCTCCCTTTTATATGCAATCCCCCCTCTCTAAAATAGTATAATTTGACCAACTATCAATCAAGGTAACCAAACTCATCGCTTTCCATCAGTTTGTGAAGATATATGAGCAATTTTAAATGTTAAAAAATAGAGGTGTTCTAATAAATACTTTTATTTCATATGTTTCGACACTATCGAGTGGAGAGAGACTAGACGAGTGGAGAGAGACTAGACGAGTGGAGAGAGACTAGACGAGTGGAGAGAGACTAGACGAGTGAAACGAGTCTAGTCGATAGTAGATAGATCAATACCATTGAGCGACACTATTGAGGAGAGCAAGTCAGTGTAGGTGTAATCAGTATTGCTCCACCATCTCGCTCTGCTCGATAGTGTAACTAGTGTAGGTGTAATCAGTATTGCTCCACTATCTCGCTCTGCTCGATAGTGTAACTAGTGTAGGTGTAATCAGTATTGCTCCACTATCTCGCTCTGCTCGATAGTGTCGTATACATCTCTTTCAATCAAGTGGTTTTATTTTTCAACTCTGACCTGACCCATCCTTCTAATCCACCCTTGACAATAATATCCTGTAAATTAGTCCCCAATTCGCCAACTTTCTGTTTCAACACAGTTTTCCCTTCAGAATCAACAACTTCTACCAAAGCTCTAGTAACATCCCATTTCAATTTCCACCCAGTACGGATAGTCAATTCATCCCGTCCTCTATATACTTGCCTCAATTTGTTAATCAAATTGGGTATCTCCAAAGTCAACAAGGCATTGTTAATGGCATTACGGCTGAATATATTGCCAAATGATCCTGCAACAACTAACCGCATACCACGTGCTAAAATGCATGTTGCCGCTTGCTCTCTTGAGGAACCTGTACCAAAATTATATCCAGATACAATAATATCACTGGATTTGGTTTTGGAATCAAATTCAGGATCATAATTCTCCATGCACACTTTGGCCATTGTTTCTTTTGTAATATCATCCTGATAAGTATATTTACCGGGATAAATTCCATCCGTATTGATATTATCAGCATTGCAAAGAATCAATTCACCTTCAATCAGTTTGGGGAATCCTGGGATAATCTCAACTGCTGCTGCTTCTGTAACCGAACCCTTTTCACTTTCTCCCTCATCGGATTCAATTTCTATACTTTTAACTATTTCACGACTTGCATTGGCCTTACCACCGTCCAATTCCTCAGGTGATCCAATTTTACCAAGCACAGCACTTGCAGCTACAACCTCAGGCGAAGCCAAGTAAGCCAAAGCGTCCTTTGAACCCATTCGACCTTTGAAATTTCGATTTGTAGCACTTATTCCAATCTCTCCATCTTTCAATAATCCGGACCCTAATCCAATGCATGGACCACAACCAGCAGGTAATGGTTTGGCTCCTGCATCCAATATAGCTTGCCATGCTCCCGAGTTTTCGGCATCCTTTTGAACTAAAGAAGATGCAGCTGCAACATAAAACTCAACATCACTATGAACTTTATGTCCCTTGATGATCTTTGCAGCTGCTTCAATATCCGATAATCTTGAATTCGTGCAAGATACCAAATAAGCTTTATTTATCCTGATGTCATCCTGGGACAACTTGTTTAATGGATTCGAAATCTTTACCGAGTTAGGACCAGAGACATATGGTGATAACGTACTCAAATCAATAATCAAATGTTTAGCGTATTTTGCATCAGCATCACTCAGGATCTTTTCCTGCTTCAAACGTGCAATGGTTTCCTCGTTAATTCTCGGATGCCCCTTTCCTACTCTTTGCAATCTTTTTTCATAAAAATCAATCAATTTGTCATCAACTGGGAATAATCCACTTAATGCTCCCCATTCCGTAGTCATGTTAGCAATTGTCAATCTATAGTCAATTGACAACTGGTCAACCCCATCGCCGATGAATTCAATAGCATGGTTCAATACTTCATCCCTATTGAAAACTCCACATAATGCAACAATTATATCCTTCCCACTAACTCCCTTGGGCAACTCCCCTTTAAGCTCCACTTTGGCGACCGGCGGGATCTGCCACCATGTTTGGCCCGTAGCCCAAATACTGGCGGCATCAGTACGTACAATAGGTGTCCCCAATGACCCCACCCCACCATAAGTATTACTATGAGAATCAGAAGCAACCGATAAATTCCCTGGAAAAGCATATCCTTCCTCAATCATAATCTGGTGCCCAATACCTCTACCTGCGGGATAAAAATCGATTCCCTGCTCTTTGGCAAACTTGGCGATATTAGCATACTTGCGTATGTTTGCCTCGCTCTTATTCTGTACATCATGATCTAATGTACATACAATTTGTCGATTATCCTTGACTTTCTTAGCTCCTAAACCCATAAATTTCGTAGCCACAGGCCAGGAATTATCGTGCGACATACAATACTGAGGCTTAATAGTAACATAATCTCCACTATGTACTTTTTTCTCGAGGGCAGCTCCTCTTCCATCACCACTACTACTGGAGCTGGAGCTAGAGGTGGAACTGGGGTTTTGCGAACTCAGTGGAAAGATAGCATACTTTTGTACAATCTTCTCAGTAAGATTCTGACCAGCAAAGTAGCGCGAAGTGGTACTAAACACTCGCACTCGCACTGTTTGACAAAACCTCACTTTATGACCAATACTCATTACAAATATCGAGGCCGTCTCGTCTATACCCTTGGAATATAAATTGCAAAATATAAAAGAGCTTTGTGAAAAAAGTGAAAAATTTCAAATGGGGGGGGTCCTGCATGTAGATACAATGCCGCATGCGATAAGGCGCACCTCACAAAACGAAAAATGAGTCAGAAAATTTACAATAAAAGTTATTGGTCTATGCTAATGGCGACACTATCGAGCGACACTATCGAGCAGAGCGAGATAGTGGAGCACACTAGCTGCCACCGGCACGACACTATCGAGCGACACTATCGAGCAGGGCGAGATAGTGGAGCACACTAGCTGCCACCGGCACTAACGACACTATTGAGCAGAGCGAGATAGTAGAGTAACACTTAGTAGACACTATCTCGCTCTGCACACTTAGTAGACACTATCTGCTCTGCTCGATATTGGAGCACACTAGCTGCCACCGACACTTATCTACATCTCTTTAGCAGAGACTAGAGCCTCTCCTTTCCCTAGTGAAGAGACTCTTTCTGTCTCTTTAGCAGAGACTAGAGCCTCTGCTTCCTGAGAAGGGGTGAGAAGTCAGTCCAGTTTCGTAGTATTGGCATCTACTGACTCAATATCCAGCAGTCCAATCTCTAACAATGCGCCATTACCTGATTTAATATCCAGCAGTCCAATCTCCAACAATGCGTCATTATATGACTCCTCACGATTCAGTAGACCCGAAGTAGTAGAGGGCAGCGAAGCCAACCCGTGATAAAACACCCATTTTCCAATTGTATCAACTTTTTGTTTGAGTTTTGCTCGTTTCCCCACATGACTCGTTTCTATATCATAGTATTCGTCGTTTTTCCCATCGGCAATGCTATCAGATACAAACTCCTCTTCTAGAATATTGCCCTCATGTTTCAAAGTATGCGATTTCTCAGAATGTATAATTTTGATCCACTTGTCAATTTCTTGTTTGAGTCTCTCACGTTTCCCAAACGTTATTTCTCTTGAATAACACTTTTCTAGGTCATCTCGTGATGCTACATCTTTTAAATTGACCTGGTCCATCTCACCCTCTAAATTGACCTGGTCCATCTCACCCTCTAAATTGATCTGGTCCATCTCACCCTCTAAATTGATCTGGTCCACGTCACCCTCTAAATTGATCTGGTCCACGTCACCCTCTAAATTGATCTGGTCCACCACCTCATTTTCAGACAAACTGTAGCAGTTTGTGCTTTTGTCAATTTCAACTTCACCCTCCTCTATGTCTGATGCATTTTTTTTTTCCATTTCCCTTTCCCTTTCCATTTCCTTCTTCTTCATTTCATGCAAAATACTTGAAAAAGTATATGGATCATGCATTTCCCGGATTTCCAGTTGCAACTTCCCCATCGACCAATATTCACCAGCTTGTTTCTTTATACGCTCTCTTGACTCAAAATTGGCTGTATGGTATAGCCTTACAAGTGTTGATTGTGGTCGATTATGTAAATTATTCTCAAGTGGCGTGCCATCTACCTTTATATCAACTTTTTTGGGGCGTTTAATAAAATAATGTCTACTCACATTTATATCTTTAATCGTTTGATTCAGTACCTGGTGCCCTATAGATTTCAATTTCTTATTACCTTGTTCAATCGCAAAACTAGGCAGTAAAAATTGGAAATTTGTGCCTTCTTTTTGTTGGATACAAAGTGACATTCTCTTTGAGAACTAGGATAATCACCAAAAGTCAAGTGGAGATATATGCTACATTCTTTACTTGACTAATGAGAGGGGGGGATTCACCTCTTTTTGCACCCAAATTTCATTATGCCGCTTTTTTTTTTTTTGTAATCCACACACTTGGTAGCATTATATGTCGTGTCGTATTTTTCTTTCTTTATTTATACGACACATCATCGAAGATGAAAATTGGCAAGGATCAAGGTTGACCTTTAAAGACAGGAGGGAGTATATTTGGAACAAATTAGGAGGTATTAGGGCTCTCAATTGTCGTCTATGATATCTCAGAATGTTGTAAAAGTGGGATACTATGATCCGTTTTCAGTTTGGCCCCAGATAAAGGAGAGTGTTTTGCTGAAATTGCCATTGAACTTGTATGTTCGTCTTGACTCGAATCAGAGTTTGAAAACGATTAGTCAACTTGGTATTCAATTTGAAGAAGAAGTACCGAAAAAGGGGGATTATTATTCGTTGAAAGATGATCGTATAAACAGCAATGTGTATGTGCGGCTCATGTTTGTTGCCATTGATGATATCGAGAGATATAGAGGTCAAGTTCGACCGTTGATCAGAGAATGGTTGAAAAATCTCATATTCAAAGCTCATGATTGTACCTGGATGATCGTCTTGTATATTTCGCCAGATTCTCGAAGTAGACACAACTCGCTTATAAAAACCTCCTTTTTTGATAAGCTAAAGGTTGATTTTGGTCCACAGGGGAAACAGTTGAATACCATATTGCCTGGCTCCGAAGACATATTGACTAAATATACAAACGAGCGATGTTTTAAATTCAAGCATCACCACAGTGAAGTGGACATTCTAGAAGAGTTTGTATCTCAATTGAAGACTTTGTTGATCTCATCCTTTTCCCATAGATTTACCAAGTTTAACGATGTAGTACGCAATGAACAGAGTAGTACGCTACAAAGATTATTGGCAAAACTTGAAATGTGCTTTTTATTTCAAGATATGAAACTATTAACAGATGCATTGATAATTAATGAACAAATTACAGAAGAATTGAAAATCATGCGGATAAACCACCACCCCAGCCCTGCTGTATTTGATTACCTGATAGTAAAGCCAACATCTCTCGACAACAAGTTTCAATTCGAGCATCTTATTCACAAGAAAATCACTGAAGAACAGTTAATTTCGGGAGAAGATGTAAACGTGTTCCAGTTGAGATGTCTTTTATTTGGTAGCGAGTCGGCAATTTTAATAGCCCTTGCAAAGGAAGCAATGAGCAAATCTTTAATTACATCAGCTTCAAAAGAAATTTCACGATTGTATCAGAGATTAATGCGATTCTTGAGCGACTTTGAATCGGGGTATAATTGTGATTATGAATTGGAATTTGTTATCATTGGGTATTTTTTGAACTTGGATATTGTTAAAGAGTTGATAACGTTGATGGAAAAGTCATCTGTTGAAAAAGAAAAGGTTGATGGAAACGAAATCGACGAGAATGAGGAAAATGTGGTTCATTTAACCGAGTTTATGGAGATGAGAGCTGAATTGAAATTGTTTATGAGATCAGTCGTAATTAAAATTGCACAAAACCACAATATTCAAGTTGAGGGCTTGGACAGGATAATCATGGAAGAAATTTCACTTGAGGAGACTCCAACAACAACAACAGCTACACCTACAACAAAAATCAACAAACCATTGACAAATCAAGAATTAATCCAGATAGTCAAAACCAAATCATCTTACCTTGCCTACTTTGAAAGTCTAACCGAAGAAATCATTAAGGATTTTGTTAGCTGCGGTAGAGCAAGAACAATTGATATTTTATCGCTAGATTTGGCAGTTGTAAACTATGAAAAAGGCAATTATAAACAATGTCTAACAACACTTTCGTACGAGTATTTTGCTCTGCATGGGTGGAACCTAATTGGTGGTGTTTTACTCGATGTGTATTTGAAATGTATCGAGAAACTAGAATCAGAGAATAAAAAAGAGATATTGCACGCTAGTGTCAATTTGCTTTCTATGACCAATACTTTACCAATGTTGCAAGATAAAAGGCGTATTGAACAGCTATTTAAAAAGATTGGAGAAGTAGATGACGACTATGTAGTGGAGTTCCCACTTGTAATTTTCTTTACCAAAACACTAGTCAAACCTTTTGTTTATGCAGATGAGTCGTCTTCAACGGATATATATTACATTGAAATACATTTAGAGAACCCATTTGGAGTTGAAATTGATGTGGCACAGATTGAACTAGTTTTAATTGATGAAAGAGGATGCAAGGTGATTTTCAGTAAATCGGAAATCAAACTCTCTGCTTCAAAAGGTGTACAGAGTTTTAAGTTGAATACCAGAAATATCATATTTGGGGTTTTTTCATGTCACAAATTGTTAGTTCGTATCGGGAAGAATTTGCTTTTGGAACAAAATTTTGGACCAAATCATGGCAATAAAAGTATATTGATATGCCAGGATGAACATAAATTCAGAGCACGGTTCATACGTGCTCAAAATCGATCATTACTTGAAAACAACCCGAGTTTGAAATTGACAAACGGTAATAACCAAGTAAATGATTTGAAAATTGAACTTTTTTCAGATAACAGTGACATCAAACTTGCCAATTCAGTAATTGATATAAAGACATTGTCACCGAGTGAAATAAGGGAAATCCAGATTGCTTTAACAGTCCCTGTTGGTATGAAATTAGCTAGTTTGCATGCCACCGGACACTATTCTATTGATGGTGAAAAATACAGCTTTCAAATTTTCGATAGTATCGATATATCACTAAGCATATCGGTCTCAGTTCAGGATGTGTTTAAGCCGAATTTCTTATATTCACGATTCCAAGTAAACACAGTAAGTTCTCAAGTGCCAATTCGATTAATTTCACATAGTTTGGAAAACGAAGATTACGAAATTAAAGGAGGCTTGCAAATGGGCGATGTCTTGGCGTTTGGCGAGCAGCCAATTTCGCTAGTTTATCGAATGACGCCAAAGGAAAAAGAGAATATTGTTCATGGTGGAGGGAAACCACTTAAATTAAGTATCAAATATCGAAGTACCAAAGATGAAGTAGAGAAGATATTGTTGAGCATGATTATGAGAGATTTGGTTGAATGTGACTTGGCGAAATATTACTACTTGTGTGAATGTTATATTCTTCCCAAGATGAAATTCGATTTGAATCGGTATGCTAATACAGGGATCATTGAAATATTAAATGTAGACCATTTGTTGCTTAATACTGAAAAATTCATTTTTCAATATGTGGAAGCCGATAAAGATCAAAACAAATTATTAAACATATTCAAAAGATACACCGTCCCAGTAATGAAGATAGATAAACCTGGTAATAGTGATCAAGAGGACTTTGATAGATTATACATTGACGTTCCTGTTCCATTACTTCAGTTTCTCCACTCTGTGGAATTTCACTATTCAAAACAAATAATGGTTGTTGGTGAACCTGTACCAATGACAATCACAGCTGCCACAACCACGAAATGGGCGGGTCCCAAGCAACCACAACAACAATCTGAATCACTCAATAAAGAAGCAATATCGTTGGTCAAGTTCAAATTAGAAATAGCACAGGGCAACGATTTTTTGATTGACGGTACAACAACTCATGTTTTTGAGGTACCCAAGAACGAATCTAGTTTTAGTATGGATATAATTCTTATTCCCTTGGCAGTGGGGAAATGGAAATTACCAAAAATTTCAGTAAAACAATTAAATAGAGATAAGACGGATGTTGAATCGTTTTCTGAGGTTTATTTGGTAAATTCGGGCGAATTGGTGACTGTTGTTCCTCATACTAATGAAATTGCATTTACATTTTGAAAGTTAAGGAGAAAAAAGATGGAGGAGGGGGAGGGGCAGGGCAGGGGAGTTATAATAGAAAAGAGTAAAGACTCTTCTACCAAATTCTAGAATGACGCGTGTTCTAACATGAAAGTCTACTTTGAGTCCGCTGTTTTAAATTTGTTTCTATAGGGTATTTGATCTAAAACTAGCTTTCCGAAAAGAATACAAACAATTGTAACTTTTTAACTCTTTGACTTTGATTTTTTGTGAATGATTTTACAACAATTGTGCGTTCCCATTTAGCCAAAATGTAGGCCATAAAACAATTTGAGCAGATTGTTTTATGGTCTGGACAAGATCAAAGTGATGTGGACTTGTCTTAACTCCAAATGGCACCCACATTCAACAATTGTGAAAAATTGTGAAATGAATAAAAGAAAATAAAAAAAGTATGTTTTATCTTTAAAATATCCCAAAAACCCCACACATTACTATTGGATGCTATAAGAAGGTGATTGCAGCTCAATCGGACAGAATATCCAAGACATTAGCGAGGTCATTAATGAACAATATAGGCTATTAATACTCAAGATGTGAACATATACATTGTTTTTCCTAGAGATGGAAATACCAATTACTGCAAAAAAATGAAAACCCGTTAGACATAACAATGGCTGCTCAACAATCAAACACTAAAATTGAAAGCTCAACTACTGCCTCTAAAAAGAATGCATCAAGAGATAACTGGTCAAAGAAAGTTAGCAGAGGGTTCACTTGTGGAAGCTGCCTGCACTATCGTTTAGTTCCGCTTCCTCCAAAGTTTTTGAGAGTTGCTGAAGATATGCTTATCTTATTTTTTTTTTTCTATGTTTGTGTACTGCAACAGGTTTCCAAGAGTGAACTTCTTAAAGAAAATAAATGAGGTTGTGTGTGAGTGAAGTGTGGATATGGTTGGTACACAAGGAATAATTTTGTCAGCGTATACTTGAATCTATATCTCCAAGATGAATCAAGATAATCCATAGAATCATGTTTCCAATCCAGGAAGGAAGATAGAAGGCGATACTTTAGACGCATATTCCGTTTTAATTTAACTCCGAGTAGCATAGTTTACTCTAAAGAGGAGGGGGGGGTTTACTCTACCGCTTAAGATCCAAAAAACTCATTTTTTTTATGATAATAAAACGTTTTAAGTTTCTCTATAATATCTATACAACAAAGCATTCTGTGTAGCTCCTAATCCATTAAGAAAAAGAAAACAATATATACATATACATATAAATATAATATGTATATGTATTAAATACATCAATAATCCATGCTTAACCAATCCCATTCATTACCATTGTTGGCAGTTGCACCGCTCCCCGTGGTAATGCCACTAGCTCCAACACCATAGCTTAGATGCGAGTTCACATTGTCATCGACCATCATCATCTGAGTGTGGTTCACTGGGGAGTTATCCATTTGATTAAAGTTTTGACTGACTATTGGTGTATGCAATCCAAATTCATTTTGGTTGATAATTGGTGATGATTTTTGTGTGAGTTTATCATCATTGTGGTGCTGTAGATGAAGCGCACTGTTTGTAGTATTTATGAATGATGCATTAGCGTTGACATATGCCGGCAAGGATGTTGAACTTATCCCAAGACTAGACTCAATATTTTTGGCAAGCTTGATATCGGTTAATTTTGTATTGGATCTGTTCTTCTTCATGCTTGGTCGACGTGGTTTTCTTAAAGTAGACACGGTTGATACTGTAGAAGTAGCTGCAGCTGTAGTTATGGCTGTGATTGTACCTGTAGGTGTAGCTGTAACACTACATTTTCTAAATGAAGTTGGGTTTAAATCATCTCCATCACTTTTCATTTCTTTCTTGCTTATTTGGTTATTTCCACCACTTTTCGTAGCATTGGCACCGACACCATTATTACTAGCTCCACGTTGACGCTTTTTAATGACATCTGTCTTTAAACTCAATGGTCTTACAACTCCATGTAGTTTCAAAAACAACCCACAAGCATTACATAGTGGTTGTCCTTTTGGGTTCCTTCTCCATAATGGCGTTGTTTTCGTATCACAATTTGAACATGATACGCCGCTTGTCGTGTTGGAGTCGTTGGCTCCTGCACTTGCACTTGCACTTGAACCAACACCAACACCAGCACCAGCACCAGCGCCAGCACCAGCGCCAGCGCCAGTGTCCATGACCGTTGTGACTGCGTTGCGACTCTCAAAATCGGAACCGGAAGCTGAAACGGACACAGATTTCCCCCTTTTTATAACTTTACTGTTCCCCTGTTTCGCCAGTTTTTGTTTTCTCAATCTTTTGGCAGACACTATGTCGGACTGGCTAGGGAGGATAAAATTCCCATCATTTGTAGCCAAGGGAGATTGTCCACGCTCGAAAAATGAGTCATTGCGTAGTTGAGCATTGAGAACAGCATAGCTTTGCTCATCGTTTTGGTCTGTATTATATTCAGGTAATGATACAAATGATTCTTGACGTACTAGATTGTTTGAGGGTGTTGATGCTAAGATATCAGTTGATTTGTATTGACTTGCTATACTATTACGTGGATCGTAGAATGTTTGGCCTGGTAAAGATGACGAAAATTGCGTAGTTGACGGCGTGATTGTAGGGATTAAGGATGAAGAAGTAAGCCTGTGTCCGTCTGAAGGGTTTATATAGTCATCAAATAACGGTTTTTCATAAAACGACGACGCTATACTACTCAGAAAGGACGATTTGGGTTGGAAATTTTGGAAATTCGTGTTGGGACCTTCAAATGCAAGGGGATCTAATGAGAATTGAAACGAAGATTGTTGAGGATAATGGAGGTGACTCAGTCGTAAGTCCATATATTGATGATCATGATGTATGCTTTGCTGATCATGTATTGGATCAGGACTAGAACTAGTATTATTTAAAAAATTCATTTGGTTGAAATTGTCAAATTGTTGAGGAAATGATTGTAGTTTTAGCTCAGTAACAACCTGTAGGGATGGAGCTGCTCGTTTTCTAGAAACATTACTAATTGAGGTCATACCTCCTCCATTGTTTAGTAGTTCCTCCTCCTCCTCCTCCTCCTTCTCCTCCTTTTCCTCCTCTTTGTATTGCTCGTCTATTTTACTTCCTCGGAAGATACTAGTGTTGCTTTTAGCAAAGTCATCATTATTCTTGTTGATGTGGGATTCCATTTTTCTAATATGAGCAACATAATCAAAATCTTCTTCCACCACGTTTGGGTCAGAGGTATTATTTCTTTGGTGGTAAGGATGACGAGGTAACAATGTACTCAGATTTTGGTCTTTATTTGCAAAGATGTGATAATTTTGTTTATGTTGGCGAGCATGGTGTGGCGGCTTTGCAGTAGTAGTTGAGTGTGGCATGAGACCACCAAGTTGATTCTCTGATTTTCTATTTGTATTTAGTTGCGAATAGTCATTATAGCTTCTATTCCTCAGCTCATCGTTATAGCTTCTATTCCTCAGCTCATCGTTATAGCTTCTATTCCTCAGCTCATCGTTATAGCTTCTATTCCTCAGCTCATCGTTATAGCTTCTATTCCTCAGCTCATCGTTATAGCTTCTATTCCCTAGATGAAACGAATCGTTGCGATTTGTTATAAACATCATTCTCCAAGTAAGATTCTCCATTCTTGTCTTATAGGGTAAGGAGTCCTTAGCCTTATTGTACATTCTCCATAAACCATCAATGTGGTTTATTTCATTTGACACCAAATGAGCCAAATTCACTGAATTGTTGACCCTTGAGTTGTTCAAGTTGAATTTGAACTTGCATTTGAGTGGTGAAGAAGATTCTGACGGATTATTCATATCTTGTCCATATAAGCGAGCTTCTTTCTTTGTTGGTGAATCTTGATAAACCAAAGCGACAAAGTTATTCTCCATTACTAGAGAGTATTGCAATTGGCAATAACTTTAAAGTGCTATAATGTTTCTCAATGAGGTGATGAGATGAACAAGAAGAACAAGAAGAACAAGAAGAACAAGTGGGAAAAAATGCCTCGGCCAAAGTTGAGAGAATCAAACCCACTATCGAGCGAAGCGAGATAGTGGAGCAACTGGGACAAGTAAGAGAGCAGAGGCTGCAATCAATGGGGTGGGGGGTGGGAGAAAAAAGAACACTATCGAGGTCCACTATCGAGGTCCACTATCGAGGTCCACTATCGAGCGAAGCGAGATAGTAGAGCAACTGAAACAAGTAAGAGAGGGACAAGTAAGAGAGGGACAAGTAAGAGAGGGACAAGTTGGGGGCACGTAAGAGAGGGACAAGTTGGGGGCAAAGAGGGCTAGTGAAGAGGCGGGTTTTCTCGCTAGTGTCAGTTAGTGTTGCTCCACTAGCTCGATTCGCTCGCTAGTATTAATTGCTCTATACTTTACAATATAAGGAAATACCTCACATTGCATTCACAATAGCCATTCATTCCTTTTGAAAGCCGCTCCACTATCGAGCAACACTATCGAGCAACACTATCGAGCAACACTATCGAGCAACACTATCGAGCAGAGCGAGATAGTGTTGTAACAAGCTACTGAGTGTTGTTCCACTATCTCACTCTGCTTGATAGTGCCGATAGTGTCAGTGGCAGCTAGTGTGCACCACTATCTCGCTTCGCTCGATAGTGTTGGTGGCAACTAGTCCTCCACTATCTCGCTTCGCTCGATAGTGTTGGTCGGTGGCAGCTAGTGCTCCACTATCTCGCTCTGCTCGATAGTGGAGCAGCATATCTAGCATTACTAATTTTAGACTCTATTGGTCAATTCAAATTGACCTTTTTCCAACTTATAACCGAGTGAAAATGATGTATCTAGTCTTTATTAAGTTGGGTCAATGAGTTTATTCCTCTTTTGTGTAAGGGTCTTGGTTTGTTTGATTTAATTGGACGATAAGACTTTACGATAAGACAAAACTATCGAGGAAGCGAGATAATGGAGCAAACTGCACTACCACAGAGCACTATCGAGGGAAGCGAGATAGTGGAGCACTAGCTGCCACCAACACTATCGAGCGAAGCGAGATAGTGTTGCTCGATAGTGGAGCAGCATCTTGTTAGCTTGTTACAACACTATCGAGCGAAGCAAGCTAGTGGAGCACCCTGTAGCTTGTTACAACACTATCTCGATCTGCTCGATAGTGTAGCTCGATAGTGTTGATAGTGTCGGAAAAAAGAATATCAAAAGAGTAAAAAACTGATAAAATTGTCAATGATAAACAATCTAAAATTTTTAAAGAATTTTGTTCCCAAATTAGCACTACTACCATTTTGGGAACTTTTTACTAAAAAAATCATTTCCAACGGTCAAGTTTAAAAAAGAGGTAAAAACAAAAGAAAAAATACTCGTTTTTCGATTTCTAATTGACACTATCGAGCGACACTATCGAGCGACACTATCGAGCGACACTATCGAGCGAAGCGAGATCGTGGAGCAATACTTTGTAGCCAATCGAGCAAGCGAGACTAGTTGAGCAGATGTCTATGCTTTTGAGACTAGTTGAGCAGATGTCTATGCTTTTGAGACTAGTTGAGCAGATGTCTATGCTTTTGAGACTAGTTGAGCAGATGTCTATGCTTTTGAGACTAGTTGAATAGCGGAGGTGTAGAAACTAGTTCAGCGGAGATGTCTACACTCTTTCATCTATTTACACTATCGAGCAGAGCGAGATAGTGGAGATAGTGTCGGTGGCAGTCAGTGCTGCTACTAAGTATTGCTCCCTAGTGTCTCTAGTCGCTGCTGCACCGCTATCTCGTTTCACTCGTCTAGTCTCTAGTCTCTAGTGTCGATAGTATATCTACTGTCAATAGTGTCGATAGTCTATCTACTGTCAATAGTGTCGATAGTCTATCTACTATCGACTAGACTCGTTTCACTCGTCTAGTCTCTAGTCTCTAGTCTCTAGTCTCTAGTCTCTAGTGTCGGTATTTTCATTGTATATTTCTCTACTTCTAGTAGATAGTTACTGTGGTTATACAATTATTAGTATTGAGCACTTCTATTATACACCTTTCTAATCCATAAAGTTTGGATTGACCCCAGGCTTTAGATTTGGCGGTATTTGTTCCCAGCAAAGAGTTTTCCCTGGGTATCTCAATAATGTCCAAATCACAATCAACAAATTCCGATTCAAACCTATTTAACAAAACTGGCGCCATCTCCTTGAAACACGAGGCGCGGAATTGATGGAAATATAACGATGACTCAATAGTACCAAATTTCTTACTCTTTATTTCCCAGTTACATCTATTCCACTTCATAAAATTCAAATCTTCGCTAATTCCACCATTATGAAGAACCACTTTGGTCACTACTGTTTTAGATTGGCTTTGATTTATTCGAGTATGTGGCTTTTGTAAGTCATATAATAGATCAATGCCCAATCTATAGTAATTGTGAAATTTGTTGCAAGATCCCACTCCTTCTCCTGCTGCTGCTGCTGCTGCTGCTGCTGCTGCTGCTCCTCCTCCTCCTCCTTCACGATCCTTCTCTTGCCCATCACCACCACCACCACTACAATGCTGGTTGAGGAAATGGTTATGTATAAGTAGGCGCAAATCAGACTTGTTGAATGATTCATCAGGTGGTCCTAACATACTAACCACATCTTGCTGTGTCGACTTGCCTATTTCAATCACATCTTTTTCATTTATCACAATCTTTCCGTGATCAATATCTACCTGAACTTGACAACTCTCCTCTATATGCGGCTTCTCTCTAAACGCTTCCCATGACTGACCTCTAAAGATTGCAATAGAGCTACAGCAAATGTCTTCTAACCCTTCCCAGTTGAGAAGTTCATCCACAACAACATCTTCTGCTTTGCCTTTTAATTTTTGTAACAAAACCTGGCTCAAAATCTTGAACTTAAACGCTATCCCTGGATATGACAAAATGTACGACTTTGCATGTAAATTCAACACTCCAGGGTAGGTTGGTCCAAAGATCTTATTGTAAATACTTCTAAATGTAGGACCTACAGACGCCAAATGAAAAGTATTCCTTTCATTGACTGACAGGGAGCTCGTAGCAGCATTGACAGTAAACTCCTGGTCGATACTACTATCACTACTCGTGGTACTCGAAATGCTTTCAAACTCATTCAAATGCTGTTTCTTGTAAGATAATCTCAATGGACTTTTCATTGACCCCTGATCAAGGTCCAATAATTCAATAAGATATAGCCGCTGATCTTTCCGGTTACTGAAACTCAATCGCAAGTTCATCCTGTGAACTTGGACAATAAGTGGTGCTTCATAGTAAGCATTCTTATCATAAACCACCGTATATTTATAGTTGAACTTATTAAGACAATTGATCACATCGTATAATGATTTCCCAAGATTAATGCTATTACCAATCCCCTGTCCTGGGTTTATAACCGTATCATATATCATCATAGCTCAAAATAACCAACTTGTTTCCAATCTCCTTATACAAAAACGAAATCGTGGGGTTGACATTTGTTTCTTATCTTTGTAGGCTTTATCTTCATTTTTCTTGTGCAACGGCAAGGCGATCTCCGCCGCGGATTGAGGCGGCAGCTGGCGCGGCTGTGACGGTAACTGCGTCGCAACGGTGGCGGTAACCTCCAAAAACTCCACCGCGCGAGTTTACATAAAGAAACAAAGGTAAGCTTGTATTCTTTTCCTTTTACACCCATACAAAAGTCTAACTAACTAACTAAGAATATCGCCTAATGATATTTTTGATCGTACAGTTTCAATTGAAGCTGAAACAGGAACGTCCTTTATTACATGCTTTTTGTAGATACTTGAAATTAGATCCGACGGGTTCGCTATACCGTAGTTGCTACCGTCCAACGGCATTTCCAAAAGTGCTCGAAGTGACGTTCCTTCTTTTTTGGTAGATAATAGTTCCGTATCTGTTGAATGATAACAGGACTGACATATAGATTTTGATCCTATTGTGGGCCACCATTTCGGAGAACTGCGCGTGCTACATTTTTCACAATAGCGTACAGCGTCATTGGTTATTGATGATGATAATGACGATGATGACGATGATGATGATGATGATAACGATGATGATGCAGCGGCAGCAGCGGCAGCAGCAGCAGTGGCAGCAGACACATATGAATTATTGAAAAAGATATTCCTGCTCTCGATATAATTTCGAGATTTTGCGTGAGGCCCACCTACTTTGGGTTTATTGTTCTTTGTTTCGTCCTCAAGATACAATTGAACAATGGGCTTCATATCGGCATCTCTTCCGCTTACTCTTTTACCCAATGTCCTTAAACTCATGATTGTTTCCCTCGATTGATCATGCATGGGACAAACCAAGATTGGTTTCAATTTACCCACTTTACCATCGACATTCACAAGTTGCGAGTGCTTGGTGCCATGCTCCAATTTAAACCCTAACTTATAATTCGGCGTGTCCTGAGCACACGTTGGATGGTAATAGTTACCTGATACACACAAATTGCATTCTATCATAGCCCCATTATATGACTCACAAATTGAACATTTCTTTTGCCAATTACGCAAATATATCTTGGACACATCCACTAGCGACAACTCATTCCATCTATTTTCACGTCGATTCTTTTGGAAAACCGATACGCCGCCATTGAATATAGCACACAAGATATGACACCAATTGCCATCTTCTGTTGATTTCAAAAAATCGGGTCTCACATGATGCGATCCGAGAATTGATAATTCAAAGTTCGTTTCACGCCCAAAACATAAAGAGCACGAGTAGCTAGCAGTATTTATTGGCTTCATGTCGTTAACACATGGTTCACAAAGCCACTCTTTTATTGGATTTGTTGTTGTTGTAGCTGTTGTAGTAGTTGATGACAACGTTGTTGCTGTAGTAGTAGTATTAGTATTAGTGGTAATATTTGATGATGGTGATGATGATGATGATGATGCTGTTGTTGTTGTTGTTGTTGTTGTTGTTGTTGTGGCCTTTTCAGGTAAAGGATAGCCAGCACATGAAGCATGAACATTCACTCCACAATAAGAGCAAATCAACATTTCTTGAACAGATTCTTTGTTAGTATCGTGCTCTCTGCATACACAGCACTTTCTTTCATGAGGCAGAAAAGGTACCTCGATATCCGTCACGGTAGATGTATTGAAGCCATTAAACAAAGACTCAAGATCACATAGTTGGGTTATTCTAGACTTTTCAACAAACTCAACAAAGTTCGAAATAGGCTCTTCAACATTTAAATACTTTCCAAATTTGTATAAACGAGGAGCTTCACAATTGCTATTAAATAACATTGCTTGTATATGTTTACCTAGTCTTTTACCAATAACTTCATCAATAGATGCTGTTGAAAGTGAGTATAGAGGTCGAGGTACCGAGACACCAGACTCGATCTTTACCGCTGCCAGATCTACAGGCGTCATCATGATCAACGATGCAGTATTCGACCGTGCCGCTGCTGTCGCTGTTGCTTTGGTAGCAGTAGCCGCACTCTTTTGCGTTGACTTATCTTCAACTTTAATGCCAACAATATCTGGAGTTGATCTTGAAGCTTTGTTTGTAGATTCTTTTCCTGAGGTAATTTTCGCATTACCATTAGTCTCATAATACTCCAAAATTGCATTTGCATCCTCCAAGAGTTCCCATTCTACTCTCTTTCTAGAACTACTAGACTTGCTTGAATTTTTGAGTACTTCGTTTGGGTTGACCCACGTTACAGCGTACCTTCTCCATAGTTTGGCACACCGAAAACATAATGCAACAACCAATGAATCGTCAAGCAACTCTTTTGCATCATGTCCCGTGATTCTGAACCATTGCAATGACTCGTAAGTGGAGCAGTGTTTACAAACAAAATCCGTCTGTCTGGAAACAGCTTTCTCATTGTCGTATGAAGAATCATCATTCGGATTTGCCAAATCATCAATAATCATTTGAGGCTTTGAGGCTTTCTCTGTTTCTTCTTTTACTAAATTCTGTACTTTTTTATGTGCCCTACCTTCAAAGTTCCCCCAAATTTTCCTACCATTTGCGGTTTTTTTCCAAAGATAATAAAATCTAACAACTTGACTCATTGATTGTGTCCTGACTCTTTTTTGAACATGATACAATTCACTTCCAAACTCCTTTACACCAGCTTCAAATCTTCGTACCTCTTCTTTGTTGAAAACAGGCTCCTTGAGCTTTTTTTTGGTGAGTTTTGAAACCTGTGCATAGGCCAGTTCCACATCTCTACCACATTCCAAATATGCACGTAATATCGCATCAACAAAGTTTGGTGAGTTAGGAGATAAGCCAAGTGATTCCGCTACGCACTTGCACTTTTCGACATACGCATCCAATTGTTCAAAGTTATCCTTTATATCTTCATCTGGTGTTTTCCAAAGTAAACAACACGTGTCATTGCTCTCGTTCCCGTCATCAACACCTCTCTCCACGTACCCTTTTGGCCGAGGTTGTAGCCACAGAGGGTACTCTGAAGGATTAATGTCCTTAAATTCAGTTGGAACCTCTAACTTCTCCACTTCCTCGCTTTTTGTTTTGCTTTTTGATTTATTATTCGCACTTTTCTTTTTCGGCAGTTTTTCAACATCGTAATATACCAAGGGGTGTCCATTACACTCTGGGATATATACTGCTTGATGTCTAGCTCCAATTCGCGTGGATGCTCTAGGATATGGTGATTTATCTTCCAAATCCACTGCCTCTTCTAACTTTGCATTGAGGCCTAAATATCGCATGCACCATTCTTCTTTCACTCTTCTTTCATCTATTGAAAGAGCCTTGTCCTTTTCCAAAAACTCAATTGCCATTACCTCGTAATTGGGCAAAAAAGCATGGACAGCAGCTGCAGCATCAACAACAGCGTCGTTGCGGCCAAATCCTTTATCTTCTTCTTCTTCTTCTTCTTCTTCTTCTTCTTCTTCTTCTTCTTCTTTTGATGCAGCTGCACCTAGAGCTCGAAGCTCCAGTAACTCCTCTACCAAACGTTCTTGATTAGATGATTTATTATCATGCAGCAACATCAAAATCTTCTTCCTGTGATATTCAATCTCCTGTTTCTTTGCACATGCTGCACAAGACCATGAAAATCCTCGGCTGGGCTTTTTCAATAGTGGCGGATCCAAGCAAGACATGTGGAAATATGTTTGACACTCAGCACATGTCACTGAGTCTGCTACGTCGCACCATAAGCCACAAACATCACAAGTACATGTATTTGCTTTGAATGAGTTTATCAAAGCCTTAGCTTTCTGGGTTTCGCAGAATATATACTGAAACCTCTTGTTTAATGCAATTAAAAAGTTTTTGGATGTGTTTTCTTCATTTTGAGCATACTGCAAAAGATTCTTCGTCAGCAAAACGTCATAATACCGAATCATATACCTGTCATATAGCCTATCAAAATAAAAACAATTAGGCTGCCTGGTGAATGACTCCAATGCCGAAAGCTCAACAATGGACAGCGGAGATTCCAGTTTTTTAGACGACTTTACAGAATTCATTCGACTATTCTGAAACCTCCTATTTGCAACATAACTATCCTCGATATCTTGTTTCAACTCAACAGTAACAGTGCCCCGGAAACTGCTCAAGGGACAAGTATCTGAATCCATCGTGGCAAATAGCAATCTTGAATCAGAAGAAGTCCTTGAAACGTCTCGCGGTCGGAAGAACCACTGAATCGAAAAGTCGTAGCCTTCGGCACTAACAAACTTCTCACTTTTTGGGTTATCAAGATTTTCCTTTTCCTTTCCATGGCACTTTTTATTTGTAAATCCTCGTATCCGGCCAATGAAATAAGGCTCACCGGGAGGTTCACTAACCATGTAGATACATTGATTCTTTTTCAAAGAGAAAACTTCACTTTGTCTTTTATTACTTCTTGTAGGTTTACAAGTATCGTTTTTATGCTCGGGGCAATACAAGATCTGCTCTTTCAAGTCAATATATGCGTTCTTCAAATTCAATCTGTTTGAAAAATAGTCCTCGGCTCGAGGCAAAGGTTGCCAATTTAGCGGTACTGCCAAGTTGGAAATACCACCGTTACTGCCGTTACTGCTGTTTCCATTGCCGTTGCCGTTGCCGTTGCAGCTACCGTTGCCATTGCCGTTGCCGTTACCGTTGCTGCTGCTGCTGCTGCTGCTGTTATTGCCCTTATTCGACTTTGTCTTTCGAACTTTTTGCCTTTTGTTCTTAGGTTCTGCCAAAACAGGAGTTGAGGAGCCAGAATTGGCAGAGCTCGACGAAGTCAATGTAGTATAATCATCAAGAAGGATATCCACGGAATCATCATACGACTTGTTTGCTGCTGCTTTCCTCTTGGGACGAAGTGCAGTCATAAAAGAGCTTTCCTTTTTTTTTTTTCAATATTTAATATTTTCCACTATGACGGATATAATGGTGGCGGTTTTTTTAGTACAAGTCCAATATCGCTTTAAATTAGCTTAGCATATGAGGTAACACGAGTTTCTGCTACTAGGAATACGAGAAACTTCAATAAACCACTTTGGTGTCTATCAATCTGGTGGGTTCTGGTGGAAAAAAATTCAAAAAAGAAAAAAAAAAAATCTTGTTAGAGATCCTGATAAGAGAGGGTTTTATCAGCGACTCTATCGAGCAGAGCGAGATAGTGGAGTACACTAGCAACACCTCTACACACGGGTTTTATATACTCGATGTTATATATCGACACTAGGGAGCGGAGCGAGCTAGTGGAGCAGTATGTAGAGAGTAGAGAGTAGCAAATCTGAAGCAACAGCTGGAGCTGTTGCTGAATAGTGAAAAGTATCAGCCTCTGAAACAACAGCTGGCGCTGTTGCTGAATAGTGGAGAGTCTTTTGTAGTCAGTACTGCTCCACTATCGACACTATCGAGCAGAGCGAGATAGTGGAGCACACTAGCTGTCACCGACACAATCGACACTAGCCGAATCTGACTCTCAATAGTAGTTGAATCTGACTCTCAATAGTAGTTGAATCTGACTCTCAATAGTAGTTGAATCTGACTCTCAATAGTAGTTGAATCTGACTCTCAATAGTAGTTGAATCTGACTCTCAATAGTAGTTGAATCTGACTCTCAATAGTAGCCAGTTTTTTCCACTTTGGTAATGTTTTACCACGTTTGTCTTTAATATGACCTTTCTGGGGTTGAACTGCTTTGTACATGCAACCTCTTCATTACTAGTAGTCAGTTTTAACCTCTTCGATATTGGTAGGAATTGTAGTAGCCAGATCTGACCTCTTCGATACTAGTAGTCAGTTCCCGTAGTCAGTTCTAGTAGTCAGTTCTAGTAGTCAGTTCTAGTAGCCAGTTCTAATAGCCAGTTCTAATAGTCGGTTCTAATAGTCAGTTCTGCCCTCTCCGTTACTAGTTGTCAGTTCTAGTAGTCAGTTCCCGTTGTCAGTTTTAGTAGCCAGTTTTAGTAGCCAGTTCTAGTAGTCAATTCCTGTAATCGGTTTTTGTAGCCAGTTTTTGTAGCCAGTTCCCGAAGCCAGTTCCCATAGCCAGTTTTAGTAGCCAGTTCCACTATCCAGATGTCACCTTTTCAGCAATGTCGTACCACATTAGTTAGTGCAGCTCCACTATCTCGCTTTGCTCGATAGTATCATCTGAAAACACAAATTTATCCTTTATACACCTCGATGTCATATATCACCAGTTTTTATGAGCTGCTCTATACTTTCAACCTCTTCAATACTAGTAGCCAGCTTCAATCTCTTCATTAATGCCTCCTTATCAGATTTTGATAATTTCTTCACCACAGCGCTCATTTGTTTATCCGAGGGAGGCGCTATGTGCTTCCCCTTGGCTTCAATGTCTAGTTCAAGATCAAACATTCTCTTTGCTTTCTCATTGAATGGTTCTTCTAGAGTGCCGAATAGTTTTGAGGCAGCACTTCTCTCTGCAAGTTTGACCTTCTTAAAATCCAAAACCCGAAGAGACGGCACAAGCCAGATCATAAATAGTCTATAATCGAAATGTTTGGTAATGGGATTGCCTATGAGAACCAAATTCTCAACCTTGTCGAAAGCAGCTACAAAGTTTTGTTGAAACTTGTAAATATTATTATTCATAAACGATATCGACCTTAGACAACCAAACTTATTTGCCACGCAAAACTCATCGTCCACATACGTGATATTGTTATTAGCTAGTAGCAAAACCTCTAATTCTTCAAATCGGTCCAGCAATTTCCCCAAAACTATCAACTCATTATTGCTCAAGTCCAAAACTTGATACTTATCTAGTCTCATACCTGCAATATTCGTGACATCGGTCAAACGTAGATCCCTCAAAACCAATGTAACTTTATGTTCAGGATTCAAAATCAAGGGTGCTTCCTGAACCTGCTGAACAGTCAACCTCATCCGCTCAATCCAATCCAATTCCCCTCGAACGAACCAACCAACAAACAACTGGCTATGAATCAAGATTGAAATTTTTCACTTCCTTTTTTCCGATGAGAAGGAAAAATATCAACAATAAAAAGACAAAAGGATATACTAGCCAAGGATTGGGGGCCCCAGTTGAGAGGATAGGGAAGGCTAAGATGATACAGTTAGAGGATAGAGATATTCCTATAATACCAGGTACGAAACTTGATGAAGAAGAGGCGCATGAATTGCGGTTTATGGTTGCTGAGCTACTAGGAAGAAGAGCAACGACATTTCCAGGGTCGCAGCCGGTATCGTTTGAGAGAAAACATCTTGAGGAAACATTGATGCAAAAGGATTACTTTGTGTGTGAAAAATCCGATGGACTAAGGTGTCTTTTGTTTCTAATCAACGACATGCAGAAAGGCGAAGGGGTCTTTTTGATAACTCGTGAAAATAGCTACTATTACATTCCTCATATCCACTTCCCGCTCTCGGTTCACGAATCACCCGGAAATATGACTTATCACCATGGCACGTTGTTAGATGGCGAGTTGGTCTTGGAAAACAAAAATGTAAGTGAGCCGGTATTGAGGTACTGCATTTTCGACGCCTTGGCAATCAATGGTAAATGCATAATAGATCGTCAACTACCGAAAAGATTGGGGTATATCACGGAAAATATAATGAAACCTTTTGATCAGTACAAAAAATCGAATCCCGAGATTGTAAACTCCCCCGATTTCCCCTTCAAAGTTGGGTTCAAGAGTATGTTGACATCGTATCACGCAGATGATGTTTTGAGCAAAATGGACAAGTTATTCCACTCGTCGGATGGGTTGATATACACGTGTGCAGAAACTCCTTACGTGTTTGGAACCGACCGCACATTGTTGAAGTGGAAGCCGGCAGATGAAAACACTGTTGACTACCAATTGGAGTTTGTGTTTAACAAGGTACAAGACCCAGATTTGGATGAAAGAGACCCATCATCAACGTATGTCGATTACGATAGTAAACCAGACTTGATAAAACTTAGAGTATGGCAAGGTTCCAACGTACACACGGATTTCGCTGAACTAGATCTAACCGATGATGATTGGGAAAGATTAAAGGCTTTGAATGAACCATTACAAGGTAGGATAGCCGAATGCCGACAATCCACCTCCAGAAAAGGTAAATGGGAAATGCTTAGATTTAGAAATGACAAGAGTACTGGAAACCATGTAGGAGTTGTTGAGAAAATCCTCATCTCCATCAAAGACGGAGTTAGAGAGAAGGAGGTTATTGAAAAATGCCCCGAAATACAGCGGGCCTGGAAGCAAAGAGAGGTGGAGAGGAGGAAAAGACATCTAAATGGTGCAAATCTGAGCAGGAACTCTTCCGTTGCTCAATCTCATGAAGAGCCACCAACTAAGAAGTTGAAAACTAATATAAAAAGCGATGGAGAGTCTCAACAACAACCACAACCACCACAACAACAACAACCACCACCACCACCACAACAACCACAACAACCACAACAACCACAACAACCACAACCACTTCGCTCCGAACAAAAGGAAACCGCTCAGCTTGATGAGATACCAACTTATGTAGATAGTGACGACGATGACAATGACGAGTGAATGTATTAATTATGTATTTATATCTATAAATTTAACCTACCACCAGGCTTTATTTTGTTCATTTCTTTTATCCAATTACATTTGTATATTTTTAATCATCCTCTTCATCGCCCATACTTCTTACGTTCCACAGACAGTCGATATCCCACCTGGAGCCTTTTGCATTGATACTAACATACTTGATGAACTTCAAAACTGATGGGTCTCTCACCATCAAAATGAGCGAGTTCCATTTACACTGGTTGGTATGCAACACACTGTCTTCATCGCCTTCCTTATTGGACCTGTAAATTGCAGGGTCATCTTGTTCCAATCCATCGTCACTACTTGGTTGCACCATGCACAACTCATAGCCACCAAATTCTCCTGATTCCCAGTTTTTAGGATTACTGGCTGTAGGAGTTAAATTCAAAGTAGCTTCTAATAATACATTCTCCTCTTCAGGGCTACGAGCCACTTGAGGTTCGGTCGTTGTTGCGAGAATAAAGTCATTTCCTGGTCTAAACCTTCTTACCAATACATTTTCCGATGTCGGGATGAGGTCGGTAACAATCCTGAGCCACCTTTTGAACTCGACTGAAGCAAGAAACTTTGCTAATTCACAAAGTTTTGAGTCGGCAATTGAAGCAGGAGATTTCTCAACAGTGTTGTTGTTGTTGTTATTATTATTAACATCATTAGATGTGTGCTCTATGTACATGAATCTTTGCTTATGTGGAGGTACAGCAATTTTCCATGGAGCTTTAACGTCTGTAGAACGTTGTGGAGTTGGTTCGTTAATCTCCACGTCTCTAAGAGACTCTTTCAATGTGCTAGCAAAACTGTCATTCAAAATGCTCTGTACCTCAAGATACGATTCTTTGATAAAACGGTCTGCTAATTTCTTATAGACTTCTTGCTCTAAGAAAATAGGGTTGAGATATTTTTTCAAAAATTGAGTTTCTGCTTCTGTGAGCGGCTTTGAAGGCTCGAGCATACTCAATTCCTCCCTTGGTAAATCTTTTCTAGTGCACTTTGGAGCGTCAAACTCTTGTAATTCTTTACTTTGCAATTGATTCAAAGTTGACATCGACTCTGTTTTTTCCTGTTCGCCTTCAATAAAACCATCTTCACCTTTTTGAGGAATATGGAACCATCCTTGTATCGACAATCTGTGTTTATCCACTCTCACCTCCTCAACATCGTGGAAACTCAAGCCAGGCTGAACTGTGAAAAATGCAATTTGATTAAACTGAGGTACCAATTTACATTCATAGTCTGTGTGAGGCACATTCGGTACCACTGACGGAAACAAGCGTAAAGCACCTCCATATTCAGGCTTCCAAACTTTGTCTGGTTCTGGTAAATACAATATAAAGCTAACTCTTCTACTGCCAATGACATCATCATGAGTCAATAAATGGCACCCCTTTGTATACGAATTGATGGACATATCCGTTTTCAAACCGCTCAATTTTCCGCATCCTGTGACTTTTGATATCACGTCTCTAAACTCTTGTGAGTAGATGGCAGCCCTTAGCTTATGTAGCGAGGGCAATCTAGACAAATCATCCCAATCCAAGCCTGACAAATTCGCCAAGTCTCCCAGCTGGTACACTTTGTAAATATCAGTCTCCTTCTTGGTAAATGCAATTTCCGATAACACCTCTTTACGAACTTGTCGAAGCAAAGTGTCGTCCATAAGTTCCTTGATGGTGCCCCAATTATAAGGACCACTATTGGCAATCAGCTTTTGCACCTTATCTTGAAACTCCAGTCGCCAGATCTGCTCATTGAAAAACAGTCTGATATCTTCTTTAGTGAAAGTCGTATTGGCTTTTTTCAAAAAGCAGGTCTCAACTTCGTCTTGTTCTGCCAATCTCTTCTCAACCATCTTATTCTAAAGCTTAACTTGTCTAACCTAACCTCGTTATTCAGAAAAAGTTCAAGATGAGTGAAACAAAGAAGAAAAAAAAATTCCTTTTACGAAAATGGAAATCATCATGCCATGAAGTATCATACGATTCGAGTTGTAGTTCCAAACCCGTGTGTTTACTTGAGAAAAAAAAGAAATTGTAGAGCAAGTAGATGATATAGAAACAATACTGAATGTTGTAATGATAAACTGGGGACTACAAAACCAAAAATTAATAATAAAGAGTCACTTTATTGAGAATTGGGTCTCATCTTTTAGCATCTCTTTTAGTATCTCTTTTAGCATCTCTTTTAGCATCTCTTTTAGCATCTCTTTTAGCATCTCTTTAGCATCTCTTCTAGGATCTCATCTTTTAGCATCTCTTCTAGCATCTCATCTTCTAGGACCACTTTTCAACTTGCCCGAAATAGTCCATTCGGTATTTTGTCAATGACAAACTGTTTCGCACAGCTAATCGTAATTCGTCAACCATTTCTGGATTACCACATCCAATAAATGCTATAGATGAATCTGCAAACTTGGCTTCGTATTCAACTATTGCTTGCATGCTTGGTTTGCCAATCACAATGTCAACTTGCGGTAACTCACATTTATACTCCTCAATAATGTTGTTGCAAGTTGCACTGTAATGGTGATGGTGATTGAAACTTTCCTTTTCAGAATTGGAATCAGACTCACGCTTAGTTGTTTCAAACGAATCTTCCAATTCACAAAGATTATCATTTGCATTTGTAACATATACACTCGCTTCAACTCTGGTACCCTCTAGCTGTTTCAACTCCTTCTTGAACCATGCCAAAGATTTAAAGTGTCTTATAATCCACTTGAGTTTAATTGTCTTGTTTTGTGGCGCCCACTTGTCCACGTCTATAATTTCGGAATAAAGAGCAGGGATTCCTGTGCTACTTGCAACATAAGTCATATTGCCACATCTGTACCCGGCGCTTGAACCACCATAACTTCCTTCACACATGATTTTGATATCTGCAGCCTTTGATGGACATTTTACCAATTTGTTATACAACTGACGAGTAATACCGTTTTTAACCTTAATATAGAATTTCAATTCATTGGTATCGCATATATAATTGTGGTCAAAGGGGTGTGCTTGCCAAAAGTACGGCCACTGCAAAAAATGTACAAAGGCGTAGCCTCCCGCATTTGCTTTCCACAATTTGGGTTTTTGGACTGAAAGTACCAATATTTCATCAGGCATCAACATCAAATGACCAGTTTTTATGCCAAATAGTGCTAATCTGACTATTCTCAATACTCTTTCAAAAGCCCACACGGCAATTGCTGCCCAATAGTAACCACCATAACCAACAGGGAATGCATGTCTATAAGCACCAATAATGAAAAAAGTCGCCAATAACAAATGGAAAACGTAAAATGTTTGGTACCAGTTTCTCCTGAAGAAAAGTATGGCGAAAAACAAAATGAATCCTCCACATACTAAAGCAGCAATACCCCATGTAATTCGTGTTGTAGCCATTCTGTCTTTGTATATCCCTGCTTCTTTAAACACAATTGTAAACGCAATAGCATGAATAAATATCAAAATAACAACAATTCTTGCAATCCAACGATGATACAAGAGGAAAGTCGAAAACTTCAACCCCGTCAACCATTGTAGAATATTGTTTCGTCCTGTGAATAACACAAGTAACGGAACCAAATAACCTGTAAGTATAATAGTTCGAACTCCAAGTAACGCACTTAGTTCCGATTTGGTGCTTGCATTCAATGGATTTCCATCAATGTGGTGAATGTGCACGGCTGTTACCACGATAAGTATAGCTAAAAAGACAATCAAAACAATTGTTTCCACTCTTGTGGGAATGAAACCACCAGGAACATGATATCTTCCAAATTTGAAATTGAACGAGCGTAGATTTCGACTTTTGAAAGTTGAAGACATCCCAAGATGTTTTTTGTATAAATTGACCAAGGGACGCCAACTGCATCTATTACTATTGCGTCCTCGGGATTGGGTTACTTTTGAAAAAAGATTAGATAGAGCAGCAATTAAGAAAATTATACCCCAATATGTCAATAAGATAGCTCCATATTTAATAGAACGATCTGTATTTTTGAAATTCATCTCATAAGAGTCCTTGTAAACTTGAAAGGTTCCATTATCATAATTCAACAACACCGGATTTGATGACAAATCCTCTGCAGTAATCTCACCCCATCTCTTAGTCAAGAACTTATGATAACCATCATCATTACCATCACTACCACCACCACTACCACTTAAGGAAGTCGCATTGTGCGTGATCTCCGCCCTGTATCTGGCATAAGCAGCATCGATTGACATATTACATGCATCGGCAAATTCTGTAATAATCTTGGTTTTATTATTGTATCCTTGAACCAAACAGTCCATCATAGTTGCAAACGCAGCATCACTTTTGCAGTAACATTCATAGTTACGTGCACCCCATTCCTCAGGTGGTACACAAAGTGGGTGATTATTAGTGATGTACTTGTCGCATGCCAAAAACCCAATATCTAATTGAGTATATCTATACGGCGTTTTCTCTGCTATTAAGCATGTTAGCGAGACTATAAATATTAATAGAATTCTCATGTTTGGCTTAATTTCTCTAACCAAAAAAAGTGCAAGTACTTGGCCATTGGTATAAATAGACGAAAATCAAAAAAGAAACAAAGCAAAGAATACCCACTCAAAGAAAACCCCCATTCTCTTTCTCTACATTTTTCTTATTCTTGAGTCTCTTTTCAGTTAATGTTTCTAGTTTCGTTTCTTTCTCTAGTTCTTTCTTTCTGTAGTCCTAGTTTAGTGGGATTTTTGCATGTTTAAACAATAATTGACTATGCTGATGATTAACTCAGCCACAAGGTATGCAATTTGATGTAGATGAGTCCACTTGAGGGATTATTTGTCAAACCCCTGCGTTTCAGCTATCTTAGCAAAGCCTTCCTCCTTCTCTTCCTCTCTCTATTTCTCGTAATTAGTCAACATTTTAGCCCATCCCCATTTTTTTTCTTTTTTTTTTTGAACTAACCAACCAATATATATTTCCAGTCTTCTTTTCTTTTTGATTGTCAAAACTAAAAATTCTTCTTCCTCCTAGTGAAAATGCAAGTGGCATGAAAATGCATAAAGTTACAACGGGTCTCCACCCTTCCTCCCCTCTCTCTTATGTAAATTGATTTAAACGGGTAATATTGAAAATTGCAACAGTTTAGTCATGCCGAAATTAGAAAAATATGTCCCTATCCTTGAAAACCCACTTGGTAAACAGCTAGCATATGGACAATATGTAGTTGATAATGAATTTGAAAAATGTACTGGGCTTTATTAATTTTTGATTTTATGTCTATGTCACGTGATGTACCATATATTTGGGGTTGGTCACGTGATGTAACATGAAACTATGATTACAAAGATTCACCCAGGTGTGTCTTTGCCTTTATGTTTTATAGTAGAAATGGATTCGATAACTGAAAACCTTAGTTGCAACTCATTAGTAATGATGTCAACAACAGAGACGTAAAGCTACATTTAATGCTCACCCCCTTCCTATGCTTTTTTTGGCAATCAGACACAATGTATATCATATCCTCTCGTAATATGCATTTGAGACAAATACCCAAACACCCAAACTGATAGATACTGAAACATGCTCTATCGAGATGCTGAAATATGTGCCATAAAGCGACTGTGACATGCTCTAATAAGCTACTGTGACTGAAACTTGCTCTATCGAGCTACCGAGACTGTGACATTCTCTATCGAGCTACTGTGACTGAGACATGCTCTATTAAGCTACTGCAACTGAGACATGCTCTATTAAGTGAGCGGCAATGACAAATAGAGCAAAGTGCACGATGTGGGTCTGTCTATCTTACTTTACACGCGACTATGCTTTTTTAAAGGCTCAACAACCAACTTATCAAAAGTGTACATCTGGGATATCGTAGTTTGTCTAGTCAATAACGCCAAATTGTCGATCCCTTCATTATATAATTTAGTGATCTCATTAGGATCAGTCAAGTTCTTATTTTGTTGGAACAAATCATGGACACGTCTTCTTGAATACTCCCTGAAATTGTACGTATTAAACTTATTTGATTTTTCAAGTAATTGTTTATATAACTTAAGAACTTGTCTTGAACTAACCATGGTCATAAGATATTGCTACAGCTAACGAAAGAAGGTGATGATAGTGGTTAACAGGGTGCTTAAAAAGATTGGATTTTTATACGCCAAATTTTTATTGGTCTTTTTGCCACTGAAACACGACTTCATCAAACCCCCAAGTAAGAGATGATGAGATGATACCTTTCAGGTAACTTATACATCTCCTTCTCCTTACCTGTTTCATACTGAGATATTCTCTATTAATAAAACTCTATTCACCAACAACGCATATACACGTACACGTACACACACACATGCCGCTAGGTCTTTTTTTTTTTTCCTTCTTCTTCTTCTTCTTCTTCTTTAGTCTTTTCAAAAAAGATGGTGTTTCCCTTCACGTTTCTTATCCTTTTTAATCTTAGCGTCAGCCATCATCTCCTCAAAGATTCTAGCATCATCGTCTTCCTCTGGAGATCTCTCAATGCTCAACATTTCCTTTCCGATATATAACAAAGCATTGGCTCTAGCAACTCTTTCTTTCTTGCCCAATTTTTTACTATGCAAGACATTTTGACAAACCTTATTTAGTACACTAGTAACCTCAAACTTAACCAAAGACCACCCAGTAGCCAAGAATTTCCCAGTAACAAATCTTTCTCTTTCTGCTTGTTGAGAAATCTCAATCTGTGTTGGTTCATAACCATGCTCGAGTTTCAGCTGGAATGTTTCTTGTTCAACCATGACTTTCTCCATAGTTTCTTGGGCATCAAGAGCTGTTTTGATGATGCTATATCCATTCTTTACAGTTTCGCTTGAAGACTTTACTGAGGTGTATAATTTGCTCACACCAAAAGTCTTTGATGCTTGTATTGTCGCTTTAGCTTGATTTGTATAGATCTTACCGATAAGGTGTAACAATTGAATACCAAAGCTTTCCACCTTCATATCATCAAATTCTTCTCTCAATTTTCGAGTAAAGTGTTTCAATCCTTCTGGATTGGTAGATGCTGCTCTGTAATCATCAATCCTAATTATAAGATTCTGAGATAATTCTTCAATCCGTTTAAGTTTAGCTTGTCTTCCTTCTTCATGTATTCTTAAAATCTCTTCACGCTGCTCTTTGGTCATTTTTTGTTTCCTTTTCTTTTTCAAATCTTGTGATGAGATGGTGGACTCTTTTCTCGCATGCAAGCTGTTTGAATTTCCTTTAGTTGAATCAGCTAGCGTCAACGAGTCAAAATTCGAACTTAAAGAGCCATTGGAATTTGAAGTCTCTTTGAAGTCGTCGTTAGAAGAATGATTGAAAAAGCCATGACTATTGTGGTGTTGATGGTGGTGGTGGCCAGCAGATGTAGCCTGCTGATGCTGTCTCTCTCTCTCTCTCTCTTTCTCTTTCTCTTGCTCCTCCTCCTCCTCCTCCTCATCCAAATTTAATACTTCGGCAGATTTAGTCAAATCGTCCATCAACCCCAATTTCCCAATCCAGTCTCTAAATGCTACTCCGCCAAACACCGTTTCAAAAAACTCACTAGGATCAATATTTGCAGCTGCTTGTTCAGCATGATTCTTCATGCCTTCAACACCGTACTGGTCATAAATCTTTCTACTATCTGGATTAGACAAAACCCCATACGCTTCACCTAAATCTTGAAACTTTTCCGCTGCTCGTGGATCATTCCCATTCTTATCAGGATGTAATTTGATAGCTTGCTTTCTATACGCTTTTCGTAACTCCGCTTCGTCGGCAGTTGGCTCTACTTGCAAAATATCATAATATGTCGTATCCACTACCATTTTCTATCAGAATTTCAACCTCTAATGCTACTTAATAAGACTAACTTTTGTTCAATCTCTATCTATAAAATGAGATGGTAAGACGAAGAAAAGGAAAAAAAAAAAAAGAGAAAAATTACTTAGCGCGCTTTCCGAAAGAGTTATGACCATATCGAGATGGATAGTACTGGTGTCGATGAATAAGCTTCCTGATACAAGTAAGAGTATCAAAAAATGTCATAAGACTTTGTAGAAACACGCAATTTTATTAATACATCTACCCTCATTCTTCTACCCCCATCCCTCTAGCAACAACCTGGTCCTAAGAATTCTTGAATAAAAAAGAAGAAAAACTCGACACTAGCTGCCACCGATACTTTTGCAAGATTGGTGCAAAGTGACAGTAATGATGAGGCTTCATGTAAACAACTCATAAAACCTAATGAGGCTTCATGTAAACAACTCATAAAACCTAATGAGGCTTCATGTAAACAACTCATAAAACCTAATGAGGCTTCATGTAAACAACTCATAAAACCTAATGAGGCTTCATGTAAACAACTCATAAAACCTAATGAGGCTTCATGTAAACAACTCATAAAACCTAATGAGGCTTCATGTAGTGACAAATCAGGTGATACAATGTCGATGAAACCAACGATAGCTTCCACAATGAGGCTCGTAAGGTTTCATCATACCCCCACAACTGCCCAATACATTATATGAAAAGCCTACTTTTTTCCTTCCTTTCAGTACTTCTTTAACCTGTGTCGATTCTTCATCCTCTTTTTTCCTTCTTTAACCTGTGTCGATTCTTCATCCTCCTTTTGGTCCTTAAGGTGGTACACCACTGATTCAAAAGTCCTTTCAACGTTTCAGTTTGAAACAATCCTATTCGTAGCAAAGAAAAAATATGTAAAACACACGTTGGTGGCAGATAGTGTCGGTGGCAGCTAGTGTGCTCAACTATCGAGCAGAGCGAGATAGTGTCACTCGATAGTGTCGGTGGCAGCTAGTGTGCTCCACTATCTCGCTTCGCTCGATAGTGTTGCTCGATAGTGTTGCTCGATAGTGTCACTCGAAAGTGTCAATAGTGTCGCTTGCTTTCTTTAGCCATCATCTTTGTGGAAAGTGTAGTTGTAGACATTTTGATCAAGGTCACTCCAGCCTTTTGCAGCAACAACATAAGGTAAGCTAGACCCTAAAATTCCAAAATAAATCAGGTTATTGGGAAATCCCAATAATTGCTGATACTGTTTCATTACAAAAGTGGGACTCACGTTTTTTAACGGTATAGAACTAGTAATGTTGTGGTTAATATTTCTGTTATTGTTAATATTGGAATTGTTGGTAATGATACTTGTACCATCTAGTTTTCCGTTATCAACGTACCCAAATTGTTGTTGCTGCTGCAGATGCTGCTGCTGCTGCAGTTGTTGTTGTTGTTGTTGTTGTTGTTGTTGTTGTTGTTGTTGCTGTTGCTGTTGCTGTTGCTGCTGTTGCAGTTGTTGTTGTTGCTGCTGTTGCTGCGGAAGACGTATATTAGTTCCTCCTGTCTGTTGCTGCTTTTTCGATAGTGCGGCAATAACATGATTGCTATGGTTACTAGAGGAATTTATTTCCTTTGTTATTTGTTTCCACTTATATTTCTCACCAGCGATTAACAATTGTCGTAAGATTTGAATATCTGTACTTGTAAATTTAGAACTAATTTGTGGATCTGTAACCATTACTGAGGCACCTGTGCCTGTAATCATGTGTGGTACAATAGTAGCTGACGAATGGTTAAGATTCAAATGGGAGGCAGCGGCATGAGAATTAGAGTTATTGTTTCTCGCGAAATGGGCATCAGTAGAAACTTTGTTTAGCGATATTGAGTTTGGTCTTAAGGATGAGCCTGTTGTGGTGGATGCTGTTGTTGTAACTGCAGTATTAGGAGTTGTAGAGTTGTTGGAATTTGCCGTTGAATTAGCAGAAATGGTGGTAGTTGTTGGATAATACTCGTGCTTTGGTTGTTGCGATTGTTGCTGCGGCTGCAAATGGGGGTATTGAAACCCATTAAGATTAGTTGACATGGTTCTTATTTACTCCTTGAATGATGATAGCAAGGATTTTTCCTTTTTGGCTTGTTCAACTGACTTCTCTAAAGGAGCGTTTGAGTGGAAAAGGCTATGGCTATATGAGGCTAATCAAAGTCTGTATCAAGCGGAGACTGGACAAGTAATATCCTGTATCTTTATGAGTATGTCTCTGAGTCTTGAGTATATCTCTTTATGGTATGTCTCTGAGTCTTGAGTACACCTCTATGAGTTTTTAGTATGTCTCTGAGTCTTGAGTACACCTCTATGAGTTTTTAGTATGTCTCTCTGAGTCTTGGGTATACCTCTATTTGTATGTCTTTCTGCGTCTTGAGTACACCTCTATGAGTTTTGGTATCTCTTTCTGAGCTTTGGTATTTTGTTCAAAAGTGGTGTTTTCACAATATATAAATATATAATTTCCTCAGCTTTTGAAATAATTATCAAGTGTTTAATTGGGAACCATAATAAATAAACTCAACTGAATATATATGAACCGAATATCAACCAAATTATACATAGACAAGTCCTTATAATATATTGATTTCTCTTAATAAGCAAGAGAGACAAAAAAGAAAGAAAAATAAATCTATATGGAGCTAATAATATTTTTATCTTTTTCTTTTATTTTCTTTTCTATTGAATTGAGAATGAGTAAATGAATCAATATTATCTTGATAGTTGTTAGGTGATTGACTAATGCAATGATGCGCAAGGAAATGCAAGTTTTATGTTGGTGTCTTGGAGAGGCTAAAAAGCGACAATGAGAAAAAAGAGACAAAATAAATAACACTAAACAGTAGCAACACTAGCGAGTGAAGCGAGTAGCAACACTAGGGAGCGAAGCGAGCTAGTGGAGCAATATGTAGTGAGTAGTAAGTGGCGCCAAAAGTGTCTAGACAAAAGTGCCCTCAAGAAGCGCCGAGAATGCCCCTCTAGAGTGCCTGCAAAAAGCACCAGCTCAGCTCTAAAAGCCTCTCTAGAGTGCCTGCAAAAAACACCAGCTCAGCTCTAAAAGCCTTAGTAAGCTCAAAGTACTTGTCTGGAGCACCAAAAGCATCAAAAGTGCCTGCTAGGCACTAGCAAAAAACCTTCAAAACACCAGCTTCAAGCAATCGTTACATCTCCCGTTACATCTCCCGTTACATCTCCCGTTACATCTCCCGTTACATCTCCCGTCACATCTCCGTTACATCTCCCGTTACATATCCGTTACATCTCCGTTACATCTCCCGTTACACCTCCTATTACAGCTCGTGCACCTGTTTCAATTTCATCACCACCACCACCACAACAAAGAATTAATACAATTATTTTCAATACATTTTTCTTCAGTATAATAATAATCTAGCAGTTTTGGCTCAATTTTGGAGCAACACGTTGTAATAATAATTGTACAACTATTATCTTGGATTATTGAAAATTAAAAGGTTGACCAAACAAAACTAATCTACCACAATGAGCAACACATAATGAGCAACATATGGGTTTTTGCAATGAGGCCTACTGACACAACTGCAACTAATATATTGTATAGCACGCGACAGACACGACATAGCGAATGCGATACGATTTACGACACGATATTAAATGACAGACACGACATTATAAAGTGCAATACATCACTCAACTTCACGACAAAACGCGGTCAAATATTTTTTAGTCAACTTTGACTTCTTTTCCCAAACTGGGGAGATAAAATCCTATTGTAATGATCTTGTGTAGTACATTTCCTAAAACTATTTTTTCAACCTTTTACTCACTATATTGGGGTCAATCTCTTCTTTTTCTCTTTTGGGGTCGGGTCAATCTCTTGAAATTATAAAAGTGTAAAGTAGAGTAGAGGAGTTAGAACCCCTCCACAAAGTGTTGCTCGATAGTGTCAACAAGACAATTTCTCTTGCGTCTTGTTAAAAACTCTGATTAATGGCAGAATCCTTGTTGCCATCTATCTAAAATTATGCTTTTGTTCAAACCCGTTGGTAAAATTCCATTTCAACCTAATCAACCAATTTTTCTCTATAGTACCATAATTTGCCCATAAATTGCCATAACTTGTCATAAATTGCCATAAATTGCCATAAATTGCCATAACTTGTCATAAATTGCCATAAATTGCCATAAATTGCCATAACTTGTCATAAATTGCCATAAATTGCCATAAATTGCCATAAATTGCCATAATTTGCCCATAATTTGCCCATAATTTGCACTGTTTTTTTTGACGGTGTTATTTTATTAGAGGTCATTTAATTAGGGGTCATCTTTAAATCAATCGCTATACACAAAGTCATTACATAATTAATTTTGCAGCTAATTTAATTTATCTAATTATTGCCAAATGAGTTGATAGTTGACAGAGCTTGAAATTGCTATGGTACAGCTTTTATGGTACAGCTTTTATGGTGCATCTTTTATGGTACAGCTTTTATGGTGCATCTTTTATGGTGCATCTTTTATGGTGCATCTTTTATGGTGCATCTTTTATGGTGCATCTTTTATGGTACAACTTGTTGTCGACAGTAGAGTAAAGTTAACAAATTGAGATTGATTCATTCAAGCAATCAAAACCGTTTATAACACTAACTAGCCTGTAACAACACTAACTAGCCTGTAACAACACTAACTAGCCTGTAACAACACTATCTCGCTTCGCTCGATAGTGATCAAGGGATGTCTAAAGTTTATTTTCTCTTTAACGTTTTCTCTTTAACGTTTTCTCTCCTTTTTCTAATCAAGGAACACAATTACCCCCTTTTTATGTCTTGGTTCTACAAATTACTCATTAACAATTTGTTTATATCTCACTACAATTCTATCAATACAATTCTATCAATACAATTCTATCAATGCAATATGCTCAACTAGTGAGTATGCTCAGCTAGTCAGTATGTTCAGCTAGTCAGTATGTTCAGCTAGTCAGTATGTTCAACTAGTCAGTATGCTCCACTATCTCGCTCTGCTCGATAATGTCGGTCAGTATGCTCAATAGTGTCGGTCAGTATGCAGTTCCCGCTTTAATGGGTGCACGTGGGGGGTGGAAGGTCCTCTCAATCTTGTAAATTACCGCTTAAGGTGCAATTGGGGCTTTTCGCGCTGTTTATCTCTGGTCACGTGATGTACTTTTAAGCTGGATGATGGGAATTTTATCTAATGGAGAATACTAGAGAAAGGTAAGTAACTTAAAAGGATATTAGGTAGAGGTACTCATGACAAAAGGTAAGGTTAAATTACTCATCTTTTCCCATCTCATCTCATCTCATCTCATCTCATCTTTTCCCATGAGTTTTTGTTTCGAGCCGTGCATCGCATCGTCTCTCGTACTTGAATAAAATTCATTGTGAAAAATGATATTGTCCTTTTTCCACTCTTTTACAAATAAAGCTTCTCCTGCCTCACAACTTGAAATTGGTTGGGCATCTCCTCTCCTTTGACTATACATTCTGCATCTCCTCTTTAACATCCTCTACATCCCTCGTATTGTCTCCTCCCTCCATCTCTTCCATACCGTTTCCTTCACCTCTGCTCTTGCGGTGTTAAACGGCGCCAAAAAAAAAAAAAAAAAATCAAAATTAATTCACTAAAAAAAAAAAAGAACCAAACTTGTTGGTAAGAAAACAAGCAAACGGTTGAGAACTTCAGGTTGATATAGGTGCTATTCGGTATATTTGCAAAGAAAGAAGGATAATTCTGCTTGTTTGGTAAAAGCTGAGGTAAAAAAGGTTCTAATTATAGTTGCTATACAAGCTTACAGCTAAGTTACTTGAGGCTCACCAGAGAATTTTTCACTATTATAACAGTTTCAATTTTTTTTTTTGGGGGGGTCAAGAGGATATTAAGAATTCATCTTTTGTTATTAGTTGCTATGGAGCTGCAGGTTTGGAACTCGACGTTTTCTCCAGATAACCAAATAAATATAAATGGGTCACCAACTGGGAACACTCCTAATAAATCGCCATATTATCCAGATATAGACCATCATGGTACTATTTCTAGTCAAGTTTCAAATAGTACTCAATCTCATCAGAATCCTTCAAGCCATTCAACTCCAGCTGGGATCAATAATGGTTCTCACATCAATAGCCAATTAGCTTCTCATCATATAAGTGCAAATACTCCTAATTATAGCGAGTCGGAACAGATGTTTTTGAATATTGAACAAAACTTGTATGAACAACAGCAACAGGAACACCACCACCATCACCATCACCATCATCATCACCCAATCACTCAATCACTACCACCAACACAACAACAACAAGAACAACAACATCATCAACATCATCAACATCATCAACAACATCAACAACATCAACAACAAGAACAACATCAACTACATCAACAATTTGAATTTGGACTTGAAAACCTAAACTTCATCATGCCTGAAGAATTGAATTTTGATGACCCAAACAATATGTCATCAGCATTCCCACCAGATATTTCCACAGACCAAACACCAAGTTTATTAGCAGTTAATGCTTTGAAGAAAAGCGAATTATCTTCAAACAATCCTCAAGGATTTGCATCTCCCATTTTACCGGGACAAAATGAACAGCTGTATAATCACGAACATTACTATCACAGTCAAAATTCATCTACAAAAATATTTACTCAAAACAGTACTCATGTTTTGCAAGAACCGCAACAACATGTTAGACCAGATGCTGTTTTCACTCCTTTAGTGAGTCCCGCTGTAACACCTTTGGATAAGGGAGCAACAGGAGCATCATTTTCACAACAACACAAACAAAAACACCAACACCAGCATCTTCAATCACCTGTAAATATCAATTTTGAGCCGCTTACATCACCAGCATTAAACGCTCAGGTATCCTCAAACAATAATAGAAATAACAATGATAACAGCAGTAATAATGATAATACTATCAATAATATCAATAACAACAATAATATCAATAACAACAATAATATCAATAATACCAATAACAACAATAATATCAATAATAACAATAATAACAACAGTATTAATGATAAGAGGAGAACATCTAGTTCGGTTTATGCACCTTCTTCGGAAGATCAAAAGCCCAACAAGAGAAGAACCCCTCACAGTACACCTGTTTTGGTGGCAAATAACAAGAACTACACATCCCCATCAGTAAAACCTAAACTAGTCAGTTCGCAATCTTACTCCGAACACGCACATGAAAAACTACCGGAAACATTAATGGGTGATGCATACGGAAACAAGTCCGATTTGGGAGATATGCTCCCACCAGTGAGGAAACCGCTAGATATAAATAATACCCCCTTGATGGGATTTACCATGGGGAAACTAGCAGAAGTAGAACAAAAGGTGCAATTAGAACAACAACAGCAACAGCAACAGCAACAACTGCTGCTGCTGCTGCTGCTGCAAAAGAATTCCAACAGTCCGCCGCAACTCAAAACCAGAAAAAGATCAAACTCTAGAAAACTATCAATAAAATCCACGTCCAAACCATTGTCCTCATCGTCGCTGGAAACAAATTCAAACTCTTCATCTCCTAAACTCACCAAGAAACCAGAGAAACTAGCAACCAAGAAAGCATCGCATAAATTAGCCGAGCAGGGACGACGAAATAGAATGAATACCGCCGTGGCGGAACTAGCATCTTTGATTCCTCAGGTGTACCATGATGAAGTGGCTATACCGTCTAAGGCAACAACGGTTGAGTTGGCATCTAAGTATATAAAGAGTTTGGTTAGTGAAATTGAACAATTGAAAGGTAAAGAGGAGAGTAGGGAATAGACACGACACTATCGACACTATCGAGCGAAGCGAGATAGTGTTGTTACAGGCTAGTTAGTGTTGCACACTAGCTGCCACTAGAGGAGAGCAGGGAATAGACACTAGAAGAAAGTATGGAATAAAAACTAGAAGAGAGTATGGAATAGAAACTAGAGGAGAGTATGGAATAGAAACTAGAGGAGAGTATGGAATAGAAACTAGAAGAGAGTATGGAATAGACACTAGAAGAGAATAGGGAATAGAAACTAGAAGAGAATAGGGAATAAGACACTAGAAGAGAATAGGGAATAAGATACTAAAGGAACAGTAGTAAAGGATATGATGTAGAGTAGCAAACACTAGGATCGCGTTCGGCCCTACTAGTAGAGAGTAGGTACTAGCTTCTTCAAGTATATTTTGCCAAAGTACAGATACGTTTTTAATGGGGAATACATAATTTTCATAGTATAAATGAACAGGTTTGTAGTATATCTGTTAAGTGTGGTAAGGCCCCCCTACATTGAAGTGAGTGCAAACTCAAACAGCACTATGTATTATGTAATGACACGCTATTTGTTTATGTAATAAGACGACATTTGCTTATGTAATGACACCAATTACATAAATTATCTAATTTTTACATAATACCCCGACATTGAGCGACACTGACTAGCTGCAATATCGAGCGACACTATCGAGCAGAGCGAGATAGTGATGTAACAAGCTACTGAGTTTTGCTCGACTATAGAGCGACACTATCGAGCAACACTATCGAGCAGAGCGAGATAGTGATGTAACAAGCTACTGAGTTTTGCTCGACTATAGAGCGACACTATCGAGCAACACTATCGAGCAGAGCGAGATAGTGATGTAACAAGCTACTGAGTTTTGCTCGACTATAGAGCGACGCTATCGAGCAGAGCGACACTATCAAGCAAAGCGAGTTAGTGGAGCACACTGACTACCTGCCCACTATCAAGCGAAGCGAGTTAGTGGAGCACACTGACTAGCTCCTACTATTATCGCATGCTTTAGATGCTTCACTGTTACTCTCTTTTATTACAGCTCTCTTATATCATACACACTGAATTACAGAATTACAGCTACTCTCTCAAATTAAGCCCGAGTGTTGGTGATAGCTAGTCAATGCTAGACTATCTTGCTTTGCTCGATAGTGTCAGTGACAGCTAGTCAATGCTCCACTACCTCGCTTTGCTCGATAGTTGGTGACAGCTAGTCAATGCTCCACTACCTCGCTTTGCTCGATAGTTGGTGACAGCTAGTCAATGCTCCACTACCTTGCTTTGCTCGATAGTTGGTGACAGCTACTCTTTTTATGTATTACATAATATTTTCTTACTATCTTACATAATATTCGGTATTGACAACGAAACGAAAAAAAAGCCAACCAAGAAAGAGTGAAAAATTAATTACTGATACTAGTTGGTGAGGAGAAGATTAAGATTTATCAGTGGACTTTTCCCCACGACAGATTCGTGACTCATTGCAAGGATGAATTTTGAAGAAGCTGAAGACATCAATGGTGTTAGATTCGCTTGGAATGCTTTCCCCTCGACTAAGGCCGAAGCTGGTAAAATCGTTGTTCCTATTGGTGCTTTATATACTCCACTTAAGCAAAGAGACGACTTGCCTATAGCGGCATATGACCCGGTATACTGTTCGAATCAATCTTGTAAGTCTATTTTGAATCCATACTGTGCAGTTGATCCTAACGGGTTTTGGAGATGTCCGTTATGTCAAGGTAGAAACGCATTACCTGCTCATTATCACGGTATAAACTCGGAAAACTTACCCTTGGAGTTACAAAACACAAGCTCTACAGTTGAGTATATCACTGCTAGACCCGTTCAAAACCCTCCTATCTTTGTATTCGTTATTGACTTGTGTCAAGACGAAGAAAATTTGAAAGCGTTGGTCGACGACATAATTCTTAGTTTTAACCACTTACCACCAAATGCTCTTGTTGGATTGATCACTTATGGTACAATGGTTCAAGTCCACGATTTGGGGTCAGAAAAAATAAACAAGAGCTATATCTTTAGAGGTGATAAGGAGTATTCTGATAAACAAATTAGTGATATGTTGAATAGACCAATTGCGTCTGTTTTGAATCAGCAACAACAACCGCTACATCAACAAATGGCCAATTCATTAACCAGGTTCTTTTTGCCTTTGGAAGATGTTGAATTTCAATTGACTTCGCTTTTGGAAAAGTTAAACAGGGACCCTTGGGCTGTAGCTAATGGCGCAAGACCCTTGAGGTCTACTGGTAGTGCATTGAATGTAGCTATTAGTTTATTGGGATTGACATTCCCTGGATTCGGTGCAAGAGTCATGTTATTCGCTGCAGGACCTGGTACCTTAAACCCGGGTTTGATTGTAGGTAATCAGTTGAAAGAGCCAATTAGGTCTCATTCTGATATTGATAAAGACAATGCTAAACACTTCAAAAAGGCCTCGAAATTCTATGATGCATTAGCTGCTAAAGCAGTCAAGAATTGCCATACTGTTGATATTTTCGCTGGTTGCTATGATCAGATTGGATTATTAGAGATGAAGAATTTGTGTAATCACACAGGAGGTACAATGTTGCTTTCAGATGCGTTTACCACATCTATCTTTAAAAGATCATTTTTGAGGTTGTTTAATAAGGATGCAGAAGCATATTTACTAATGGGCTTTAACGGATCATTTGAAATTAGAACTTCAAAGGAATTGAAAGTGAGTGGAATGATTGGTAATGCTGCTTCTCTTGGAGTCAAGACCTCAAACGTATCTGAAAACGAGTTAGGTATTGGTGGTACTTCCCATTACAGACTTTGCTCAACGTCTCCAAGACATACTTATGCCGTTTTCTTCGATGTTGCTAATACTCAACAATTGCCACCAACGGCACAAAGCTACATTCAGTTCATTACCCATTATCAACACTCGAGTGGTACATACAGAGTTAGAGTCACAACTGTGTCCAACTATTTAACCAGTGACGAACAATCTTTGACCAACTCCTTTGACCAAGAAGCGGCAGCAGTAATAATGGCCAGAGTCACGCTATTCAAATCGGAACAAGACGATGGAGCAGATGTTCTTAGATGGGTTGATCGTATGCTTATTAGATTATGTCAAAAATTTGCCGATTACCGTAAAGACCAAGAAGAAAGTTTTAGATTGGGTCCCCAATTCCAGTTGTACCCCCAATTCATTTATTATTTGAGAAGATCACAATTTTTACAAGTTTTCAATAATTCACCCGATGAAACTGCCTTTTATAGACATGTTTTGTTAACTGAAGATACTAATAATTCGTTGATCATGATTCAACCCACATTAACCTCATTCACATTAGATGGTGAGCCAGAAGCAGTATTATTGGATTCAGTCTCGATCAAGGATGATAGAATCTTATTATTAGATACCTTTTTCCATATATTGATTTTTCATGGTAAAACAATCTCAGCTTGGAGAAAAGCAAATTACCAAGATCAAGAAGAGTATGCCAATTTCAAACAGTTGCTTGATGAGCCAAAACAAGAAGCAGCAGAGTTGTTGGCCGATAGGTACCCCTTGCCTAGATTTATTGATACCGAAGAAGGCGGTTCCCAAGCGAGATTCTTGTATTCAAAATTGAATCCTAGTGTTACTTATAATACAAATGAGATGATTGGAGCACCAGGAATGGGAGGTGCTGGTGGCGCCATCGTCTTAACCGACGATGTCAGTTTACAAGTATTCATGAGTCATTTACAAAAATTGGTTGTCAGCGGATCAAGTTAACCGAGACTTTGGGGAGGGGTGAAAAGACACGGAGAGAAAGAGGTAGAGAGAGATATCAGTAAAGATAGGTAGAAATATGTATATTAGACCTATTTGATAGCATTATTTGGTAGCATTTTGACATGGCCAATTAATTGTTGAACCTATATATATATATATATATATAACATATACATATATATTAGAAGTGAATAGTGCGCCTAATTATTCAAGGGTGAGGAGTAGTGAGTATCAATGAGTATGATGAACGATGACCAAAAGTTTCTAAAATCTATGCTTTTGCTTAACCAATTGTACATCTATTGCTTAACCAATTCTACATCTATTGTTCCTTTTTACTTTTTCTCTACCTCCTCCCCCCCCCCCCCCCCCCCCCCCCACACACACACACCGTATTTTTATGGGTAGTGAAATCAAATTTCGGATATCGCCGATTATCTTTGATTTTTTCTTTTTTTTTTTTCTTCCCCAATCCAATCAGATTAAATCAAAGTTAATCTATCAAACGAGAGGAAATGAAAAGAGATAAGGCGCATTACAATATCTGCGTGTAATTGTGTTTCTATAGTAAATAGGTAAGATACCATGTATAACGATACTCATTGCCTTTCGATGCACATAAATTTGTAAAGCCATAAGGCATAGGTGGTAGAGGTTATGATTGTCTCTTTGTTCCCCCAGCCGAAGAATCAGCGATGGTCAGCCTATTGACTATGTTCAGCTTATTGACTATGTTCTTCAAGAAGATGTTATTGAACTAAAACTGAACTTCACACTAAATCTCACTTTTGGCAAAATGCGCCTCAAACAAGCACCAAAAATGAAAACTGATAAAACCCAAGATAAAGAAAAAAAAAGGGGAAAGAGCGGCGCGGGCCCTTGTGGCTGCTCCACTATCTCGCTCTGCTCGACAGTGGAGATAGTGTCTATGGCAGTTACTGTGCTCCACTATCTCGCTCTGCTCGATAGTGATAAGATGAAAAACTCATTCATTGGAAACTCCTCATATATTCTTAGTCGATTCCCAAGGCTAAGCCCAAATTAGGCCAAAAAAAAAATACACTCTTCTCGCTCTCGATAGTGTTGCTATAAAGTGCTGCTCGATAGTATCGAGGTTTGAGAGTAGTCAGGGTGCTCCACTATCTCGCTCTGCTCGATAGTGTAGAACGCATACAAGACGTACGCACCCCCAGTTTTCAAGGCGAAATCTCTCCTACACTTTTCGCAAATGTCTTCCCTTTTTAATGTAAAGTTGGTTAATTTTTTTAATTGTTCTAGTATTTTTTTATTACTCAAAAAAAAAAAAAAAAAAATTAATTTACTTCTAAAAGCGTTGATAAATGTTGATTAATAGATCTTCGGTTTTATCCATTGATTTATCTTTGATACTAATTTCATCTGATAACAACAATAGCCTTCTTTGTTATTCAAGTTACAAGTTTCTTGGTCTATAAATGGCCCTTATTCCTCCACTTGGGGTTCCTTTTGTTTCTATTTTAATTCCTTTTTTTTTTTCTTTTTCTTTTCGCAGCCATCAACAGCAACCACCAATAAACCCATTGTGTAGCAATTTTATCTATCTATCAATTGTACAATGTTCAACTTTGCTGTAACAGCCAAAAAAATATTCCGTAAATGGACAACGAGGAATGGATTACTAGGTGATTATGACTATGCATATCTATTCACACCAGATATACCTTTCTTATCAAAAGAAGCTAAAGTGCAGCCATTTTTTGGCCTAGACTCAGAAATGCCCATTTTTTTGGGTGCAATTTTGGGATTACAGCATTCCTTAGCTATGATTGGTGGTCTAGTTGTACCGCCTATTCTAATTAGCGTGGCTGCAAATTTGTCTTCAGAAATTCAACAATATATGGTTAGTACTTGTTTGATAGTATCTGGCATACTATCGCTTTTACAAATCACTAGGTTTCATATTTATAAAACTCCTTATTATTTGGGTACCGGCCTCTTATCGGTGGTTGGACCAAGTTTTGCTACTTTAGCAGTTACGAGTAATGCTTTTCCTATGATGTATGCAAATGGAACGTGTCCCATAGCTGAAGACGGGACTAAATTGCCATGTCCTGATGGATATGGTAAAATCTTGGCCAGCGGTATTGTATGTGGATTGTTGGAAATGTTATTATCATTTATGCCAGCAAGAATCTTGCAGAAAGTATTCCCGCCTTTAGTTACGGGCCCAGTTGTTACTTTAATTGGTGTTCATTTAGTTGAAACTGGATTTGAAGACTGGGTCGGCGGCTCAGGGTGTGTTGGGAAAACATGTACAATGGGAAAGTTCTCAATGCCCTGGGGTTCAGCGAATTTTATTGGTTTGGGTTTCTTAGTTTATGTATCGATTATATTAGCTGAAAAATTTGGAGCTCCAATTATGAAAAGTTGTGCCGTGATTGTTGGGTTATTGGTTGGTTGTATTGTTGCTGCTGCTTGTGGTTATTTTGATTCTCATACTATTGACGAGGCAAAAACCGTTAGTTTCATTTGGGTCCATACGTTCAAGTTGCAGGTTTATGGTCCTGTTATACTACCGTTCTTGGCTGTCTACATAGTCTTGATGATGGAGGCAATTGGTGACATCACGGCTACTTCTGATGTGTCACGATTACCTGTTGAAGGAGAAGAATATGAATCACGTATTCAAGGAGGTGTTTTAGCAGACGGTTTGAATGGTATAATTGCCGGTTTGATGACTGTTACCCCAATGTCTGTTTTTGCTCAGAATAACGGAGTTATTGCCATTACCAAATGTGCTAATCGCACAGTCGGGTACTGGTGTTCTTTCTTTTTGATTGTTATGGGCGTTTTCGCTAAATTCGCTGCTGCATTTATTTCCATCCCCAAACCTGTCTTTGGCGGTATGACCTCGTTCTTGTTCTGTTCAGTTGTCATTTCAGGTATAAAAATCATCTCGTCTACCGAATTCACAAGAAGAGACCGGTTTGTATTGACAGCTGCAGTCTTGCCTGGTTTAGGCTCAACTTTGGTGCCAGATTGGTTCAGCTACGTGTTTACATATAGTGGAGATAATCAAGCATTGAAGGGCTTTTTCAATGCAATTATTCTCGTTATGGAAACAGGGTTTGCAATTACAGGATTAATTGGAGTTATTTTGAACTTGGTATTACCGCAATTACCTGATGATGTAGAAGAGATTAACGAATTAGTCTTGGAAACAATAGGATCAGCTGACCAACACGCAAGAGAAGAATTTGCAAGAAAAGAAGGTATTACTGTGGAACAATTAAAGAGCAACTTGTCTCATAAACAAATGGTCACTAGCCTCGGTTCTTCAGATGGAATACCTGATCTTGCATAAAATGATAGAATAGACTACTTATATTAGACATTAATCAGTACTTTACATTAATCAGTACTTTACATTAATCAGTACTTTACATTAATCAGTACTTTACATTAATCAGTACTTTACATTAATCAGTACTTTACATTAATCAGTACTTTACATTAATCAGTACTTTATATGTATATATCTTTAATAAGCATTTCGTTTTGACTGTAGTAAACGCAGACGACGTCTAACCGCATATCATCTATTGGGGTTGTTTTTTTTTTCCTTTATTTAGACCGAGGTGTGAAGGGAGTAGTGATGTTCCAGCAGCTTTGCGCGCGGTAAAATACGAATCTATTTATATCCGACGAGGCACAAAAAAGCTTGAAAAATTTTGAAAAATTGAATAATAATAAGCACTTTTAAAAAGAACAAGAGTCAAAAAATAAAAGAGAAGGGCCTGTCTTTTGGTCAAAAGTGAGTAAGGAAATGGGTCTATCAAAAGCTTCTGTTATGTCGCCACTGTATAAGTTGAGGTCCCCCGGAGTTCTTCCTTTAAATGTGGTGCTCCAATTAACTAGTTTACTCAAGAAATCGATATTTAGTAGGAAATTTTATCAAGAGATAAATGATAAGGTACTTGCCAAATCGTCAACCGTGGACCAAAACCTATACTTTATATGTTATTTCTCTCTATTAGTCTCATCTATACTCAATAACAAATACAAGATATTGGATTTTTTGCGCATGCAACGGTACAGGTTGCTACAGCTAGTAAAGTCAAGTGCGCACCATTTGAATATTAATACCTCAGATATCAAAATCTTGAATGAACCAAAACCACAGCCAGTGCCAGAATCTCAACAAAAACCATCTCAATTGGCTTTTCATTTGAAGAAAATTAACCTGTACCTTGCAGATGTGAGAATTTTCAATAGATTAACAGACTCAATAAAGTACATGCCTTGGTTAATTGATGAGTATCATGCATGGAAAAACCCAGGTTCAAGTAAAGTCCCTAAACTAAATAGTTTCATAAACTTTATTCAAGCACTCAACTGCATAGTTTTGGAACTTTTCGAAAACGTGGGGTGGCTAACCGACCATGATTGGATAGGTACGGGAGACAATCCATATTGGTGCACTGAAACTTATATTTGGTGCTGTTGGGTATGGGGCGCATACCTAGTAATTGAAATTGCTGAATTACTTAGAAGAACTCCAATAAGTAAGTGGAAAAACAGTAGATGGCAGATTACATTATTCAAAAACGCTATTCAATTACCTTTGGTCTTGCATTGGTCTCTTAGAAATGGATGCTTAACGCCATTCTGGGTGGGAGTATGTGGATGCGGGGCATCATGGTGGAATTTTAGAGATATGTGGAAATCAATAGATTTATCTTAGGGAACAGGACTACATTTTCCTTTTTTCATTTTTTTTTTTCAATATTTATATATATATATATTTATACAAATGAGCCAATGGTGGGGATTCAAACCTACTTTATTGTTTTATCCTTTGTTTTTTGCTTTTTTTTTTTTTGCTTTTTCTTCTTCCTCTTCTTTCTTTGATTTTACTCAAAGCCACTGGCACGGTCGGCTTTGGCTGCTTTCTTCTCCATTTCGTCCCAATCCTCTCCACTTTCTTCACTTTCAGCTTCGCTTCCACTACCACTACCACTACCAGAGAAATCGCTTTCTCCTTCACTTGCATAATCGTCTTCACTTTCTTCGCTTTCATCTTCAGGGTCATCGTCACTTGCTTCAAACTCACTCTCTTGGTCATCTTCCTCGCTTTCATCTGATTCTCCTGTACCTGTTAAAAATGACCAACCTCCATCCAAAAAGAATTGGTAGGGATCAGCTTGAACGGTCTTGATAATCTGCACCCAGTTCAAATTCATTTGACCTTCACTTAGTGGGATATCCACATCAGTTAGCCATGATTTCACATCCTCTAATAGTTCCATGGGAATGGTATTGATATGCACTACCGGTTTCGCAAAATCCTTGAAAACAAACACTAAATCAAAATTTTTCAACCCAAATTGAACTCTTTCCAAGTGGGCAATCTCAACTTCCTCTAATGTAACCACCAAATATGGTGGATCTATTAACTGAACAAGACAATCTCTTGTAGGAATACACAATACTGAAGACCTGAATGGAACACCTTGGAAACCCAACTCTCTGAATGGTACATCCAAGTCAACAAGTCCATGAGAGCTGTCTGCTATCAATTCGGCAAACTGCTTGAATTCCTTATCCAACAATGCTTTCCTCCTTCTTTCTTCTTGTTCTTGTTGCAATTCATCTTCATCACCATATCTATACTTCCTTTTCCTACCTCCAGTTTCATCAAAAGCCATATCACTAGCTTCTCGATAAAACTGTAAATCAAAAGTTTTCCTTTTACCAATCATAATAGGAGTCTTCAAGTGACAATGTATAAGTACAATCAATTCCTCTTTACATGGTTGGAAAAACAAATGTTTGATATTAGAAAATAATACATCAATCTTTCGATCGGTTTTGAAACTCGACTGGTATCTAAGACCATTTTCATGAATTTGTAATAAACCACCCAATTTTTTTGTATCTGGAGTAGGTCTGACAAATACATTCTCCAATTTCTTAACTCTCGATCCTTTAAATTCAACGAGATTAGCTTGTGTGACAACATCCGCCATCTGTTTCCTCTCTTGATCTTTTTTAACAGAGTCCTTTTTCAAATCTTGGATAGCTTTAAACACATCAACCATACGATCATGATCTTTTGATCTAATGGTGATAGAACGCAAAAAAGTATTTTCAGAAGAGTCTTCATATGGAAGCTCGGTTCTCCTTGTAACGTTACCTCCAACACCAGGCGAGTTAAAATTTAATCTTAAATAGGTATACTCGCCTTCTTCATTTTGGGAGCCGCTCTTGTATGCGTTGATATGGAAAGGAACAGGACGACCTGAAATAGGCAATATAATGGTTTGATTTTTATAATCAACGTGAATCCTCAAATCGGCAACGCTCTTTGGGATTTGAGACTCGCGTACATAAGACTCGTATTTTTTGAAAACTGGCTTATAATCTGAAGAATCAGTTGCATCGGCTTTAGAAAACCTCGCTAAACCTTCTTGAGTTCTCTTTTCGTGTAATTTCGCTTGGATTTCCTGTCTTAGTTTTTCAGCATTCTTATCATCTGCGTTACTGTTCTCGTGTCTTAATTTAGACTTGAGAATCTTTGAATTATCTGTATTTTCAAGGACTTTTCTTTCAGGTTGAGGTTTCCTAGTTTCCTCTTCATCGTTGAAAAAGAAGGATATTTCTGACCTGCTCTTGGTATAATTTGTTAATAATATAGGCTTGTCAACACTTACTTTAAATGTATCTGTTAAAAGCAAAGAGTATGGTTTTTTCTTCCCATTGGGAATATTGTTGAATCCAATAGTTAAGGAAATCAATTGACCGTCGGCTAACTCTCTATCCGATTTTGCGTTCAAAACAAATGTCGAGTCTCTAAACTCAATACCAATTAACCAACCGCAATTTTTGGTGAAATTTGCTGCCAAATTAGGTTTCTCCTTGTTGATGAAATCTAGAGCACCTGTATAAACCTTGCTAGCCTTGACTCCATTCTTTAATAAGTTCTGTACAATGTATTCCTGTAACTTTAAGAGAAAGTCGTAATTACTCTCCATGTCCTTGGTTGGGTCAATCAAAAATGTACGTGCTACATTGGAACAATAGGATTTATACCTCAACCCAATAGATGCTAGAATCACTCCATCTCCAACCAAAGGTTTCTCAGTTGAAATCGCACTTGGTTTCAAGTCGTATTCACCTCCGCTTTGTATAATCGGAGAATAACACCACTCCAAAAACTCGGGGTCAAAATCTTTAATCAGCTGTAACAAGTTCTTACCCATTTTTGATTTCAAATACCACTTGTTGTTTTCAATCCTGTCCTCGATCTGATCGGTCAACTGTGAATTGGTAATTTTCTTCTCCTCGTCAACTATAGTCATCATCTGATCAACAAAAGTGTCCATCATCACAACACTTGAATTTGAGGCGATCTTCATGTTTTCAAACTCTTCCGAATCCTTCAATTCCATTGCTTTGGAAATAGCCAATGCTAGGTCAACTTGTTTCAACCCGCAATCTTTACTTATTTCGTTCCATTCATCGACAAATTTCCCTTCATACTTATCCTTGAGCACAATACCATAGTCGTCACCAACTTTTTTCATTTCCTCAATCAAATCGCGGAATAATTGCTTATTCTTCTCAGCATCTTTACTCCTTGTCCACAACTCAACCAAATCAGGTTTACTAGTCAAATTCTTCAAGTATTTTGCCTTTCCTTCTGATGTAATAAATACACATTTCTTACTAGTGAAATAAATGCAAGTGTGAACAAACTCGTACCCAAGTAGCCAGTTTTGCAACACTGTTGATTTCTTGTATGTGTTATCGTCATTACGCGCGCCAACAATGACTAAACCTTGCTGTATAGATTGCTTCTCAATTTCTCGTTGTAAAATCGACAACCTCTTATAAAACACATTAGCGTCAATATGAACATCAGACATTGTTTTCAAGTCAACCAGTCAATAGACAACCCCAAGTGAAGTTTTTTTTTGTTTTTTCCACCACCAAAAAAATAAAATTAGGCTCTTAATTTGACAAACACTCCAACGCTAGAATGCTAACTCTGTGTTTCAACACCAAATCCAATAATATCCTTTAATGACGTCTTATATCCCTTTTGGCATTGTTGAATCTTTGCTTCTTTTTTTTTTTTTTTTTTTTTTTTTCAGACGCGAGTGTCGCATAATGGGATGTGTCGTATTTTTGAGACGTGTTATCACGTGAAGGAGGCACGTGATAAATATCATGTGATGTGTGCCACGTGATAGATGCCACGTGATTTGCGCGCGCTTCTTTTTTTTTGTTTTTTTTGTTTTTTTTTGGGACGCGTTTTGTCTATTTCATCACTCAATAGCATTTCATTAAAGGTTTCTCCAAGGGTTTCTGATTTTCAATAAGCTAGCGACAAGGTGTCTTTCTGTTGTCTTGTAGTCATTGATTCATCTGATTATTCCTATTCAACATGTTTAGACAGGTAAAGAGGAAAACTGCTGGGAGGAGGAATTTTGAAGACAAGAATAATTTTTCATCATCACCATCATCATCGGTCATCCAGTATAGTCTACCGAAGCTATTTTCCAGTAGATTGTCCTTCTACGATTTACCGCCGACTGAAGAAATCACATTAGAAGAGTTTGAGAAATGGGCTATCGACCGGCTCAAGATCCTAATTGAGATTGAATCGTGTATTGCTAGAACAAAGACTCCCCAGGATACAGAATTGGCTATAAAACCACTTCTTTTAAAATTCATGCCCTTGAGCTCTAACGGAGCTGCTGCAGATGAAGCGGTGATTATTCAAGAACGGATGAAGGACTATTATAGTCACTTTATTCTCAGGTTGGTCTTTTGCAGAAGTGAAGATTTGAGAAGGAAGTTTATCAAGAATGAAACTATATTGTTTAGAATTAGATACAACATGTTACAACCAAGGGAACAACGGGAATTTGTTGAATTGAACCTGTATAAATTGCCGTGGTCATACATTTCAAGTAAGGAAAAGGAAGAGTTGATAGACCTGTTGTTTGCTGCAAGCGGGAACATTTTAAAGCAATATTACAATTTGGAATGTGGACTCGCCTTAAACAATGATCAAGTAAAACAGAGAATGATAATGAAGGAAAACTTTATTAAGCTACCATTTGAGAAATTGAACCAATTGGTTTCAAATAGATCAGTCTATTTGCATAAAGGTTATGGGTATCTACCAACCAGTTTGCAACTAAACTTATTGGCAGCCGAGTTTCTGGAAAACTTGAATCAGATTTTAATAAGGACTTTTCAAGCTATTCCAAGACTAGAGGAAGATGATAGGTTGATACCCTTGCTCAATAGCTTATCCAAAAATTTTGCAAATTTCCAATATGATTCGGAGGAAAATAGTGAATTCACATCTGATATCAATGCAATTACAATAACTTCCAAAAAGATTATGTCTCATTACCCGCTTTGTGCGACTCACTTGCAGCGTGGTTTGATGACCACATCACATTTGAGATATAATGGAAGGCAACAATTGGGTATTTTTTTGAAAGGTATAGGTTTGAATGTTGATGAGGCATTGAAATTTTGGTCGCAACAATTCACCAAGAATGGTAAGCTCACGCTAGATTCATTTAATAAAGAGTATAAATATAACATCAGACATCAATATGGTTTAGAAGGTGCAAGAATCAATTATAGACCATGGGATTGTGCAACCATATTAAGTAAACCAAAACCTAGCTCTAAGGAATTTCATGGGTGTCCTTATAGAGATTTCTCACTACAACAATTAAAACAAGCCCTTGATGAAAGAGGAATCACAAATCAACAGGATATCAATTCAATCATGGACAATGTAGAGAATCACGAATATACTATTGCTTGTACGCGAGTGTTTGAACTTTCACACCAAAGGGAACTAATCGCTCTTAACAAGCCAGGACAATCGATCCAACAAGAGCATATCAACCATCCAAATTTGTATTTTGATAGAAGCAGAAAATTGGAAAGGGATATGCAAAAAAAAGAGGAGGTAATGACTGAAGGTCTGACTCAGAGATAAGAGAAATACTCACTACACTTTCACAGCTCACAGCATTGCTATACGTTTCATATTTCCCATATTTAATAAATATTTCATCTATTTTAAACATAAAAAAAAAAGGGGGGAGGAGGAGGAGGGGAAGGAAGAAGAAAATCAGTATAACTGTAGTGTCCGTGTATCCATGTATTCAAGGTGAAATGCCAAAAACAAATGAGGACTTGTAACGTAGCCTACCCTACCCTATACCCTCGTGTTTGTTTGTTTTTTGTTTTATTTTTTTTTTCTTAATGGTCCCTGAATCTATTTACAATTTTTTTTTTTTTTTGGCTTTGTAAATCATGTTTTCTTGACATGGTTTGTGTATTACATCAACTGTTTAAGCTCAAGACATCTCTATATCCATCCTTTGCTTCTCCTGATTTTTTAATCACAGTGTTACTGATAGTTTTCTCCTTATTGATGGCCTCCCCTTTAACAATTTTGATCATTTCATCCTTTGTCAATGTTTCATATTCCAATAATCCTTCAGCCAATCTCTTTAATTCCAATCTCTTTTCCTGTAATAACTGTCTAGTTCTTTGCTCGCTGCTAAGCAAAAAGTCACGAACCTCATTATCAGCCAAATTCTTGATTTCCTGCGACCAACTCTCCCAATCGTCACTCAATTTAACAGGTCCTATTTTATCACTCATACCATATGATAAAACCATTGCTCTAGCAACACCTGTTGCATTGCTCAAATCAGAAGAACATCCAGATGTAACATTCTCTTTCCCATTAATCATTTCTTCTGCAATTTTGCCACCCATGCATACGTCCAACCTTGCAAAGCATTCTTTTTTACTCATATCAACCTTATCCATCTCGGGTAGTTGAAATGTGATTCCCAAAGCTCTTCCTCTGGGTAAGATAGTAGCTTTGTATAATGGGGTTGCTCCAGCTGAATACATTGCCATAATCGCATGACCGGCTTCATGATAAGCAGTATTAATTCTTGACTCTTCAGTAATGACCATCTTCTTTTTTGCAGCTCCCATCAAGATCTTATCTTTGGCCCATTCAAAATGTGACATATCCACCGCAGGAGCTGATAATTGTGAGGCGTGAACAGCAGCTTGGTTGACAAGATTCATCAACTCAGCACCACTTAAGCCCGGGGTTCCTCTTGCTATAATGGTAGGGTCTACATCCACAGCAGTTTCAACATTCTCCATGTGATGTTTCAAAATATCAACACGACCTCTAACATCTGGCAACTCAACAATAACTTCTTTATCAAATCTTCCGGGTCTAGTCAAAGCCTTGTCCAAAGATTCTGGGAAATTTGTTGCTCCAATAATAATAATACCTTGAGTTTGACTGAAACCATCCAACTCAACCAATAACTGATTCAAAGTTTGTTTAGCATACGCCTGATCCTTGGGGTTTCTCTTACCTCCGATGGCGTCCAATTCATCAATAAAGATAATTGCTGGTGCCTTCTCTCTGGCCTGGCCAAACAATTCTCGGATCCTCTTGGCACCAACACCAACATACAATTCATCAAACTCCGATCCCGACATGAAAAAAAACGGAACACCTGCCTCTCCAGCAGTAGCCCTGGCTAACAAAGTCTTACCTGTTCCTGGTGGTCCTGTGAGCAAAACACCTTTCGGAAGCTTACCACCCAAACTCGTAAATTTAGATGGATCTTTCAAGAAATCCACAATTTCCTCTAATTCGGCTCTTGCTTCATCACATCCTTGAACGTCTTTAAAGCGAACGGTACTTTGGCTTACATCCACCGATTTATCATTCACTTCTGCATTCTTGAAAATAGTTCCATTTTCAACAAGGTAGTTGAACGCATTAGTTGCTCCATAAGTAATCAAAGCAACTGGGATAAGCCATTTAAGCCACTTGGATAAGATTGTTAAAAGTGACTCACTAACAACAACATGTACAGGCTCGTATCTCGAGCCAAACCCATGAGGCAATCTAGTTCCAGATAACTGGTTGTTGCCATCAATACCGACACCGGCACCGGCACCGGCACCGGCACCAACATTGCCAACTTGATGGAAGTTGTTATTCTGTAGGGCGTACGCCACTTGTTCGGCTTTTGCCTTGTCTCCGGTCTTTTTCAAAGCTTCAATATAGAGTTGAGCACATTCTCTCGAAGATGCGACATTACCATTTTCAAACCTCTCAACTACGACATGGGGGTAATTATTGGCCAAGAGCAGCTTGTAAAACTCAAGCTGAGCAGTAGGATTATTCAAGTTATTGTTGGCTGCTTGTTCTTGTGACTGAAGTAAGGCTATAGTTGAGTTGGAGACTGATCTATACTGTGCATATGGCATTTTTGCCCTCGACGCAAAAGATGAATCATAGTAGTGGTGGTTTTTGAAGCCATTTGGGGCAAAGCTTCGAAATAAATGGGTCGATAATGTTCGTATAGCCACCCGGCTCCGAAGGTGTTTAATACTACCCTGTTTCAAGTATAAAGTCCTTACCGGATTACTCATCTTGTTATTGTAATGATGATAACAAATGTGGAAAAGAATTTATCGCTTCTTAATTTTTTTTTGGGTTCTCTTTTGCTTTTCTTTTTTTTTCCTTCAGCTTCGTTTAGAGATGGCGGGGGGGAGGGGGCGGAGGGGAGGAGGGGGGAAGGGAAGGTTGAGCGAGAATGGAGGAGAGTGAGACCACTTTGTCGCGCTAGCCAGCTGACCCAACGAGGGGGGACGAGCGAGAACGGAGGAGAGTGAGACCACTTTGTTGCGCTAGCCAGTTGACCCAACGTGCAAAGAGTAAGTAGAGGACAGCTGTGAGAAAAGGAGAAAAGGCAAGAGTATTACCGTTGGCAGCTCTTTCAACAGAAAAAAGATTATCGCTGTTAGGCGTCACTATCGACGACACTATGGAGCTACACTATCGAGCAGAGCGAGATAGTGTTACAACAAGCTGCTGAGTATTGCTCCACTATCTCGCGCTGCTCGATAGTGTCGCTCGATAGTGTTACAACAAGCTGCTGAGTATTGCTCCACTATCTCGCGCTGCTCGATAGTGTCGCTCGATAGTGTTACAACAAGCTGCTGAGTATTGCTCCACTATCTCGCGCTGCTCGATAGTGTCGCTCGATAGTGTTACAACAAGCTGCTGAGTATTGCTCCACTATCTCGCGCTGCTCGATAGTGTCGCTCGATAGTGTTACAACAAGCTGCTGAGTATTGCTCCACTATCTCGCGCTGCTCGATAGTGTCGCTCGATAGTGTCGCTCATGTTATTGAATTAAGGTGGTATCAAGCTACCAAGTGCTGGTTCACTATCTCGCTCTAGCTCTATTATGTGATTATGCAACACCTCCTCACGTGACTCCTAGACACCACTATTCAGTGTCGCTAGTCAGTGCTGCTAGTCAGTGCTGTTCCACTATCTTGCTTCACTCGATAGTGTCTAGGTTTGTAGATATTAGTAGCGTATCAAGGTTTGAGATCAATGTCATTTGTTTCAGAGTGGTGACTTATTCACCTGTAATACTTTGTTTAGGATTTAAATTTTTTTAATCAATTTTGATGCAAAATTTAATACACTGTTGAAATTGAATGAGACAAATAATCAAGATCGAAAATCTTTCAATTTTTTTAGCAATAGGCTATAAATATATACCATTTTACAAGTCTGGTAGGAAAATCCAGGAGGAAACAGGTGTAGAAAACTGCTCGCTTAGCTTAGTGGTAGAGCGTTGCACTTGTAATGCAAAGGTCGCTAGTTCAATTCTGGCAGTGAGCAAATTATTTTTTTTTTATGCTGCAGCATAAGAAATAAGATTAAAGTTTTTTCTTTCTTTTTTTTTTTGATCCTTCTAGATAACAATTAAGGGGTAGTGAATTGGTACCACTTAAAGTGAAAATTATGCCTTCTTCTTCTTCTTCTTCTTCTCCCCTCCCCTCCCCCCCCTACATTTTTGTTATCCCAACATCACATCTCATAAAAAAAAAAAGGGTCCTCTTCCCCTTAGGAACTAAAATCAACACTAAACTCAACGGCTGAATTGCATTTGAGTGGGTCCCTCTTTTTATTTTTGTTCCTTCACCAAGTGTGAACGAAGCTTATACTTGATTACAGGGGTTTTTTTTTTTTCTTTCTTTCTTTTTATCAATTACATGAAACAATGCAGTATATGACCTCACTACTACTTCTATCTACCAGCACGTTTCTACATCCAACATTTACATATTACACTCTACTGCAGAACAGCTCTGTTGAAACCGGCTCCTTATATTTGAATGTGACAAACCAAATCGCATCTCAACCCAATGAGTTTTTCCATTTTTTGGAAGAAAATGAAAATGAAAATGAATCTGATCTGAGCCGTGATATCATTATTGGTGGTGGTGGTGGTAGTAGTAGTGGTAGTGGTAGTGGTAGTGATAGTGATAGCAGCGGTAGTTGCGGTAGTCGTGTTAGTTCCGGTAGCACTGATGGAGGTAGTGACCAAGACTCAGACTCTGATATTACTACAGAATTGTCAGATATCAATAACGAATGTAACAACGGAGTGCATAAAAAAGAAAATAACAAGGAAAAGAATAGTTACCAAAATAGCGATACAAACTCAATAAGTAGTGACAGCGATTTAGAGGAGGGGAAGTATAATAGTAAGGAATTTGGAAAATACGGTGGAAAAGATTATTTGAGAGCGCTGAAAAACTTAAAGACAACGTTAAATGACAATGAACGAAGGCAAGGTGATCAAAGGGTTCAAATTCAGCGTCGTAATCTTCGAAATGGAGATCACGATTTACGAGAGTTGGCAAAGAAGGTATTAAAATGGAGGGTCAAGGATCATTTTACTAGAGTTTATAATCCAAGTCCAAATCCAAGTCCAGGTCCAAATCCAAATCCAAGTTCAAGTTCAACTCGACTGAAGCATACTCTTGCAGATTTTTTGAAATCACCAGTCCTACATACAAACATGACAAAGATTGTCACTCTAACAGTTTCCAAAACAGTCACCGTATCAGTGAGTCCACTGAGTTCAGTAAGAACGAAAAAAGAAACATGGGATTTCCTTCCAAAAGCCAACCATACAGTCACGGTTTCTAGAACAGTTACGGTTTCAGTCGACACCAAGAACTTGATGAAAGAAATAACAAAGTTCTTTTCCAAGAAAAAAATCGGAGTACCTGAGATGACTGCTGAAATTGGTGGTACTGAGTCATATCTGGCAATTGAAACATTTAAACAGGATAGCAGGATTGGAGTCACTGATGAACTACTGATAATTAAAACTGCAATCAGACCTATTGAAATTGAAACCGAAATTGAAACCGAAATTGAAACCGAAATTGAAACCGAAACTGGAATTGAGGCTGTAACCGAAACTGAAGCTGATGTTGAGACAGAAACAGAAGTTGAGGCAAATATCAGTGAGACATTGCTTGATAATTATGAGCCAGATGGTACTGAGAGTTATGGGACACCAGTGGAAACTGGAGATTCAGACGAATATGAAGACAGGTCAACAAAAGAAAAGCTTTTCACGAGCTCAAAGATACTTGTTGAGTATAAAGATGGTCATTTAATCATTGGCACAAAGAAGAAGGTGAGGACCAGTAAAGAAAAGTATCAAACAGATGAAACAACAGTAGCCACCACCATCACCACCACCACAACAACAACAGAAGACTATGAAGATACATATACGTACTCTATTGTCCAGCCTCCAAAACTGAATCCCGATAAACTCACCATGTCTAATGAGGATGAAAAGTTAGATACAGAAGAGACCCCTTCCCCCAGCACAGTGAAGGTGAAACCTAAAGAGAATCTAATAAGTATTCTCCCCATTGGTGGTACAACAATAATACTTTATCCAACAACGTCCTCCATGGTCATCTCTTCAAAGCTCCCCACTGTCTCTACAAATCTCCCCAGCGTTGTCTCTGCCAAATTCCCCACAATATATCCAACATCTTCTCACACATCCAATACAAAGAAAACCGCTCTATCTCTTCCACGATTGAAAAGTCGAAATCCAAGAGAAGGTCGAATCAATTTCAAGCCTAGCACCATTGTAACAAACTCAACAGATTTTAAAAACGGCGATAATAGTGCCACAAGCGACACAAACCCAATAACATCAATAGCATCAATAACATCAATAATATCAAGTAATTTCAAAAACGGTGCAAAGTTGATCTCCACTTATCGTGGTAGTCATGCAGTTTTCACAGGCGTTATTTTACCTCCGAAGCAGCACATCTTGCAGTCCGTCTCCACAATAGTAAATCTATCTGGATGTCATTTAGTAATAGGCACTCTAGTTTTAGTACTGCTTGTCATGATATTATGAGAATGACAACTCTACCACTGTCTTAGAAGTAAAAAATACCGCCCTACTGGTTATTCTACCACTGTCTTATAGTTATAACGTCTTACAGCTCTACAGTCATACAGTCTTACAGCTCTACAGTCTTACAGCTCTACTGTCATACAGCTCTACAGTCATACAGTCTTACAGCTCTACAGTCTTACAGTCATACAGTCTTACAGTTCTACTGTCTTACAGTCATACAGTCTTACAGTTCTACTGTCTTACAGTTCTACTGTCTTACAGTTCTACTGTCTTACAGTTCTACTGGTTATTGTATGTTCCTTTTTTTTGATTGTTTTTTTCAATACCCATTTTGTATTGAACTCGATAGTAATTAACGGAACACCAAAGCTGTAGAGGTGTGACAATGTCGCTGCTATCAACGTGGAGACAACTTCAATTGTTTGACTTTACGCCTATACGAGATCCAAATTATCAATCTCATGAGCAGTTGTACTCTGATCCAACGTTGAGTGCAATCAATGCAACTAAAACATACTTGATAATTGCCGTTAATAATTCGGTATTGAAAATAATTGACCCCAAGTCATATACAAGCATTGGACAATTTCAAGCCTACGATATAGATTATCGGATAACTTTTATTGAGCCGCTTCAAAACTCAAGTAATTTGGTAGTTACACTCGCCGAGAAACAAGGGTTCCCTCTGGTGATTAAACTATGGGACATCTCAAAGATATTGAATATTGAAGGTCTTGAAGAATCAGAATACAAGTTCAAATTCCAAACACAAGTTATTGTGAATAATCTGGGCAGTGAAGGCATAGCTGATAACTCGTTCCCCATTAGCTGCTTCAAGTTCAATTACGATTTAACGTGTCTTGCCGTGGGATACACTAGTGGAAAAGTTATATTGATCAGAGGCGATCTTCTACGAGATAGAGGGGCAAAACAAAGGGTGGTTTACGAGAGTGTGGCAAATGACCCAATCACTGGTATTCAGTTTAACGAAAATGAGCAGTTGTTGTACCTAACAACGACATCGAAAATACTAACTGTGACTACTACCGGAAGAAACCAAGGGAAACCTTTGAGGATTTTGTCGCAAAAGACTGGGGCTGACTTAAACTGTATTGCTCTTAGTCATGACCAAAATCTAATAGTGGCTTTTTCAGATTCAATAGCATATTACGATTCGAATAAGAAGTTGAAAACAATCAATTTCCAAATCCCCAAGTCTAAGTTGGTGCGATTTGGTCAATTTTTGGTTATGGTAAGTCCACAAGAGAATGAAGGAAGTAAGCTCCAAACTAGAATCATTATTTTGGACTCAAAGAACAGCCATATTTCCTTTAATTTGTTAATCCCAAACAGTGCCATCAAGTTTATTTTCAGAATGGCAAATGAAATTTACTTGTTGTCCAATGATGGTGTTCTATACAAACTTTTTGAAAAACCAATTAATCTGCAAATTGAAACTATATTAGAGAGAGAATTGTATACTGTTGCTTTTAACTTGGCTAAGCAGCTGAAGCTTCCCACGAGTACCTTATTAAAAATTCAAAAATTACACGGAAACCATTTGTATGAAGAGCAAAAGTATGAGGAAGCGATAGATATCTACATCAAATGTCTTGATTTATTTGATAAGAATCTAGAAGATGACCAAGAAGAATTCATTATGGATATAGTTACCAAATTCAAAGATGCAACAATAATTTCCTGTTTGGTTCAATTTTTGAACAGACTCTATGAAAAGTCTATTGCAAATATTGATCACATAACGTTGTTATTGTGTTGTTTGTGTAAATTGAAAAGAACTGATGAGCTAGATACATTTATTGACAATTTCGATTTGTCTATTGATAATCTTCAAAATTTGAATTTTCAATTGATTATCAATCTATTTAAAGAATGTGGTTTTTACAATCAAGTATTAAAATTGTTGCATAAGTTGAATCAGCCTAATTTCATAGTTGATTTACAATTGTATGATTTGAAGAAGCCAAAACTAGCTTTGAACTATATGAAATCGTTGAATATTGATGATTTATTGTTGATATTAATTGAACATTCAAAGACATTGTTGGATTCTTGTCCAATTGAAACCACTGAGTTGCTAATCAATGTGTTTACTGGGAAATACAAACCAAAAGAAACAGAGGAAGCAGTGCCCAACGGTATAAAGAGTGGTCATAATAACCACGAGGAGAAGGAGAGTACAATTGAATTGACAAATTACGAGGCGTTTTTGAATTACTTGACACTACGCGGAGGGGGAGAAGAAGGAGACAAAGGACTGGGGGAAGTGGTTGGAGATGAGGGAAAAAAAGTATCTACTGATTCAGAAAATGCCGAACCAACATATCTCCCACCAAAGCCCAACTTGATTTACTCAAGTTTCACAAACCATATTAATGAATTTGTTATTTTTCTTGAAGCGTGTATCGAGACTTTTGATAGGTACCAGGGAAATATTGTGGTTAAAAAAGAGGTACTCATTACTTTATTAGAGTTGTACCTTTCGCTATATACAACAACTCAGAAAAAAGAATGGTTTGATAAAGCACAAGGCTTGAGTAATCAGTATCATCAATTATTGGATAACAAGTCGTTATTATTACTAAGTCACATTTACGATTTCAAACCGGGCGAGATCAAAGTTAAAGAAGATAATGGCGATGAAGAGAGCTTATTCATGTCGTACCAAATAAATGAAGATATACAAGGATGTTTCAAGATTTTGGAAAAATTTGGCGAGACCAAGCCTAGTTTATACAAGATGATGCTTGAGTTTGTTATTTCCAAGAAATCGATATTTGAAAAGGTTAACCTGGATGATTTACAAGTGATAATACGACAGATTAAGTATTACAAGTTATTTGATCCCTTGGAATTGTTAGATTTGCTAACTGCAACAAACCAGGAATATTTCACATTTGGTATTTTGAGAAACTATCTTTTGGACGTACTCTCCAACCAACAACAAGAAATCAACAATAATGAAAAATTAATTGAAATGTACGAACAAGAATCAGTAAAGAGCTCCATCAAGATTTCAGAATTGACCAATCGTCCATTTATTATCCAAAATAATAAATGTTCATTATGCAAATCGAAATTAGATTTCCCCATGGTTCATTTCAAATGCAAGCACTCATTTCATCAAAAGTGCCTTTCAACAAATTTGATAGCCTCGAATAATGGAAATCAAAGTTATTTAAAAGATGACGAAGATTCAAAACCTAAATGTCCCTTGTGTATTCAAAATATCAATGAAATGAAATATGTCAAGAATATGCACTACAAATTGAAAGATCAGTATGATTTATTTGCTAGTTCATTACACGAGAGTAACGACAAGTTCAAATTTGTTGCTGATAGTATTGGCAAAGGTGTTATGGAAGAAGAGTCAATGACGTTTGACTCATAAAGACTTAAGAAGTAGGAAGAAGGGGAGATTACCCTTTGCAAAAAACAAAAAAAAAAGAAAAATAAGAAACATGATTAATATGGGAAGGTGTAAAGCCTGTATTCTCTTAATGACATATAAAATACACCAAAAACCGTTCTAATCAGTGCTGCTCTACTATCTCGCTTCGCTCGATAGTTTAATTATTATTTTCTATTCCTCTTTTATCCAGCCCTTCCATTGCCACCCTCTACTCTTCCAGCAAATACAGTATATTATACAAGACCTAAAAGAACAGAGGCACAATTCAAGCTAATTGTGTTTGGAAAAAAAAATAAAAAAAAGTTGTTTATGCGCAAACCCGGAATCGAACCGGGGGCCCAACGATGGCAACGTTGGATTTTACCACTAAACCATTTGCGCGTTTTTCTTGACCTTTTGGTATATTAGTAAACTGGGCTATGAGTTATTGATATAATTGACCACAACTATACAAACACAGCCCCATCCACCCAATATATATCTTAAAAAATAAGACAAATAGAAACTTGAGAACCAAACAGCGTGTGCGTGTGTATGGTTCTGGTACTCAAAAGCATATTTTTTATTAAGGACATTAACCATCCAAAACAGTAATTCACATCAACAATTGCGAAACCCAACCTAAAGGATAAGGAGATTCTCACACAATATGGAATAGATTTTTGTCAAGTTGTGGCAAGCTCATACTAATAGTTGAGATTCGAGATCTTTTTTTGATAGTGTATCAGGTTGAACTATTCTTTATTATAATAAGGGTTCCTCCTAGTAAGTAACATTATTTTCTATTGTATTCTTTTAGAACACCTCTCCAAGATTTTTTCTTCTTGATGACCCCCTGTGGTATTAAAGTAAGTTCAACTTGCCATATATTATTTCCTCATCAGTTTACACATAACTTCAATTACAATACTATTTTCTTGTTCAAATAGTGCAAAGTCTATCATGCACGACTCTTGAATTTCTGTATGCAAGGAAGTTAAAGTTAATTCATATATCTTGGAAAATATACGTTGCGAATCACCGAGTAGTCCTGATAGTAGCTTATTTTGGAGATAAAAAAAATGCAATGAGACAAAAGATTTGCGTGGCTTCTACACTTCAAACCCCATTAGTCGAGAAAATACTGAAACCTCCACCTTATTTTTTATACCCGTTGCCCCTATCGCCTATACTTTTTAGGCTAAATGCCATCTATACCGGTGATGGAATAAACATCTTGGTAACGTAATCTCTTGCGCTACTCGACCTGATAACCTTACAACTCGTACTACTTTTTACACATCAATTAAAATTAAAGTCTTTCCCCTTCTCTCTCTCTCTCTCTCCCCCTTAAGACCCCTCACTTTTTAGTTCGTACATATTAAAGGATCTTTGACGTATAATGCACTATAGAATTTCTATAAAGAACACTGAATTGACCATACATATAGAACTGGGTGCAGCTATTCGTAACTGTTGAAAGAATCAAAGAAAAGCTGACGTAAATACAAAATAACAAGATAACATAAGAAGTACATTAGAGTAAGTAAAATTTACACCCAGTCTCAGAATGAGATCGTTTTTAGTTTTTTTAGCAGTATTAATATCATCGTCAAAAAAAAAACACGTCTTATTGGCGACAGGCGGAGGTCGCGAAGTGACCTCGAATTTTTCCGAACTAAAACTACGATTTTATATAATATTGCAAACCCTTGTCGTCTAAGTATAGTTAGGGGTAGAGAATCAGCCGGTTTTGTGTCATTGTCACTTTTTTTTCGCAGCCAAATCAATACAAATTGGATGCAAATATAAAACAAGGGGATTTAGTGGTCTACATTAATCGAGGGAAACGACAAAAATTAGGGTGGAAAAACAAAGGCTAGTGAGATTAGTTTTGAGATCAAAAGTGTTACTAAGAAAATAAAGTTATAGTTCTCTTTTGTTTTTGATTTTTTGTAGTGTTTGTGAGTTAAAGTTTCTCTCCATAATCTTAGCTCCACGTTTACCCCATATGTACAAACAAGTGCATAAAAGTCTCTAAAATTACTGAGCATATTGTGGTAGAGTAACAATGTTTAGTTGGTAGTTTGTCTACTTCAAAGGGCCTGCTGCACCCTACAAGTCTACAGTTATGGTATCCCTTTTTTAGTAACAGATGTGTCACACTTTCTCACTAATACGAATATTTTTTTTTTTTTTAGTTTTCTTTTCAAGTTTTTGAAACAAAGAACTTGGAATAAAAACAAGGTTTATTTCTTAATAGAGCCAAAAACATATATATATGTGTTCCAACCCTTTATATATTCCTCTAGATATCCTAACTTTTTTGATTACTCTTTCCATACTTTTGTAAGCACAATCTGTTTAGGTAAAATAATCAAATTTGTCGTCACCTTGCCTAGACTAGTAGAGTAAAAAAAAAACTAAAAAAGTTTAAAAAACAATACCTCCTGAAAGTTTGGGAACCTTATCTGCCACCTTTCCTAGCGGGGTACCAAAACCTTGAAAACCTTGAATATTACAACCTCGTGATCAAGTAAATTAAAAAAATAGGAAATTTTTCTTTTTGAGGAAGTAGTCAATGAACTTGAAACATTCGTATTCCAACAATACGGATAAGATAGTTGACGAAGAAGAAGAAGAAGAGGAACAAGAAGAAGAAGAAGAGGAACAAGAACAAGAGGAACGAGAAGAAGAGGAACAGGAAGAAGAGGAACAAGAACAAGAGGAACGAGAAGAAGAGGAACAAGAAGAAGAGGAACAAGAAGAGAAAGAAACTGTTCAGCTTCAACCGTTAGTATTGTTAAAAAATTCGGCAAACAGTACAACTAAAAAGTATACAAAGTTGAATACTGATCGTCACTCTTTAGCAAGGAACTCTCATACACCAATAGTAACATTGAGAAAACCTGCATTAAAGGATTCAACTGCATTGGAAAATTTTTCTTTTTGCTTGCCAAATCTGAACAATAGGAGGCTAATAAAGCAACGAAAAATTTCTCTTAGCATTGACAAAAGGCAAGTACCCCGTGGGCAACTCCGCAATAAAAAACAACATTCGATGTTGACAAGTTCTGGAGTTGTTTTGTCACCAGTGACTGAATCTCGTGAAGACTCGGTTAGTCAAAACGGCAGTTTTGTCACTGCGAGTACATCTACACTGAAATACAAAAAAATCAACTCCCCAATGACAAATGATTTCTTCACTCATGATTTAGTTAGTGACTGTAAGTTTCAGTACCAGCAACATATCATAGAGTTTCTCAACTATGTAATTGACAAATTTAAGCAGTTGGACAATTTCATTGAAGTCAATGGCCTACTATGGAACGATTCACCAGAAAGAGGGTTGGTGCTTTACAACTTAATCAAAATCAATAAAGGTTATAAGAAAATGATCTTGAGTATATTAACACGATTGAGTAAACATTCTGGAATAGTTGTATTTTCAGACTCGAAACAACAAGAACAACCACAGGAGAACTCCGAAATTGATTTAATCAGCTGTAATATCTTTCAGTTTGTTTACAATTGCTCTATTGAAGAGATCAATATTGGTAATTTAGTCAATACCTCATTATTTTCAAATGAGTTTAAGTTTAACTTGTTGAGCTACTACTATAAGCTTAATTTTCTATTAAGCAAGCAAGTGAATGATTCCAAATGGTTAGTTATTCCTATGGAGATTTGGTACAAATTGCCATCATTTATCAAGCAAATTAAGGATCATTTATCTAAATTGAATAGGGAAAGCTGTCAAGATTTAGAGATTTGTTTAGTCAAGCTAAACTCAATTACCTTGAAATATCCTATTATCGACGATTTAAAGAGAAGTAATGGAATTGCAAAATGGAAGGATTTGAATAAGATTGATGCATTATTAGAGGCTAAATTCCCCGCATATTGCGACAAGCTGTATAAAGTGTTCAACAAGTATTACAATCAGCAACTATTAGCTGATTATGAGAATAGGCCATTGAGTTCCTCACTAGATAATGGTATAACTCACGTAAAGCAAGTGATGAGCCAAAAAACAGCAGTGGCAATCCCTCCTAGTGACTCTACACAGACGTTGCAACCTCCAAACAAGCCAGCAGCAGCAGCAGCATCATCAACAATATTATCACCATCATCATCAAAAACGGCGTCACTAAAGAAATCAATAAGCAAAATAATTACTCGAAGCTTATCTACAAATGACGCAGAAAGAAACCGGTTGCTGAATGATCCAATCAAGGAAGTTTTTTCACCAAGTGATGAGTCTCAAAATGGGAAAGATACTAGTATAGAGGTATTGCCTCAACGACACCAATCATTACAAGAACAACATTTCCGCAAGGAGAAACAATCCATCAAAACACCTGAAAAGGAAGCCTTCTATACGGATCTTAATGAGAGACCCTTACCGAAACTCCCTCATGCATCAACTCAGCGACCTTCTCAATACTATAAAGATTATTACCCGCAAAACCAGAACCAGAACCAAAGTCAGAGCCAGAGCCAGAGCCATAGTCGTAACCTGAGTATCACAGTGCAGCCAATAATGAAGCCCACAATTGAACGACATAGAACTGTGAATAGTAAATCTGGATCTTCACATAAACACAAGAAACGTGTAGATAATTCACAAATTCAATACCAATTGAACTGTTTGACACAGTTTAGAAAGAAATTGTTTCTAATTGGACCTCAATTGATTGAGTTTTTGACTCTACAGTTGCATTATTGTGAAGCATGGCAGAGATTTCTTGACGATGATTATGACGATGGTGATGACAATTTTAATGTTGATGTTAATGCTGTTGATGATGTTGGTGCTGTTGATGATGTTAATGATGTTAATGATGATGATGTTGTTGTTGTTGATGATAATGATGTTGATGTTGAACTGGAAGGAAAAGAGGAGGAGACGGTGATGGGAAAAGAGAAGAGTAAGAGGAAGAGTGGCACGCAAAACGAAGTAGAGGCAAAACTAGAGAACAAACAGGAAGGGCACCAACGACATAGTAACAAAAAGGGCAAGTCTACTGCATCAATTCATTCGCTAGAAAATAAATCCGAGAATAATAGGAATGTATTCATCACGAGGAATATAGCACATAGGACCAAGGTTAATGAAAAAAACCCATATATAAAGTCAATATATCAACTGTTTAATGAGAAACTACGCCATCAAATAGAATTCACCAAATCGACAATCATCTTACATATTGCAGATAGGCTTATTATTCCTATCGACGAGTGTTTAAAACTTTGTCAACTTGGTAAGGGCAATTTACAAAATGTCAATAAGTTTATGGAGTTGATTGTCAAGCAGTATAATAAGCTATATTGTGATTGGCTTGAAGGAATGATTGGTCCCAAGTCTATTATGGAGTATCAAGAGTTGTGTAATCGCATAAATGCTTTGCAGCATGGGAATACCAGTGAAAATGGTGCTAATATTAGTGGTAAAAATAGGAATAGTAAGAAATATGGTGTCAGACTTGGTGATGATATAATTAAATATTATGATCAATTGACCAAATTAAAAAGTTTATCAGCCTAACATCCTATACACTGTCAGATGATACGCTGTTGCCCCAGTATCGAGCAAAGCGAGATAGTGGAGCTACTGCAGCTAGTATCAGATGATACGCTGTCAGATGATACACTGACAGACTTGATAACATCCTAGAGTATATAGTTATAAACTAATAGTTAAATACAAATTAACAATTTGTAGGATATAGAAGTTGGATATTTTGGCTCTTTTTTGCAAAAATTTGGATATTTTAAAATAAAAACACCATTTTTTCAAAAAAAAAGTTGTTTTTGTTCCAAATGGAGTTAAGAATTGAAGTTCGGCTAAAAATATTTTACTGTTCCTAAAATGGTAACGGCCGATCTATTTCCCTTTTTGAAACTTTTTGAAAGCAATTTTTTACCAGAAAGCAGATAGAAAAAAATGACAAAAAATGACAAAAAAAATGGCAAAAATGGCAGAAATAGTAGAAATGGCAAAAATGGCAGAAATGACAAAAAAATGACAAAAAAATGACAAAAAAATGACAAAAAAATGACAAAAGAATGCTTGGTACGTATTGTATGTCGTCAAATGTCGTAGAAGACATTGCTTTTTGTCGTATGGACCATTAGAGGCAGCTAGTGTGCTGCACTATCGAGCAGAGCGAGATAGTGTCGTATGGACCATTAGAGGTAGATAGTGTCGTATGGACCATTAGAGGTAGATAGTGTCGTATGGGCCATTAGAGGCAGCTAGTGTCGTATGGGCCATTAGAGGCAGATAGTGTCGTATGGGCCATTAGAGGCAGATAGTGTCGTATGGGCCATTAGAGGCAGATAGTGTCATATGGACAATTGCTTTTTATCGTGTGATGTGTTTATACAATTTTTTTCTTGCTTGTATTAGTCGTGTGAACTCTTTCACTTTATGTAAATGCAAAGGGACACACAATGCCATAAGATATAATACGAGTCAAACCCATGTGTCTTGAAACCAAGAAATCAAAGATGAGCTAAATCACCGAACCTCTCTAGATAGAAAAAGAGATTAATTCCGTAGTAGTTGTTCCTATTTTAGACTATCCGAGATTTTGCACTACATCACCATCTCATTTACAACAAGAGTACATACAAACAGTAGTAGCAAGAAAAAGTTTTTTTCTTCCTTGAGCGAACAAATTACTGAATCATTATGAACCTCTCCTTGAACATTTGAACCTTGATTGCCGTATAGCCTTATAGTTATGGTTACCTTTATAGCCTTATAGTCATGGTTACCCTGGTACCTACAGTGTATTAGGACAATCAATGGTCAACAGGTTGTAAGTACTTTGTAGAAACTCTTGTTAACTATGGGCAAAAATCTTTTTCCTCTGAAATTTATTTTTTTTTTATTTTTTTTTTTTTTTTCCTTTAAATCATCAACGAATTTCTTTAAATTGCCACATTATTCTGTGATAACTACCCCCTTCTTTTTCTTGAGTTCTATCAAAACAAGGTATTGATACATTGCCACTTTACCGCCACCATTCTGTAAAGAGGTCTCTATTATTTGCATATACCGGTCAATTGATAAACCTGTTATCCCTAAACACAAGTCCCCCAGGTATTCTTGTTTTAATTTATTCTTTTTTTCCTTCGTCATGTCATCAATTCCAAGTCAACCTTATGGGCTGAAGCAACAGCAACAGCAACAGCAACATTCTTCTACAATTCCAACTGGTTCGGATATACCTCCTCCAATTATTGAATCAAAACCAACTAGTAATTTCGAATTGTCTCAATCCAATTCCATCAAGCCCTATCCATCTGTTTCAGACGCCACTACTACTACTACTACGACCCCCACTGTCCAAGGACAAGGTCCACTCTGTTACTTGTTAACCTGGAAAGATCCAATCTACACTGGTAAAGTATTTGGCTCTCTCATTCTCGGTTTAGTTATCTTCAAAACCGTCAATTTGGTCAATATCTTTTTCCATGTTGCTTACATTGGTTTATTGTTTTCTGCTGTAGCCGAGTACTCGGGTAAATTGATTACGGGAAGAGGTTTTGTTACCAACTACTCCAAACGGTTTGCAAATTCTTCTTGTGCGGAAAAATTCAATAAAGAAGTCTTACCATCAATTGCTGGTTTTACTGTTTGTTTTGAAAAAACTATCAAGAAAATCGTTTACGCTCAAGATATCGAGTCTACTTTGAAAGCTGCTGCTGTTTCTTACATCTTGTACAAAGTAACCTCATATGTCACATTGTTCAAATTGTTGATTACTGTGATCTTCTCGGCATTTACAATCCCATTTGCTTATAATAATAAGCAAAAGGAAATTGATGCATTTGTTAGTGCAAGGACTCAATGTGCAAAGTCCCAATTTCAAAAATTACTCGCAAAGATTAAAAAGGAAGCTGGTCCTCATATTGATAACTTGATCAAGAAGTCGGGTCCAGTTGGTGCATTTGTTCAATCCAAGATCCCCGTTAGAACTGCTGGATCAACTGTTGGTGACTCAAAAGCTACCAGTTATGGTACTGCTGCTGATTCTCACAGCACATCATCACCATCACCATCAAAACCAGTAGTTGGTGCACATTCATCTGGTGTTTCTTCAGGAGTAACTTCATCAACTACAGTCCCAGTGAATGCAACCAAACCTTTCCCAACTGTTCCTAATACTACAGTTGGTGGAGAGTTTGACGATACCGATGATTTTGCTGACACTACTCAAGAACATAAACCAATCTACTAGATCTACAGTGGAAAGAGAAATTGATTGTGTTTTCACACATGCGTTCAACTATAAAGTCTTCAAAAACAACCCCACTTGTTATTTATCCTGGTTCTCTCAAAATCTTTTTTTTTTTTTAACCTTTTTTGAATACATTATTCAAAAGTTTTTATTCATTAATTAAACTTTAAAAGTTTATTCCACATAATCGAATAAAATCTTACTACTATATATTTAGGAAAAGATTTATAAATATATCTATATATTTATTTAAATGTTTATATATGTATGTATGCATTTATGCATGTATGTATGTATGGATATGTATATCCTCTATTCACAATCTTCTGGATTCGGTAATCTTTCATAACAAGCAATCCATTTGGATCCCTTATTTCTAGTCACTTTTTGACCTTCTTCAGTTGAATTATACATTATCTTTACACACTCATCTTTATCTTCCCATTCTTTACTTAACCTCTGGAAAAGCGGATGTTCATCCAAGTGTTTAACCATCCAGTTGTGCAAATCTTCAACATCTGTTATTGTGTATATTACCCCGCCCTCTCTCAATGCATAAGCATATTCACTTAGTAAAGTATTTGTAATAATCCTAGCCTTGTGTTTACGTTGCTTAAAATGAGGATCGGGAAAACAAAAAAACATCTTCTTTAATTGTCCTCTTGTAAAGAAATTTGGCAAGAATTTCATTGCATTGCCCCGGATAACTCCAATATTATCATACTTGTAGCTCTGATCCCTATGCTGACTTCTTAATGCAACAATTCGATCCTCAACATACTGTGTAACTTGCACTCTGATTTCCATCCCCAAAATCAAACAATCAGGAAATCGAGGGCCTAAATCAATCATTAAACCGCCAAATCCACATCCTATATCTGTTATCTCAACTTTTCTTCCGTTAGCAAGTGGATAAATCGTTGACCAGTTCATTGTTTCAGGCGATTTGGGGTATGCCAATTTGTGATCAGAAAATGGATTGGAATGGGCCCTTTGACGGTAATACCTCTTTTGCGGAAGCTTCATTACCGTATTGGTGTCCAATTCAGAAGTAGATGAGTCCAAAGAACCCGCCCCAGTGTGCTCTTGTATGCGCACTTGCTTCTTGCGGTTCTGTTCTTGGCTATCTCTATATCTCTTTCGCGTAGTTATGGCATTGGTGCTTCCCTGCACCTCTTGTTCTCGTTCTTGCACATGCTGCTGCTGCTGCTGCTGCTGCTGTTCTTGTTCTCGTTCTTGTTTCAGTTGCTGGTTTTCTCCTACAACCAAACCTGACTTCCCTTCCAGATGTGCAGTAGCTGGCTCACACATTCTTAACTGAACCTTGACTCGACCTGGAGAGTCCGATGAGCTTGAAAAATTTCCAGCTTCTTTTTTTTTTTTTTATTTCTTTTTGTGCGACATTTTTGCAACTTATCTTTTACAAGGTTGATTTTGTTGAAATGAGATCATACATAAGAGCTATATACAATGAGAAGGGACCTCACTCACACTCGCTTAGCTGCTTTCTGTTGATTCTGCTTCCTTGCTGTTAGGATCTAAGTCCTTTGCTCTAGTATCCATAGTCAAGTAGAGCAAGTGTGCTGGAGTTTCCAAAGTATGAACTAAACCAGAACCACCAACCATTGTCAACAATCCCAACAATTGACCTTGTAAACCTACTTTAGTGGGTAAGTTCTTAAACTGATCAAGTTCGGCAGGGTTCATAAACGTATTCTTTTCAACCTTAGCTCCCATTATAAACAATTTCTCACTAAATTTTTTCAACACTTTATTAATCTGCTGAATTAAGCTTGGGTCACATTCTGGAATGCTTATACACCCCGTGGGTCCAACAAATAATGGTGCTAGTGGGTGGTGCACGTCTTTGTTCCTACTTGAGACTCCCAAGCCTGCAGGATCTTCTTCATGACTGCATCTAAGATATGTGCGATATATGGAATTGTTCAAAATCGTCAATTTAACGCCACTAGCACTAGCACTACCTAATTTCGCTTCATTCTCAGTTCTTTTCGCTACTTTTATTTTGGCTAGTTCTTGTCTAAACTGTTTATTCTCAGCTTTGCTGAGATTATTGTGATGGACAAATAATAAAATTTGATTATTGTCATTCAAGTGTTTGTACAAGTCCATGAGATATGTCTTTCTTGAAAAGAGTGGTTTCTCGGTACGTCTGTTGATGAATGTTTGTTGCTCTTCGTTCGCTGGTACAAAATTTGGGTACAGCGACTCGGGGGTCGACATAGCTGTAGCAGTAGAGTAGCAAAAAGCCATTCTTAAATTTGCATTATTTTGGAATAAAGAAAGTCGCGTACAGCTCCCAACTATACCTGTAGTTCGCCATACACTGTTCATATTTCGATACAATACGATACGATACTATGGAATCTATACTTTGGTGATGACAACCATACAAGAGTTGAAAATTTTCAGTTCTTTTGGTTGGTTTTTTTTTTTTGTTTTTTTGTTTTTTTGTTTTTTTTCAACGAATTCTGTCATTATGGTATTTTGAAAAGACAGGACAAAAGTATTACTTGGATAATACTTTACAGTTATCAGCAAGTACCAAGGTAGTTATGTACTGAATCTTTTGCCGCTATTGCTATACTGCCGCTCCTGCTGAATCGTTGCTCCTGCTATACTGCTGCTACAGATACTACTATTGCTACAGTAAGAAATCAGAGTTGATAAATCACAATTGAAAAAGGCTCGATATGTCGATATCTGAGTTCAACCTGTTTATTAGGGATGTTGAGGGTTCAAGTGGAGAGAATAGCAAGAACACTGAAAATGTAAAGAATATTTCTAATGTTGAAAGCGTCACTGATATTTCCAATGTTCCTGTTCCATCTGGTGTTTGTGACTTTTATATCCCAACGAAAGATGATACTACATTATGCCAAAAAAGACAACTGCAAATCATGGATGAAGACGATCGAGGTGGATGTAAGAAAAAATTTAGGGTCAATGATTCCAGATCTTCTCTGGCTGTCAGTGAGTCTATATTTGACAGACCACCACCTCGCAGTATTGGTTTCCTAGATTTACAAAGATTGGAACATGCTACTAAATCTATGCAAAAAAGTGTCGCTTTGATTTTGAATCAAGCACCCTCTATCAATGAACTAACTTATATGATAAACTCTCCAGATATTGACAGTGGAACCAAAAGTGAATTGCAACAAAGCAATTTGATCTCATTGGCTTCAAAATTGAAGTCAAAATATATGGTAGGAGATGCTCCCATCTTGGATAGTATCTTCAGCGGCGAACTCGTTCTCTCAAGGGAAAATCTAGAGGCGTTGACAAAAGTTGAAGGAGAACTAGATTCAAAAAAGGTGGAAGTTATTTTTCCTAGAAACACGGTTGACGATGTTCCCCCTACTGGCATCAAAGACAATTTACCACCTTTACCTATCATCAATGATGCAACATTATACGAAAAGGTTTTTGTTCACAAATCTACCGTCAACAACAAAACTTATTTAGGTTCTGAAAACTTAATTCATTGTCATAATGAAAGGTTGGAATTTCTTGGTGACTCTATTTTGAACAACTTGGTTACTTTGATCATCTTCAAAAGGTTCCCAAACAACACTGAAGGCGACTTGTCCAAAATCAGGGCAGCAATGATTAATAATCGTGTGTTGAAAGACTTGGCTGTTTCATATGGCTTTGATAGGAAATTGAGAACAAGAATCCCTGAAGGCTCTTTAACCCTTGGAGACCAGAAAATTTATGCCGATGTTTTTGAAGCTTATATTGGAGCGTTAGGACTTGAAAGAGGTTTTGATTTGGATGAAATTAAATCATGGTTAGAAAGCTTGTATGACAACTTAATTATTGAGTTACAACTGGAGTTTATTAAAGATCCTTTGGATAGAGATGCCAAAACAGAACTTTACTCCAAAGTTGGAACGGCTGATTTACATCCTGATTACAAGGTTGTTACTGTTGGCGACGGTTCTAATGTCGAGTATGTTGTTGAGTGTTCGATCAATGGTGAGTTCTTGGGGAGTGGCTCTGCGCCAAGCGCTAAAGAAGCTAGTCTCCGAGCAGCAATGAACGCTTTGAAAAATACGCCCGTAGTCGAGAAATACTTTTTGGAACGTAAGAAAACTACTAAGCCTATTCAACTACAAAGAAAGGAAAGGAACGAACAAAAGAAATTGGAGAAATTGAAAAAATTAGAAGAAGCAGCTGCAAATTTAGCAAATGAACCCAGCACTCCATTTACACCGCCTTCTCCAATCCATACCGAGATGTTCCCCGTCGAAGTGGATTACGAATGTAAGTTAGATTGCGATGCAAAGAATAAATTGTATGCAAAAATCGGCAAGGAAACAGGTACACAACCAGAATATATCATTGCTGCTACTGAAAATAATCAGCATACCGCTCAATTGAGGATCCGAAATTTGAACGTCGCTGTAGCTACTGATACCTCTAGAAAGAAAGCAATGTCCAGAGTTGCAAATGCTATATGGAACAATAAAGAAGCATTGAGAGAATTGTGTAAACGTTTTGACCCACCAAAGATATCTAGAATTGAGGAATAAAGTTCGAATGTACACATTTTTTTATTTTTTTTTCTGTTTGTTTGTTTGTTTATCTCTTCATGTTGTAGACAACCATTCAAAGCTAGAAAATGTAATTTGATCTTGGTGGAAAACCACTTAAATCAATGAGATAAGTTTTGGATAAAAAAAAAAGATAAAAAAACTGGGAAAAAAACTTGAGGAAAAAAATGGTCCCTAGCAGGATCGAACTGCTGATCTTGGCGTTATTAGCACCACGCCTTAACCAACTAGGCCAAGGGACCTGTTTCTACATCAGTAGCAGTACCATTGGCTTTAATAATAACTCTACAGCTAGATTTTTCAAAGTAGTGACACCATCGACCAGAGAGAGATAATGGAGCAACACTTTGTAGCTTGGTCTTTCAACTGGAAAGCAACACTATCGAGCAGAGCGACCGCTACATCTTTTTGACCCCCCCCCTCGCCTCACTCTTGTGAAAACCCAATTTGTATTAATCTGTAACAATGAATGAATAATCACTACCTAACTCAGATTTTAAGAGGTGCCGTTTGACTTCAATCCCCCATTTATAGCCATTGAGTTTGCCCGAGAGTGCAATGACGCGATGGCAAGGTACCACCACCGCAATTTTATTTGAACCGCACCCGTTCCCAACAACTCTACTTGATCCAGGCAGTAGCTTCATACTATCAGCAATCTCTCCATAGTGTTTTGTTTTACCAGGAGGAATCTTCATCAATTCACGCCAGATGCGCTGTTGTAATTGCGTGCCAAAGATAAACTCAACTGGAATAGTATTAATCGTTTCCTTTCCAGGATTATTCATTAATTTTTCAAACTTCTCAATCGATTCTTTAACCAATGATCGATCCGAGAGTGTTGAAAGTGGTTGTAGTTGATATTCTCGTTTCGGTTTAAATTCCTCAACTAATTTCTTGCAAAGTTCCATAGCATCTTTCCCTATTGACGCGTACATTAACGCGCCTTGGTCATTCAATACCAAGAGAGCCTTGAACGGTGTTGAGTCAATTATTGTATAGTAAAGCAGCTTCATTTTGTGTGACATATTCGATGCAATACTTATTTCAAGGATGGTTTCACTATGAACACTCTAAGTCATATTCATACCATACCATACCATACCATATTATACCTTTAGGTGTTTGTTTTTATTTTTTTTATTTTTTTTATTTCATTTATCTCATCAACATCAAAGCAAAATTTGCTTGAAATTGATGCAAAAAAAGAGAAAAAGAACAAGAGAATCGAAAACCTCTCATTCTCTTTCTGAGTGCAATATAGACGGCACTCATTTCCACTTAGTATGAATGTGAACATATAAAGATATAGCACATATATATATAGCACATATATATTTATCAAAGCTCTACTATCCAGCGAAGCGAGCTAATGTCGCTAGTTGGTGGCAGCTACAAAGTGTTTCTCCACTACCTGGCTTTGCTCGATAGTATCGTTTTCCTATGAGATGAAGGTTCATAGTAAGTTCTTTGCCCTGTTATTAACCTTTTTAGCAACTCACCTTCCATATATATGGAATTATCTAGGTAAATGGGTCGTACTTGTACAGGGAGTTACAACAATATATTCACTATCAAACGCTACCAATAACCAACCTCATTTCCAGATTTTGATAGTGTAAAAATTTTCGATGATCTTTTTTTTTTTCAGTTTGTTTTATTTTTCATCTCCCTCTAGAAACTTTCACCCAAGAATGACCGTCATAGGTATAACCTTTGGTAACACTTCCTCGTCAATTGCTGTGGCAACCCAGGACGGTAAAGTTGACGTGATTGCAAATCCAGATGGTGACCGTTCCATACCTTCTGCTTTATCCTATGTCGGTAGCGATGAATATCATGGATCTCAAGCGGAAGCAAGATTAATTAGAAACCCAGAGAATACTATTATTAACTTTAGAGATTTCATTGGTGAAGAATTCTCGGAAATCAAAGACGACTTTTCTTACGGGGCTAAACCAAAAGATGTGAATGGCGAAATTACATACGAAATTACGAATAACGGGAAAACCGAGTTATTGTCAGTCCACGAAATTGCAAAGAGGCATTTCAAACAATTAAAGTCTGCAGCAGAAGACTATATTGGAAAACCAGTTGAAAAAGTAGTTTTAGCGGTCCCCACTGATTTCAGCGAGCACAAAAGGGAGGAGATTTCCAAAATTGCTGCAGATGCAGGCTTGAAAGTATTACAGTTGATCAATGAACCATCTGCTGCTTTACTAGACCATTTATCGACCGAGAATGACAAATTGAAGGAAGACAAAATCTACGTTGTTGCCGATTTTGGAGGCACCAGGTCAGATGGTGCTATTATTGCTGTAAGGGGCGGTGTTTTCACAATTTTAGCAACTTTCCATCAGCATGGTTTGGGTGGTGACGATTTGGACGCATCATTATCCGAATTTTTCGCCAAGGAGTTTGAGAAAAAGTACAAGGTTGACCCAAGAAAAAATGCGAGATCTCTTGCCAAGTTGAAAGCAGAGTCTATTGTTGTTAGAAAGACTTTATCAAATGTGCAAACTTCAACTTGTTCAATTGAGTCATTGGCAGAAGGTTTTGACTTCCACACAAGTATAAACAGATTAAGATACGAGTTGGCTGCAAGGGAGCCTTTAAGCAAGATGACGGCATTTGTTGAAAAACTCATTTCAAAAGCAGGATTGGAGCCTTTGGATGTTGACGAGGTTTTGTTAGTAGGTGGTTGTGCTCACACCCCTAAATTAGCCTCCAATATTTCTTACCTTTTCCCAGAATCAACTAAAATAGTTGCACCATCTTTAGACCCCAAAGCATTAAATCCTTCAGAGTTGATTGCTCGCGGAGCTGCCTTGCAAGCTTCCTTGATTGAGAGCTTTGATCAAGAAGAGATCAATGAATCCTTACAGCCAATAGTTGTAAACACTCAGCACATTTCCAAACCAATTGGTATCAAAGACAACGAAGGAAAATTCCAGCCGATATTAGTTGCAGAAACTGCTTATCCAATCAAGAGATCGATCGAAGTAACGAATGGAGAACATTCAACTGCTTTAGTACAATTATACGAAGGAAAAAGAACAGTTAAGGAAACAGTGGTTGAAAAAGAGAAAAATGAAGACGATTCAGAAGAAGAAGAAGAAGAAGAGGAGGAAGATTCGGATGAAGAACCAGAAGTTGTGAAAGAAGTGGTTTATGAAGCAGGTGACTTGTTAGCTGAATTATCCTTAAAAGACTTGACACCAAATTCAAAATTAGAAGTCACTGTGAACATCACCCAAAATGGTGTTTTACATTTAACAGGTAGAAAGTTGAAACAAGGATCAGCCCCAGTAACAGGCGAAGTTTTATCACAATAGATGCAAGTTGTTATTCTAATCAGAATGGAAAAATTGTTTATAGAAAATATTTATTTTCACCTATACTCAACCGCAATTGTAGTATCTAACTTACAACTACTCTTTCTACGTCTTGTCTCTCTCCACTACATACTCTTTTCCTACTCTATCTACCATTCAATTTACACTTTCAATGGTCGTTGATCTGCAACGTATTTTTATTCTATCCAAATGCGAAAAGCAATTAATTTTTCCGTTTCTTGTACAATTTTTTTTTTTTCTTCTTCCTTTTGACATGAGCATTTGTATTTTTATACGACGCTACAACAACAAGTACAGCAACGACAATTTGCTTCACTTTCAGTAATATTCTCAACTATGGGGAGAAAGAAGCAAGAGATGGTACAGGTGTATAATGGGTCTAAAAACGAGTTTATATTTGGAGAAGAGGGAGGCAGGGGTAAGAATTTATCGTCATTTTTAAGGAATTTGTCATTAACTGGGTCTAGTAAAAGTAGCAGTGGTACTTCTCAAAGATCTATTGATGAAGCAAATAGCAACATTTATGGAAGTCTATCTTACAATAAGCAATTAGGCAATTCAAATCCAAGCTTGACAAGTGGCTCGGTTTTGACACCTCGTCCATCTTCGAGTCGAGCGGTTTCGTCCAGTGCAATCAATCTTTCGCAGAATATGATGTTTAATCTGGACATGGATAAAGCAAGCAAAAGCAGCAATTCCCACCATCACCATTACCACCACCACCACCACCACAACCACCAACGTGTTCATTCTATGTATAAGGACTTGGATGATGATTGGAATGCAGAGATTGAGGAAGAAATAGCTCGAGGAAGAGGTGGAGGTGGTGGAGGAGGAGGGGTAACAAGTTCCGGAATGAATGAGTTGTATTCCGACATCAGCACATTATCTCAACAACAGCACAGTCATAATCCACCAAGAAAAGAACTGATGGAACTTAGAGAAGAATTACCCAAAAAAAGCTCTGGAACTGAAAGTCAAGGGCATAGTAAGCTTGCCAAATTCAAAAGTGTTTTGACATGCGATAATGTGATAAATATTCAGGAATTAAGAAAATTGTCTTGGAATGGAATACCAAATGAGCTACGGGCGCTTTCTTGGTTATTACTTTTAGGGTATCTTCCAACGAATCGGTCACGGCAAAGCTCTACTTTGAAAAGAAAACGTCAGGAGTACCTTGATGGTATTGCCAGTGTTCAAATCAATTTTGATGGAGAAGCGGACTCTAATGTTTCTTCGAGTACTTTCAACGGAAGCAGAGAAAATCAACTCTATCATCAAATAAGAATAGACGTGAAAAGAACAAATCCAAACTCGAAACTATATGCTCACCCAATAACGCAAACATCCCTTCAAAAAATCTTGTACCTTTGGGCCATTAGGCACCCTGCGAGTGGATATGTCCAGGGAATCAATGACTTGGCCACGCCCTTTTATCAAATTTTCTTGAGTAACTACATATGGCAACTTCAAGAATGGAAGCAAAAGAAACACAAGGAAAATGAGTTTCTTTTCATTCCCGGGTATATGACATCCGACGATGCAAATGAAGTTATTGATTCAGAACAAAAGTTATTTGAGGATACGAGACTATTGGATTATAACTTGAATAACTTTGATCCTAGTTTGTTGAGTTCTCGTGTTATTTCGATTATTGAGGCCGACACATACTGGTGTTTATCTCGCTTACTTGAGAACATTACCGACAACTATATTCATGAGCAACCAGGAATTCTTCGACAAGTTGGTGAGTTGAAAACCCTTATTTCTAAGATAGACAACGACTTGATATTGCATTTTGAAAAAGAGGGTGTTGAGTTTTTGCAGTTTGCATTTAGATGGATGAATTGTTTGTTAATGAGAGAATTGCCAATTGAATTAATTATCCGGATGTGGGACACATATCTAAGTGAACAACCTTTAGGGTTCAACACTTTTCATACATATGTATGTGCAGCGTTTCTCATCAAGTTTAGTAGCGAACTAAAGCAGAAGGACTTTCAAGAGATTTTGTTGTTCCTACAGAATCCACCAACTTCAAACTGGAAGGAGAAGGATATCGAATTGATGTTGAGTGAGGCATATATCTGGCAAAGCTTGTACAAGAATGCATCTGCACATTTAAGGTGATGATGATGACAGAGTTACCTCTAGCAGGGGTATTTTTTTTTTTAAAAAAAAATTGTCAGCCAGACTAAGAATTCCCACCTGATAACTATTTTTTTATCAGTGCAGGGCAGTGCAGGGCAGGGCAGTGACAGGACCCCAAGAAACCCATGCTGCCTAAAAGCTACAAAATTTGGGAGAGTTCTTTTTTTTTTTTAATTTTTTAATTTTTTTTTTTTGCTTTTTTTTTTTTTTTCACACAAAGCGACAAGGTCAGCACGTAAACCCTCAGGTATCACGAAGTTGTATCCTAATAATGCAATTCCTAAGTATTGGATATAGAGAGAAATAGTAAGAGTGTGAAAGAGAAAGAGAGAGACAAGATATATAGAATTATGTGTCAAAAGGTAAAAATAAAAATGACATAATTAGATATTTTCTATGTGTATGTATATATATTTTTTTTCCCCTGTTCTCTTCCTACTGTCAAATTATTTATATATTAGATAGACATATTTTCATCTCATCTCATCTCATCTCATCTCAATCAAATTAAGTCCGAAGAATTCTTTGTTTTTCTAAATTGTACAGCCATATTCATCTAGGCCATGTCTAGACCAGCCGGAAGAACTATATTGGCTTCAACCATTGCCAAACCTTACCAAGAAGAGGTAACTTCAGCAGTTCAGAAATTGACCTTCAAACCAACTTTAGTGGGACTCCTTGCAAACGATGATCCTGCGGCTAAAATGTATGCCAACTGGACTGAGAAAACTTGCGAATCTTTAGGATTTAACTATCGGTTGATTGAGATGAAAAAAAACGATTTAGAATTGTCCTTGATCAAAGCAAACAAAGATGATAAAGTTAATGGTATTATGGTTTATTTTCCAGTCTTTGGAGACAAACAAGACCAATATTTACAGCAGTTGATCTCTCCAGAAAAGGACGTGGAGGGATTGAACTTTTTGTACTACCACAACTTGTACCACAATGTCAGGTTCTTAGATCCGCCACATAATCAGCAAAAATCGTTAATACCATGTACCGCTTTAGCAATGGTAAAGATCTTGGAATACTTGGGCGTCTATAACAATATTTTACATTACGGGAATAGATTGTATGGAAAGAAAATAATGGTTGTCAATAGGTCAGAAATAGTAGGGAGACCCTTGGCTGCGTTGTTGGCTAATGACGGGGCCACTGTTTATTCAGTTGATATAAACGACATTCAACAGTTTACCCGAGGTGACGATTTACTGGAACATAGACATTTAGTAAAAGATTTGGATAAAAATGAATACACTTTAGAGAAGTTGGCACCACAATGTGACGTGATAATTACTGGTGTTCCATCTGACAAGTATAAATTCCCCACCAAGCTCGTTAGATATGGAGCTATTGTCATCAATTTCTCTAGCTCAAAAAACTTCCACGATGATATAAAAGAGAGGGCTGCGTTGTACGTGCCATCAATCGGTAAAGTGACAATCGCAATTTTGTTAAGAAATTTGTTGAGGTTAATTGATAACAAGCAAATAAGAGAGTCTAACAAGAGTGACTAACCAACGGAGGGAAAGAGAGGTTTATGACTCAGGATCTCAAAAAATTAAAACAAAAAAAAGGCTTACAATGGGATCAGTTCTACTCAGAAAGGCTTACAATGGGATCAGCTCTGCTCAGAAAGACTTACAATGGGATCAGTTCTGCTCAGAAAGACTTACAATGGGATCAATTCTGCTCATAGAGATTGACAATTTTTCTTTACTTGGTTAAGTTTATTAGTAAATAAGCAAACAGTATGATTTTGTTTTCTAAAAGGAGCGGAAAATCTGAAAGAAGCACCCGCTAATTAATAGAACGGTTCTAAAAGCGGGTTTTTTAGCATTCATTTTTTTTTTCTTTTTTTTTCTGTTTCGTTATAGTATAGTTATAGTTATAGTTATCTATACTTTTACTATCAAGTCCCATGTAGATACAAGTGGTTTGACTCTAGATACGAAAGCAAGCAAGCAAACATATCATATAGACCAAAGGGGTAGATTGTTAATAAGGCAATATTTTTAGCTTGTAAGGTGGGGGGAGGATTGAAACATCAACTGTCAGTATCTAACTTCTTTTGTGTGTTGCAGGGTACAGGAAATCTGGCAATGCCAATGATGAGTAAGCTACCACCACTGTCACAAGTGAATCCTCGCAAAAGACTCGTGCCTATAGATCCATTGGCTATCACCGAGTCTCTAGGCCTCCCGACGTTTCGGAAAGAACTGCGCAAGTCATGGACAAAGGAAGAAGATCTGGTTTTATCTGAATTTGTTACTTTGAAATTAATGGAAAATGCAAATTTTGAGAGCTTAGACTGGGAGAAGATAGCCCAAGCAGTTTCACCCGATGGCTCAAAAAAGAGCAAAGACTGTCGCAAAAGATGGACCAACTGTCTAGATCCGGCTTTACGGAGGGGCAAGTGGACTAGTGCAGAGGATATGCAATTGGTGAGGGCATTTGAGAAATTTGGAGCTTCTTGGTTAAAAGTTGCACAAGAGATTGAAGGAAGGACTGAAGACCAGTGTGCTAAAAGGTATAAGGAAGTCTTGGGCCCAAAAACAAAAGATAGGTTGAAGCCATGGACAAAAGAGGAGGATCTCTTGTTAATTAAACAGGTTAAGAATTATGGTACCAAATGGAGGACAGTATGCAGCGTTTTTGAAAGCAGACCATCTTTGACCTGTAGAAATCGTTGGAGAAAACTTGTAACAGAGGTTGTGCGTAACAAGGCATGCCCGGAAATTAAACAAGCAGTTGAGGGAATTACCAAAGGGAAATCTTTGATGTTAGACTCATTGAGTGAACAACAACAACAACAACAACAACAACAACAACAGCAACAACAACAGCAACAGCAACAACAACAGGAGCAGCAACAGCAACAGGAGCAGCAACAGGAGCAGGAGCAGCAACAACCAACCAAGTATAATCAGAATCTGGATCCAGAATTGAAAAGGAAATTCAAGAAGAGAAAGGAGGATTACAAGGTACAAATGCAAGAAGAAGTACACGAAATGCACGATGAATCCAATGGTTCGAACCACACACATTGGAGTTATGACTTGACAGGCCAGAACAAATCGGATTTTGTTTCGCATGCGGGAGTAATAAAAGACAAAGCATCTGTAGACCTTCTTGTTGCGCATGCAAAGTCCAAGGGTTTAAATCTCACAATCCATCAGCATGTTCACCACCACTATGGACGATCGGGACAAACAATACGAAGCAACAACAATAACAATAATAGTACAACCAACAGCAATAATTTCATTGCCGAAAGATACCCCGCTGAACCTGAAGAACTGATGTTGTCGCGATTTCAGCATTTTAACTATTTGCCACCACGTACCGAAGTTCCAAGATTGTATTCTTCAGGAACAGTAACAGGAATAGCATCAGTATCAGCAACAGAGTCTTTGGAAATAAAACAGCATCATCATCATCATCATCACCACCACCATCATCACCGTGAAGAAGAAACGACAACCAACAAGAACTCTCATCTGGGCTCTGAGGCCATGAACACTGCCACATCATCATCTTTACTACGAGATTTCTCCACCAACAGAGAATCCGATATGCTGAAACTATTAAATTCTGATGTCTATAGAGGCCAACATGCCGAAGAGTTACCTACTTCCAATCCATTGACACCATTGACACAGGCGGTGGACCTCATAACTAATGCTGAAAATAATCAGAATTTGTCATCTACTGCAGACTGTAGGATACTGAGTGACAAGGAATACGAACAAGGACAAGGACAGGGGCATGGACAGGGGCAAGGACAGGGGCATGGAAAACAGGGGCATGGACAAGGAAATGCAGTTTCTGAAAATGGTGATCATGGTTTGGATTTTTGGGAAACCATGAAAAACATGACGGAAACTGGAAAGAAACGTGGACGACAGCTATATGATACTGATATGATTTCTAATAAGAATGATACAACGGAAGGAAATTCCAAGAGCAGGAAACAGTATAGTAGTACCCTTTCTGATAACCTTGTTAAACCAGTTTCTCAGCACCACCCACTACACCACCATTACAATAGCTATGCTCAAGCAAACACACCACAAGTTATCCCTTCAAATAAAGCGCTGAGTGTCCAGGGACTAAGACGCGAGAGCGGTTCTGAAGATTTGGATGACGAAGACAAAGTCTTGGCAAGGGAAGTTGGCGAAGCGGGTGTTGATCAGGATATCTTAAACTCGTATGGTTTGTTCTACGACGTGTACACCAAGGAAGGGTCTACATTTCCCGATGTCCAATCGAATCAACTACATCAGCTGCGTAACGACTTGAAGAATCAAGCTAGTGAAAGCATTTATGACCAATGGGGAAGTGGCTTTATAATACCATTTAATCCGTCGTAGAAAAACATAACGTATGCCATTTGAAAGAAGAAGAACCAGAGAAAGAACCAGAAAAATTGATAAATCTAGACTACTCGTTGTTTTTTTTGTCATGTACTTTCTCTCTATGCATAAAAAGTTCAAAAATCTGTGTTCCCTCTACAATATTACACATCATGCTCGTATTAGAAAAAGACCTTATAGATAAAATGCGATAATGATTTTGCAATTTAAAATAAATTAATTAAAAAAAAAAAAAAAGAAAAATTTATTAAGAAAAAAAAAGGATTATATAGGTTAACATATCGAGTTCTTACCTACGTATATTCCTCAACCCTCCATATGGAAAGTAGATAGACTCTATGAGTTGGTAGTAACGTATAGCCAAGAAAACAGAAATGTCACAGAGACCCCCAAAACCGCACAAGTCGACATCACTACCAATCATTGAGGATAAAAGGGCCTTAGAATCTGAAGTACCGCAATCCCAATCAAATTACCTAGTGGAGGAAATCTATCCCGACAAGAAAGCGGCCGGTGAATCAAACGAAGCAGCAACTAGAGAAGTAAAGGCGGTTAAGATTTCTAAAGATAACAATAAATTAGAACTACCCCAGAGGGAGTCTCATGTTATTGCACAACCTGAACAAAGTCATGATAACCCAACAACAGGAGGAGGTCCAACAGGAGGAGGTCCAACAGGAGGAGGTCCAACAGGAGGAGGTCCAACAGGAACAGAGGTGCTTGAAGCAACACAGACGAGCCTGACCGTTAACCGAAATCAGAAACCGTATAATTTGCCAGAACTGGTCTCCTCAAATCAAGCAAATCCACCGCCCACTCCTTCGAAAGCAATTGTGACTCCCAATACCCAAAATATGCAGATTAACAAGAATACCATTTCCAATATCAATAAATCCTTGAAGGTGAAACAAAAGATTATAAACTCTAGAGAGCCAAACCCCAAAAACCCCACTTTGATATCAAGTATCATTAATAAATCACCCCAGTCTGCCGTTTTCCCGAATCTAGCAATGAATTCGAGTAAAAATGATATCGAAAAGTCCTCTTCCACTCAGTATGCAAATTCCTTGACAACAAGCAACAGTGCAGTTTCTACACCTGGGATAGGTCCTTCAAAAACCAGTAATATCTATAACTTAAACGATGAAAATGCTTCAACAATACGACAAGATCAACAAATATTGGGCCCTCCTCCCGCTGTTTCGTCTACCCGACTTTCACTGCCGTCACAAGAGTTACAGCCTCGATTGCAAATGCAGCAAACAGTCACCCCATCTGCAAGTTTCATGCTACATCCAAACGGCTCAAGTATGCATGCGCCGTCTATTACAAACTTGAATGATACAGATAATACGCAAAGTAAAAATACAAAGCATAAGAAGGTGGCTAAACAAAACTCTACAAAGACGGATTTTTTTGCGGCAAAATTGGCTAGTGCTGTTGATGATGTAGAAAGCAGTGATAGTGATGAGACATTTGTTTACGAGAACAATAACGACGAATTTGATATCACCAACAATAGTAATCAATTGGGCACACTAGACAACATTAGTGTCAGCGGAAGCGTATTTACTGGTTCTGGCGGGCCCAACTATCGAGTATCTTCTGCATTGGATGGCGAGAATCATATCGACAATAATAAACAGCACAAGGTTTCGGTCAATAAAGCACATTCTATAGCAAACTCGATGAATAGTATCAATCATTTGGAATTCACTGTATCAAAGCGTCCAAATCAGTTGGGAACATTGTCAACATTTTCCAATAATGATGCTGAGGGTAGCAAAAGCCCCTTGCAACCAGGAGCAGCAGATAGAGTTTCAAGTCACTCCTTTGGACTTGAAAGCAACCACCCACATCATCACCATCACCATCATCATCAGAATCATCAAAATCATCAAAATCATCAAAATTATCAGAAAAATATAGGTATTGTTCATTTGTCAAACGAAAATGACCATGATGATACTTTCTCATTCAATGAAACCGATGAAGATTTGGGCGAAATAGAACTGGTTGATGGAACAGGAGGAGATCTTGAAAAGAAGGTACCAGTTGCACAATTGGAACATACTTGTCAAGCGGCTTCCAATATCAATACTAATACTAATACTAATACTAATACTAATAACAATAACAATACAACTACTAATACTAATAACAATACAAATACAAATACAAATACAAATACAAATACCAATAATAATACTACTAATTATAATACTAATACTAATACTAATACTAATGTGCCAGCTTCGAGACTTCAACACTTGTCTGGTGCTCCATCTATATCTTCAGGGAGCAAGAACACATCAAAGAAAAATTACCAAACGTCAACAACCTCTTCAAAGTTGAGGTCAACCACTTCAAAGCTATTCGATAAAAAAGGTTCACAACCTAGAAGATACAGTATAATACCAGACGACATTGACATCGAAGATTTTGACGATGAGCTTATATACTATGATAACAATGTGGGTTTTCCTCACAATAATGAAACCACTCCCTTGTTAAACTTTAATCAAAACATCCCCCATTTCAGGTCGCTTAATTTGCATTATCCGGCAATGAAGCATCAAAATAGGAGATACTTATCGACGGGTCAAGCGTTAAACAATTCTGATCGCGACCCGAGCAAAGAAAGCAAAACCACATTCCCTTTTCCTTATCAGGATCTGCACTCTAATGTCTATTATGACATTGAAGCTTTTGATCGTGAGTCAGAGCAATACGATCCGAATTTTGATCTTCCTGATTTGTCTGTGAAAAAGAAAAACTCCGGGATATTTGGCGGTAGAGGGCACCAAGGTGGTGTCAATCGAATCAACAACCACCCGTTCTTGTTGACTCAAACAACGACGGCAAACAAGCCAGGTTGGTTGAAATCTTGCATATACACTTTGTTTTGTATATTGGCCATTCTTACCGTTGGCTTTATTTTGGGTTTCTTTATGGCAACAACAAAGGAGTTGACGGATGTTGAAATAATTTCAATTGAAAATCCAATTGTCAGTAAGGACGAGCTAGTATTCAATATTGTTGTGGAGGCATTTAATCCAGGGTGGTTTTCAGTGGATATTGATGATGTCGAGTTGGACTTATTTGCTCGCAGTGGCTACCTACCAGACGATGCAACTACTAGGAATTTCAACATCAACGATTCTAGGCTACAAATTTCGAAAACAGCGTCAAAAGTAGAGACAGTGAAATTAGGAACTGTACTTCGTTTAGAATCCTCGATGAATTTCAAAGCGGGCTTTTTTTCAAGAGAACCATCGATGCAAAAGGGAGAAATTAAGTTATTAAACCCAGGTAAGAATAGTACAGTAGAGGAGCCATCAATGCGGTCAAATGATACTAATTCCGACAATTCTCAGAAATGGACTGTTATAAGTGAAAATCCATTCGATTTAATCATCACGGGGGTATTGAAGTATACGCTTCCGCTTGGTACAAGCACCAAATCCGTTGTTGTGAGAAAAACAGGCTACATTGACCCAACTCTTTTTTTATACTAGAATTAATTAATTAGCTTTAGCTTTAGTTGAAGTCCTTTACCTTCTTTTTTATGTTTTTTATTTTTATTTTTTTTCTTATTTTTGAATAATATAGTATATATTAGCTTTTATATACCCGTCACTATATCATGTAATCTTTCGTATCCTGGTAGTTTTCGAAGCTTTAGTTGTATGTAATGGGGCTGTGGCTCAAATGAGGTTGCTCTCGGATTACGATTATTCTTAAAAGGATCCATATTCATTAGTAATGTCAGTGGTGTATTAATCTCAAACAACAAAAGTAATCTCACAATAAACATGTAAATTTCTCTGAGAGCCAAATTGTGGCCAGCACACATTCTCGAGCCTGCTCCAAAAGAAAAGTGTTGGTATGTGCGTGAAGCCTGTTTTATGGTGTTTGTATTCCGGTCCAACCATCTCTCTGGACAAAACTTAAAAGGCTGATCAAAACGGTCAATATCATGATTGGCAGCATAGGCATTCATAAAAAGCTGAGTATTGGCAGGTAGTTCAATATTGTTGCAAATTATCAGCTTTGTTGTCATCCTCGGTAAACTCAAGGGTAAAACAGTAAAGTGTCTCAAAGTCTCTAGAATCAAAGCGTATACGTATACGTTCACCATTTCAGGTTGATTCAGCTGCTCCCACGCCAACACTAAGTTCCCATTTGAATTTTTTAGAATCTCCTCTAGCGCATTCATTTGATACTGTAATCCAACTTGCGGTTGTGAGAAAACCCCTAATAGATAGTTCAAATTGAGTGGGGTGTTATCCAAGCCGGCACTAATCAATGTTAAACAGATACTGTGGATTTCTTGATCTGTTAACAAATTGTGACATTTTTCGATAACTAGTTTACCAACAATGCTATTGAGGCAGTCATCTTCATCCTGCATTATCCCTTTGGTTAGCCTGTCATATAGAACACTCATATACTTTTCCCTTTTCACCCCGCAGTTCCGCGCAAACAGACTATTTGTAAGTATCGGGAGTAATCTTAAGAGTGGAACTGAATCCTGCAAGTTAGATACTGGTGATCGCAACCTGATAATATCTGCTTCATTGGTAATGATCTCTCGAGCAAAGGTCATGTCGCTACCAAAACAGTCCAAATGTATTCCATAAGCCATTGATATAACACAGCGCAAAACGAAATATTGCAAGTGATGGAGAACACTCATGTCTTCACCAGTAGCTTCTTCCATCATCTTTCTGAAAGCAACATTCAATTCATTACTGAAAAGTGGGATGTGGTGTTCAATAGACCTTTTATTCAACCGTTCAGAAAGAACCTTCTTCTTCTTTTTAAACGTCAAGCTTGCTGGTGTTGATCCAATTGTGAAACCTTGAAAAGAGCTTACCAAGCCATGAAAAGTATAGTTTACCGGTCTCGAGTTGTTCTGACACGAATGGTTTACCCATAGATTAACTACATCGTTATATGAATTAACAACCACAACCCTCCTCACCCCCAATCTTATTTGGAAAATCGCTCTATCATACTTCTCTGCCCAGCTCAAAAATACCAATGCTGGGTTATCTAGCACATAATGTAAATGGCCAACTATTGGCCATTCTTTGGGTACAGAGAATACCCCCTTTATTGTATTTGGACGACTTGAAACCTCGTATAGTAGTAAACTCGATATAAATGCGAATATAGCTACACAAATTAGGAAAAAAAAATCCTGCTGGATGGACTTAGCTAGGTCTAGCAGATGTATCGACAAACTTAGCAGCAACATGCAAAATTATGTGAATTATTTAGCAAAATGAATATAGTGAGAACGGTTATCAAGCAATTAAAAAAAAAAAAAAAAAAGAAGAGTTACACATTGGGGTCTGGTATAGTACATATGGAGCCACTTATCTTGATGGAGAGGAAAATTGTTATTTTGAGATTTCGCAGCCATCGATCAGATTCAACTTGAAAAAAAAAAAAAAAAAAAAAAAAAAAAAAAAAAAAAAGATAAATGGGGTTTACAAGCTGAGTAATATCATTCATCATTTTCTCCTTGATCCAAACAAAGGCGACTTTAATTAGTGTAATCTGTATTTCATTGGTTGATATCATTCAAACCATTTCCTCCTTTGTCTCTCCGAATTTTTGGTTCTTGTAGTGTTCCCTTTGTTGCTCTTGTCGTGCCATTTCGTTTTCCTCGGCAATCAAGTCATCTAGGTCATAATCGTACTTATTCGGATCCATATCCAAATCTACTTCTCGTACCTTTCTCTTTCTTATGTGATTATCCTTATCGACAAATTGATTTAACTCAATTCTAATTGGTAAGTCCTCCGAGTGTAGTTCAAGTTTTTCTTTCAATGCACTGGCTTTAGATTTGAGATTTGCTTCTTTTTGGATGTTATTTTCAAGTTCGTCGGGTGGTATATAAGTATAAACACTACTTGCGTCACTTGATTTAAATTTTGTTTCTTTGTCTTGTCTCTTTTTAACTCCTGAGGAATGAGTGTTCCGCTTTATTGTGGTAAGTCCTGAGAACTTTGGCAAGATCAATACCAAAAACGCTAACACAAGAGCAACAGCAAGTATGATAAAAAACATAGTGAATTAGCCTAAAGACTAACTGACTCCTTTGTTCTGACTATTGGTGAAGAACAATTTTTGTTCCATCCATCAGATGAAATGCCTCTTTTTTTTTCGGGCTTTTTTTTTTTTTTTTTTTTTTTTTTTTTTTTTTTTTTTTGTTTTTTTTTTTTTTTTTTTTTTTTTTTTTTTCAAAGTACGAATTTTATTTTTTATTTTTTTCAATTCCTTTCCCCAGAGGAGAAAAAGATTACTTGAAGATTACTTTTTCCAAATGTTTCGAAGAGCTTTATTCAAAAGTGGTGCGTTAGGTATCAGATCAATAGCCTGGGTTTCGAGGATACCTAAGCATAGCAAGGTTTTGTTTGTTACGCCAAGATGGGTACTGCAGACCTCGCGAATGTACTCATTAAGTACTCAGGGCGAGAATTTAGAGGGCAAAATCGATCAGTTGAGCGATAATGAATATAGTAGACTCTCCAATGAGTACCTAGAGGAATTGTCTGACTCTTTAGAAGCTTTGGGTGAGCAATTTGGTCAGGTGGATTCCGAGTTGAATCACGGTGTTTTGACATTGACTCTTCCACCCAACGGAACGTACGTTATCAACAAACAACCACCTAATAAGCAGATATGGTTGAGCTCCCCTATAAGCGGTCCCAAAAGATTTGATCTAATAGAAGGCAAATGGGTAACTTTAAGAGACGGAAGTTCCTTAACTGAACTATTAGAAGAGGAGGTGTCCAAGGCAATTGGATCTAATTTTAAGCTCAACATTGATAGATAACAGCAGCAGCAGCAGCAGCAGGAGCAGCAGGAGCAGCAGGGTTTATATTTAAAGGATTTTCTACAAGACTACCAATATCTTGTTTTCTTTTTTTTCTTTTTTTTTTTTTCTTTCTTATTCTTTGAGTATTGCAAGATATATACGTTGTGAGAGTTTAACTGTGAATTTACTCTCCTCTCGTTTTTTGTATGGATCAACTTTTTTACATTTGATTATCATATTAAGAAAGAGAAAAGAAAAAAGGATTCCTTCCAATGCAATTGACTCTTTTTGAATAGTGCTTCCTCGTTGATAATAAAATGAAAATTTGGAAGTAGGACGACATGGAAAATGTGCATCATAATGATACATCCGAAGCGTTACCTAGCAACTTTTGACGATTGTTAAAATAATTTTCAGTGAAAAATCGACCAATTTTTTTAAACCTTTCTTTTAGAGAAGAAGAAAAAAAAAAGATGTAGTTGTCTAACTTTGTGTATATAGTGTATAATTCTCAAATTCATTTACGTATTGGGACCTACCATGAGACGTATTTTATTAATGGAACAAATTTCAGGTGGGAGAGACATATAGCAAACGTGTTTGATTAGAACATAATCTTGGTCGGTTTTTTTTGTTTTTTTGTTTTCCAAGACTTAAATACACAATCATTCAAATACTCAAACACCCAAATACTCAGTTACAATGTCTCATGCACCTCAAGCACCCAACTTGCCAGAAGGTTGGACAGCACAATGGGATGAAGAATACAAAAGGTTTTTTTACGTTAACAAGTTTACAGGAAAATCGCAATGGGAGCTTCCTACTGAGGCAGCAAGGCCACATGAAGGAGAGCATAGGGAATCAGGATCAGCTCTGGAATTTTACGAGCGTCCAATTGAAGGACCTCAATCAAGGTACGGCAGTGACTTGCCAGATCAGGGACAGCAAGGGAAGAATGATCTGGGAGAGCAATCTGATAGAGGAATAGGTTCCTTTGTTCTCAACCAAGCAATTAATTCCGTTATGGGATCTAAACAACATGCAAATAACAACAACAACAACAACAACAGCGGCGGCTTTGCTAGTGGGGCAAGCTTGGGTGGTGCTGCTGCTCTTGTAGGGAGCCTTTTATCTTCCCAATCAGGTCACACAAATAATTCCAGTGGTGGAGGACTTGGTGGATTGTTAGGCAGTCTCGGTGGTGGTGGAAACAATAATCAAAATCATCAGCAAAATTCTGGTCAATACGGAGCTGGTGGTCGTTATGAAAATAATAACAACAACAACAGTAATGAAGGAGGAGGAATTTCAGGAATGTTGAGTAATTTCTTAGGGGGTAAATCTAACTCGAACGAAAATCATAATCGACCATCGGAGGGTAGTTTTGGTGGACAGGGAAGATATGAAGGTGGACAGGGAAGATACGAAGGTGGGCAGGGAGGATATGAAGGTGGACAAGGTAGATACGAAAGTGGACAAGGTAGATACGAAAGTGGACAAGGTAGATACGAAAGTGGACAAGGTAGATACGAAAGTGGACAAGGTAGATACGAAAGTGGACAAGGTAGATACGAAAGTGGACAAGGTAGATACGAAGGTGGTCGTCGTAATGATTTTGATGATGGAAATAGATTTGAAGGAGAAAGACACGGTAATCGAAACGAACAAGGGAGAAGAAATGAGTTTTACAATGACGAGGGTGGCAGTTTTGGTTACAAATATAGTGGAAATCAGCAAAATAACCAATGGTGATTCCATCGAAACTTTACGATAAATGCTACCCCCCTCCAGATAAATATGCTTATGTATTCTATAGTTGAATCTCTTTATCAATTCAAAGTATTTTTTATTGGACCGAAACCACTTACATAGAGAATCTAAATGGCGTTTCTACAAGATAAAATTAATTTTTATTTTTTATTTTTCCACCTGGAAGGCATAAGGGCATGATTTATTGAGTAGCAAAATATCTCAACTATCCTTAAAGAAGAAGATTTTTACAACCCTTGCGGTACAGCTTTTGCAAAAAGCAATCTGAAATAACGCTTGCGAAAACCACATAAGCCTATTACTCCACTATGCCGCGGCATAAGGTTTTGGAGGTGCCTAATTTGTGTACAGAAAACGTCTCTATAGTCAAAGAACTCCACCCCCGTCGAAAAGTAAAGAGAATCTTAGTCACTATTCGACTACAACCACAGTGCTTAAAATCTATCATTGGAGATACCAAAGAGGACAAGAATTTGAGCAGCACAATAACAAATAAAGATTTCAAAAAAGGTGGCGGGTCAAAATCAAGATCAAGGCGGAATTCCAAGCGAGCAAATGTATCAAATCCCGAGAAACACCACTCAGAAAAGGAAGATCACGCAGCAACTTTGCCTAAGATGCTTGAGACTGAGCTAGGGCATAAAAAAGATCTAGAAGACCTCGAAGCCTTTGAAAAGGAATTGTTATCACACATGACCGAGGAGGAACCCCCCAAACTCCTGAAATCTGAAGAGAACAAAGTCATACAAGAGAATGTTGAACAGGCTACACCCAAGAATAGTTCTTCAAAAGAAACCACAGATGTGCTGGAGAACAAAGTTACAGGAGCAGAGAATTTGCCTTCCACTGTATACAATCGTTCTCTGTTTGAAGAGAAAAAGAAGATACCGTCTTTGCTTCTGCCACTGCTACTGCTGCTGTCGCAGAGTCAACAACGAGCAACAAATATTGTACACTCATCAGAAAACAATACTAGGCACAAACAACTTCCGCCAAACATCATACCCTTGCTCGAAGCCGAGCTAAAAGTGTTTGAAGAAGACGAAGAAAACGACGATGAGGATGAAGCTCAAGTTGACAAGGTTATATTTTCATTGAAAGATCCACTAGGAGGAACTAGAATAACGTTCCCCGTCAAATCTCAGTTTTGTAAACACTTTGAATGCTTTGATTATTACAATTTCTGTTTGTTTAATAAACTACCTGCCTCAACTCAAGCTGTGACCAAACGAAATATTCTCAAACAGAATTATGAAAAGTTATCCCGAAAAACTGGTATTAAGAAAGAAACTGCTAAGAATCAGGGCTCAGTCATGCAACCACAACTAAAACCATTGGATTTGAAATCTAAGTCCCTCCAAGAGATCAACTTACCGTCATATGTGACGATTTTGAATAGTCCAAAGTCAGAATACACTTCAAAATTCATTAGTCCGGGCTTCAAGAATTGTCCGTTATACACGTGCCCAATATGCGATACCAAGTTTCCTTTAGGTGCGCTAGTTGTTAGTGATGTTTTTAACTACTTTGTTAAGATGACGCTGCTGCAAATTGAGAGAATAGAATTAGTTGGTTTTGAGAAGTACCGACCGATAGGTGACATTGAGCCTACTTTTCAAGGAAATGGGAATAATAACGGCAACGAAGAAAATTTGATATTAATTAGCTCTGATGATGATGATGATGATGATGATGATGAGGGGGAGGTAGGGGAGGATGAGGATGAGGAAGAAGAAGGAGAGGAAAACAATAACATTAACGACAACGACGAGACTATTAGTCACGACGCCAGAGAGAAAATGGCTATGGGAAATCTTCTTACTTACGACAATAATTCGGGATGGCGACCACCCTTTTACGGTACTGCGTTTCGACCATGGTATCGTAAGCCACTGGAAGATGAAGGTACCAGTTGGGACAACCCCCTAGTTCTAGATTAGAAAGATGAATGGCTCCAACATGAAGGATACAAAATTTAGTTCCCTTGAAAGCCATAGCAATATAATAATATAAGGATATCAATCTTAAAAACCTATTACGTGAAGGCACTTATAAAGACTTGCTAGAGTGGTTACATATTGGTTTTTTGATACGTGCTGAACTTTGATATTGACTGTCTCTTTCCAGACAAAATTCAAGATAGAACAACCTATTTTATTCTTATCTCCCGTATAGCACTACCATCTATGTTTTATTTTTATTTATTTAACATATTTTTTTTTTTTTTAATATTCTTGTTTTCCTTGAAGGAACTTTAATTTTTCACAAGTGGGAGAGATATCCCTCAAACTCTTAAACTTTTACAGTACTCAAAGAAGAAAAATGTCGAGTATAGAAGAGAGGGTCAAAGATTTAGAGGCATTAATTGAGAAGCAGTCAAAAATCATTGCTACAACTGGTCAAAAATTGATAGAGATTCAAATCAATGATGTTAAGTCAAGAATGTCACTGATGGATTCAAATCCAAAAAGTACATCTCAAATAGACACTGAAGATTATGTCACTAATGAAGACGTGGTTCAACTAGTTACCGAACTTCAGTCCCAGTTAGACTTTTTAGAGGATAGAACTATACGTCGAACTTATAACACATCAGTCATCAATGACGAAGAAAAAATTGCTCCGTTGAGTAATAAGGACGGGGACTTTCCAACTTTCCCAATTCCTCAAACATTGGGAGAATTTAAATCATTGGCAAAACGGGATACTTTGAGATTGGGGTTATTCTATGAGATAATATTGCCAAACGAAGAAGAGATAAAACATACTCTTGAACATGGAAGCAATAGCAAGAATGGCATAATCGACCTCGCTACGAATAAAGATATCTCTCAGTTAGAATCACAATTCGACAAGGAGCAAGTGAGTGAAATTTACGATGAGTTGGCTAGGTATTTTGGCATTAAACATAGAAGGCGAAGTGATGGATGGTAACCCGTGTAAAGTATTTTAAAATAATTGTTGCGATTATTACAGAACAGCTTTGCAATTATAAGATGCAGTTGGAGCTAGTTCACTATTTGCCGAACTTAATAATGAATTCTCCTCCACCGTTTTTTAAACACAACCCTGCTTTCTTAGTCCAGTTGGTGTGGATTCTCTGTCTCTCTCTATATATATATATCACTTCACCAATAGTAGTGTGCAGGAACTCCTTAGTAGTTTTTTTCAACTTTGTAAAAAAAAAATACGTGGTTTGAAAAAAAAAAAATGAAAATTATCTAACTTGAAGACCTTTTGACACAATTTAGACACACAACAGTACATCATGGCCGACGAAACAGAAAAGCCAATACCGGAAGCGGTAAAAATGTCTGTATTTACACCATTAATTTATGTGGGTGTTGTACTTACAGCGTTTATGATTTTTTCGATATGGTATAGGAAGAAAAGGGTCGACAAGTTTAAGGAAGTGAAACCAATATTTAAAGAAAACTCTAATGCTCTTATATATCAGGAATTGAAAAGTCAATACACGGATCCAAATTTGGCAAAAGATAAAAAGCCCCACGAGAAGGTTATGAAGGCAGCTTTATTGAGAAGAGCAGCGGAAGCAATTAGAAGATCCATGAAGTTGAAAGAAAACGAACCGATATTTCATAAACTATACCAAAACGGATTGATTGGTGATGACATGTTCAAACAACTAGAGTTTCAAATCAAATTTCAGGAAATCGAATTGAAAGATATTGTTGTGGAGTGCGAGCTGTACAAGAAAGGGTGGTCGCAAACTTTTTTTCCTTTAGCACAAGAGATTTGTTTCAATGAAGCTTTGAGACGAAGAATGAATGCTATGGATGAGAGATTTGAGAACTTATCCCAATTGTGGGATTACCAGGCAAGTCCATCTAAATAGAAAACAAAAATAGAAAACAAAAAACAAAAGTATTATACCTATACGGAGGACAAAAATGTTAAACATGGGCGACAAGCACTGAAAATATGAGAGCCACTATTCCGTCGAAACAAGGAGTCTGTAGCCACCATTTTTTCTACTACAATTCTACTCTTGTTGTTTGAAGATTTGCCATTTGAGTGAGACAATGTATGAGAAAATTGTTCGACGCGGAATTATGAGATTTTTTCATTTTCATCTTCTCTTTTTTCTTTTTTTTTTTACAAGATAATACACTTGTATGTACATATTTCTTGGAAAGCCCAGGGCAGGCGATTGAGCTACATTAGCTAATTTCCAAATGGATAAAGTATTTGTATCATCAATATCACGCTCGCAAAGTGGGAGTATCAGAAGAAGAGATGTCACCGGTAGTAGTAGAGTTGACATTGATGAAGATTCATCAGCCACAACAGTTGAAGGATACACCAGCGATATAGATGAGATTATAGAGAAGACTTCAAAGTTGAAAATAGAAAACGACAATAAGCAGACGATATCTAAGCTTGCACGAATCATCAGTCCTTTAATTTTAACTGCCCTCTCGGCATTTGTACGAATATACCGTATAGAAACGGCCAATAAAGTTATTTGGGATGAAGCGCATTTTGGAAAATTTGCGTCCTATTATATTAAACGGGAGTACTACTTCGATGTGCATCCTCCATTAGGGAAGCTTTTACTTGGTCTCTCTGGGTACTTGGCAGGCTATGATGGGAGCTTCAAGTTTGAAAGTGGAGAGGAATACCCGGAGACCATGAATTTCATCTTTATGAGAATATTTAGCTGTTTCTTTGGAATACTAGTAACTCCTATTGCGTACAAGACGGCACTTGAAATGGGGTACAATCAATGGACTTGTTGGCTTATCTCATTAATGGTTATTTTTGAGCAGTTATCATTAACTTTATCGAAATTCATCTTACTCGACTCAATGCTATTATTTTTCACTGCCTTCACCTTTCTATGTTTGATGAACTTACACAATATAATTAGAACTAATTCCGAGCTATCTAAAAATGGGTTCAAATGGTTTACATTGACCGGGTTACTGATTGGCTGTGTATGTTCCGTGAAATGGGTAGGATTATTTGTGACAGTACTCGTTGGGTTGTATATTATTCAAGATTTATTGACAAAATATTTCTTGCTCACTTCAAAGCGTGGCATCAGCTGGTCAAGATATTTGAGTCATTGGGTCTTGAGAGTCACGACCTTGATAGTTATCCCAGTTGCTGTATATATGCTGGCGTTCAAAGTTCATTTCTTAGTCTTGAATCATACAGGGCCAGGCGATGGATCAATATCTTCGTTATTGCAAGCTTCATTGATTGGAAACGATTTGCAATCAGGACCAAGATCAGTCGCGTTTGGCTCATTAGTAACAATAAGGTCTCAAGGACTATCTCCGAACTTGTTACATTCCCATTCCCATGATTACCCAGAGGGTTCTAAGGAACAACAAGTTACAACTTATGGATTTAAAGACGACAATAACGATTTCATTATAGAGTATCCTAAGAAGAATCTAGACATGAACCAACAAAGTGAGCAATTTATTCAGAATGCAGATTTTATTAGACTTTGTCATAACAAGACAAAGTGCTGCTTACGTGCTCATTCAATTGGTGCTCCAATGAGTAAAAACCACTTTGAAGTTTCATGTTCCAACGATGACAGTGCTGATCAATCAAACTACGATTGGATTCTCGAAATTCAGTCTCAGGAGATATCACCTTCGCCTCATTTCCAAAACGAAAGCAAAACAGAACTACACCCCCTCTCGACAAATTTTAGATTGAAACATAGAAAACTTGGTTGCTATTTAGCAACTACTGGGAGATCTTATCCATCATGGGGTTTTCAACAAGGCGAAGTTGTTTGTAAGAACTCAATCTTTGACAAGGACAAGAACACTTGGTGGAATGTGGAGAAGCATGAAAACAGATTATTGCGGCTACCTACAGAGCCTTACTCCTCTCCCAAACCCAAATTCTGGAAGGAGTTTGTGCTTTTGAATTATGGAATGATGGCCTCGAACAACGCATTGGTGCCAGACCCTGATAAATTCGACAAAATAAGCTCAGAATGGTGGGAATGGCCAATTTTGAGAACGGGGTTGAGAATGAGTGGGTGGGGCGAAAACGATGTCAAATACTTTTTGATGGGTAATCCTTTTGTCACTTGGCTGTCGACAGCAGCAGCAACAGTATTTGTGATACCCTACACCCTATATTTCATGTTTCGTTACAAGAGACAACAAATGGACTCGGCAAAAACCAAGATTAATGACTACGTTACCAAATTGTTACTCCCCTTCGCAGCGTGGATATTGCATGTTTTGCCGTTTATTCTAATGGGCAGAGTAAAGTATTTGCACCACTATGTGCCAGCCCTATATTTTGCTATACTTTTGAGTGGATTCGTATTTGATAAACTACTCACAAACAGAAAGCTTCCTTGCATAGTATCACACATATCTTATTTGGGCTTATATTTCATTACCGTCTACGCATTCTGGTTCCTAAAAGATCTTGCTCTTGGAATGGAAACCTCAGCAAAAAACTTTCAACACTTACGCATCCTTGGCTCCTGGATGATTTGATCCACCATAATCAGATTAACAAGACAGTACTTCATGAACATAATCTCAAATCGACATCCCAAAACAAACTCAAACTAGGTTTACCACCTCACCAAAGAGAAAAGACATTTATAAAAACTAACCAACTAAACTTAAACGTTACCACTTTTGCTAAGGCTTTAAGGAAAGTTTCAAAACATTCCATATTTATATATTTAATTATAATTACTTGAAAATTCTCTATAGAGAAACTTACTCTGCATTTGAACAAGCTCTTAACTATAACATTTCCGCGACTGAGAACAATCATCCTGTCAAATGAACTTCACGAACAAGCTCACAAATGTGTAATATTCATTTTTGATAAAAACTAATACAATCAAATTTCACAAAACAACAACGGCTTCAAAACGTTTTTTTACCACCTCTACTTCAACAACCATACACATGTGAAACCTAAAACATTGAGAATACGGCCCGTAAGTAGCAAGCGTTTACTTCATGAAATATAAACATCGAGATGTCACACTATCATCTCCATGAAAGCCAACAAATGATTCTAAAGCAATTACGTATACATAAAATAAGCAAGTTAAAAAAAAACAAGCATAGGATTGCAAAAAAAAAAACAATACTTGACAAGTTTAAAAGATACAAACTATTCTTCAGTGAATGTTTGGTAGGGTATCAATCTCATTTAAGACTTTTTGATCCACCCGACCATGTAAAATTAAATACTTAACTGTTGTAAAATTGACAACACTTTTAGAAAAATAATCAATTAGTGCTCAAGATTTCTAGTTCGTTACAACAAATAATGAATATCACTCTAGTGGCTAAGAACTTGTATGATATCGTTCTTTTGCAACATTAGCCTTCATATAATGAACGACCTGATGCGGTATTCAATTGCCAGCTATAATGACGTGGAGCTTTGTTTTATATCCACAAGTTAGAAATGTTTATTATACACTTTCATCTTTCTCTTGATTGGTACCGGTCTTGCAATGAATAAGTTACGGCAATAATTTGAACCATTGACATGACCAAAAGCTGTTTATCGAGATAGTTAAAAGAATGGCGAGCCAGTGTAGCGATGATCGAAATAGGAGACAATCAGCTTTAAACATAAGGCATTTCCCAAACACGGCGAATAAAATGCTAGAATGAGTGACTTGTAATGAACATCCAATACAAATACAGAGAATAAACGTAAATCAACTTTATATTGTCATTACGTGTTATTTAGAGTAACATTGTTTTTGCTCCTTGTTACTGTGTTTTTGTTCTTGATTGCAGATTTCTATGACTTGGATTGAGTGATTGATAACAAACTCATGTCAGACATATTATCGTGCGCGTATGTGGAATTTCATTGAACAGTATATTTATAAGTAGATCTGGACCTTTTTAAATGGTGCTAATTTTTCACCGATTCAATATGTCTTAAAATGGTGCTATTTGCTTGCGCATGTTGTTATATCGTGCAGTTGAGATATCATATTAGGAGAAATTGAACTTGTTCACTTACAAGACGCTATAGATGCTAATACAGTGTGATTATGTATGGAATAATTTTTTTTATTTGTGCATTTTTTTGTTGTTCGATGTGAAAAGGTGGTAAGGGATACATAGGGAAGATGGTTTCTGCATGCCTCTCTACGTTACGGACGACTGGTTTTAGTAATTTTGGGGTCAAACAAAGGCACATAATGTCGGTAATATTTGATGTATATGATGCAATTACTGTTCGAAATACATTTGTTCTTCTTACGTCAAGAAGTGTTTTATTTGAGTATAGCCAAGCATGAGATTTTCAGCTTAAATTTCAGTTTCACTGTTTTTTCTTGTACTAGTGTTTTTCCTGCTGATGGATTATATTTATGCAATCGGAGTGAACCATGTTGGTGAACACCATTTTAGGTTTGTTGAATTCAGTTAAAATTCTGCCTTCAATTCTTGGGTACATGAAAATATGTTGTAATCGGATTCGAATTGTTGACCGAGTTGAGTAACATTTTTGGTTTGGGACTAGAATTTGTTTAGAAGATTTTGTCAAATTCTTTAGGCGATTGAAATTTTTACAATAGTGATTGAGAGATGATTGCATTTTATAGTTAGGTTTTTTTCTGTTTGGTACTTGTGTTTGTAACAGAATGTATGTGCATTTAGTGATTGCATCACTTTGTAATGATTCTAGTTTTCTATAGATATCAAAGAAGTTAACTAAACCTATTGATAAGCTATTGATCATAACAAGTCTATTTTTCTTTTCAATACCGACAATCTATTGCCGATGCTTACAATGAATTTTTCCACCATCACTTTGTCATCATCATCCAATTTACGATCCGTATCCTTCTTGTCAACATCTTCCTCATCCAATAATGCCTCTAACATCCAAATTGCAGTACTGTATGCTAATTCGCACCCTTTCAAATCTTCTTTAACCAACTCGTTTACAGCAGCATTTCTTGACATCTCCAATGCTCTGTCAAAAAGCAATTTTTCAGCTACAACTCTTGGCTCATCCATTTCGTTTTCGTCAAAGTCTTCGTTTCCATCTATTTCTGCAATGGCTATTTTCGCTTCTTGAAACCTGAGTTTGACAAATTCCGCTTTCTCCAAACACTCGTTGAATTTCTCTCTAATCCACTGCACTAGTTGGTTTATCTTTTGCGATGTTCGGATATCCACCTTATCTTTGCTTTCTACAACCAGATTCCCAAATTGGTTATACCACCATGCAGAGGCAACGGACATTCCTTTGGCCAAAAGAGACAACGCTTTTACGTACAATACCATGCCTTCCTCACTTATCGTTTTAACGATTTTCGGGGGAAGAATGTCTCCATTATTTGATAAATCGTCATTGGCTGCTTCCCATGATGGAGGACTAGGAATGAGCTGACTAAATTTGACGTCAGCAAATAGGTTCACCGCGTGCGCCTTAGTTGCAATTGTTTCCAACTTGAATAAAACCACTTCCTCGGCATTAAGGTTGGTTGAGGATGAGCTCGAGATTCCAGTTTCTGATGTTTCATTGTTTGCAGCCATAGTGGAAACGGGGAGGTTAAGTTTTTGCAAAAGTGCATGATTTGCAAAATTGGGACTTGATACAATTTCCGAAAAAGATACTGGACTAGGCTGCTTCTCGGCAACGACCTGGTTGTTAGAAGTGGCTGCTCCTCCGCTCCCTCCAAACAATCTGTGTGATGCTAATCCTATTGCTTTGCTTAATGCGTTTGTTGGTGAAATTGATATCGATATTTTCCTTTCTGTAAAGCTTGGTCTTCTTTGGCTGCTGCCACTCAGCGAAGTTCGTCGGAATTGTTGAGTTGGTTGTGATTTACCGCTTTTGTTGTCTTTCATGGAAATTACAGGACTATTTCTAGGATCATTTATGGCCTCTGCGCCGCTTCCTGCGTGAGCAAGTTCATCTGCAATTGCGTTGACTTCTATAGCCCTTTTTTCAACCACAACGTAATCTTTTTCAAGAAGAACATCGTCTCTTTTAATTTTCAAAATGGGTGAATTGTTTATTGAATGTGAGATGTTATCCGGATCAGGACTGCTTCTGTGAATAAGTTGTTTTATCTCTTCATCTTTTAACTTACCCTCTTGTTGGTTGATGAGACTTGCATTGCTATCCTTCTGCACGCTATGTTTATTTAGGGAATCAGACGTCTTCCCTGTGTTTACTGCAGATGCTTCGAGTGTTGACGCTTCTGTAGATTGTTTCGTATCATTCTGCTGTTGCTGTTGCTGCTGCTCCTTTTCCTTTTCCTTTTCCTTTTCGTTTTCCAACATGTCATTTCCCTCTTGATCTGGTGATGTCAAGCGCGGCAACGGATTTAAAAAGCGAGATCGGTCGGACCTCTTTATAGGGCTGATATATTCACTAATAAACAAGTTTTCGTCCATTTCTGAAGTTTCCAAAGGCGCATTGGTCTCTTCAAGGTCGCATGTAATCAAGTTGTCGTTGAAAAACTCCTGAAAAGAAATTCGCTCAGTTGGATTGTACTTAAGCAAAGATTTAATTAACTGTTTTAAAGATTCTGGTACTTGTGCAGCCGATGGAAATTTGATTTTATCGTTTGCCTTTTCAATGTTTTTCAACAACTCTATATGATTATTTGCTTTGAATGGAGGCTTGCCAACTGTCATTTCGTACAAGACGGCTCCAACAGACCACAAGTCTGCTTTTGCATTGTACTTTTCGTATCTCAAAATCTCGGGAGCCATGTACAAAGGGGATCCGCACAAGGTTTCAGCCATAGAGGTTGACGGTAAAAAACGAGCAAATCCAAAGTCTGCAATTTTCAAAATAGGTAGTTCCCACATTCCCTTGTAATGACGACTCAGAAACTCCTCTTTGGAATGAACCGGGGGACATAGTAGCAAGTTTTGTGGCTTTATGTCTCTGTGTACTAAACTTTTGTCTCGAAGAAATAGCAAGGCAGAAGATAATTGCCTTAGAAAGTGTATTACTAATACTTCATTTAGTCCGTGAGAGCCTTCTGGAGAAGGATAGCGCTCAAGCAAGCTGCATATCACCGGGTGGGTTTTAACCAACTGGTTTCTTCGCCGTATAAAGTATGACAAATCACCCATCGAGCAGTAATCCATTATCAAATGAAAATGAGCACTGGTTTGTTTATAATCCAATAGCCCCACAATATGCGGGTGTTTCATACTTTTTAGAATCAGTATTTCAATCTCCAAATTCTCTATAAGTTTCTTGGACTTTAGCTTGGATCTGTTTACCGACTTGATTGCAACTGCAGTATTATTGGTTGTATTATATCCTTTGTATACTGTGGCAAAAGACCCCTTACCTATCTCAGCCCCAACCAAATATATCCCTATGAGCTCTGTTTTTTTCTGCAGAGTTATTGATGTAGTAGACTTTGTTGTTGTCATTGCTGAATGTTGGGATGATGGTGCATAGTTGGTTTTGCCACTAGTGTGATCATTATTGTGGGGGTGTGGTGGACTAGACATTACTATGGCTTTTACGTGATAAAGAAAAGGAAAGTACCGATAAAAAAAAATAAAAAATAAAAAATGCTAAGAGGACTAATATGTCATAAGTGACTTAGATAGATAGATAGTACACGTAAAAAATGGGGGGGGGGGGGGGGAAAAAAAAAAAGGGGGGGGGGGGGGGGAGAGAACAAGAAAATATTAGGCGAAGCTCGTATACTTCTATAGGAAATGGAATAGCAGTAAGAGAGCGTAATGGTATTGGGCATACCTTGAATGTAATGTGTGTGTGTGTGTGTATTTGTGTGAATGATAAAGTTTTTGATTTAGTTTAAGGTAAGATGGAAAAGACTTAATATTCCCATTTTACCGCACAAAAAGAAGATTTATCACTGATCAAATACCAACAAAAAAAAAAGAAGAAAAATGCAAAAGGAAACACTTGATTACTTACTAATGGGTGGTATTGGTGAATGATGTTGGTGGTACGTGTTAGAGATGCTACAAGAAATGCTGCTGCTGCTGCTGCTGCTGCTGATGGCATTCTAAAGGTGAGGAGAATAATTGACAAAAATTTATCACTCGAATTATGCGACACTAAAAGTGCGACAACTGATAAAGAAAGAAAAAGAAAGATAAAAGCTACTATTTTTACTCTATTGATTGATTTATTTATTTTATAATTATCTTTTGTTCTTTTTTTTCTAATTTGATAATTTGATTTATTTTACTTCGACATAACCGATTAATGCCGACAACGAAAAAGAAAAAGAGGGGAAACCCAAGTAGAGATATGAAGCCTGAAGCCGTTAGCTGGGATCTTGTACACTAAGAAAAGTCTCTCATATCCTAATAGACTTTGTTTTGTAAGCACTGGGGGGAGGTCAAAGCATGGAAGGAAAGGGTTTAATCCAATACAAATTAGCCGCACTAATTTTAAATCTCTACAACAATAGTCAACGTTTCTGTTTTCATAAAATTTCCTTTTTCTTCTTTTTTTTTTTTTTTTTTTTTTCTTCTCTTCATTAAAAACTTTGTTAACGGTTGAGAAGGCAACCAGTTGTATTGAGAAAGGAAACTGGCTGATTCCTCTTTTCATGACCCAAAAAACCAAAGCCATCTAGGAGGATTTTATTGTCAAGTCATTATAATCAGAAGTATTTTTATGAGTCAGAAAGGAAAAAAAGATACGCGACATAATAATAGTTTGAGAAATCTTGACTACACGACTTTTTATCGAGGATCACCTAACAACCATGTTTATTAATTTTTTTTTTTTTTTTTTTAAAACCCCATTATCATGACTCCTTAAAAAAACAGTAGGAGAACCTTACTACAAGAGCCTCTGCTTTTCCTTCAAGTTGGGCTTGTGCGTGCCTGTGTGTGTACTATATGATTATAGTACGGTGTTTGAGCTGACCCCCTCTCCCCCCCCTCCACACACGCAAAATCACAAACAACGCCTGATTATTCATCACATCATAAAGAATAACAACAACTACAACAACTAAAACTACTTATTACAAACGACCACAACTACTTCTTACAACAACCGCAAGAATTTCTCAAACAATTTGTTGACGAGTATGAATGCAAGTAAAGAGAACTGCAAGTTTCAAAGTATTGGGTCCTCGGGAAACAATACAAGTGTTCTTCCTTCTACCAAAAATAATAATGACAGATTATCTGAAACAGGTCAAGTTTCGTCAATACCTAAGAAAAGCTCCAATTTGACTTCTCAAAGGAGAAGCGACTTTCAGATGGTGGTTAATGAATGCTCCGATTCTGAATCAACCACATCTGCCAGCGGCTCTCTACCTAGTTACGCCGCAGTAAATCACGCGCGCCAATCAATCAGGAAAAATCATAACTGGCCTAATCATTCTGCTAATACCATTTCAAGCAACAACAACAACAACAATAACAACAATAAGATATCAAAGATATTGTGTATCAACTTTAATCAGGATCATGGGTGCTTTGCCATTGGCCATGAAAATGGGTTCTTGGTATATAATACAGACCCGCTAGATCTACGTGTCAAGAGAATATTTAACAACACGAGCCCAATCCTAAACGCGTGGCCACCCGCTACCGCTTCCATATCAGCTTCACCAATTGGCTCAGCATCGCCACGATTGAATGACCGTCAAAACCAATTCCTTCATTTTCTGGAGTCAGATACAGGTCTGAAACCATTAGCAGGCTCTGGTATTGGACATGTGACAATGCTACATAGGACAAATTACGTTGCATTAATAGGAGGCGACTACAACCCTAAATTCCCGCGAAACAAGTTGGTGATTTGGGATGACTTGAAACGGAAAATAAGTTTGTTGTTGGACTTCCCCAAGCCTGTATTGAACGTATTATTGTCTCGAATTAAAATTGTTGTTGTTTTGATTGACGAGATAATAGTTTACACGTTTTCATCGCCGCCAAAGAAGTTGGCAAGTTACGAAACTTGTAAAAATGAATATGGTCTAGCAGACTTGTCGGTGATAAACAGTGTTAGTCATAGGTCCCTATTGACAACAAATTCCATGGAAAAGGGAAAATCACTAGTTCAAGAGGCACAGCTACCTATAAACCGACAAGGGACAAATCACGGATCATTGTCCAGTAATGCAAGCGACAACAACAACAACGACAACAATAATAACAATAATAATAATACTAGTAGCAAAATTAATAATAACAACAACAACAACAACAACAACAACAACAGTAGCAGTAGCAACAACAGTAGTAGTAGTAGCATAAGCAGCAGTACCATATCAACTGGGGTCCCACTCAACCAAAGTCAACATTATCAAACCCCTCCCACATGCGCGATTTTGGCATTTCCGGGAAAAGCCATTGGTCAAATTCAAATAGTTGATATTGGTCAACAACAGCAACAGCAACAGCAACAGCGGCAACGGCAACGTGAGAACAATGCACCAACAAGAAGTTCATCCACAGTAAGCGCACCCTCCATCAGTATTATTAAAGCCCACAAATCCGCTATACACAATCTTTGTCTTAATAAATCGGGGACATTGCTAGCCACTGCTTCTGTGGTGGGGACCATCATTCGCGTGCATTGCACCAAGACGTCAAACTTGCTTTTTGAATTCAGAAGAGGTATAGATAAAGCAGAGATCACCTCTATGAAATTCAATCATAACGATACTAAATTAGCAGTGTTATCTGATAAGTATACTTTGCATGTTTTTAACATAGAATTAAATGATACTTGTACTCTTCAAAATTCATCGAACCAAACTAACAAAACACGCACAAATAATTATAACAATAATAACAATAATAACAATAATAATAGAGAACACATTTTGAACAAGTATATGTCATACTTGCCTGCACCACTTTTACCTCAATATTTCAAAAGTACCTGGAGTTTTTGCAGCGTGAATACCGGCAAATACCATCAAAGTGAAACTGACTTGGACATGGGTATAATTGGATGGCTGGGGAACGACGCAATTATAGTCATTTGGCCAAAGAAAAAGTTATGGGAAAAATACTCAATATTGAAACAAAAACACAAGTCAAGTGAAGGTGCTGATGATCAATGGGAAATTACAAGAACCAGTTGGAAATCTCTCGAAAAGGACTGAATAGATTCTTTCATATCACTGATATTATTAGTAGTAGTAGTAGTAGTACTATTGCATTGACAAAAAATGTAAACCTTCTTTTGTTCACAAACTTTCGCAGAGCAATGGCTGGTAGAATACTTTTTCATTGGTTCTTGAAAAGTCTTGTAATATGTGCCAACTTTTCCCATGAAAATTTCTAATGAATCTAGTAGCACACCTTTCTTTCAAAAAGTTGATCAAAACAATGCTAATCTCCTTTGAAATATCTGATTCTACTACAGTCCTGGGCTCTATGGGATTCAACCCGTAATTTCGGAAGTATGTGTTTGTTATAGTTCGTTTCACCCCAAATGGCCAATTATGAACAAGAACTGTTTTCCGTCGTCTATTTAAATCTATCATGTTCATCAATAAGTCATAATTAAGGAACAGCAGCAGCAGCAGCCCTTGTAAATTCGTACTCAGATGAAGAATCTGTTCTACTAATTGAGCATGGTTTGGTTGCTGAAGAATCGGTGGAACTAATTGTTTTGTAACAATATCTATCGGTTGAAATGTCAAGTTCATCGGTATGCCATTTATCAACTTATTCGACGTTTCTAATTTGTATACGCAGGCATTTAGTTGATTTTTGAAAATGAGATAGTACTCATTTTGGAATGTTAGCAACTTATCATCTCTCCTTTTTAGCACTTCGAAATTGTTTATTGGATTCAAATTGTAGTTTAAGTATCTTTCCTTTGGTAAAAGATTCTGGAAATCTTTTTTCGTTATAAACAGGTTGGGGCATTTGAAGGATAATATATTGGACTCAAATTTAGGTGAACATTTTGATACAGCCTCCTGTGCTGGAAGTTTCCGTAATTTCGAGAAATCGAATATTTCCGATGTCAAGTCCTCGTGTAGTAAGTTGGGGCTATTGTCTGAGATTTCCAGGTAAAGATGCTTTGTAATTCCGGGCGTTAGTTCCTTCAACGCTAGATTGGAAGCTGTTTGTGAATATAGTAGATTCATCAATCTCTTCGAGGTTTCTGTACCAGGCTTGACCATACTAAAAAATCCTACCCCAAACCGTTGACTATCTAAAAACTTTGAAATAGTGGACACACCACTTTCGCCTTTAATTAAGAGTAGTAGTAGTAGTAGTAGTAGTAGTAGTAGTATAAGAAGAAGTATATATTGTGATAATATCGCGAGCAAGCCTTGAAAAATAAAAATAAAAACTAGTAACAGTGTCACGTGAGGACTCACATCTCTACCAACGAGGAAAGAGGATACAGAAGGGAGATGCGAAAGGAGGACAGACATGGACAAAAAAGGAAGACGAGAAGGTCTAGTACAGCTTTGTTATAGAGGTATAAACTTGTTCTTTTTCAACATTACCTGAGATATGTGAATCGATATGGTGTAGTGACATTTTCAAAGATTAAGAAAAGGTTTCATCATCTCTTTTGCAACCTCTTGACTATTTAAAAATTGTACTTTTTTTGAGATCTGTTACACATACTACACATAACCAAAGTGTCACAATTTGTCCTAGTATCATCAGAGAATCCTACAGTTGCAGAAATCAAGAAGTTCACTAAATACCCGAGTTTCTTGTTTTTATGAATGGAGGGAAAAAAAAAAAAAACATTTTAATGTCAATTTGAAGCCAAATTTCACAATTCGCAGTAACTAATAATATTAACAAAAATTCACTTAAAACAATTAATTAAATTACTTTGATTAATACAGGGTACTTTATATTTCAAAAGAGTAGAAACCGAACTTCTTGAGTATTCTTGTACATACACACATACACAAATACACACAGACACACAGACACACAGACACACAGACACACAGACACACACAGACACACAGACACACACAGACACACACCCAAAAACCTTCTTCTTCCTTCATCACGGGCTTTCTTTTTTCTGCTTCAATACACCAAATCACATCATCGCCACCAAAAGAAGAAGCTTCTTCCTCAGCACAACCATCATCATTATCTACCATCTTGTAAATAACAGCCAACCGTTTTAAAGTCTTATTTTGTATATAGTCCACCTCCATCCCCTCCCACCTCCTGCACACATACACACGCTGACTCAAAGGATAAAAGCAATATCCTCCATTCCATTCAGCCACTTATTCACCTATCAGTGCTATTTTTCAACCACGTTTTTTTTCTTTTTTTTGGTTAAACGAAAAAACTATACTATTTTAAAAAACTATACTCCCTAACCTAAAAAAACTATACTTTAATTGTTTATTGATTCAAGATCTTTGACACTTGAACTTGTACAATAATGCCAACCGAAACCATCTGGTCCAGCAGTCATTCCTCTCCCATTCAGACTAACGCGCTGTTGACTTCAAATCCCATTAAATCCCATAATCATTTTAAATCCGTATTAGATCAAGTGGATTCAGATGTTGCCAAGTTTTTAGCAAATTCAAATCCCTTGGATCCACTACCTACCAATTTTAGTGAAAGAAGGCTTTCCTTTGACGATGGGAGTGACTTTGATGACACGTCTTTTGGTTTCAAAAGGGGCACTTTGTCTGCTATTACTGCTCCTGTGGGTGGAACTAATATCAACTATAATGCACATCCGCCTCAATTCAACTTGTCACACGATAACGTTGGTGTAAATGGTCAAAAACTCAATTTTGGAACAGTTTCAATTAGTGGGGGCATTGCAAGTAGACATCCACCACCACAAGAGAGCTTTTTACAAAAATTCGCCAACGTTGCAGATACAACTAGAGAAATCGAGTTTGGGAATTTGTCCTTGTCTTCGCGGAGAACTAGTTTTATTGGTAATAATAGTGCCAAAGACTTGTCAAAATCTTTATTGAATGGAGGCATATCGGCTACAACTAAAAGTGGATCCTTGAATGAGAATTTAAACATGCCGGCTCCAAGGACTTCGAGGCATCAGTCTATTAGTGAAAAAATTGACAACTACAATAATAACTCGCCTATACAAGCTAACTCTGCTTTGTCAGTAAACTCGGAGTTGAATGCACCAGATGGTGATTTGAACAATGGACAAACAAATGGGACTCACAGACCTCAAACGTATTTTTGGAATCCAGCCGCTGCTACATCATTTACACCAGCAAATAATAATACTGTCAACTATTTTATGGATAATGGTGCATCATTTGCGCTACCCACGCCCCCACCTATACCACCTCAGGCACCACTAGCTCCACAAGGTTTTTCTCGTCAAGCTCCAAACCAAGGGAACATGCCACCATTGAATATCCCTCAACCGTTTATGGTCCCATCACCACCTCCACCTCCACAGTTTTTGGACCCGACTATGTTCAACATGGTGTATGGTAATTTTTCTCCCTTTCCGCCTGGTACAGTAGCAGCAGCAGCAGCATCATCACCAACAGCAGCAACAGTTCCTCCTCCTCCCCCTCCCCCCATGCCGGCTTCTTCTTCTTCTTCTTCTTCTTTGGATCCTCCAGATAATGAAGCAAAGAATGATAAATCTGACGCTGACAGAGATGGTGATGCAAAAAAGAATAGAGATTCGACAGGAAATCAAAGTAATCAAAATGAGTCGAAAGAAGATTCATCCGAAAGCAGAAAAAGCAAAATTGATTACCAGAATGGCGCACCGCGAATAGGAGTAGGACTAATGAATCGACAGCTTTCTCCTGCTTCCTTTATGTTTCATCCTTTTAATCCGTATTCGGTTTATCAGCAATCTTCGAATATGATGGCGCCTGAGGGAATGACAAGTTTGTCGCCACAAGCAATGGGAATGTCGTTACCACCACCAGTTGCCCTGGTTCCGTCACCTATTCCATTTTCACAACAACCACAACCACCACCACCACCAACACAACCACAGCCACAACAAGAAAAACAAAAACAACAACATACACAACCAACACAACCACCTTCAAAATCCGCGAAAGATTTTGGTAAGCATGGTAATGGTGGACATTCTTCTACTACTAACACAAAGAAAAAGTCTACATCATTAAAGAATAAAAACTCTGGAGGCTCGATACATATATACCGCTCTCCACTTTTAGAAGAAGTGCGTTCGAATACTAAAGAGAAAAAGTATACCCTTAGAGACATTTATGGACATGCTGTGGAATTTACTAAGGATCAACATGGATCAAGATTTATTCAACAAAAGTTACCAACGGCAACTGATGAAGAGAAAGAAGTGATATTCAATGAAATCAAAGATATATCCTTGGATCTCATGACAGATGTATTTGGAAACTATGTAATTCAAAAATATTTTGAACACGGTTCCGAAGTGCAAAAACAAATTTTGTTGCAACATATGATTGGTCATGTTTATGAGTTATCCTTACAAATGTATGGATGTCGAGTCGTCCAAAGAGCCCTCGAATCACTTGATAAGGTTGAGGATCAACTAAAGATAATTGAAGAATTGCGTGATTATATATTGATATGTTCAAAAGACCAAAATGGTAACCATGTTATACAAAAATCCATCGAAAAAATCAAACCCTTCGAAAAGATCAGATTCATTTTGACAAGTTTGGAGAATCAAGTTAACCACTTGAGTATGCATTCTTATGGTTGTAGAGTGATCCAAAGGTTACTTGAATATTCAAATAAAAACGATCAAAAAAAGATTTTGCAAGAATTGAATAAATTTATCTACTACTTGATTCAAGACCAGTATGGTAACTATGTTATTCAGCATATTTTGGAACAAGGTGATCCAGTGGAGAAGGAAGAGATTTTAGAAATAGTGTTGAAAAACGTTGTGAATTTTTCAAAACTAAAATTTGCTTCAAATGTGATTGAAAAATGTATAAAACACGGTGATTTAGAGCAAAGAAGACGTATTTTACATGAAGTTATGGTGGGAAACGAAAAGCCGATAATCGGAAATGATGATCCAGTCAGTGATGATTCACCATTAGCATTGATGATGAAGGATCAATATGCAAATTATGTTATTCAAAAATTAGTTGAAGTATTTGACTCCAATAGTCCCGAAAAGAGGCAATTAGTTTTGAAGTTGAGACAATATCTCAAACAATTATCCGATAAGAATAATTATGGAGGTAAACATTTGGCTAGTGTTGAGAAAATGATAATCGTAGCAGAAACTGCATTAGATTAAGTGAATCAAATTTTAGATTGTTCATAAATATATATATATATATATGCGTGTGTATATATAAATATTCTTTTTGTTTGTGGTCAGCTTACACATCGGAACAATTTTAGAAAAGGATTAGCGCTATGAAGTATTAACCGTTTTTTCTTTTTGTTCCTTTCGTTTTGTGGCTTTTTCGATTTGTGTATTTGCAACAACCGAACATCATCAAAATTGATTCTGCGGTTCGGAATCAGAAAAAAAAAATTGTGGGTTGCTTGTGTCTTTATCTCCGTTTTGTATTGTTACATTATCAGCCTTAGACTGTGAGTTGGCAAAATTTGTACTGTGAAAAAGTTTGCTTCCAACATACATTACAACGGGCAAGAAGTGTAAAATGAAAAATAAAAAGGAATGTCTGAAAATAATAGTTTGAAACTTAAAGGTTGAAAGTTTTAGAATACGAAACAATGTTTTCTCTTACGCAAGATGTCTGCGTAGTATGTGTCCATTTTTTTTTTTTTTTTCTTTTCTTTTATCGGGCAAGCTGGCCATATAGTAGTCTCTTGACAATCGTTGTTAGATCACACCATAAAGGGGGAATTGGAATGACATTTTATGACTCCTTTAGATTATTTGAAGGATCTAAGTAACTCCCATTTAAATTTGTTCCAATGATAATCTTTATCGGGATTATTATTGTTATCACCTTCTTTTGTGAGATCATTACTATTGCCAGTTATAGTATAGTGGTTATTCTTATAATAGTCCTTGTAGATTTGTTTAACTTGTGTCAACTTGACTTTCAAATTTGAATCTTGAACTTGTAAATAATCATACAAAGTTATCCATTTTAGTATATCCAACTCTGTTAAATTTAAAATCTGTTCATGCGTTACCGTTTTGCAATTATTGTTACTCGTTGAGGGTGCTGCTGCTGCTGCTGCTGATGATGATGATGATGAGGATAATGATGATGAAGGTGATGTTGGTTTTCTACTAGGTACAAACATTTCCAATGCGCCACTAGCGTCACTTTCTATGGCAGCTGATGTATTATTTAATGTGTTGTTAGCTGTCAGAAGTGAGTTAAAATTCTTCAAACTCAACAATGAAGTCGTACTAAAACTTCCAACTTCTGAAGGCAATGACGAAACAGTTGGGGAGGTAGCACTGCTTAGCTTCACCCCTATCGAGCCACCGGGATGTTTCAAGCCAAACAATTTTCTTCTCTTGTACAAATCATTCTCAATCAACTCAGATAAAGCTAGAATAACGGAATCGGCCAAGATTAACGATAAAGTCGTTGATACTGTTGGTGCAGGTATACCATGGATGGACTCTTCGTTATGAGTAGGTAATAGCTCAGCAAAAATCAAGCTCTTTATCCTACCACTTGTAGATAATTTCGAAATTTTATTGCATGTCAATAGAATGATTGGCAAATCTTGTGAGAGATGAGGTAGTAAATTAATTAATTCCGGAGTATTACCTGAAGATGTTAGCATGATCAAACAGTCCACTGAGTCATTTATCAAGCCCAAGTCCCCGTGTAAGGCTTCTGAAGGATGTAAATTACTGCTGGATATACTTAATGAGTTTAGGGTTGCCACTAATTTCAATGCCAATTTGTAGGATTTGCCAATACCGCTAATTATGATCTTACCATTTTTTTGAAACGTTTTGAACATGATTGATAGGGACTCGACTAAATTATTGATGGAGAACTCGTCTGTTTGGTATTGATTATACAAATGCTTTACTGCCTCGTTTTCCAACTTTAGGGTGTTTGTGATGGATGATAGGGCCGTTTGAACAAAGAATTTCGCGGGTGAAGAAACTTTGGTTGAATATGAGTCATCATTAATGGCGCCTGTATCGCTAGTAGTGGTAGTGCCGGTATCAGTATTATTGGCCTTTGCATTAGGGTTGGATGATAACAAATCTGGGAGATTGGCGTTGCAATTATTACTACCTGGACATAGCGATTGGTCTTGACACTGTGACATCATATAAAGGGGTGGCAATGATGAGGAAAAGGTATGTAGGAACGGCCCTGTGGATTAGCTTCTTGTCTTTGTGTTGGATGAATGGGGGAATAACCCTATAGTTGAAATAAAAGTGAAAACCTTTTATGTCGATATCGAAGATTTCCAAGGTTAAGGAAAATAAAAAAAAAATATATAAGAGATCCAAGGTATATATGGCGGAGAATGAACAGAAGGAAGGTGCGTGCGTGCGTGGGGCAGGGAACGGAGCTTATTGGACTTGTTTAAGTAGCAAAAAACTACTATAACTAAGTCCGTAAACCGGTTTTCAGTTATATATATATATATAAGTAGAAATCTAAGTAGATCTCTTTATGACGGATTTCATAATGTCGTCATGATTTGAAAAAATGTACAATTGAAATTTTCCTCTTACTGAAATAATAAGGTACACAAAAATTTGATTAGTAATTTTCACCTCACAGCAACAACTTCTATATGTAACAGTTTGATAGGAGTTGGGTATGCAACAGTGATAGCAATTATGAGCTTGATTATGCAGAAGAAGTTTCCTTTCCCATTTATCTATTGCGGTGCAAGTAATATAAGAATCTAGTGCATATATTTAGACAAGAGCATATCTAGCAAGAACAAAATATAAAAGCATGTCCTAGCAAGAGCAATATACAAGATCTCCTTTTTTGTAAAAGGGGCCTGTAGTAAGCAGAAATTCTAAACTGTATATTGTGCTTTAGAATAGGCATTTCTTAGATTAACAAACTGAATTTTGGTGTTAAGTTTGAGAAATTTGCCTTTATTTGATGCAAAAAAAAAGAAAAAGAAAAAGAAAAAGAAAAAGAAAAAAGATTTTACAATGTACAACGTTTGTTAGACCAAAACGTGATATATCAACTCAACCGATAAAGCAAGTTACACGTTTTCTGTTTTCATTTTTTTTTTTTCTTTTTTTGCAATCAAATTGTAACAAAAGCAGAAGCTTTTGCGTTTAGTGTAGATGGATTTGCTGGTGCTGCCAATAGCCAGTACTTAATTCGAGATACGGATGTAGTTGAGACTTGATTGAGTCAAGACTCAAACAAATTGCGCAAGATATTACTCTGTTCTTTAGTAAGGTATTGCTACGATAGAAAAAGGGAGGATCTATTCAAGTTAGAGGTACTATTTTAGTCGAATGGTATACCAGTTGGTGGTAGTGGGAAACGTTTCAAACGCAGATTTTACAAAGAATGTCATCATATGTACATTAAAAATAAAAATAAATTTGATAAAGGAGACGATCCTTTTCATACTTTTTTCGTTGATTGATAAGCTATTTGTTTTAAATAGAATTGACATCATATAAAAAAGTCTCCAATTTAAAAGAAAGGGTCAATAAATGTATGTCAACAAATGTATGTCAACGAAAGTTCCAATAAAAGGTGATTGCAAAGAAATACCTTGCAGGTCATTAAAGATGTAACAAGAATTGACAACACACCTTATCAAGGCCACTTTGAAAACACGTCAAAGTGAGCAAATTTTTTTTTTAATGAGCAAATAAAAAATGGAGTAAAATTTTGTTAAAATAACCTCTAAGGTCACAGAAGCAAAAAGGTATAAATAGGTTTATAATTCATACCTATGATTTCTGGTTTTGTTATTTCACTCTAAACCCATACACAAAGTTTTTTACAAAGAGCTTTCACATAAGATCAAATCCAATATGTTCTTAAGATCAAATTTAATATGTTAAGATCAAATTTAATATGTTAAGATCAAATTCAATATGTTAAGATCAAATTTAACATGTTAAGATCAAATTTAATATGTTCTTTTTTTTTTTTGTATAACATCCCTAACCCCCGTGTTTTAACTTCCCCATGTTTTTTTTTGGTGGACATGGAAAACCAACACGCAAGCCCGAAATACCGCCTTTTATCACCAAATATGGAATACGAATCCGCAGTGAATCCGAGGTGGAAAAAGAGAAAAAGAAAATTAACTCCGATAAGGAAAAACAAAAAAAAACTATTAGCTACAAGGAAAGAAAAGAAAAGAAAAAAAGAGACCTGTAAAGCAGAAGGGATGGTACATTAATAGACCCTAGAATTGACTGAATTCCTCTACCAGAAATAAATTCACAGTTGGACAGACTTACAGATGAACTCACAAGGCCCTCACTAACTGGCACATCATTTATTTCAGTTACTTTTATGTGCATTACTAAGTAACTAACTATCTAAACTAACTTCCTTCTTTCCCCTTTTCCTTCTTTCCCACTGGAAGTGTAAAATTGCGAATACATTTTTTTTTTTTTTTGCTTTTTTATTACGAATCACTTGCTGCACTTGCTCACACACATTTAAAAGAAGAAAAAAATCGCTTTAATAATTTACATACACATTTTTATACGCCATCTTTCTTTTTCCCACCAAGAGAAATAGTCAGTGTGTTTTCTTTCAACAAAATATAGAAGAATTTCAATTGAGGCAAAATGGTTAAAGCAGGTATGTCATTGAAGTTGCAATTTGAATTGTGTGGAGGGGGGAGGAGGGGGAGGAGGAATTTCACTGCTTCAATTGCAGCGGGTAATGGGTAACAAGCTCAATTCTGTGATACTAACATCAACATTTTTTTTTTTTTTTCAGTTGCTGTATTAAGAGGTGACTCCAAAGTCAGCGGAGTTGTTAAATTTGAACAAAGTACCGAGTCAGAACCAACAACCATTACATGGGAAATTTCAGGAAACGACCCAAACGCTTTGAGAGGTTTCCATATTCACAGTTTTGGTGACAACACCAACGGATGTACTTCTGCAGGTCCTCATTTCAACCCATTTAGCAAAACTCACGGTGCTCCAGAGGACGACGAAAGACATGTTGGAGATTTGGGAAATATCTCTACTGATTCCAATGGTGTCGCAAAAGGAACTAAACAGGATTTACTTGTTAAATTGATTGGTAAGAATTCAATTTTGGGAAGAACCGTTGTTGTGCACGAAGGTACTGATGATTACGGAAAAGGTGGATTTGAAGATTCTAAAATTACTGGCCACGCTGGTGGCAGACCAGCATGTGGTGTTATCGGCCTTGCTGAATAAAGTTACACACCTGTTTCCTAAGTTGTATAGTTCTCTCTATTTTTTTTTTTTTGAACTGAACTGAATAGGATATGAAAATTATATTACTGCGTGGCTCCCTCTCTCATTTAAACAAAAACTCTTGTAATAGACAACACTTGTGTGAGAGTGAGAGATAGAGAGGATGAAGTCGTTGTGTGGAGTTTACCAAACAAAGAGATTCAGAAAAGAAAAAAAAAAAATTATGGAATGGCAAGAAAGTAGAATAACATTTGTGCTTAGAATTGAAGGTACTGCCGGGCGTGAGAACAAGTAGCTCCAAAAGTCGATGAAGGACGGGATTTATACATATACGCACTTTATCCACTCGAGTAATGTTCTTTATATGGAATCTTGGGTAAATGAGCCAATACAATTTGATGACATAGAAATTACACCAAATAAGGATTCAGATGAAGCTTTTGGTGATGAAAATGGTGTTAATTTCCCATCAAACGAAACAAGTAGTCAGATAAACCCCATTAGACGTCAACCTCAAAAGAAACATTGGATGGATTTAGGACTACATGAGTTTTTTAAGCAGGACTTGAAGAGGTTTCGAGATTTGACTTTATTGCCAAATATGATTGAAAAAGATCAGACTCAGAATGAAGTGTATGGGGAAGTTACAGTGAAACCAAGCAGACTAATTCGCTAGACCAATATTGCAACAAGGTGGTATGCAACAAAATTGGTAAGAGAATTGGAAGAGGAAGAGGAGGAGGAGGAGGAGGAGGAGGAGGAGGAGGAGAAAGCTGCGGCTGCAGCTGCTGCGGTGACTACATCAAGATAGTGTCATAATGATCATATATCAAATGAATTTAGACTTGTCTATACGCTATTTTAATACTTTTGATTTATCACTCAACAAGCCAATTCCTCGTTCCTTACTTTTACTTTTTTTTTTTTTTGTTCTTTATCGAAATTTGAAAAACCTATCAGCATAACTTGGATTGAAATCAGCCCTCTTACTAATATACTGTCTGACAGTATAAGGTCTCATTTGTGACAATTGACCCTCTGTCACCAAGGAGTTTACCAAGTCGGATTGTACTGTGAACAAGTTTCCGATTTCTTTCAAGATTTGAAATTTTTCAGATAAAATAGGAATGTTCCACTCATCAATCCGGCTTTGGTATTGTAGCACATCTTTTGTTAATACAATCCCACCTATAGAGTTGACAGAAAACTTCATATAGTGCTCAAGCAACTGGTTCAAAAACTTTGTGCCAAAAGTGATCAAAAATGTTTCCAAATTAGCACCACTAAGGGCCATGCTGATATTGGCATACATTTCTTCCAAAAATGCGCTTACTGCTTCACAAGCCTCGGTATCCTCTTCAATCTTATCACATAAAAAGTCCTTCTTTTTCTGTTTATTAAGCAAGTTTTGGGTTTGCGTTAAGCTATATTCAATCGTCTTCATTAGTAATTCATTTATGCCTATTTCGTTTCTCTTTACAAAATCATTGATTAAAGTTTTTGCCTTGTTTTTGGCAACAGGAACGCTTGCCAAACATGGAAAGATGATCTTTTTGGCACACGTAGATAAACAAAAAAGGACTTCCTTTTTAAACTGAATTGAATAAAGGTTCAAGAAAAAGTCCAGACTTTGTAATTGAACCTCCTCGCGAACAGAAAGCTTATCAAAATTAGAAATCAATATACTTAATGCAGTTATTGAATGCTCAGGAGCTTTATTAGGAGATATTTCCAAGACTCGCCCTATGGATTCTGCAACGGTCTTGATTAATGTCTCAATTGTTTCAATCGCTGCAAGCTCGTCCTCTTCAAGCTCTAATTTGGAAATTCCCCGGTCATTTTGCATTCTTTCATTTAATTTGGTCTTTACGTATTGCTTAAATTGGGCCATTTTCTTTCTTTCGTTTACAAAGGAAATGTGCTCATTCTCCGCTGACTTCAACTCGTATCCACTAGCATCATTCTTTGTGATTTGGTCTGAAAACGTTTCAGGATCCAATTTTTTGAGAGCACAGCCTACAGCTTCTTCTATGCTTCTCTTTTCTTGTACGAGGTAAACATCGTCTCGCACGTATTCCTGGAACAATGAGGTATACAATTGGTCCAATACCAAAAGAAGGGTCCCGTCCTTATTGAAATCCTCAGTTATTAAATAATCTTTTATTTCATGAGTGAAATCAAACATCAACTTCTTCAAGGAACTCAAGAGCTTAAGATGGTCCAACGTACTTTTCTTTACAGAAAGAGCCAACAATGTCGTGACTTTTTGTTTGATAGCACCATCAAATATTCTTTGAATCAACTTTGTCAAGACCATATCAGGATCATTGAATACTTTCTTGCTGATCCTTGCTTTCGATTTTATTTCAAACTTTGTATTCGTTATAAAGTTTTGTAATTTTGGATTGGACTCTAAGGCATCGCCATGAACATCGATTGATTTTGGATGATTCCGAGTATAGGTACCCTTGTACTTTTTCCTCATCTTTCCTTCCTCCGCTGTCGCCTCATCATAATCGCCATAACCATCATCCTCCTCCTCCTCCTCCTCCTCCTCATCCTCATCATCGTAATCATCATCATCCTCTTCTTCATTGCTGATTGCACTTTTTCTCACAAATGTTTCAACCAAGTTTGTTCCGTCGTTATATGCAAATAAAATAGTCGCTATTTTGTTCATCTTTTGAATATCGACATTACCATCAGAATGCTCATCTCCTTCCAAGAGTGTTTCAAAAAGGTGTAGCAATTCATCCTCCATAGCTTGTCCATACTCCTTAATTGTCTCAAGACATTTCAAAGTTGACGGAAGCGACTCATCACTAATACGGCTTGCTAATTTCATCAAGTGTCTTATTGATTTCGCACATTTCACATTATCCTCAACCTTGCTGCTCGAGCGCATTGTTTCCAAGGGTGCATAGTTGCCCTTTGTATAAAATCCATGATATGCTCTGATTAAGAAAATAGTTTCTTGAGATTTGTCCCGCGATGTCGATATCTTACTCAATGTCATACCCAAGGGGCTGATTTTACTAGACACCTCTGAAATCTGATTATCTAGATAATTGAATTTGCTAGTTGTGTCAGCAATTTGTTGACTAAGACCAAGGACATTTTCTGAATGCTTCAACTCAAATGTATCCACCTGTTCTTCTCCCTTGGATTCTTGGATCTTGGCTTCGATATTCAACTGATTTAGCTCTCTTAGTGTACTTTCAAATGAACGAATATAAGGCTTGGGGTCAAGATATGCTTTGCTATTAATCTCCGCTCCTTTCAAGTAGTGGTCTTTACTAATGTTCTCAACAAATTGATTAATAGAGATCAGGCCATCGACAACGTACTTCTCTACATCAGGATTACTTTCATATAATGAAAACTTTGAGCTCATCTGGAAAACGGTACAGAAAAGAGCCGCCGCTTTGTTAGTACAAGTAAAGAGTGCTGTTTAAAAAGAAAACTTCATCACACACTATCACTATCGCTCCCTTGCAAGAGTGATACACAACAAAAAAAAAACAATCTTCACCCACATACAAAAATTTGGTGAAATACTTTAAAGAAAGACTTGAATCGAAGTCCTTGTATACTGCAGAATCGTAACTGCTCAAGAGGAATAGATGTTTGGAGAGAATAGTATTTGGGAGAATAGTATTTGGAGAGAATAGTTGCTTTTGAAAGTTGACTTTTATTAACTATAGACAATCCAGTTTTTATTCTTATTTCATTGTTAGCAAAAAATAGAAAGAATAAAAAACAAAGGATGATTTAGGTCAATTAGTTAGCTCTCAAGGTCAAGTGACATTTACCACAGTATTGTCTGTTCTTCATGTCAGCCATAAAAATACCAGCACCACAAGTTGGAGCAGGACATTCTCTTCTCAATCTTTCGACATTTCCGTCATTGTCAACCTTGTAGTATGTCAAGACAGCCAACTTGTTCTTTTTATGCTTGTGCTTGATCTTCTTTGGGGTGGTGTAAACCTTCTTCTTTCTCTTTTTACCACCACCTCTCAATCTCAAGACCAAATGCAAAGTTGATTCCTTTTGGATATTGTAGTCAGATAAGGTTCTACCATCCTCTAATTGTTTACCAGCGAAAATCAATCTTTGCTGATCTGGTGGAATTCCCTCCTTGTCTTGAATCTTGGACTTAACATTGTCAATGGTGTCTGATGACTCGACCTCTAAAGTGATGGTCTTCCCGGTAAGGGTCTTTACGAAAATTTGCATTTTTGGCTTGTCTGCAAAGGAGTGCTTCTTTCTTACCAAAAAGTTATACCGTCTAGAAGATCAAACCTATTTGCGATGGGGAAAGTAACTGAAAAAAAAAATTAATTATTCACTGCCAGTGTTGGCAAGCTAGCAAAAAAAAAAACAGCAACAACAAAAAAAAAGATGTAGGGCACGTGACAGAGTTAGTGAGTTAGGTCTAAGACCCAAAGTAAACAATTGATAAAAGTATATACTTTATGTATGTGATCTGGTTCCTGGTTTCTGCTATCAACCCATTGACTCGAAATGTCAACGTATCCCAGAACACTCCCACCCCCCCTCATCTCAAGAGAAAACCAGAGAACGGTATACCTTTTATTAGTATATAAGAAGAGAAAAGGGTGGTGCCTGATATCAATCAAACCCACCATTCATATCTCTGTTTTGTTTTACTTGTTATTTTTTTTTTTTTTTTGCAACTTCATATTGGGTAAAGTATTGTTCATTAGCTGCTTCTTCTATGCCGGTGCCGGCTAATTTGAGAAAATATTATAGTTAATGTTCTTTTTGTAATTACAGTGTCAAGATAAAGAACTCTTGATTGAGATTTCTTTATTAAATAGATCTAAATTTTAAGGGACTTGCATGGTAATTTTTCACTTCTAAGCTAGCCAAAAAAAAATAAATAGTAAACCCGACACTATCGAGGGGAGCGAGATAGTGGAGCACACTAGCTGTCATTAACACTATCGTGCGACACCATCGAGCATGTCATTAACACTATCGTGCGACACCATCGAGCATGTCATTAACACTATCGTGCGACACCATCGAGCATGTCATTAACACTATCGTGCGACACCATCGAGCATGTCATTAACACTATCGTGCGACACCATCGAGCATGTCATTAACACTATCGTGCGACACTATCGAGCATGTTATTTCCCAACTGTAATGTAAAAATTTCAACCCTCCTATTTTTGCCGTTGTTTTAGTCTCCCTTATTCCAGCTGCACCAGCAAACACTGCTTTACCTTGTGCTCGTGTCTAGTATCACTCTAACATCAGTTGGATTTTTTCTTTCCTTCTTTTTTTTTTTTGACTTTTGACTTTTGTCTGTATTCTTGTTGATAATGGCATTATAAGATGAAAAAGACGTTAAAGTGCCGTCTGCTGTATGCCTTCTACAGTTTGCAGCCATTGATCTATTATCTTTATTTTTATTATTTTTTCTGGCTTGAAAAATTATGCCAAAAATAGATTGTGCATTACGCGACACTAGGGAGCAAAGCGAGCTAGTGGAGCAATATGTAGAGAGTAGCGACACTAGGGAGCGAAGCAGTATGTAGAGAGTAGAGAGTAGCGACACAATAAAACAAGAGACTTGCAAGTTTCAACAAGAACAACCCTTTGCCTTTAGCAAAGAGTTCATATTGTCTATTGTTATACTTTGATATATACAAGAGCAAATGCAAAAAAAAAATAGACTTGAATTGAACATGATGCAAACTAAACCCGTGTGAAAAAAAATTTGACGAATATACCTGTAGTCTTTCATCGAATTATCTATGCTCTTCTTCCCCTTCTCTCCTTCTCTCCTCTCCTTTTCTCCTTCTCTCCTCTCCTTTTCTCCTTTTCTCCTCTCCTTTTCTCCTTTTCTCCTCTCCTTTTCTCCTTTTCTCCTTTCCTCCTTCTCTCCCTCTCATTTTCTCATTTTTTCATTTTCTTATTTTGTCTCTCTTTCCTCAAAGCTTACTTAAAGACACCATTTTCTTCCCAATTTTTAGCGAGGTTATTTAAAACCCCGTCAAATGCTAATTTTCCTTTACTTGCATTCTGGCCAAACCTTTCGATTGACCAATCCTCTAATTTATCGCAAATTCTTCCTATAGATGCAAATGCTGTTATCTCAGCACTTTGATTAAACGTTGTCTTGTGGTTGGGCAACTGAAAATCGGGTTTGTATATCACAGTTTCTTTGACTAGCAAAAGATGGTTCATTGTTAAGTTCATTGATTTCATAACAAGGGACTTATTATTCAAGTCAATTTCCGATACTTCTCGTACATAACTTAATGATGCGCCACCAACAATAAATGATAACCAGTTAGGTATTGCTTGCTTGCACCCAATCAACCGTTCTGTACGTAGTATATGATTATCAATAATAGATCTGTTCAAAGTATCTACCGAGATCACATGCACCGAGAGCTCATTGGGATATTTCTGCCAATTAGCAGCGGTGACTTGGTCCCAGGGGTAACTAAATTCGTACTTTGATTGAAAAAGCTTCATTCTGTTTACAAGTGGGGGGGGAAGAAGTAGTATCAAGTGTCAGCGGTCGAGAGTGAGAAAAATGTGCCAGAATATATATATATATACAAGTTTTCAGTGTAGTGTCAAGAAGTAGATGGAAATTTCAAAGATAAAGAATTTTTTTTTTTTTTTTTTTTTTTTTTTTTTTTTTTTTTTTTTTTTTTTTTTTNGAAATTTCAAAGATAAAAAATTTTTTTTTTTTTTTTTTTTTTTTTTTTTTCGTTTCTTTTTCGTCTGATTTGCTCTTTTTAACTCAATGTATTCCGAATTAGGAATTAAAGCCTCATAATCTAGAGATCTGAATTACAATCAAGAGATTTAACTCACTATAGTAATGGTGGTGGTAGGGGAGGATATGATGATTATTAGAAAGATTTCAGACATGTACAGAGATTTATACCTAGAAGGTGAATTCAATTGTTTTTCACTGTCTAACTATAAAGGGACCCACCTTATAAAAGCTCTTGTGACTAAATTGAGATTTGTCTTTTCTTTTTTTTTTTTTTTTTCTTTTTTTCAATTGATCCTGTCATGCGAAGTTGTAAGAATTACCCCGGAGATTGCGAGATGGAAAAAGTATTGTTGTTTGTTTATAAGCCTCACAATTTGCCTTTATTACTTGATATTAAAACTATGTCACGGAAATTGATTCCATATTGTGGTGGCAGTGATAGTTGGGGGGGGGGGGAAGACTCCGATGTAACAATCTCTCCAAGAGCTAATTTCTAGAAAGAGGTAATTTCTAGAAAGAGGTAATTTCTAGAAAAAGCTAATTTCTAGGGAGAGGTAACTTCTAGGGAGAGGTAACTTCTAGGGAGAGGTAACTTCTAGGGAGAGGTAATTTCTAGGGAGAGGTAATTTCTAGGGAGGTCATCGGTCATAAGGTTAACCACAGTATCGGGTAAAAAACAAAAAACAAAAAATACAACCCCGTGGGTTTTGATTGATAAACTCTAATTTAATATCCTTGTTATATTGCATTATTATCCGACTCTTCTCCATTGCTGCTGCTGTATGACGAATCTTCAGTATCACTACTGTCAATACTGATATCCGTGGTTGAAAACAATTTCTTTATCTTCATTATTTTTTTTTTCGTTGCCGAGTTCTCTTTTGAAGTTGAATTGACCGATTTAGTACCATTTCTAGAACGTCGTTTTTCAAGACCAATTATCTTACTTTGTAAATCGCCACCTTTATCAACCGTTGATTTTTTTGCCTTCTCTGTAGAAGAAAAAGACCTAGAATTGTTCTGGGTTGAGCCACTTATGGGTTTGCAACTACGTGTATGCGGAGCACTAGACTCCACATCAAGAAAGGAGTTCCAACTAGGACTGGACGAGGCAATCAGTGAAAAATCTTTCTCCCGAGATTCATCAACAGGTTCAACTGCATCACTATTTGCCACACCTTGACTACTTTTCTTTTCAATCTCAAACATGTTATTCAAACCTGTTGTTTTTTCTTCCTTGTCTTCGTCCTTTTCTTTTTCTTCTTTTTTAAACAGCTGGTGTTGACTTGTGCTTGCCAAAGCTGCGGCTGGTGATGTACGAGCCTTCTTCTTGGGATCTCCTTGCAACTCATTAATTGATTTGGAATGACGGTTGTTTTGTGAAGGTGAAACATCACTCTCTGAACTGCTGCTCTGGCCACTAGTTTCAATCTCATCACTTAACAATGATGTACCATAACCAGCTGGTTTCACTTGAAGAAGAAGATTATCTCTAATACTAGTTTTGGTAATCTGTGACATCATGCTTCGTGTAACACGTGATTTCAAAACTCCAAGTTCGCCATCACCATTACTTTGTTCTGTAATCTCCCTCTCGCGACGCGTTTGCTGTAGTAGATTATTATTATTCTTATTATGACTATTATTATTATTATTATTATTATTATTATTATTATTATTATTATTATTGTTGTTGTTGTTGTTGCAGTTGTTGGAGCCCCAAGTTTCATACAGACCCTGCACACGAGAACACCCTTGACTCGATTTAGTCATTTCTGCGTCAGAAGCGCTCAACGAAATTAACTTAGTATATGGTGATCCTGAATCTCCATAACTCGTGCCATTCTTTTCCACCTCCACCTCCACCGCCACCTGTACCTTTTCCATTTCCTTTTCCTTTTCCTTTTCTATATATGTTGAATTATAAACAGCAACAGCATCATCTTTTTCAAATGTGTTGGGAGGTATTTCAATGTATTTTTGGTTTTGCACTTCCTTCTCCAAAAGCTCATTATCGTATTGCACACTTTTGTTTTCTCCAAAAAATTGACCAATTCCAACTGCTTCTTCAAAAAGAGTCGAAATACTGCTCTGTAAGTTTTCCTCATCTTTCGCCCTTTCTTCGGCATGGCGATTGCAAAGTTCCCTTAGCTCATTATTATGTCGATAGCGTAATGCTTCAAGCTCTAATTTTCTAGTATTCTCATGTTGAACTCTGTGTTGTGCATGGTCTTGAAGCATCTTTGACAATCTCACAAAAGGTGGGTCTGGTTGTTGCACAGCAGTATCTTTTTCTTCAACTTTGACAAGATCTTGACAAGATGGTGTATTCTCATTGTTGTTTGCTGCCGTTGTAGTCGATACGGGGTGAAGAGGCTTCAGCAGAGACGTCGACTCAGTACTTTTGAGGCACTCTACTCTACCATCAATATCATGCTGTTGCTGCTGCTGCTGTTGCTGCTGACGCCGACGACGACGCCGAGCAGTGGTTTTTGTATCAGTAGAGCTTCGAAGTCGCGTGACTTTGGCGGAAAACGAATCATCAATTGAGCTACTATTTATTTTCTCTGTAGACGGATTATCAACACTTTCCAGTACTTGTACTGGAGCAGAACTCGGTTTAACAAAATCCAACTCGCAATTTCTAAAGTCTCTTAAGATTTTGCTCTTCTTGACAACTGGACTAGAATGTGCTAAATCATTCAACCTTCTTCGAGGCAAAACACTTATAGTAGAAGCGTTATTTAAGTCGAGGTGACGAGACATTGCGTCATGTTCATAAAACCTCTTGTTTATTAAAAAGAAATCAATCTCTTCTTTATCTCTTTAATCTTTAATCTTTTATTTATTTTTTTTTTTTTTTTCATCGCAGTTGAATATATGCATCACAAGATTCGATATGTAATGGAACTATTCGATATTGGTGCAACAACAACAACAACAACAACAACAACAACTTTTTGTTTATTTTTTTTTATTCAAAAGAATCTAGCTCTAATCTCATTGTATAGTCTAAATAAACCGGTAATCATATAATACGTACTTCCTACAATATTAACCAACAAAAACGGTGGTTAAAGAAACAAAAAAAAAGAAACTTAACTTTGAAAACGTTCGTCATTCCACAAATCATAGTACAAGTCAAGTAAACATGAACTGCTCCATGCTTGTGTGGGGCTTGAGTCACGGCAAAACTCACCATCTTTGTTAGTCAACTCAGTCAATCCGGCCCAAGGACTATCTTTGATCCATTTGATATGACCCTGGATCCTCTCAGTTAACAATGTCAACAATTCATTGGAAGGTTTGTTGTTTTCTGCCTTGCTAAACGTTTCATTTGCTGAGAAATTGAAATACAAAAATGCTCTCAAGAAGTAGCCAAAGCACCAAACCCATTCGGGACCCTGATGGTAATTTCTTCCTTTGGAAGTAGCAAAATCATCATTGTCGACCGAGTTGTTGTAGTATGGACGGTAGTTGTAATCCAGAGGATCCAAGGTTCTCATACCAACGGGACCACGAATGATTTGATCGGCGTTTCTAATTGCTACGAGCCCATGCTTCTTGTTAAAGAGCTCAGGCGCCACACACATTGCTATTGGGAAATTCGGTCTCAATTGGTAATCCTCATAAGGTTTTCCCGATTTGTACAAGTCCTTGTAAATCCCTCTTCTGTTCACCAATGACTCTTCAATATCATAGTCCCCATCCTCTTCCGCGGTTTCTGGTACATAAAATTTCTTTTCAAAATTCTCTTGTATTAAGGCTTCCCATTCTTTCAAAGTTATCTTTTCTCCATTGGGTTTTTCAACTTTATCATAGTCAAATTTACCTTGTTTGTTTAATGCATTGACCCATCTCAAAGCGCTCTTCAACAATCCTTGTAGTTCAACAGCTGCTCCGTCTCTTGGGGTACCGGGAATTCCCCTATTATGGGCCTTCTCACTTTCTCCCATCTTATCCATCCAAGTTCCACAATTGAGCTGTTGGCCTCCATGGACAAAACCAGTGTCCCAATCAATTCCAACTTCAACGTTGAAACCTTCAGGTTTCATTTGCGAGTCGAGGTTTGGTCCGGCATTGGCTTCTCTGTACTTGATACCTTTTGCGTGACGTTTGAAAACCTCATAAATAATCTCTCTAATTGAAGATTCATAGCTGAATGCTTCTACATCATCATAAGGAATGTATTTATCATCTAAAGGAAAACGTCTGGATACCTTCTCGTCCAAAATAGCAATACCATTTGGCACATTATTAACGTACTCTTGGACTGCTTGTAAGAAAAACCAAACTGCATCTCTTGCATTATATCTAGGATTTCGACCAGCATCCAAGAGGTTGGGAATAAGACCATGTTTTAAAGTCTTTGCAAAAGCAAGAATATGTTGCTTAGCATCATCGTGTCTCTCTGTTACAATCAAGAGCCCTCTAAATGAAATGAAAACATCCCTTCCCCAACATCTCATATAATCGTTGCTAAAATGCGGCAATCCTGCTGCAAGACAAGGAACAGATCTATCAGGTAATAATGAAGTGTTGTTCATAAAGCCAACCATTTGCACACTCGTCAATGCTAAACTTTGAACAAAATTGGTACCCTTCTGAATTGGCTTGCTGAGTAATCTCAAGGCTCTAAACCGTGCTGCCTCGTAAGCAATTCCAACAATCAACGCAAAATAATGTGGCCTCAAATAGTAAGGCACCTTCTCAACAGCATTAAATCGATCACGTAACCAGGCTTGAAATTTCTCCAAACCCTTGGATTTGACAGCATACTTGTCTAATCTATCAACCACATAGTGAAGTGCCCAGTCTCCACTTCTCAAGTGATCACAAATTGGGCTACCAAGATCGTTAGACCAAATGATACTTTTCAAGGCACCCTGCCAACCTTCAAGCCCAGCATAGACCAAGCGCCCATATCCCGGAATATCATAAACATCTTCTTTGCCTGAGCTAGCGTCTAATTCTTCAGGCGAACACCTGTAAAGCAAATTATTCAAATCATACAAGTCGAGTTCTTTAGATGCCTCGATTGCTCCTCTTTTAACATACTCGTCAAGCTGTTTATTGACCCCGGGTATCTCAGTAGAAAACACGGATATGGAACCAGGCAAAAAGGAAGAATTAACTTTGATGATACTGTCACCATTGTTATTGTATTCAACCAGAGGCTCCTCAATGTTTTCAACTTCTACTGGTATACCAGTCAAAAACTCATCATTTTCTTTGTATTCTCCAGTTTTTTTCAAAATGTAACTAAACTCATGCTTAACTTTGCAGCCACCGAGTATAGATGGCGACAATATTTGGTATCCTTCGTGATCAGTAAACTTAGTTCTTGCAATCAAAAACCAACCTTTGCCTGTCCGTGCATTATATCTTTGGATTGTGATATATTGGCCCTCGTGATGAATGTACATTTCGTGATCACGACCAATATCCTCACTTTCCTCAACCAATTCTTGTCTGATTTTGTAGATTTTGGCCTTAACTTTACCAATTCCATTGGTGTCATTTGCACTATATTGTCTTTTTTCGCTTACCACGTCAAGAAGTCGAGGATAGCATTCATCGTAACCGTAAACCGACCCAATTGCAGAAGAACAAAATGCAGCCAATGCTGCGTTTGGCAAAGTATCTTCCACTGTTCTCTTCTGAGCAGGCATTTCGTTGTCGTGAGTACAGTCCATAAAAATCGCATGCGGAGCCGTGCTTGTCAAAACTCTTGGAATCTCCAATTCTGTGTATCCATCAAGAGCTTTGTACTTTTCTGCTGGTTCGTTTTCAGCAGGATAAGAGAACCCACTCAACGGCAACCAAGTTAAAGAGCCAATTGGTCTTCCGCCGTGTTTATGAACCAATGTTGATAATTCACGCACACTCCATGCTTGCATAGCTTCCCTTATCAACGAATTTATGGCCAATCGTTCGACAAAAATCTTGTCCATTTGTTCTGACCCGGAGAAAAGTTCAGCCATAACATACAAGTTAGGATTCACCTTTCTAGCCTCGTCCAAAAGCCTCTCTGCTACATGCAAGGGAGTACTATGGCAGTTATCGATTCTAAATCCATTGAAAACTTTAGCCAGCTCCCTTGTATATTCAATCATTCTATCCCAAAGCTTAGCGGAATCCTCATACTTTGCTCCATATCTCAATTTCACACAATCAGACCAAACAATCACTTCTCGTCTCAAGTATGCTTTTGATTGATCCGAGGCGAAATCTACCAATGGATTACCACCCCAAATCCATCCATTGTTGGCAAGGGCTTGTTTTTTACCCTTGGAATCAACAAATCTTGTAAAATATGCTTCTGTTAATGGTGTTTTTGTAGTAACTTTACCTAATTTCGGTCCATTGTTATCCAACCGTAAGTACCTAATCCTATCGCCAAGTTGCTGTTCAATTGTTTTAATGTCATCATTGTAGGCTGTATACAAGGGCACATTGATTTTGTCAATGATCTTCTCCGCTTTTTGCTTGATAGATTCCTCATCTACATGAATGTCACCGAAAACAGCAAACAAAACAGACAAGAACTTGGATAGGTCTAATTCATTTTCAAATCTACGACCCATGATTGGCTTTTTCCCTTGATTACTAAAGTTCAATACGAAATTTGCTAGTTGATTTAAATCATTGATATCAACTTGAGGAGGAATTTCAGCCTTTTCAATGGAATCTCTATTTCTATTAAGCGTTTTGATTAAGCCATCTATTGCGGCAGATTTATCAAACACATAATATTGCCACAACTTCAATTCCTCAAGAACATGCACTTTGATCCCGTTCATCACTTTTGCAAGGTCCAGATCATTGTTGATTGAAGTTGGCAAATTGAATTCTTCCAATTTATCGCTAAACTCTAGCAATTTACCATCCAACTCAATTGCAGCGGTCAAATGAGGTGCGGTATCTTGATTGTAACCAGATTCCGGTGAGTCCTTTAGCCACTCGGAGTTGTTTGCCGTATGATTCCACACGACATCGGTTACACTCAACAATTCATTGTCATTCAACACCTTATGTATTTGCTTCGTGGCGATCTTTTGATCCTTGAAAATTTTGGGATCCCATTTCAATTGATCATAGATAGAATAAGGAGAATCGGACTCTCCCCTTTCCTGAAGAGGCGTAAAGTGAATCACATTGTAGCCCTTTTCCTTAACATTGTGGAAAAATTGTGACCATTTTTCATATGGACCTATCCACTTGGAAACTATCGATTGAACATTTATATTGTTGAAGGGCATAAACTTGCCATTGATCGTTAAACGAGGGGGTACGTCAAAATAAAACTTTTCCGTTTTCTTCAACTTTTCATCCTCATCTTCATCATCATCCTCGTAGGTAAAGTAATAATTGTAAGCGCCTGGTCTATGAATCTGTACCTTGATCACAATGTCTTGATGAAACGAGGACTCAATTGGATAGCTGTTATACTTGTACCTATCAAACTCGTCTTCATAGCGTTTTGGGACATTAATGTGAAATACACCTTTCCTAGATACTTTGCTAGCAGCATTCAATTGAAAGTGTAAGTTGAATATCGCATCTCCTTCCTTATAACCCTCCGTGTAGTCATTAGCCGGGAGACTTAAAACACCATGGTCGACTTTTTCATTATTTATAGGTTCTCCTAAATTGGACAACCTGAATAATATCGTGTTTGCTTTTGTTGGTTGAGCCATTGTTGGTTTATGATCTATCCTAGATAACGAGAAAGGTATACAGTTGAACAAGAGTCGAAATACCAAGTTTTTAATAAGAATAAAGGGGAATTTTAAAAATTGAGTAATTGACATCTGAAACGCCAGCAAGAGACCATTCCGTACAAGGAGAAGAAACAAAAGGGGAGTCAAGAGATGATGGGTGATGGACTTATTATTTTTCGCAATGTATGAAAAAAAGAATAGCAAGTTAAGAATGAAATAATGCAAACGCCCGATTCTTATGTGCGACTTTTTTTTTATATACTCGGAACCAACCAAAATTTTTTTTTGGTTGGTTGTATCGAAAAACTTTCTGGTGATGGAGGTTTATCAACACTTGATAAAAGACCTCCCCCTTTTTCACTCAACCCCCCTTCCCCTTCTCCCCCTCTCCCCCTAGATGTCTGGGCAACAAAAAAAAAAAATTAAAAAAAAAAACAAACTTTGCGTCTTAAGCCTGTGTTCTATTGAGAATCGTATTCTCTACAATTAAGCATTTATAAGTAAAGCTCAGGTTTTGCGTTTCATCCTTACTTGAGATTTTCATGATAAAGATGGTTTTTGTTGAAAACTGACACACGGATCAACGAGTTTGGTTGTCGTAAATTTACGACAAAGAAAACCGTTTAAGTTTTCTGACATTTCCTTACTGTTTTTATTTTTCCCGCATTAGGTTGATACTATATCGAGATGATTCATGATTGACTGCGAAATGTTGATATTGATATTGTGTCTTTCTCATCTTTTCTTTTTGTTTTTACAAAGTAAGCTATAATTGTCATTGTATATTATGTTTTACGAGTTAGTTGTCTTGACAATAGCGTCTTCATACGTATTTGCCATATATGCTTTTCAGCCAATAGGTTTGAGACTCAAGAGTAGAGACGATTTAAAAGTTATCAATTATAGATTTAAAAGAGTGAGCATACTATGTCTAATTCTCTTTCTAGTGGTACCTTTGATAGTTGGTGATACATTTCAAAACAATGTGCGCCAGATAGGATTGATTCCCGGATATACCAATACATTTAGTCTTTTAACAGACATTAGCAATATCTGGTACTCGATTATATTTGTTTGCGTATTATTTTCATCTTCAATTTTTCAGTTGCTAGAAGGTGGTGCAAGTCACCAACTTGAAGAGACACCGTTTCTCATACGAGATTGTTTGTTTGCACCTATAACAGAGGAATTAATATATCGTGGGTTTGTATCACTGGTAGTTGTCAAAGAGTGTCCCAGTTTCCTTAAAACTACTCCCTATCTATTTGGATTTGCTCACATTCATCATGGCTGGCAATTGTACCGAAAAAACATTGCTTGGCAACAGGTACTTTTGACTACAGCATTTCAATTCACATACACTTCTCTATTTGGATACTTGAGTAATTGGATTTATTTCAAGACCTTGAACTTATGGTGTCCCATCATCTTACATATGGGATGTAATTACTTTGGGTTTCCTACATTTAGAATAGACTCAAAGAACAAGGTTGTTCAATTTATTTATTACATCTTGATATTACTCGGCGTTTGCTACGCTTGTAATGAGTTCATTAGCAAAGAGTAATGAAGATGATGAAAAAAAACAAAAAAAAAAACATCACTTTGTTATATCTTATCAATATAAACGTAATATCTCTTACAAAATGTTGCTGTACAAATCCCGCTCTTTTCGATAGAAACCTAAAAAAAGAAAAATAAACAACCGTTCAACCATTCACCCACTTTTAAAAGCACCTTCCCCTCTTTCAAGACAAAGCATGGTCTACTTGAGAAATTAAACTCTCCAAACCTTTCAAATCAAGATTCTTTGATGATTTTGGCACTTCAAGCGCATTCTTGATTATTTCATCATCCGAATCGATATCCGAGTCACTCGTTTCTTCTTCTTTTTCTGCAGCAGCAATATCTAAAGATTCCATTGAATTGCCTCCTCCAATATTCAAGTCCTGCTTAAAAGTTTCGGAGGGGGACAATTCACTCAACATTGCATTGTTTTCCTCTTCACTCTCATGCAGCTGTAGCAAGGACAGTAACATCTTGCTATTATCGGCTTGACATATATGAGGATACTCTATTTGCAAATTAATTGAGCTCGTTATCTTCTCTTTAGGCAATTCCAATCTTTTATCCATTAGCATAATAATCCACTTTTCGGTAATTGAACTAATGTTCGATTTAACTAGTACTATATTATTCACTTCTTGAGATGTTGTTTTTTGTTCCGGACCCCAAATAGGAGATAATTTCAAAATCGAGCCTTGAGTTGAAACCTCCACCATGTTAATATCCAGGAAAATAGGTTTCATTACTTGGTCCCATATGACAATATACCTTTCAAATAGATAAACAAATTTTAGGGAAAAAAACTCTTCTTCGTTGCCAAATGCTACTTCAAGATTATCAGCGACTCTTAGTTTCCCTAGTTGCAATAATCTTGATAGGTTGAAGTTGGGGCATTGTTCTAGCATAAACTTGATTAATTGATCATTTATAACCTCTGCTTCTAATGTACCAACGAGTACTCCGTCGTTTATATCGTAACACTCGGTGAACGTGGATGATATAGTTGCATTTGGTGAGGGAGACCGCATTCCAAATTCCAAAAAGCTCGAATCCATGCTTCTTCTTCTCCTTGTTTTCATACTCGAGATTAATTGTTGAGAATTAGGATAGTTTAGAGTTGTTCTTAGGGCTCGAAAGTTAGCACTTTGGGTATTTACATCATGAGAATACCCTCCTATTGCACCAACATCCACCGAGTCACGTGTTTCATTTTGACTTTGACCTTGGATTTGGCTCTGGCTTTGGCTTTGGCTTTGACCTTGGCTTTGACCTTGCTCATTCCTCAATAATGGTTGTGCAGGAGCTGGTCTTTTTGGAGTCAAGGAAGTATTTGACTTTCGTAAAATGGAGTTGAGTTTTTTGTTTTCAATTTCAACTTTGAATTGACCATTGCAATTACTCCCAAAGCAATACTTTGCAAATACAGTTTTTGGATGAGTATCGGTAGATGGAATATGTCTTGTTTTCTCGAGCTCATCAATCTCCTTTCCAAACATGGTTTTAAAACACTCAAAATGAACGGAATCTCCGCAGCACAAATTAAGTATACGCTCACTTTGGAAAATTGTCAGTAGCAATTCACTACATATAAAACAACAATTTTCCATTGGTTTTGCAACTAGTTGTTGTTCAGAAGAGTTTACACACAGGTCAGCTGCAAATATCTGTGACAATGTTGCATGTGACTGTTGTTGTTGTTGTTGTTGTTGTTGCAAAGTCGAATGCAAATGAGGCGAGTTGTTGTGCAAAATGCTTGCAAATGAAAGATTCAACTCTTTTATTGGAGTTCCAAACTTGTTCTTGTAGTCATAGTAAGCCGGCTCTTTCCTGCTTATAGGAGAGCCGCCGTCGTTGTTGTTGTTGTGGGTGTCTTCGTTACCTTTGTCATTTGTAAGCCTTGAAAGATAATAGCCAGGTTCATGTTTGGGGGTTCTTGTTGGCGTATGCAAATAGGACAGGGGCTTTACAAATAGATTCGACAGACCTTGAAGCTGCTTATTGATACTTTTTGTCGCTCTCAAGAGGTCACGCCAATTCTTCCTAGAAGATGGCGGGGTTATAACTGGATTTGATGTTGATGTTGGAGTTCTGGGTAATGTTGTTGATGTCTGGGTACTTTTTGCAGGACATGGAGAACTTATTGGAGTTTCTAGGGCAGGTGATTGAGACCCTGCCAGGATTTTGAAGGACTTTGGCGTAGGGTTTCTACTACTAATTGATTCTAGATTTGGATTTGTATTACCTAAGGAAACTTCCAACATTAATAGTAGCAGTACACACGGGTTTGGACAATAAATGTTTTACTACTCTATCTTTTAATCTTTTATGGCTGATCTTTTATGATGACTAGATATCATTTTCCTTTTTTTCTTTTCCTGCTTTTTTTTTTTTACTTGCTATCTTCCTATTTCATGCTTCAACCAGCAACAGCTAATTTTCCAAGGGGATTAAGTAGGTTTTAGAACTTGTTTGATAATCAAAATAAATGCATTCTGCAGCTTTTCTAAACTCGCCAACGTATTTGTTTGAAATTGAATAGTTTTCTTTTACCAAGCAGCTTTAATTATTAGACCTCTTACTCTTTATGACCTGCATTCTTTCTGCCCCCTCTAAAGTGAAACCAAATACCTCTACAATGCTAGCCCTTTTTTTCCATAGTGTTTCAAAACAATTGAAAAATGTTTCAGATGTTTCAGATAAGCTGAAAAGGATGCGCCGCACGAAAAATGAAACAGACACTACCTGCCACCATCGAGCGAAGTGGAGCAACACTAGCTGCCTCTATCGAGCGGAGCGAGATAGTGGAGCAGCGCTGACTAGTGACATCATCGACAGTAAATGCAGTAAATAGTAGACACTAAACATTAGGCTATAGGCAGTAAACGAAGAGGCAATAGGCAGTAGAGGCAGTAAATAGTAGACAGTAGAGGCAATAGGCAATAGACAATAGGCAGTAGAGACAGTAGAGGCAATAGGCAATAGGCAGTAGAGACAGTGGGGGCAATAGGCAATAGACAGTAGAGGCAATAGGCAATAGACAGTAGAGGCAATAGGCAATAGACAGTAGAGGCAATAGGCAATAGACAGTAGAGGCAATAGGCAATAGACAGTAGAGGCAATAGGCAATAGACAGTAGAGGCAATAGGCAATAGACAGTAGAGACAGTGGGGGCAATAGGCAATAGACAGTAGAGGCAATAGGCAATAGGCAGTAGAAAGTAGACAGTATACATTTGAGAATAGATAGTAGGCAGTAGAGGGTACATTTGAGAGTAGAGAGTAGAGAGTAGGCAGTAGAGATAGAGATAGTAGGAGTAAATAAAGAGGTAGGTAGTAGACAGGAGAGAGCATAAAAATAGGTAATAGAGATAGTAGGTAATATACAGTAGACAGTATTATATTCTGTAAACAGTATACCATAACCAGTATACAGTATACCATAACCAGTATACAGTATACCATAACCAGTATACAGTATACAGTATACAGTATCAATATACATTCAATGCAATTCCAATTTTTTTGTTGCCATTAACAACAATAATCGAACACACGCGTTTAATTACGTTTCTCATTTTTAGTCATTTCTAATGGCAACCCCAGTTTTTGGCAACAAAAAAGATTTAAATTAATAATATCGCGTCACGTTTACATCCATTACAAGTTAATGTTATATAAGTTAATGCCATATAAGTTAATGCCATATAAGTTAATGCCATATAAGTTAATGTCATATAAGTTAATGTGCCATAGAATATATATATTAAATAAACAAGACTGATTATTCTATATACATTACTATTTTAATTTCAGGGTTATTAATTTATTAGTTATTATATATCATTATATATCATTATATATCATTATATATCATTATTCTTTATTATTCTTTATTATTCTTTATTATATATCATTATTCTTTATATTACTTTTATATTAATCATTTTATAGTAAATAATCACTATCCAGCAGAGCGAGATAGTGTTGCAAGTGTGCTCCACGAAAAGCTCGCTTCGCTCCCTAGTGTTGCAAGTGTGCTCCACGAAAAGCTCGCTTCGCTCCCTAGTGTTGCAGTATGTAGAGAGTAGAGAGACTTGATCATTTTACAGTATATAATAGTGTCGGTGGCAGATAGTGGCGATAGTGTTGCAAGTGTTGCAAGGTTGCAAGTGTTGCAAGTGTTGCAAATGTTGCAAGTGTGCTCCACGAAAAAATGAAAAAGAGTGATTCCTCTTATCTTATCTCAATCCTCTTATCTCCATCCTCTTATATCTCCCCTCTCCTCCCCTCTCCTCCCCTCTCCCCTCCTCTCCCCTCCTACCTACCTCCTATTTGTCCATTCTACATCATTCATTCTACATCATTCATTATTTATATTCATTCTACATTCTACATTCTTCATTCTTCATTCTTCATTATATATTATTTATTATTCTCCTACACAATTTGATTCACACCATTTTTTCTCCAACCTCCTATCCAAACGCTACCAAATGTAACAAATTGCAGTTTTTCTGCCAAATTTTTTTTTTTGGCAAAACAATTTTTGTTGCAACTTTTTTTGTTGCAACTTTTTCTTTTCAAAGTGGTCTGTGTCCCCTTATTCCCTTATTCAGCCCAAGGTAAATGTCGGCTCAGGTACTACCCAAGAAGCGAACTACAAGCAATAGGAGGGTGGGTTCTTCTAGTAGCACAAGGGTATCGTCCGACGTGCAAAATACCTTGTTCTTTTCCCCAAGCCAAAGACATTCCTCTCATAAGAGAATATTATCTAATAATAACAACAACCATAACAACCATAGCAACTATAACAACTATAACAACAATGCTGGCTTAGCTAATGCTGGCTCGGCTAATCCTGGCTCAAACAACAGTGTCAATGGGAAAAGAGTCGTCCTGAATAGAATAATCTCCCAATCGCGACACGTGAGCCGTAGCCTCGCCCTGGATGACTCCTTTGATGACCCAGGCATTGGGTTTAACGAAAACAAGCACCAGATTTTATCAAATTTCGAAGAATGGATAAAACTATCAACAGATAATAAAATCACTACTAAAAACTCATGGCAATTCGCTCTTATAGACTATTTTCACGACTTGAACGTGATTAAAGATGGCGATCACATAAATTTCCAAAAAGCATCGGCAACTTTGGATGGGTGTATGAAGATTTACGCAAATAGGATCGATTCGGCAGCAACAGAAACGGGGAAATTACTAAGTGGATTAGCAACAAAGCAAGCAAACGATATAAATCTGCATTTGAATAACAATAACAACAACAATAATATTGATGTTAATTATAGAAGGGGAGAAAATGGAGAAATAGAAGGAGTCACCAATGATGACGGTGATGGTGATGATGGAGAATCAGCAGGTCATGATGGAGATACAGAAGATAACGAAGATAGTGGCGGGAAAAAGAAGAGGAAAATGAATAGAGTTGTTGAATCTACATTGGTTGATTTCGAAACAATTCGAATAAAAAAATTAGATGAAGAATTGTCAATTGATCCACTATTTAAAAAGGCTTTAGCTGAATTTGATGAAGGTGGTGCTAAAAGCTTGCTTCTTAATACTTTGAGTATCGATTCTCTGGGGAGAGTGGTGTTTGATGCAACATCGAACCAACGAAAACGCACTGAAAACAAAGATGCTGCTTGGCTGGAAGCAGAAAAGGAAAAGGAAAAGGAAGACGACATTGACATTGACATTGATTTGGAAAGTCTACTGGAGCTAATATACGCAGAAACAAATGGCATTCAATTTCAAGAAAAGAGTCTTTGTCCTTCGATAAATGAATTTCAGTCTGCGCTAGAGGATGTAAACAAAGCAAGGAATATTTTCAATGATTTCAATAACAAAATAGGAGTAGTAGCTACTGCTCAAGACATTGCAAATTCTGCGAATGAGGAGCTTTACCAAATGGTGGATGACGATAATGACTATGGCGGCGGATTTGATGACTATGACCCAGTGGGCGAGAATGCAGAAAACGGCCACAATGATTTTGCTGACTACATCAATGAAAGTGTGATGCATAAGCTATTTGAAGAGGATACTACAGCTTCTGGTCCTCAACTGAGACCCCCCGCAGCCCTTTTGGACGAAGATTTGATGAATTATTTTGATGAAAAAATGAAATTGAATTGGACAGGACCAGAGCATTGGAAAGTGTCTGCTTTTAAAAAGGCAAATAATATAGATCAATCGCATGATAAAAAGGTTACACCAACAATTTCCAACAAAAAGAAAAAGGAGAGATGTGTGATTGAGTTTTTTGAAATAAAAAATGAGGATGAAGATCTTCTTTTTAAATCACATAGGGATCCCAATTTCATCAATTTGAAAACGACAAATGCTTTTGATAATTCCGATATAGAGATACTACGAGAGCTAGGCGAGAAAAACTGTTTACCAAATGATATACAATTTAATTCTTTAAGACTAATAAGCTTGATTCAAAAGCCACGAGTACAGATTATGCACTACCCTTCACGATCAACAATAGCAAGGGAGTCGGAATCTGGGCAGATGCAAACTTTTACCGATTCGAAATTCTTTGCAGACCAATATAAGGAACGAGAAAGTCAAAAACAACGAGAAGAAGAAGAAGAAAGAAGAAAAGCTGAGGCTAAATTAGCAAACTCCTTTAATCAAGATGACTACGATGACTTTGATAATGAATACAATGGACTTGATTTTAATGACGCTTTAGAGTGTGCCAACACAGAAATGCCCCACGCTTCTATGACAGATGGTGGTGGTGCTGATGGTGGTGCTAGTGGTGGTGGTGGTGGTGGTGGTGCAGGTGCAGGTGGTGTTGGAGATGCAGGTGCCAGTGGAGGCGAGCTGCAAAGTCAATATATCTCCTCCCAGATTCCTCGATTGAATGAGGGTTTGATTACTAAAAGAAAATCAGAGTTTGTAAATTTCTCGCGTGTCGCAAAGAGAGTTGACATTAAGCTATTGAAAGACAATATTTGGAAGGCTATACTTGAAGGCCGGTTCAGCGAGAATGAGGATTCAGACCAAGACAACAGTGTATTAAGAAGTATCAAGTTTGACGAAGTAATCAAGAGAATCAAAAAGATGTACAAAGCAGAACAATTTAAAGAGTTGTCTACAAGCTTTTGTTTTATTTGCGTTCTCCATTTAGCAAATGAACATGGATTGAGTATAGAGAGTAATGACCAGAACGATAATTTATTGATAAAAGGCTTTTAGTATAAAAATGTTATATATATATATAGATATGTGCAATTACTGATTGTATTTTTTTTTTCTTTTTCTTTTTTGGCCAACCGTGATATTGTTTCACCTCTTTTTCTTGAAACTTTTCTTTCCCAGGTTATTTATCCGCTGAATGTCACTTGGCGAGATAATCAATCCATTCTTTGTTGATCTCCCAATCCCATTAATTTTCAATCCTCTTTCTCTCTTGTCAATTTTTTTATTGCTTTTTCTTATGCCATTACCCAATCTATCCAGGGTCAAGGTGACACCCTTTCCAGCTTTCAAATCTCTAACTTCCCCGTTCTTTGTTTTTGGTAAAACAATACCGGCATCTTTAGCATTCCTCTCATATTGTGCAACCCTTAAATCCCTCTTTGCAATCATGTTTTTTCGCATATTCATGGGCATCGATTCCAATTTTTTGTCCTTTCCACGATTCAACTGCGTTAATTCACTAATTCGTGATTGTAAAATTCGTTTTCTTGCCCTCCCAGTTGGGTCATCGTAGTCCAATGTTTGTAGAGTGAGGTCAGCACCGCTAAATTCATTAGCAGCAGATGCTAGTATATGTGACTCTTTAAGAAGCCGCTGCAATTTCAAGTCATTTTCAAGATTGCTAATTTCTTCACTGTCTGTTTTAGCTGCTCGCTGTTTCAAATTTGCCGTTTGAGCTTCAATTTCAGATAATGTTGGGGCTCGGCCTGACTTGAGAAGCTTTCTCTCCCGCTTGTTGGCGATAACAGAATGTGTGCTCAATGATGATGGTGACAATGATGTATCGGCACCGCTATTGAGCCTTACTACTTGAGGAATCACCCCATTGTTTTTTACAGGTTCCTCTTGATACTGATATTCATCATCAAACTCCGAGTCCAGCTCATCGCTCTTCTCAGAGTCGCTTCTTTCTGAAAACTCCTCCTTGGTTTCTTCATCACTTTCGGAAACTTGTTTAGACAAGTCACGATACCCTAATTCTTCCACTGATCCAAATTGAGACTCAAAATTCCTTCTTTGTACTTCTAGTGCTTTCAAGTATTCCAAGTCATCGCTCATCACTATAAACGCTGATGTTCCTGATATAGCTGAAAAAAAAAAAAAAAAAAAAATAATATAATATAATAATCCATTAGTAGGAGGAGATTTTTCAGATTTGATTGTGTTGTTGCCCATGACCAAGTTTAGAGGGTGTATTGATATACACGGTGGTCAAGTTAAACAGATAGTTGGTGGGACATTGGCTCAAGATGATAATGATAACGTATACTTGCAACAAGAAGACGCAAGTAAAGAGACCTTGCGTGAGAATTTTGTTCTGACAAAACCTTCATCTTATTATGCCCAGATGTACAAGCTGAACAATTTACACGGGTGTCATGTGATTAAATTGGGACTGAATCCGGCTAATGACGAGGCAGCAAGACTTGCCTGTCAGACGTGGCCGGGTAATTTGCAAATTGGAGGAGGAATCAATCTAGATAATGCTCTTGAGTGGATAGAAGCTGGTGCTTCACATGTCATACTAACAAGTTGGCTATTTTCCAAACAAGATGGTAGTGACAAAATGGAACTAGATTTTGAGAAATTGTCAACAATCAATAAGAAAGTAGGCAAGCACCATTTAGTGGTGGATTTAAGTTGCCGCACAATTATCGAAGAGGATGGTACAATATCGTGGTACGTGGCGATGAATAAATGGCAGACAATAACTGCAGAGAAACTAAGTAAAGACTTCTTAGCAAGAGTTAGTAGCTACTGCGACGAAATACTAATACACGCTGCTGATGTGGAAGGATTGTGTAAGGGAATAGATCAAAATTTGGTACAGTCCCTAGGGCACTGGTGTCCACCAGGTATGGAAAACAAAATTGTTTATGCAGGAGGAGCAAAGTCTAAAGAAGATTTGCAACTTGTTAAGAATTTAAGTCATGGTAAGATTGACCTAACTTATGGAAGTGCACTAGACATTTTTGGAGGCAATTTGGTTAAATTTGATGATTTAGTTAAATGGAATAAGGAGAATTAAAAACAGAACAATTGATTTCAACCTGATATAAAGCACTTTACAATTTTATACATACAACTCTTGTTTCTATCCCTGATTGTTATCCTTTTTTTTTTTGGTTTCTTTTTTGGTTTCTTTTTTTGGTTTCTTAGTTCCACGAACGATCACCAAAACTGTCCCCACCGTAGTTTCCAGCACCGCCATATCCTGCATCACCACTTGGAGTGTTTCCGCCGTAATCGTTTCTGGCATACGTTGTAAACCCTCCAGCTTGTGCGTTACTTCCTTCAACTGATTCCTTGTTTAACTCTATTGCTATAGATGCCAATTTCGTCTGCAACGTTTTGATACTTTCAATAACAACATCTTTTGGTGGCAAATTGCCTACAGTTTCCACATCGAAATAGAATTTTGAAGGTTTAGCATTGTAATCAAACTTTGCCTCTGGGTCTGGAGCTTCTTCCCATCGACAATTTTCCGACTTGGGCCATTCTTCATTGGCGTCCACTTCGTACCAGTAATCTGTGTGCTTCAACTTATTCCATGGATCATACTCAAACCCTACGGCGGCACAGGGCGACCATTTAGCATGTTCCTTGGCTATTCCCTTTTTCGCAATACAAGTGAGTCTTAATTCTTGATGTCTCCTCAACTTGCAAATGAGCGGTCCGCGCCCTTGAGGATCTCTAATCACAGGTTTGCCCAAAGTCGAAGTAGCATTAAGCCTATACAAATCTGAGGCATAGACATTCATGGTGGAGTCGGTATCGCACTTGGCGGTAAGCTCCAATGCAACTGAGCACTTGACGCAATAATTATCGCATGCACAGTCTCTCGAATATAACAAGTTCTCAATCCCCTGACTATCTAGCGGTATAAGTCCGAGTCTATGCGACAAAAACTCATCTGCCAACACAGAAGTATTTACCTCAATCTCCACTAAATCTATCGATAGCGTGGGTACCTCGGCCAACATAGTTCTTCTTAAAGAATTTGCCATTGCCAAGTCCACTTCTTGCAACATAAAATTAACATGGTCCTTTTCGGCCTCACGTATGATAACCGATGGTTCTCCTTTCCTGTCCATTAAAATTAAAAACCTCTAATTCCTAACTGCTAGTCCTACTACCTACTATTCTTTTGCCTGGTGCTTCAGATCCTTGTAAGTACAAATGATTTTTCTATCTCTGGAATCTATAGTTATCTGGATCGGATCTCTACCAAAAAAAACCCCGCGTTAATACCAACTTGTGTACTCTTGATGAGCCCTTGATTAATCTCTTTCAGTTAACTATTTTATTTTTATTTATTTTTCATCTTTTTTTTTTTCATTTTTCATCAACGAATTTTTGTTTTGTGGTTTTGTTAGAAAGAACGATACCTTTATCAGAGATACAAAGAAATTGCCAATACTTGCAGTGGTTTTTCAAGTCAAGTAGCAATCTTCCAATAGCATTTTAACAACGATAACGAATGTCTTCATTAAAAATACCGGATTTGCGGTTTGAGCAAGCATTTTGGAGGCAACTTTATTCGTATGCTGGTATAAAGGAGAAAAGTGAAAGACTACAATTTTCGGGTGACAAGAGCCGTTACAAGTCATTACAGGCCAAATTGGGTGACAGAGAAGAGGAGATTATGCTTTTAAATGAGGCCATTGACCGCGAGGAGCAAGACTACCTTGAAAGCCAACAACCATTACCACCAATTACTCCTGGCATTGTCATTTATGCAATCATTAAAGATCAATTGTTACTACCGTTTATACAAGGGTTTTTTTTGACGGGCATTCTAATATCGATACGTCCTTTTTTACATATATTTGTCCAAAACGGACAACGTGCAGGTATGTGGGTCTCGAATTTGGTGGGTCTACATAATTTGACAAAGGGTAGAAGTAGATAACACTATTGAGCAAAGCGAGATAGTGTAGAAGTAGGTAACACTATCGAGGGAAGCGATAGTGTATAACACTATTGAGCAAAGCGAGATAGTGTGGAAGTAGGTAACACTATCGAGGGAAGCGATAGTGTAGAAGTAGTTAAATGGTAAAGTAGGTAACTGGGAAAGTAGGTAAATGGTAAAGTAGGTAAATAGTAAAGTAAGCAACTTGTAAAGTAAGCGACACACGGGCTTGCTCCACTACCTCGCTCTGCTCGATAGTGTCGATAGTGTCGATAGCACCTTTTCAGTCTTCCTTTCCCCTTTGCTACTCTACAGTTTTGGCAGAGTCATTTCCTGAAACGTAAAGAGTTCCCGATTTTCTCTTTTTTTCCTGGTTTCCCGGTTTCCTTTCCCGGTTTCCCTGATTTTCCTGATTTCCTGATTTTCCTGGTTTCCTGGTTTTTTGGTTTCCCTGATTTTCCTAGTTTCCTGATTTTTTTATTTTTATTTCCTGATATCCCGATTTCCTCATCGCAATATCCTGAAAAGAAAGATCTTAAATTGTCGTGTCCCTCAACACAAAAAGCAAATTTTGGAATTCCACGAAAATCGCAACTCAAAATAGAATCTCTGTTTAAATAGAAGGGGTGAAATAAGCTTAGAATAGCAATTGCTTTCCTTTGAAGAAGAGTAATTGATCTGTCTAGAGGGAATAAGAAAGTATAAATTTCTTTTCCCTGGAAGGATTTGAATTGAACTTTGAGTTTTTGGTAGTTTTTGGTAGTTGTGGTTATTGTGGTTATTGGTGTTTGATTGTTTGATTTTTAATTGGGGGGGTCGAAAGTTAACTAAAAGATGTTTTCCAAAAGAGTAAGAAGTAGGCATGAGACCGCGTATACAGGAGTTGGTAAGAATCCAGATAACTTAAATCAGCCAAATTCCGGAGCACTAGCGGCAGCGTTGACTATTGGGAACACTATGAAACAGAAAGCCGCTAATCCCCATATTCCTCGATCCCAGTCGTTCCTGCAACATCCTCAATTTGTTTCTCAAAATAGAACAAGCTCCATTACAGAATCAAGGAGCGGCAGTCTTTTGAAAAGGCAATCGAAATCAAACATGTTTCAAAAACCACAGCTGAGCTATGTTCAGCAGTCGAGACGCTTTTCTGATGGCTCTCTTGTATCCAACGTCTCAGAGCACTATACTCCCATGACATCGACTGAATCAACAACTCAGTATGGAATCCCCATTGTGTATAATGACGTAAACGATGGTTTTAACGACTCATATTTGGACGAAATCACAGAGGAGTCAACACAAGTGTATCTCAACAACAAAGCCAAGATGAAAGACTTGAGACTACCCGTTTTATCCAAGCAGCAGCAGCATCAGCAGCATCATCAGCAGCATCAGCATCAGCACCCACAGTATTATCGAAATGGGGAAACTATGCCCAAGCAAGAATCGGTAAAGATGGTGAAAAAATACATCCCCAGTCCTACTGGGATCAAAGTGATTGAGGTACCCGAATCTAGCATTAAGAAGGAAATGGTACGGTCAAATTCAATGAGAATGAACTCTTACACGCCGAGATCAAACTCATCATTAAAGAGGAGCACTTCAAGATCCGCGTCATTGACTAAGTTGAGAACGCAAAAGGCAAATGCAAGTGGTGCAGAACAACTGGCAATGCCATCTATGAAGGAAAACGTGGCGTTGGAGGAAACTCTAGGTAGAAACGACGAGACTATTGCACAGAAAAATAAGTTGAAACTTTTAGAGGAGAAAATAGAAAAGGAGAAACAACTAGCAAAAGAGGTGGAAATTAAACGATTGGAATATGAAAAGTTACACAAGTCAAGACTTGAGAAGGAGAAAGCTTTACGCGAGTACGAACACTTACAAGAGAAAGAGCCTTTTTTGACGGAAAGGAGTGGAGACGAAAAAATGTCGTCAAAGCAGAACATATCGGTAGAGACAAGTAATAACCACACGGAAATACCCGATGAAGGAAAAGAGAACCCGACTAATGTAGTAGTAGTAGTAGGAGGAAAAGGAGGAGGAGGAGGAGGAGAACCAAAGCTTGCACAGTCTGAAGATACTAACAATGAACAAGAACTCAGCGAGGATAAGTCGAACCCAGCTGAATTGGTTACAGGTAACAAAGAAGAACTGAAATCGGTTGAATTGATTACAAGTGGCAAAGAAGAAGAAAAAGAAGAAGAACCTGAAACAATTATTCCAATTCTTCATGAACAAAAGCTTGAATCAAACTCAAAACCTCAGTCGACCACAGATCAGAATGGTGATAGTATTGAAGAAACATCGACAGATGCCATTGTTGATACCAATAAAGAGCTGCTGACTATAGATCAGAATGATTACAAGCACGAAGACTTTGTTGATGTAATGTTGACTGAAATGCGCATAAAAGACGAAGATAAGGACCTTAGTGGCGGTATAGCAGCTTTAGGGGAAGAAGAAGCCTCAAATGATTTGAGCACTGAAAGATACGAAGACGACGATAATGCGCACAACGTAGCAGCAACTGTTAATTCAAAAGAAGAGCATCCATTAATTTTAAAGGACGATGGAACCATTGAGATTTTAGAGGGCAGTGACTCGTCCTATCCACTGACTGCAGGTAATGGTAGCAAGAATCTCAGCTTAAGGTCTCCCAAAAATAGTGGTGCTGAGAGTTTGGATTTATTGCTGCCTCCTACAATGGAGTCTACTTCAAGCTCCAAGTCTTCTGTATATTCAGGAGAGTCCATCAAGCGCCCTATGAAGTCAGCCATGAAGACGCCGTCATCAACCTCATTTTCACAACCACAACAAGCTATTCCTCAATATGCGACAAATAGTAATGCCGCGCATCAAGCATATCTCTCGTTGACAACTGCGGAGAATACAAGACTCAATTCTAAGTCTTCGAGTTTGAAATTGACGAATGGACCCCAGCTGACTCTGACTACCAATAGACCATTACCCAACCACCATCAAAGAGGCGGAGATTTTGCAAACTTGGGGGGAGTCAATGGTGGCGCTTACCCGCAAGTATCCAATTCGACACCTTTTCAAAGAACTTCCCAAAAAAGATTGTCACAACAAAGTTTGAGAAACAACTTTTATCCTCAGCAGAAACCGCATACTCGACAAAATCAGATAAAACCCGAAATAGGGATGAGTGGTAGAACTATGCGTCACAGCACATACGTACAACCTGTCGAGCCACATCTGTCAGTCCAAACGGGTTATGTGTCGTCACCCAAAGTAAAGGCACAAGATTTGTATGCAAAAGCAAAAGCTCGGCCTTATTCTAATTTCGGGAATATGAAAAGACACTCGTCATTCTCAAGGGAAATGTCCGGTGATGATCAGCAAAAAAATTTACAAACCAGTGGTCCGAACAAAGATTCCAATTTGCAAGTGAAAGCTGGAATGCAAGCCAAAACATTACGAGCACCGCCTCAGTCAAATCCCACTCAACACAACAATGGATCCCTCCAACCACAACAATTACAACCACAATTAGAAGTATATTCATCTTCATTATCATCATCGTCACAGTATCCACAGATGAACAACAAACATGCGGGTACGACAGCGTATAACAATGCTACCACTAGCAGGTCCACGTCCGGTACCGGATTCAAGTCGAGATTTAATGATTCTGACGATGACTTGCCAAATCATAGCGGCAGAAATGGGAAAACATTTGCGTCCAGATTTGTTGATTCTGATGACGATTTACCAAATGTATCTTCTCCTTCTTCTTCTTTCCCGGTTGCTAATGTACACTCTTCATTAGCTCCGCTGCAACCCGTAGGAGCTTTCACCCTCAGAAGTGCAGAGCCAGAAGTCCCTCCTCAACATAAGAAAAAGTTTGGAAAGTTGAGAAAGCTATTTGGTCAACGATACTAATGCTGATACTTATTTGATTTTTTCCTTTTTTGTTTTCTTTTCAGGGTCACACATATAGGGAGGAGAGAGTGTGTGTGAGAGAGGCTATATGAGTTCTTTCTGTCTATTTTTTCTTTTTTTTATTTATCCTTTATGTTATCATTTTCATTGTTACTATAGATATATTTATTTTCATTGAGCTCCAAAATCTATTAGATTTACATCAGTTCTGCCTTTTTTAGCATTATCTGTATCGCCAACATCTTTGATCGAATTAGAACTCGTGAGCAAACTTTTCTTTGGTTCATTTAATGTGCTGGTTTCTGTAGCTAATAAGATCAAATCTTTATCCTTTTCATCAATTAAAATTACACCAAAATCATCATCTCTGTCCTCGTCATCCTCTTGTACCGCTGTGTTTCCTGTTGAAGTAGCAGCGGCAGTAGCAGCTGTGGTCTGAGTCTTGTTAGATCTCAAGGATGAACCGCTCGACCCTGCTCCGCTGTTATTGCTTAATTGAGAAGCTTTAGAGTCCATTCTCAGTCTAACCTTGGAAGCAACTTTCATTCCATCGGCAAGTAAGCCATCAAACATATCTCGCAAGTTCCTCATTGGGTTGAAATCGGAGTCCAAAGGACGATCAATGTGGATGGATTGTCTTAGTGTAGTACTAAACAACAATTCATAAGTTTCATCGGCAAGTATCACCATGCGGAACGTTGCCAAGTTGAGGTACACTGGATGTGTGGGATCCAAAGCTGCATTGTGTGATATTTTAGAACTTATATATAAATCCCGGATCAAAGGTTCTTCCTCGTCTTCTTTTGGTTGTGCATATTCAAATGCTCTTTTAATAAAGGTACTAGCAGATTCCAAGTATCGCTCCATTTGCTGAGTTAAAATCTTCTCCCTGTCAACGTGAATATGAGGGGCTTCTTCAGCAGCAGCAGCAACTTTTTCAGACCCGCTGCCATCGACAACAGTTTCACCATCAACATCTTGTCTTTTCAATATCTCCTCTGTAACTTCTTGTTGGATTTTAGCTCGGGTCACTCCATCCATCAAAAGTCCCTGTTTCCACGGGTTAGTGATATACAACAAGTCTTCGGACATTTTCAAAATTCCCTCATTGTCAATTTTACCATCTTTCTTGATATCATAGATGGAGAAAAAGTTGGACATTGAAGTCATCAAATCAGGCTCTACTAGAGCATTTAGACCAATGACTAAATCGGAAAATGACAATGCATTCTGCTTTCGTGAATCCCAATGTTCAAAAGTTTTTGTGAGGAAGGGAAACTCTCCAAAACCGCTATCAGTAATTTCTTCAGCATTGACCCAGTCACATATTTCCGACATGAACTTTACAAAGGCCTTCAAATCAATTGAACTCGAACCTGATCCTTTTGTGATGTTTGATTGTTCCACAACGGAATAAAACCTATCATACAATATATCTAGCGATTTTTGTGGAATGTTTGGAGTCTTGGGTAAATTCCGAATTTCAGTTCGTTTCACAAAAGTGGAGATGTTTTGATATATGCTTTCTCGATGTTTATTTCTATGGGAGTTGATCATATCATCATCAATAATTGAAAATTCTTTAAATGCCACCAGGAGCAAATCTTGAAATTTAGTGATGTTTCGGTACTTCAATTGGGGTGATGCTGGGTGTGCAGAGGAGTCCAATGTATAAAAGTACTCCTTGATCAATGAAATAAAGGACCCGTCATCTTCAGTCTTTAACAAAGCCTCGCCATTAACCTTGAATATTGCAAGTGCAACTTGAAATAAAGTTTTTGGTCCTTGCATGAAAAATATATCTAGGATTCTAAAAGCAAAAACAAGCGGCATGGAAGATAGGTACAAAGACAAGAACCATGGCAAAGTGACAACGGACAACAGGATATCATTTTTAGTAATGTGTTCCCAAAGTAGCGGCATCGTTGTTTGCACCAATGATTCAAACACTCGCTGGTCCAATAATGTTCCGTACATAGTTTTTGAGTAATACCCGGGCACTATTCTGTCACACAAGACATTCAAAGTCCAAAACGCTTGCTCTTCCGACATGTATATCAACAATGCAGCAACGACAATATTCATTGCTTGGCAGTAGCCCAACTCTGGGTTTTTCCACGAGTACGCGGTCAACACCCTCCTCAAACGCCCAATACCTTCTTCGGATTGGTAAGCGGCATATTCAGGTAAGGATCTATTTAGATCCTTTTCGATTTCCTCTATTGCAAAAGACTTCTTCTCCTTATTAACTTCTAGTAACTTTGTGTACTCCCCCGTGTTGTGCAATCGCAAATACATTGATCCGCAACATAGTTCCCATATTTCTCCTCTTAATCGATTTGGCAAGCCAACTCTAATCAATTTGTAAAACATGGGTGTTTTGATCAACGACAAGTTTCTGCCGTCTTCAATAAATAAATCAAACCAAAGCTTTAACTTTGTTTTGTCTCTCGACTCTTTGGGGTTTCCTGGGAATTTAAACATTAGACCCAAACCGCCTGGTGGAACGTGTTCCACGACTATGTTGGATACCTTGTTTCTTGACAATAGGTACTCTGAATAACACGTTTGAATGAACTGATCTAGCTTTTTGATGTTGGGCTGATTCTTTTTCAACACATTAGACAATCCTAAAGCAAACCTCTCGTTATCGGATCTTCTGCCTGCATCGAAAAGGAACCTGAGCCGCAAATTACTTGTTGTCGTCAATATCAACACGAGGTAATTATCAAAGGTCAACGGCTCCCTTTCCACTTTCCGTATGGTGGATATTTGTAGCGTAAAAGAACAGTCTTGAAGATCTTGATCATCTTGGAAAAGGAAGAAATGTTCAGTCAAGTACAACAGGCCCTGATAGTGTTGTGTTCTCGCAGCAGCAGCATCTCGTCTTCCGGGAAGCTTATGGTTACTGCTACTAGAATTACCGGACAACCTCTCTCTCTCTTTTCTACCAAAGTCAAAAACCACCTTGGACAGGTATAATACTTTTTCCTCTTCTGGAATATTGAATGAAAAGCAGAATATCTGCTCTTTGGTCAAAACATCTAACCCTACTTTCTTATCTAAAACCACTTGGTTGAAGGTGTTGATTGCCTTTTCCTTGAGAACTTCAAAAAAGGCCATTTTTGTTTTTTAAACAAAACTCGGTGCAAACCTTGTGCAAAAACAATTGCTATTATTGTTAACTTTTCACGGAGAACCTGGGAAACTGATAACTTGAGAAAAAGGGGAGGGGGGAGGGGAGGGAGGGAAAAGAAGAAGGGATGAGGAAAGGAAGTAGAGGTTAATAAAAGATTGAGTTAGTATCCTTTTCAAGTTATCTTTCAATTCATCTAACAACAACTGGAATTGACTCAATATTCTTTCAAAGCCACGCCCAATACTTGATCCTATACAATTTATATCGGTTGGTTATACCCGTACTTTGATATCGGCTCCACGATTCGTGCGGTGGCTCGCGAAAAAAAAAAAAAAGAATAGTTCTGCATATAAGTGGGATCACGTGAACGACACCATCGAGCGACACTATCGAGCGACACTATCGAGCGACACTATCGAGCAGAGCGAGATAGTGGAGCCCACTAGCTCTTATCAACACTATCGAGCAGAGCGAGATAGTGTTGCATCATGCTAGAAAGTGCTGCTCCACTAACTCGACTATCGAGCAGAGCGAGATAGTCGAGCAACATAGACTACACCGGCACTATCGAGCGACACTATCGAGCAACATAAACTACACCGGCACTATCGAGCGACACTATCGAGCAACATAGACTACACCGGCACCATCGAGCGACACTATCGAGCAACATAGACTACACCGGCACCATCGAGCGACACTATCGAGCAACATAGACTACACCGGCACCATCGAGCGACACTATCGAGCAACATAGACTACACCGGCACCATCGAGCGACACTATCGAGCAACATAGACTACACCGGCACCATCGAGCGACACTATCGAGCAACATAGACTACACCGGCACTATCGAGCGACACTATCGAGCAACATAGACTACACCGGCACTATCGAGCGACACTATCGAGCAACATAGACTACACCGGCACTATCGAGCGACACTATCGAGCAACATAGACTACACCGGCACTATCGAGCGACACTATCGAGCAACATAGACTACACCGGCACTATCGAGCGACACTATCGAGCAACATAGACTACACCGGCACTATCGAGCGACACTATCGAGCAACATAGACTACACCGGCACTATCGAGCGACACTATCGAGCAACATAGACTACACCGGCACTATCGAGCGACACTATCGAGCAACATAGACTACACCGGCACTATCGAGCGACACTATCGAGCAACATAGACTACACCGGCACTATCGAGCGACACTATCGAGCAACATAGACTACACCGGCACTATCGAGCGACACTATCGAGCAACATAGACTACACCGGCACTATCGAGCGACACTATCGAGCAACATAGACTACACCGGCACTATCGAGCGACACTATCTCGCTCTGCTCGATAGTGGAGCACACTAGCTCTTATCAATACTATCTCGCTCTGCTCGATAGTAGAGCAGCACTGACTAGTAATACTATCAAGCAGAGCGAGATGCCTAGCACGTGATATGGAGCACGTGATACTACCATAACTATACTTTTTTTTCAAGGCATCTAGTGTGCTCCACTATCTCGCTTCGCTCGATAGTGTCGTGTAGCATCTAGTGTGCTCCACTATCTCGCTTCGCTCGATAGTGTCGTGTAGCATCTAGTGTGCTCCACTATCTCGCTTCGCTCGATAGTGTCGTGTACCATCTAGTGTGCTCCACTATCTCGCTTCGCTCGATAGTGTCGTGTACCATCTAGTGTGCTCCACTATCTCGCTCTGCTCAATAGTGTCGTGTAGCATCTAGTGTGCTCCACTATCTCGCTTCGCTCGATAGTGTCGTGTAGCATCTAGTGTGCTCCACTATCTCGCTCTGCTCAATAGTGATGATAGTGTCGATAGTGTCGATACTCTCACTTATCCCTACCACGTGATAAACGTCACGTGGTGCTGATACCCTTTACAGGAGAAAAAAATTTTAATAGAGTGCGACAAAGAGAGTCGCGACACTATCTGTCACTATCGAGCGGAGCACACCAGCTTGATAGACTACTGTCTCTTGACACTAGTCTACACTCTCTGTTTAAGAGACTGTGTAAGAGAGCCTGTGTAAAAGGCCCGTGTAAAAGAGTCTGTGTAAGAGAGCCTGTGTAAAAGAGTCTGTTTAAGAGTCTGTGTAAGAGTCTGTGTAAGAGAGTCTGTTTAAGACAATATGATTAAGAGTCCAATTATAACCTTAGAGCGAGATAGTGTCACTAGTCAGTGCTGGTCCACTATCTCGCTCTGCTCGATAGTGGATAGTGGATAGTGTCACTAGTCAGTACTACTCCACTATCTCGCTCTGCTCGATAGTGGATAGTGGATAGGAGCCACTAGTCAGTACTACTCCACTATCTCGCTCTGCTCGATAGTGATAGTGGAGGTGAGAGTCATGCAGCATCAACATCATCTTCAATCTTGTCGTAAGCGGGATCAAAGTATGTCTTGAAGGTATCCTCTTGAGCCTCGCCTCTTCGAATTATATGTGCTTTAGGGCTAGTATGCCTGCTGAGACGGTGAATATAAGGGTGTGAATGAGCTTCGTAATCAACAATTCCGCTATCTCGTTCTCTGCCTTCTCTCCGTAAATCGTCCAAGGTCAAAAACTTGGTATACTCTCCAATTTGTTTCAAAGGTTCTGAAACCTTGGTTTTCTTCTTCGGCTTGAACTTGTTGCCCAATATTTTTCCTGTGTGCTGTAATATAATCTTGATAAGGTCTTTTCTCAACCTATTCATACAATCTTCTCCAGACCAAATCTTGTATTGGTATTTCATGTCCGGTACCGATAGCACTAGCTGATCCACATTCAACAAACTCAAAGTCTTGGGCCCAGAGAAACTGATAATCAACTTGAATGCAGCTATCTCAAAATCAATAATAGATTTGAACTTTAACGATCTTGCAATTAAAATCTCCAACTCGTCCTCCGTCTCATTGTTGTTGTTGTTATTATCAACCCGTTTTCTTTTGAAAGGTATATGTATTTTACTCTTTATATTTTCATCTCTAGATGCCAAGGTTGAATTTTCGCTTCCAAATCGAAGAGAGGAATCAAATGTATTCCTACTGTCTTGGATGGAATTTGTTGTTGTTTCTCCTCCTCCTCCTCCTCCTCTTCTTCTTCTATTTAAAGGTAATGAAGAGAAGGAGGAGGAACCGCTTGAATTGTGTGTGACTGTTTTACTTTTAGCAATTAGTTTTTTAAATGTATTTTTAGGACTAGCCAAACTTCCTTTTGATAGATGGCTGTCCTGAATTGATAAAGAGTCTGGTGATATCTCATGAGGAGTCTTATCGGCTTTGGTGAAAAGCGAACTGGCATTGTCATTTTCATTGTCATTATCACTGTCATTGTCACTATCACTGCCATCGTTGTCTGAATCATTGTCCTCGTCGTCAAACAAGTCGTTCTCCTTGGGAAAAAGATACGAGTGTAGCTTTTTCGCAGTTTGGAAATCTAGCTCCAATCTCAACGGAGAAACTTCTAGTTTGGCGTTTTTGACAACTGGAATACCACCCACAGCTGCCAACATGTTCCAAGTCATTTTCAAAACGGGAGTAGCAAACTCATCTCCAGCGTTATTATTATTATTCTTATTCTTTTCTTCTGCAAGCACTGGTGACAATAGAATTGGGTGAGTTCCATTTTCTTCAAGATTGAAGCCTTGAACCATGCCAATTTCAAATACATTCATGTTAGACCCATGGATGGATTCTACTTTAGTGTGCCGCATTTTGGCACATGCAAAATCTACAAATGGCTGTCTATTATCATCCAAAAAGTGCCATATCACTTGGTCCGCCAAAATGCTCAAGTGTTTCGAAGTTTGCCGAGTTTCGTTTTTGTTTCTCATTCTCAAAGCTTTCATAATCATTAGCAACTCTAGCTTCAGTTTCTCCATCTCCAACTCTAATAGCTTCAAGTATCTCTTTTCTTCTTCACTCAAAATTGCTACTTTTTCATCAAAGTTTAACAAGATACCCCTAAATTCACGAATTTGACTTTGTAAATCTTTCACCCTGATATCCCATCCTTTGAAATCCGAAGGATCAGAGACTGCAATCACCTTGGACAATTTGGTGTGTATAGTATCATGTTGAATGCTTGACATGAGCAACTCTGTAACAACGAAATAAATGGTTGAATACTGTGCCGATGTTGCATCAATAACAAGCTTTTCCAAATACAATATCATCTCATTGTCCTGATCCAATTTTTTGGAATTAACAAATAATTGGTTGGGATTCTTATAAACCAGTGCAAGAGTGGTCTTTTCGGATACCAAATACTCACGAGCCCATGATCCATCGTAACAAATTTCACATTCAAACCAAGGTCGCCAGTTTTTTTCCAGGGTCATATATCCATCCTTTTTAAATTTGGATTTTGGGTTTGGCTTCAAAACGTCGTCCTTGTTTACAACAAATAGTTGCCCATCTCTAAACATTACCCCCACTCTACTTTCGATCCTTGCTGTCATCTCCTTATTATCCGTGGTCACATTAACCAAATCTTTCTCATTAATGTCAACTATCCTGATATCTAAATCACGAGACGTTAAAAGCACACAAGCATCAGGTAATTTTTTGCTAGTCATTTGAATTTGCGGATGTATAAGTTTGATCAAGTACTTGTACTCAGGCTCTTCCTCATTTGGATCTGCAACAACGTCCAACTCACTATCAAAAGAGCGAATAACCTCTTCTCCACTCTTGAAGCTTCTTTCAAAACTCTTGTCATGATGTGCACTATGAAATGTGGATTGATTAGTCTTTTTGGATTCATGAATCACGCTTTGAACCAAATCTACTGCAGTTTTAGTCATATAGTAAACGTGGTTCTTCCTATCTCCTATACGTTCAAGGTAGCTTGCAAAGTACTCCTTCAAATCGTCGTCCCACTTCACTTCCAAATTATGCAAAATAAATCGATTGTGGAACTCGGCAACCCCAACAAAATATGAAGCCTCGATTAATTCATTCTGGTTCAAGTGGCTAGAAAAGGCAGACAACCTAGACATCTGCCTCAGAATACTATCAACTGGCTCCAAGTAATTATTCTCTTCATCCTTCTCCTCTAAATTCTCCATCATTGTGAAATCTTTTGGGGTAAAATTGTCATATACTTCTTGTACAACTTCAATCTTCTCATTCAAAATCAGAATCTCTTGCTCCGTGAATTTAATGTCGTTTTGAAATTCGGGTCCATTGCTGACCTTGAAATTTTTCAAGCGAGTTTCTGCTTTTGCTAAATCGGCCTTTAGCTTTTCAAGCCGTTCCAGCAAAATACGTCTTTGAACGGCCGCTGGCTTATCCACATCCATAATACAGTTGTGAATATCCTCATTACCAAAAGGAAATGGTCCACTTTTACTGAATGTAAACTCTCTAAAATAGCTGCACTTTGGCGTGTAAAAAAATGGAATAATCTTGATTTTTGGATAAGGCGATAAAGGTTCTCTAACTTCCAACTCTATAAAATCCTCCGGGTCAATCCATGAGAAATCCCCATCAGGAGTATTTACACTGTCCATCCACCTTGTGAACTGTGATGTTGGTACATGTCCGTGGTGTCCATTATGGCTTGATGCCTTGGTGGAGTTCAAATCACCAGCAAGATATGACATCAATTTTCCACTAACTGATTGGTCACTGAATAGTGCGTTTAAGATTCTGACATCTGCTTTTTCAATGTTTACTTCTGCTTGGTTCATTTTCAAGTGCTTTATCTTTGCTTTTCTATTCAACTTCTTATTCTCATAAATCATCAATTCCTTTCTTTGATGAAGATCTATCTCGCATATTGCAAATTTTCCCTTTAGTCCCGTAAATGCAACTCGATTCTTTTTGCTTCGCGATTCGTTGCTTGAGTGAAGATACAAATGGGATATAGTTAAGGGGTTGAAAATCAATTGATACTTCATTGTGAACAAATGCGGACTAAACTTGACTTTGATTTTCTTCTTTCCATCAGCAGCAAACAATTTCCCAGTTCTAATCGGTGGTATCGAATAATGAGCCATTGTATCCCACCAGTGGAAAAAATGGTGAAACGATAAGGGGGTCAAGAAGGCAGCATTGAATGCTTCGCCATTGTGAGATTTTGATATTACTGATAGCGACATATGCACATAATCAGACCTGTATTCATCGTAAGAATCCGGATGGTATTCATTGACTGGATTAGTAATTTGCACTTCATAGTGCGGCTTGAATTGGGAGGTTCTAAGTTCCTCATCACTTAGTCTCTTAGAAGCATGCTTGTTTCTTTCAAACATCATTCCTCCAATCCACTTGACTCTATTGTTTGAACTCAATCTGATCACTTTTTTGTGAAACTTCTTTGCGTCTAAATCAATATCTGGTGTTGGTTCATCTGCTCCATCATAAAACAAACTCCAGATATTCTTCTCCTCGATTGAATAATTTGGAATAGCAAAGAGAAAGTCATCACTGGTAACAACAACCAAGTTTTTCGAGTTGATAGTACCATCAATTGTTAAAGAAACATTATTTTTCCAGCAATAAACAAACCCAGAGCTTCTTCCAACCAATCGGTGTGGCGACAGTCCACTTTTCATGAGCAAACATAGCTCATTGGCAATGTTAAACTGATATTTGCCATGCATTATCATTGGAAGCTTGTCCCACCATCCTATTGGACTATCGTCGATTGCTGGTTTGCTAAAGTTATCAAAAGCTTGTCCCAATGCGCTCAATGCTGGTTGGTATGCTTTGCACCAACTAATTGTGCATGCTCTATCTGTGTTCAAATCACAATGGAAATCAGCAACAAATTTAACAGGTGTCAAAGTTCTTGGAACATAAACCGAGTAGAAATTGTCCGCGATTCCGTTGTCTGGGACTGCCAAAGAGTACGGGACATAAATGTACCTCAACTCTTCTTTCCTTGAAAATAGCTTTTCATTTATGATGATGTTTGCCTTCATATGTACTGTTGGCTTTTGGGGGTTGCTACCTGTAGGGAAAGATGCCAAGGGTAATGGGTAATCCCGCAATATCATATAAAATTTCCTAGCCTTTAATTCAACAAACATGGGAACAAATATCGAGTAGGTTAACTTTGGTTGTTTCTTGGCGAACTTGTACAAGAAATCGTCGACATCCCCACCTTTGAATTTATCAAATGTTAAGTCCGCATCTCTAAAAAGTGGTCCCGCAAGAGGTGGACCTTCAGCATACTCGATAATATCGTATTTATTTTTCATCTTATCAGCTACTTCATCATTTCCAAAAGTATCCTGAACTTTATCCTTCCAAAGACCATTTCTTACTTCCCTAAAAGCTCTAAATTTTTGAATCCAAGATAACGAGAAATTCTCCAAAAGTCTCTGTCTGGCTTCTTCAATTCTCTTTTCGGCTTCTTTTCTTGCATACTCAAAGTTTGTCTCATTCGTTTTAGACTCCTGAAAGTTGGATTCTGTTTTTGGTGCTTTGCTAGAGTGGATTCTTTTTGATCTTAGAAGACTTGCCACAAATTTGCCTCGATCATTTTGCGAGTGTTGTTGTTGCTGTTGTTGATGTTCTTTGTCTTCAATTGAATCGGTCATCGTCATTGGATTAACAACATCTCTCAAATTAGTCAATGGACTAGACATTTTGCAAGGTGAGTTTGGAACATTATTGTGGGCTCGTATTGAAGTAGTAGTACTATTATTACTACTACTACCACCACCACCACCACCACCACCACCAAACATTGAAAATGGAGCTGGAGCAGATATATTAGAAAGTTGTATTTGATCTTCCATATCTCGTTGAGCTTTGCTCCTGATTTCATTACTCTTTGACTCAAAGGCCTTTAGTTTCCGTAACCTCTCTTTTTGCTCTATAATTCCTAAATCATAAATCATAGCCAACTCATTTTCAAACGGATCATTTTCCAAAGTCAATCCCAAAGTAGAGGTCTTGATGTTTATGTGTAAAAACTGGAATGGCTTTTTTGACATTGGATACAACCTCTCAAACGACTCAGCTCCAAAGTTGAAATATAGAAAATTATGCTTCAACTGTTTAATTGCCTTGATTAGAGTTATTGTATTATCGATGATTGTGTAGAACAAAAACTGGTGTGGGACATTGATTCGAATACTTTTTGCGGTAATATCAAAGGCATCCTCATGCATCGTCTTGGAAACGTCAACACTAAAGCTTGGATCTTTTATTGTCACTCCTCTTGCCCATAACTTGGTTGCTGGGTGTACCACGTACAATCTAACATTTTTGACATTAGCATTCTTTAAAACAAGAACATTCTGTAGTTTAGCATTGTCGATTTCAATAAGTGCATCTACATTATTGGGTAACCTGACAACAGTAGCAACAGAATCCAACAAAACGTCTAGCTTAATCTTTTTCCTAGGCCCGGTGATTTCTTGAATTTGTTGCCTGCTACAATTGGACTCGACAGTAGGAGCAAACCTTTGCAATAATGTCTTTGCATAAAAAACACACCAAAGGAAAAACATATCAATACGAGTATCTATTTCGGATATGAAGAGCACCAACTTATTTGGGTCTCGGTCACTCCTAGTGTAATAATTATTGGAGATTAGTATCTTTTGGGCGCTCAATACATTTTTGATCCTCTTTATGCCCAGTTCTTTTCCCTTTTGTTCTTCTTCTTCTTCTTCTTCATTTTCATGGTCATGGTCAAGGTCAGAATCGTTTTGATTAGCGTATACTGTATCGGAAGCTAATGTGCTGATACTTGAAAGATCGTCTAGCTCTGAATCCGAATTTTCAACTGGTATAGATTTATCAAAGTCTTGCGTGTACTCCAGCGAGTACTCACTTAATGTGAACATCTGAACCATATCTACTGAAAGCTCAACAATTTCCTTAGACAACTTATAGCTGGCTGATATATTTGTGATCTTCAAAGCAATGCCTCTTCTAAAATCAGCAAGGTCAACATCTTTCCCAAGTCCAACATCATATATTACACGGCTAGGTAATCCATCTTTGCAAAGTATATCAAAATCTACCGAGTAAATACTCACTCTAACCGATGACACAAAAGATGGTAGTATTTCAAACAATTTCACAAAAATATCATGATGAGGCAGCAGCGGCAGCAGCAGCAGCAGCAGCAGCAGCAGCAGAGAGGGCAACAGCCTCGCATTCACCTTACCACCAGCATCCTTGGCTTGTTGTTTGCGTCGCCATTCTTGATACTTTTTATTAAAATAAATTCTTTCGCGGTTTCTGAATTGCCTTACCAAATAAAAGAAATTATCATTAACTGATTTGATCTTGATGTTTTTACTTGCAAAGTAGCAAGCTAGTTGGTCTGTTTTAAGACTATAAGAAAGCAACATGTTGATCTTGGACAATTGGATCAAATTTCCCTCTATTTCTCCTCTGGCATTTTTCACCTTGAGTAAACAATTTAGCGAAGGGATAACCTTGCTTCTTTTCAAATGCCTCCTTGAAAAGATTTTCAACATAAAGCCCAAAAGTGTGCATTTGATGATGGTATTTGAATTTGAATGACGATTAAACTCTTCTTCTTTATTCAGGCCAAGTTTTGGCAAATGGAATTTCACTACTGTATCAACAATTTCTATCTTGCTTGAAATTGCATTTACCATTCGCGAGGCAATCTTTAGTTTTCGTAACGTTTCTTCTTTGCGTTGCACTCCAGCGACAGACCTACCCTTATTCATTCTTTTTTGCATCATCTTATCTTTTAGGATGTTGAATAAGATATCCTGTTGGTCATAGTATAGATCAAAGGTTGGGTTGGTTAGCGTAATATTGAAATCAAAGTTGATGGTTTCTTTATGGTTCTCTTGGTGATTGAGCAAAATCTGACAAACCCTCAACATTTCAAGAGGACATACTTCATACGATATTGTTCCCGACGGGAGCTCAAAGCATTGAGTATCAAGGTGGTAAAATTTGAACGATGACAAATAAGTAGCCAACTTGAAAGTTTCAAGACCATCCGTTGCTATTGATGGCTTTTCTCCAAGTTTAGTCAAGGAGAATGCAATGGTGGACAAATTTATCGATAGTGTATTGTGGGACAATGTAGAGTCTTCTAAGCGTATATCGGTGGCTGAGTATAGTGAGACAACTTCTTTTAGGAGATTGGTGTATTTGAGAAGATCTATTGGGTTTTTATCGTGACCTTCTTCTTCTTCTTCTTCTTCTTCTTCTTCTTCTTCCTCCTCCAAGTTATTAGCTTCTGGATCTAACTCTTTTCCATTGTTATTCTTCTGAAACTCGTGTTTGTGGAAATATTGAAGTGGGACATTCAAACGTCCTATAGAAAGTGAGGTTTTAAAATCTTGGAAATACATTGAGACCATGCCTGGATATTTCAACTCGCAAAGGGCAATTAATTGACAATCAATGTAGAATTCCGCGTTTCTGAACAAGTTCACTTTATTCTCCTTATTGTGATTCTCATAGATCAAGCCATTGAGCAGGATAATTGTAAGCCTAACACGGTTACTTTCATCTCTAGTAGCTGTGAAACGACTGTATTCTGTGAATACACAAAGTTTGTCATATGTAGCCTCGTGATAGAGACTCCCTCGAAATAGATGCAAAGCGAAAATGTCGATTATTTTGCCCTTCACCAAGTAATTGTAAATAGTTTTCAGTACCTTGAAACTGAACAATTCTGTAATTGACCTCTTGTCAATTGGATTTCTTTTTTGTTGCTCTTGCTCTTGTTCTTGCTGCTGTTGCTGTTTAAAGTTGCTGTCACTCGCCAATGGTGCTCCACTATCTCGCTTCGCTCGATAGTGTCGATCCTTCAAGCAAGTAATGGAGAAATCGCATATTTCCAATGCAAACTTTTTCATCCCCGTTTGCTCATTAGCATTGAACAAGTTAACTCGCAAGCCTAACCTACCAATATAAATTGTTGAATTTTTGCTCTTTACAGTAATACCCCTTAAACTGATAAATCCAATGTATTTAACCTTGACATGAGGGATTCGATTGAGTGCAAAGAGAGCAACTGCATAAATGAATGCAAAAACAATTAATACCAGATATATAGCTTCCATCTTGGATAAGAATAAGCAGACAAAAAGCTTCTTTACCCTACAATACAATACCTATTATCTTCATAACAAGTTACTTCTATTACAGAACCACTTAAGCAATAAAGATGTGAAAAAAAAAAATAAAAATAAAAATAAAAATAAAAAATATGTCAGTTTATCGTTGTGACACAAAAATGGAGAAGACCGTTAGCTGTACCGCATAAACTTTTAAACGGGGCGGAAAAGATCGTTTTGTTGACGGAATGGGGAGAAGAGGAAAATTATCGGGCCAAAGAAAAGCCGAAGGCACTATCGAGCAGAGCGAGATGACACTATTTACACTATCGCCACCCCACTATCGCCACCCCACTATTGAGCGAAGCGAGATAGTGGGGTGGCACCGACTACCTACACTATTTACACTATCGCAGAAGGATATTGAGTAGAACAGACTAGAGGGCCTGAAGGATATGAGTAGAACAGACTAGAGGGCCTGAAGGATATGAGTAGAACAGACTAGAGGTCCTGAAGGATATGAGTAGAACAGACTAGAGGTCCTGAAGGATATGAGTAGAACAGACTAGAGGTCCTGAAGGATATGAGTAGAACAGACTAGAGGTCCTGAAGGATATGAGTAGAACAGACTAGAGGGCCTGAAGGATATGAGTAGAACAGAACTTGGAGTAAATAGATTGAGCTTGGAGCAAGAGCACGGATTTGTTTGCATCCTTTTATGCACGGATTTGAAAAAAGTTTTTTTCTCTTGAGCTTTTATTAGTGGATAATGCGGATGAGATGAAATGAATGACACTATTTACACTATCGAGCGAAGCGAGATAGTGGGGTGGCATTGAAGTTACACTATTTATGCTATCGAGCGAAGCGAGATAGTGGGGTGGTATTGAAGTTACACTATTTATGCTATCGAGCGAAGCGAGATAGTGGGGTGGCATTGAAGTTACACTATTTACACTATCTCGCTCTTCCTGATAGTCTGCTCGATAGTGGAGCAGCATTGAAGTTACACTATTTACACTATCTCTCTCTGCTCGATAGTCTGCTCGATAGTGGAGCAGCATTGAAGTTACACTATTTACACTATCTCTCTCTGCTCGATAGTCTGCTCGATAGTGGAGCAGCATTGAAGTTACACTATTTACACTATCTCTCTCTGCTCGATAGTCTGCTCGATAGTGGAGCAGCATTGAAGTTACACTATTTACACTATCTCTCTCTGCTCGATAGTCTTCTCGATAGTCTGCTCGATAGTGGAGCAGCATTGACTAGTGACAATAAATTATTGTATAAGCTTATAAATTTATCGCCATAAACTTATTGTATAAGCTTATGTTTATTGCAACAAATATTATTTTAGCTTATGGACTTATCGTAATAAATTATGAGCTTATAGATTATCACGATAAACTTATTGTATAAGCTTTATTTGTATTTTTCTCTTGATAGAGTTACACTATTGAGCGGAGTGAGATAGTGGAGCAACACTTTTTAACACTATCGAGAGAGATAGTGGGGTGGCATTGACTAGAGACACTAGTCACACTATCGAGCAGAGCGAGATAGTATTGTAACAAGCTACTGAGTGTTGACACTGGTAACACTATCGAGCAGAGCGAGATAGTGTTGTAACAAGCTACTGAGTATTGACACTAGTCACACTAATAACCAGAGCGAGATAGTGTTGTAACAAGCTACTGAGTGTTGACACTGGTAACACTATCGAGCAGAGCGAGATAGTGTTGTAACAAGCTACTGAGTGTTGCTCCACTATCTCGCTCTGCTCGATAGTGTTGCTCGATAGTGGTTTTACTTTTAAAGTTTAAAAAAATCTCTTTATTAAATTCAATTTCATGGAAAATGAATGCCTCCTGTACTATCGGGCAGCAACACTGACTAGCTGCCCACTATTGAACAAAGCGAGATAGTGGAGAAACACTTGTAGCGCCACTGACCATCGAGAGCGAGATAGTGGAGAAACACTTGTAGCGCCACTGACCATCGAGAGCGAGATAGTGGAGAAACACTTGTAGCGCCACTGACCATCGAGAGCGAGATAGTGGAGAAACACTTGTAGCGCCACTGACCATCGAGAGCGAGATAGTGGAGAAACACTTGTAGCGCCACTGACCATCGAGAGCGAGATAGTGGAACAGTATTGACTGACACTATCTTAAGAGCTAGTGTCGCTCGAGAGTGTCGGTACCAGCTAGTGTGCTCCACTATCGAGCAGAGCAACACTCAGTAGCTTGTTAGAACACTCTCTCGCTTGATAGTGGAGTAACACTGACTAGCTGCCCACTATCTCGCTCTGCTCGATAGTATGATTAGATGAAAGAGTGTAGATGAAAGAGTGTAGATGAAAGGGTGTAGATGAAAGGGTGTAGTGTAAAGAGTGTAGATAGATGAAAGGGTGTTGGTCCACTATCTCGCTATGCTCGATAGTGTTTCCGATAGTGTCGCTTAAATCTGAGATTTCCTAATCAAGATCCACTTCCTAGGCTTTTTACCCTTTTCTGAAATATAAATGAGGAGGTAAAAATCCCCAAGGTTTATTTAGCAAGTCTATTTAGCGGATCTATTTCCATTCCTTCTCTAGGTAACACCAAGGTGCTACTAGCCCTTCATTTCCTGTGACTAAAATAAAAAAGATATCTACGGATATAGCTTTTGAGGAGTCGACTACATTTGAGGAGTTGACTACATTTGAGGAGTTGACTATGTTTGAGGAGTTGACTATTTTGTTGTTGCTGCTATAGCTATAGCTCACATACGTTTAGAACGGTATGTTTACTCTGAATAGGTATTACATTAAACACTACAAATCAAACGTACTAAAAAGCTATGGCTTTTTACCCAATTGGGTAATTAATTGGATCTCTTTTTGTATGTACAATAACTATTTTTGATTTTTCTGCCAATTTAAGTTAAACCTTATTATTTATTTTTTTTTTTTCGCAGTCAAATTCTTAATATCCTATTGCAAAATCGACAAAAAGATCTACTTCACACCTCAAGTCAAACTTGACACTGGAAGAAAACCCCAATTGACTAATAGTCTAAATTGGTGGGTGTTTTTTTTTGTTTTTTTTTTGTTTCTTTTTTCTTTTCTTGCATTTCCATTTTCTTGCATTTGTTTTATTACTCCAACTGGAAATCAAACTTGATCCCTTTTCAACAAATTTACCGAAAATGGTTACAAGTATAATCAAACCCCAGCTCGAAATCAGGGTTCTATAAGCTATGAAGAAAAAGTATATATAACCAGTTTTCAACTCTAACTCTCTCATTCTTATTTTTATTTTAAAGTTCAACCAAGTAAAGCTTAAAAACTCAAAAAATAAAGAGCAGCTCTCCCCTTGAGATCAATATATATTCTTTCACAATCGCTAATCAACAATGAAGTTAAATCTTGCTACAGCCACTTTAATTTTAGCAGCAGTCTCCCACGTTGCAGCGTCACCTGCAGCTGCTTCCTTGCCAGGTACTACAGTGCTCACTCAAAGAGAGATTAACACTGCAAACCATGCCATTGCCAGCCTCAATTCCTTCAACAAGAAAAGATCACTTATGACAAACGAGGAGATTGCCAAGAGAGAAAGTCAAATAGTTACTGATGTATTGGCAGCTATCAAAGATACAAACTTGGCTCCAGGTATCATAAAGTATTTTATTAACGATCCAACATTAACCAAAATTGCAACAGATGTTATTGTAACTGCTATCAAGAGCGGCTGGATCAATCTTAGTACCTTGTTGAAATCGCTTAATGACTCTGGGTTAGCTGTTGATGTTATTCAGAATTTGATTAGTGACTGTGCATTTTACGCTGAAATTTTCAAATTGGTTGCTCAACAATTAGCCAACTTGCCACAATTGATTGCTAACTTGTTGGGATTGAATTCAAGTGAGGTTTCACTGGCAGTTGCTAAATCAAAGAGAGATGCTTTACAAGATTTGGTTTTTGCTAGGGATGAGCCAGTAGAAACCTTGTACACAAGAGACGGTGAAGCAATTTTGACTTCATTGATGGAATCGCTTAAATCTTCGGGTTTGGCTAATCAAGTTGTGCAGGCTTTAGTTACAGAAGACTCATTTTATTCCTGGGGTGCTTCATTAATTGAATCATTGTTCAAAAACAATGCAATTTCATTGACTGAGTTGATTTCAGCTTTGCTTGAATCGGGATTGATTCCTTCATTGATTGAAAATTTCTTGAATTTCGATACACTAAAGACGGTTGTTGTTACTGCTTTGGCTGCGGCTTTTGGTAATTGTAAAGATACTACAGTATCGTCTACATTTGCAACCACTCCTACTGCTACAGCTACACCAACAGTTACAACTGGTACTGCTAACTTGAGCACCTTGACTACCTTTACAGGTACTCCTATTGTCACTGGTACATTAACAACAACTGCTCAACCAACTTTGGTAACTTCAACTACAACAGCAAAAGTCTGTAAGAAGAAGAGAAGAAGAGCATATTAAAAAGAGAGAGTGTCTATCAACAAGGGTTTAGCCATTGAGCTTTGAGCTTTGAGGTTTTATCAAAAAAAAAAAAAAAAATATTGTTTTTTTCTTCATACCTATTATAAAATATCAGAGTTTTATTTGTCATATAAGCTGTGGGAAAAACAGTTGAACCTTTAAGCTGGGACGTTTTAGAATTGGCTTTCTGCAGGTCAGAAAATAAGATGGTGAACCACAAGAGGAGGAAGATTAGAATATTTCCTAGTCAATTGTTTTTTTTTAAAAAAAGTCAACTGTTTCAGAGGCCAACTGTTGTTTCCTCACATTGTTGTTTGATGAGTGAGTCTCGTTTTTCTCCTATCGTTAATATCTTTTTTTATTATACAATATTTCAGTAGAAGTTCTATATATAATAAAATCAAATAAATAAAGCCATACACTATCGACCGACACTATCGACCGACACTATCGAGCAGAGCGAGATAGTGGAGTAACACTCAGTAGCTTGTTACAACACTCAGTAGCTTGTAACAACACTCAGTAGCTTGTGACAACACTCAGTAGCTTGTGACAACACTCAGTAGCTTGTAACAACACTCAGTAGCTTGTTACAACACTATCTCGCATTAAGAAACCTCTACTATTGATCACTGATCGAGTTCCTTCAGCAACTCTCAAAATATCTCTCTTTTATGTTCTATACATCTGTATTGTATATGTATATCTCTCTTTTATGTTCTATACATATATATTGTATATGTATATCTCTCTTTTATGTTTTATACATATATATTGTATATATATGTGTCTATATGTATATTTTTTGTCCTATAGATTTAAACATTGGTAGGTACAAGCGTAATCAAACCCCCGTGTGTAGTAAATAGACTATCGAGAAGAGCGAGATAGCCTACAGCTCTATCCAAACAGCTCTATACGCGCAGCTCTATCCAGCTCTATCCAGCTCTATACGCGCAGCTCTATCCAGCTCTATCTACAACTCTCTCCTCGCACCTCTATCCACGCACCTCTATCCACCTCTATCCAGCTCAATACACACAGCTCTACATATGTAGTTCTATCAACTCATTAGCTTGTCACAACACTATCTCGCTCTGCTCGATAGTGTTACAGCTCTATTAACTCATTAGCTTGTCACAACACTATCTCGCTCTGCTCGATAGTGTTACAGCTCTATCCACTCAGTAGCTTGTTACAACACTATCTCGCTCTGCTCGATAGTGTCATAGTGTCTCTCTGCTCGATAGTGTTCAGTGGTGTCGCGCAAAAACAACAACAAAAGTTGTGTTGATTTTTCATTCAGTAACGCGTTTCTTTATTGATCCAAAAAAAAAGAAAAAAATATACAGAGGAAACGTATTAATGAGCAAACAGTAGAGAATGCCAGGGTATGTATTAGAGAGCGTTTCACCCCTTTTGTGTTGGTGTATGAATACAATTGTTTAATACTGACCAAGTGTACAAAAATTATAGGGAGACAATCACTATACAAGCAGGACAGTGCGGGAATCAAGTTGGTTTACTGTATTGGCAACAACTAGCTAATGAACATGGGTTAAATTCCGATGGAGTGCCTACACCGTATCCTAGTACAAAAAGATATGAGTTCATAGATTACAACCAGCAAGATACAACAACTGGGGTAGAGCTGGCGCGACAGCAGCAGGTTCAGCGAACAATGTACAGGGAGGATAATCCCGAGTTGTATTTCACAATTTCAGATGCTCACACATATACTCCACGTTCGATACTGATTGACCTTGAGCCCTCGGTGATAGCCAAATCACTCAGCAGTATGTCGATGTTTAATCCGAGAAATGTTCATCTAAGTGAGCAAGGGAACGGAGCTGCCAACAATTGGGCTAATGGGTATAGGTATGGACAAGAGCATATTGAAGAGATTGTCAATTTAATAGATCGGGAAGTTGACAAGTGTGACAACTTATCGCAATTCCAGTTGATTCATAGTGTTGCAGGTGGAACCGGAGCCGGTGTTGGTTCAAAAATTTTGGAGGTTTTGCAAGATAGGTATACTAACAAAAAGCTCATTACTACAGTTTCCGTATTCCCTTCGAACGACAAGACGAGCGATGTAGTAGTACAGCCATATAATACTGTGTTGACATTACAGAGATTGATAGAGTGCAGTGATGCAACTTTTGTGTTCCACAACGATGCATTAAATAATATCGAAAATTTGATTTCCAATCAAAACGCGTCTTTCTCGCGACAGGAGCTCAGCAATGGAGGAGTAATAGGAATAGGAAAGGGGAAAAGAGGCGGGGCTTTGTTTCAAGGGGCCAATAAACTAATTGCATCAGTCATGGCCTCTATCAGTAACCCTATAAGATTTCCTGGTTATATGTACAGTTCTATTGAATCGATTATGTCGAGTATGGTTCCTACACCTGATTTGAAGTTCTTGACATCATCAATTGCACCATTCAACAATTTCTCAAATCATAAATACATAAATGAATACGACATGTTTTTGGAATTGTCTGACGATCGATACAAGTCGGTGATAATTCCTAGTACGAGTGGTTCAGATGTTTCATATATTAGTCTAATGAACTATTTAATAAGTCCAACTAATCTAGATAGAAAAGAGATTCGCAAAGGTATATTGAAGATTCAATCACGAACCAACTTTCCTCCATGGGCATCGAGATCGATAGCAGTGGTACATGGTCATAAATCACCATTTTTGAAAGACCAGCTGCTTGAAGGAATACAATTGTCCAATAATACATCGATTATTGAAGTTTTTGAGAAGATTCTAAGACAATACGATATGTTGGCAAAGAGGAAAGCTTATTGGAATACATATTGCGAGGAGAATTCTCCAGAGGAGTTGGATAAGATTACGGGTATATTCAGTGAAAGTAAAGAGGCCGTTGTAAGTGTTATTAATGAGTATAAAGCTTGTAAAAGTATGAATTATTTGGAAGATGATGATGATGATGATGATGTTGGTGATGTTGTTAATGCTGATGTTGATGTTAATGTTGATATGGACATGAATTAAGTGGTCTCGATGCAGCATTTACTAGTTAGATGTGAGAAGGAAATTTCCGTAAATGAGTTTTAGTTGAAATAGAGTTTAGACTATTTGTCTATAATGTACGACGCATGCTAGATGTAACATTTTCATCAGAGAATGGAAAAAAAAAATTGAAAAAAAAATCTCCCAGACAGGGAATTGAACCCTGGTCTACCATGCGACAAACGGTAATTCTAGCCACTAAACTATCTGGGACTTTTTCGAGCAAAAAATCAACTGTAATTATTATCAAGCGGAGATAAAGCAACAAAGCAACAAGGCAACAAGGGCAACTCCAAAGATACTGACTACACTGACACTAGTATGAAAAGAAAACAGGTAAGAAAGGTGGGAGTACTGCTCCACTACCTCACTTTACTCGATAGTGTCACTAGTGTCGGTGGCAGGTACAAAGTGTTACTCTACCTCGCTTTACTCGATAGTGTCACTAGTGTCGGTGTAGTCAGTACTGCTCCACTATCTCGCTTTACTCGATAGTGTCGAACTTGTAATAAGAACTCTCATTTTTTTTTTAGTTGGAAATTCCTTCCCTATCCTCTTCAATACAATTTTTATGTTAAATCTAGACCAAAAATTTTCTAGATAAAATGATACAAAAAAGGTAATAATTGTAAAAGTGTTACCATATACGAAACAACTAATCAAGTACTTAGATGTGAAGTTAAGCTAAGCTAGGAGATCACCCAAGTTGTAAATCCCCCCAGTTGACAAAATCTCTGGGCCGAGTTCGGGGGAGACCGAGAAAGAACGAGGCATTAAATTTCAGTATAGCTTGAAAAAGAAAAATTTCCAAATGCTTTATCAACAACCAATCAAATAGAAATAACCATTTTACAAAAGAAATCTTAGAAGTGAAATTTTAGAAGAAAAAAGAAAAGATTATGAGTCCAGGTTATAATAAATCTGGAGAGGAGGATGGTGCAGCTGTGAGCCAATTTCTACGGTTCTCCACTTGCACAAATTAATCAAATTAGTACTCAGCTTTAATCATGTGATGTGGGGCTTGATTTCGTAGTAGGTTCAAGGAATATGATGGTTTATTTTTTTATACCTTTTTTTTTTTTTTTTTACTTTTTTTTTTTTTTTTTTTTTTTTTTTTTTTTTTTTTTTTTTTTTTTTTTTTTTTTTTTTTTTTTTTTTTTTTTTTTTTNTTTTTTTTTTTTTTTTTTTTTTTTTTTTTTTTTTTTTTTTTTTTTTTTTTTTTTATTTACTTTTTTTTTTACTTTTTTTAATTTTTTTTTTTACTTTTTTTAATTTTTTTTTTTTTTTATTTTGCCTTGAGAAAACTCTCGGTTCTGATTTGTTCCTGATAAGAAACACCGTATTGATAAAGTCACGTGACAGAAACAAGCAACAAAGCTGCGTATCTTGTGGTGACAGAGAGAAATTACCAAGCCTGTAATGTTGTGGGTGACAGGACCCTTTACACAATATAAAAGAGGGAACCTGTATTGGACAAAAACTAGTACAAATACAATTATTGTTTTCCCTTCATATAAGCCATGATGTTTCATTCTTATCTATTTGATCTTTGAGCAGCTGGTTTACAAAACTATGAGCACTCTGCAAAAAAAAAAAAAAAACCGTTTTTTTTTTGCAACCTGTTGGGACAAATGTAAAAAGGAACATCTCGGAAACGGAACAATGCGGGAAGGATAGCATCAACATACCTTCTTTCTTTTTAACAAAAAGGAAGATTTGTGTAGTAATTAGAAACAGTAAGAAGTAAGCATTCAAAAGAGTGGTGCAACTTTTTCGTATTTGATTCAACTTCTTTAAAACTCTTTTTGAAATGATTTTACAAGGTGAGACTAGGTATAGTTGATGAAATTTCGCCCGCCGTTACAGGACAGTAAAGGCCCCATATGGTTACGGCATTCTCTATTCTGATTGGTCAGTTCGTTCCTCTTATCAGTTTCGAAAATAAATAAATAAAAAAAAAAAATTTTTAGTATTGCTTTATTTTTTTTTTTTTTTTTTAAAGCTACCACCCGATGCCAATGCTCAATGCCAATGCGAGTGCGTGTATGTGTAAAGTAAAGGGATCTAGGTTGTACTAAAAAACTCGCCATTGTAGAAGAAGGTTTAGTTAAGTTACCACATTCGGACAAGACTGACCTGTTAACTATTGGTGGGGTTTGTTAGTTGGTGTTATAAATATCTCATTGATTTCTTTCTCTTTTTATAAAAATTTTTCAAAATCAAACTAAAACCTCATTCAAGTGATTTATTTTCTAAGGTTGTAGGTTACAGGTACTTAGACATATTGCTATTACTACTGCTACTGCTACTGCTACTGCTACTGCTACTACTACTACTACTGCTTCTTTTTTTTGCTTCTTTTACTTTTTACTAGTACTTTTATATTATAATGGTGTTACCACACGAACCAGAGTTTCAACAGGCTTACGATGAGTTAGTCTCGGCTGTACAAGATTCGACTTTGTTTACTGAACAACCCAAATACAAAAAAGTTATCCCCGTTGTTTCGGTTCCAGAAAGAATTATTCAGTTTAGAGTTACTTGGGAAAACGACAATGGTGAGATTCAAGTTAATCACGGTTATAGAGTTCAATTTAATTCTGCTTTAGGTCCTTATAAAGGTGGATTGAGATTCCACCCAAGTGTCAATTTATCGATATTGAAGTTCCTTGGTTTTGAGCAAATTTTCAAAAATGCCTTGACTGGATTGAGTATGGGTGGTGGTAAAGGTGGTTCAGATTTCAACCCCAAGGGTAAATCTGACTCTGAAATTAGAAGATTTTGTGTTTCCTTTATGAGACAGTTGGCCAGGTATATTGGCCCAGATACCGATGTTCCTGCTGGTGATATTGGTGTTGGTGGAAGAGAAGTTGGTTTCTTGTTTGGTGCTTACAAGCAAATGCAAAACAACTGGGCCGGTGTCTTGACCGGTAAAGGTTTATCCTGGGGTGGTTCCTTGATCAGGCCTGAAGCTACTGGTTATGGATGTGTTTATTATACTGAAAAGATGATTGAAAAGGCCACCCAGGGCAAGGAAACATTTAAAGGTAAGAGAGTTACCATTAGTGGTTCCGGAAATGTTGCACAATTTGCTGCTTTGAAAGTTATTGAATTGGGCGGTATTGTTGTTTCCTTGTCCGATTCTAAAGGTTCAATTATTTCCAAGAATGGAATTACTCCTGAACAGGTTTCTGCTATTGCTGCAGCCAAATTGAAATTCAAGTCCTTGGAAGAAATCATTAGCGAGGAAGTTAAAATCTTTTCTGGCGAAAATAGTGTAGAGTATATTGCTGGTGTTAGACCATGGACCAAGGTTGGTCAAGTTGATGTTGCTTTGCCATCAGCAACACAAAATGAAATTAGCGGTGATGAAGCTAGGGCTTTGGTAGAAGCTGGTTGTAAATTCATTTCTGAAGGTTCTAATATGGGTTCTACCAAGGAAGCTATTGAAGTATTTGAATCCAATCGGTCAAACGGTGTATGGTATGCACCAGGTAAAGCTGCCAATTGTGGTGGTGTTGCTGTTTCTGGATTAGAAATGGCACAAAATTCCCAAAGAGTCAAGTGGACTTTGGATGAAGTTGATGAAAAATTAAAGGATATCATGTATACATGTTTTGAGAATTGTTATGAGACAGCAAAGAAATATTCGACTGAAAAGGGAAATGCTACAAGCTTGCCATCTTTATTGAAGGGTGCCAACATTGCTGGATTCATTAAAGTTGCCGACGCCATGTTTGACCAGGGTGAGGTTTTTTAAGATAAACAAGGATAATTTTTGGAATAAACATTTAAACTGGGCTTTAATGAGTAGATTTATATATATAGATTAGATTAGGATGGGAAAAATAATGATGACACGACGACGGTTTACTTCTAGGTGCAAATTTAAAGATTTAGGTTTGTAATTGCTTGAAAATAAATGTATATTGAATTGAAGGCAACCAGAGCGACACTATCGAGCAGCGCGAGATAGTGGAGCAATACTCAGTAGCTTGTTACAACATTATCTCGCTCTGGTCGATAGTATCATTAGTCAGTGTTCTCCACTATCTCGCTCAGGTCGATAGTATCGGTGAGTGTTTTTCACTATCTCGCACTGGTCGATAGTGTCGGTAGAGTAGATTATATTAGATCATAGTAGAATAGAGTAGAATTCAGTGAATAAGAGTAGTGGAGTAGAATCTAACGGAGTAGAATAGAGTAGAAAGAGAGTAGTGGAGTAGAATTTAATGGAGTAGAGTCTAGTAGAGTCTAGTAGAATCTAGTGGATATTGGAGTAGAGTAGAGGAGGAGACAAGTAGAGTAAATTGTAGTGGACTATAAATTATAGTAGAGCAGATTATAGTAGAATAGAGTGAAAACCAGTAAAAGAGAGTAGTGGAGTAGAATCTAATGGAGTAGAGTGGAGTAGAATCTAATAGAGTAGAGTGGAGTAGAATCTACTGGAGTAGAGTGGAGTAGAGGAAAGTAGAGCAGTACTGACTAGCGGATAATAGTAGAAGCTAGTCAGTACTGCTCCACTGTCGGTCTCTCTACTTGCTCTACTCGACAGTGTCACTAATCAGTACTGCTCGACAGTGTCACTAGTCAGTACTGCTCGACAGTGTCATTAGTCAGTACTACTCGACAGTGTCACTAGTCTGTACTACTCGACAGTGTCACTAGTCTGTACTGCTCCACTATCTCGCTCTGCTAGATAGTGGATAGTGGATAGTGGATAGTGGATAGGAGCCACTAATGTCTCTTCCTTTCTTTCTTTATTTTCTCTTGAGCGAAAATATTTTTGTTTCAAAACTTGACTGATCTTTTTTCTCAAGACACGTTTAATTAATAGTAGGTTGGTTGGTATAAAGGTGATACAGGCAGGTTTGCTGAGTCCTACAAGTAAAGTAAAGTAAAGTGGGTATCCTTTTATTAAAATGTCGCATAAGAATGAGTCGTTGTCGTCGTCGTCGTCTCCGTCAAAGGAGGATATAAGAGGCCAATTGTTTGATATTCAAAAGAGATTATTTAATAAGAAAACAAGGTCAAATCAACAAGGAGTTGGTGAACATCAGCTGCAACGAGGTCCAGGTCAATTGGGAGGCGGAGGTGGTGAACATCAGCACCACCAGCTGCAGCTGCAGCGAGGTCCAGGTTCAGGTCAATTGTTTAGTCAGGCGGAAGAAATTTTGACACCGCCGGCTCCTCACGCGAAACTACTATCTACATCTCCTCCGACCCAGATCTCAGCATCCTCGTCATTATCAACAACACCACCGCTGCTGCTCCATACTCGTACAAGCACCGCCACCACCACCACCACAACGGGCAAATTGATGTCTTCCCTATCAGCACCATCAATGGGTCCCGGCCCAGAATCCAAGGGAAATGATATGAATTTCGTAGTGGGCTTGAGTGAAAATTTACTCGCTGAATGCCGTAGACTTAATGTTGAAAACTCCAAAATGAGACAAAAATGGAAATCTGCTGTAGATGAAATACAACTATTTAAAGAGGAAATATTCCAATTGAAAAATTACAATCAAATTTATAGCTCAAAAGAAGAAGCATTAAGGGATAAAAATTGGGCTTTGGAAACTGACGCTATTCAACTAAAGGAAGAATTAATCCTGTTGAAAAAGGAAAATGAAAAATTGCAAAATGTGGAAATTATTGACTTGAAGCGGAAATTGGAGGAGTTAAGCAATGACAATGATTCCTGGACTTTAAAGAATAGAGTTTTGGCAAAAAATTTAGAGGATGTTAAAAAGGAATGGGAGCAGGAGCGCAGGGAATTGAATTTAAGGATAAGCTCCTTAAATGATGAAAACGACTCTTTACATGTAAAATTGAATGGTGTTGATCATTCAAATTCGCCAAATCAGTTTGTGAATCAAAGTAAATTGGACAAAAAGCATGAAGAAGAGAAAAGAAATGATGATGACGATGATGATGACGATGATGATGATGAGAAGAATGTCACTTTTGAACTGATATTAGAGGCATTGCAACAACAGCTGCATGAATTATCAAAAGTGAACACTACAAACGGAGAAGTAGAAGAGCTCAGATCCAAGTTACAAGAGTCTGAAAAGACAATTACAGGGTTGAGTAATTCACTTTTGAAGTTGAAAAGACAATTAGAAACTTCACCACTGCATCATCGTCATCATCATCATCAAACTATAGCTCAGCTACAGAAGACACCAAATCAACTCAAAACACCCAATATTGGGGCTGCAAATAAAAGATTCTCGATGTCCTCACCAAGTAAGAGAAATTCAAAAATCTCAGTTTCTAAAAAGAAAGATGATCAAGATATAACTACGGATGATTTCGACAACAACAACAAGACACCATCCCAACATATCTCACCTCCTAACTTTTTTGATTTAGATACCGAGTCTCCCCAAAGTAGAAGCTTTGATGTGACAACTGCTTCCGAGAATTTAGACATCCCATACTTGGTTGGGGCATCTGACTCTGACTCTGACTCTGACTCTGACTCTGACTCTGAATTCGAGTTTGTTCCCAAATCTGAGTCTGTGCAATCTTCACCATCAAAAGCGTCCAAACTGATTAATCATTCCCAAGTTTCAAAAGCAGTAAACAAGAAACAGGTTGAAGAATACGCAAAAGCTCATAAGCTAGTATTACTCCCAATTATCGAGTTTGAAAAATTGAAACAGCACAGTACAGTTGAAGTTCTAGAACCATCTATAAGTTTATCCAAAACTGAACGCGAGGATTCAATCAACGAGAAGGACGAAGAAGAAATGAAAAGGAAATTGGAGGAAAAGGGAATTGTTACTTTACCAGAAACTGAATTTAATGAGATCACCGAAAAGGCCAAACTGTTTGATGATCCCGATATTACCTATTTAACAGAAAAGGCTAACTCCTTAGGATATATTGTTGTTACAACTGATCACTATGACTCAATAAAAAATCAAGTAAGCAATCCGTCATTGGATTATCTTCATGAAAAGGTTAATAAATTTGACTCAAAAATTATACTGAGTGAAGATATGGCTAAAATGAAAGAGCCAAATATGGAGCAGCTAACTGCTTTCGCCGACAAGCTTGAGTCAGTTGTGGTTTCTCAAGAGGAATACCAGTCGTTAAAGAAACCCTCAATATCAACCATCAAAGACCACGCTCAAGAACACGATCATATTGTATTACCAAGTACTGAGTACACTCAACTCACTAATTCCGTCAGCAAGCCATCTTTGGATTATTTGAAAATGCATGCTTTTGCTCATAAGCATACCATTTTGACCAATGATAGTTACAAGAGTTTAATGAGGAAAGCAACAGATCCAACAGTGGAAGAAGTAAAAGTACATGCTGATAAACATGGAATTATCACCTTGTCTCAATCTGAATATGTCAAGTTATTCAAAGATGCTAATAATCCCGATTTGGAACATGTTACTGAGATTGCTCGCAATATGGACTATACTGTGATTAGGACGGATGAATATAAAGATTTACAAAACCAACTAGAGAACCCCAACATAGAGTATGTTGAGACAAAGTTCCCAAATCACAAATTATTGAAGCTTGATGAATTTAATAAACTCGAAAAATTGGTTCACGAACCTTCCATTGATCATTTGAAGACCAAAAGTAATTTACTAAACCATGAATTGGTTACAAAAGAAGAGCATTCAAAATTACAAAACCTTGCATATTCACCTGACATTAATCATATTGGCGCAATGGCCGAAAAATCTGGCTATGTGGTACTACCTAGTAAGGAATTGGAAACTTTGCAGCAAGCCCAAAAACCATCACTTGAAACTATAAGAGCTTTACTCGATAAAATGGACTATGATGTGTTGAGTAAAAAAGATTTGAATGATTTGCATAAAATGGTCGATGAGCCAAGTTTGGAGTACCTCTCCTCTAAAGTAAGTTCAACTGGACATGAAATTGTTAAGAGTGATGAGTTGGAAAACTTGAAGCATTTAGCAAATGAGCCGGAATTTGATCATCTATCAATGTTGGCCTCCAACAGGGATATGAAGTTGATACCACTAAAGGAGTATAAAGAGCTAGTTCAAAAGAGTACGAATCCCGATCTCGATCATGTGAGACAAGTAGCTGCAAATTACCAACACCAAGTTATTTCCACCGAAGAGCTCAACTTGTTGAAAAAAGACGCACTCGAGCCAGACGTTGAGCATTTGAAGAAAGTGGCTATTGAGAAAAATCTTGAAGTTATTTCAAATGAAGAATACACGGATTTGAAAAATAAAGCAAACAACCCCGATTTTGAACACGTGCAAAGAATGGCTTCTAATATTGATGCAATTGCTTTGTCAAAGAAAGAATATGACATGCTATACAAAGATGCCAATGAACCTACAGTTGATCATATTGAATCAGTCTCAGCTAAATTGAACTATTCAGTGATACCTATAGTTGAATTGGAAAAATTGAGAAATCCAACGAAGCAGGATTTATCTAGCTATGGTGATAAATTAGGTTTACGAGTTGAATCAAAAGATGTTTATGATCATCTTGTTCAAAAGATTGAAAACCCAGATTTGGAATACTTGAAGGATAAGGTGGCAGCATTTGACTCTACAATTATAGCCAAGAGTGACTTGGAATCATTAGAAAAGAGTGCCAATGATCCAGATTTGGCCAGTATCAAAGAGAAAGCCATCCGGAAAGATCATGTGGTGTACCACAAAGATGAAGCTGACAAGTTGAAGAAATTGGCCAGCTCGCCAGATGAGGACCATATCAAATCTATTGCTAAATCAAAAGGATTGGTTGCAATTAGCGAGCCGACTTATAACTCATTATTGAACCCTTCAAAAGCCACACTCGAAAAACACGCTTTGTCTATGAAACACACATTGGTGCCATCAGAAGAGTTTGAAAAATTAGTAGATTTAAGAGAGTCACCTAGCAAGGAATTTATAACGAAAAAGGCTTTACAACAAGATTGCGTTTTGCTTTCCACAAAAGAGCATACGGAACTACTCAATTTGGCCAATACGCCTCCAAAGGATCATGTGAGAAAAGTGGCGGCAGCTGTTGGCTTAACTGCAGTGCCTGTCTCCAAATATGAAGCTTTGGTATCCTCACTGGAACACCCAAGCGTCGAGTTTTTGACGGATAGAGCCAAACAACAAGATTATGAACTTGTACCAGTTGAAAAGTTGCAAACAATGAAAACCAAGTTAGCGAAACCCGATCTTGAGTATCTTGCTAAAAAGGCAGAAACACACAATGCTGTAGTAGTTGATATGAACGAGTACCATCATTTAATTGATACAAGTACCAAACCAACCTTAGGTTTCATTAGAGAAAAAGCCCATCTTCTTGGTTTAGAGGTTGTACCAGTAAATGAATTGAAAGATTTGAAAGAATTGGAGCAGTTGAGTCAAAAAGCACCCACACAGAAAGAACTCACTAGCAAAGCCAAAGAATTAGGATTAGTTGTTGTACCCAATTTTGAATATTCTAATTTGAAAGAAAACATTGAGAAGCCTACAGTTGAATACCTCAGGAACAATGCTTTGAAATTGGGCCATACTGTAATTGCAATCGAGGATTATGACAAGTTGACAGCTTTGGCTAATTCTCCATCTAAGGAACACATTGAGGAAAGAGCACAATCAGCTGGTTTGATTGTATTGCCACAGAACGATTATGAAGTATTAATTAAGAAGGCGAATAATCCTGAGAAAGATCAATTGGAAGAAATGGCGCAAACTATGGGCTTTACATTGGTCGAAGCTCTGTTGTTAAAGAGTTTACGTGAACAAGTCCAATTTCCTACCCTAGAATACTTATCGAAACACGCTGCTGAGATGGATAAAATCCTCGTTTCTGAAAAAGAGTTGAACTTGCAAAAACAGAAAATCGAGAATCCTGAAGTTGATTACTTGAAAGAAAAATGTGCAAGACATGATTTGATTGCTGTTTGGAATCATGAGTTTGAAGAACTTAAAGAAAAAGTGGAATCACCTCTGATTGAGTTTTTAACAGGCAAGGTAAATGCTTTACAACATCAAATCATTAGTAACGACGAGCTTGATAATTTGAGAGCAAATGTTGATAATCCGAGCGTAGAGTTTTTGAAATTGCAAGCATCAAAGAAGAAGTTAGTGGTGATACCCGAAGAACAATATGAGTTATTAACTGATCCCACATTGGAGTCGTTGTCTGAAAATGCACTAAAATTAGGATTCTCCGTTATCCCTAAGTCAGATTTAGAAATTTTAAAGAAACAGCATGAAGCTCCAAGTCTCGATTATCTAAAGTTAAAGGCCAAAGATTATGATCACTTCACAATTCCTATTACATCTTTTAATGAATTGAAAACAACTATTGAGAACCCTACATTGGATCATGTTATTGAAAAAGCTAAAAGATATGAGTATTCATTGGTGCCTAATCAAGAATTGGAGCAGCTCAGGCAAACACTGGACCCTATTGAATATCTTGCTAAGGAGAAACAAATGAGGGCAATACCAATTGAGGAAGCTGACATGTTAGTCAAAAAGGCCAACAGAACATTAGAAGATCATGCCGATGAATACCAGAAAGTAATCTTGCTGCGCAAAGAACATGATCAACTTGTTGATCAAGCTAGCAGGTCCTTGGAAACTCATGCCAAGGAGGCCGGCATGGTTGTCTTACCTTCCATGGAGTACAACACGTTAAAAGAGCAGGTAAATAGACCATTGAGCGAAAAAGCAGCTGAAGAAGGAATGACTTTATTGCCAATTGAAGAAGTTGCGAACATGAAAAAAGCAATTGAAAACCCAACTCTTGATTATCTTAAGGAATGTTGCGAAAGACACTTGAAGGAGGTGGTATCAAAAGAAGATTATGAGATACTTAAGACAAAGGCGGAGGAAACCTTGGAAACGAAGGCAAAGAATGCAGGATTGGAATTAGTTGAACCCGCAAAGATAAAAACGCTCATTGAAGAGTTAGAGAATCCATCAGTGGAGTATTTAACTTCGAAAGCTGAGAAGATGGATATGAAAGTTGTAGAGGCTCAACGTTTTGAAGAACTCGTTTCAATTTCCGAACGGCCTATTGCAGAAATTGCACAGGAGAAGGACTTGACAGTCATATCTAATGAAAAGTATAAGGAATTAGTTGATTCAATTGAGAATCCTTCGTTTGATTATTTGACAAGCAAAGCCAAGCAAAAGGATTATATCTTGTCTAAGGCTGACGAGTTTCAACTATACCGTCATAGTTACGAAAATCCGGAGATTTCATTTTTAAAGGACAAAGCGCAGACGCAAGGCTACCAGGTCATATCTACTGATGAATATAACTCTATGGTGGAGAGATCCAGAAGCCTATCAAACAGCGAACCTAATAAAACAAACGCAAAGTCAGAAAAGACGTTACAGAATTATACCAATGAAGAAAACATAAAAGTCTTACCAATGAGCGAGTATGAGGATATTCTCAAAACAAAAGAGTGTTTGTCAAAAGACAATACAGCATTGAAGCAGAATTTGGAAAATCCCGATATCAACTACCTCAAACAAAATTGCGGCATTCTTGGTTATGATGTTGTTGAAAAACATGTACTTGAAAAGTTGCAAACTGAAGCTAACGTGTCACTCAAAGAACGAACAGAAGCAGAAGCCAACAACAAGGTATTGATAAATAAAACTGAATATGAAAGCTTGAAAAACCCATACTTGACAACTTTGGCGTCATTGTGTAACAATCATGATCATGTTGTTGTACCTACAGCTGAATACGAACGATTGAGCGCCTTGGAAAGCTCACCATCAATTAGCTTTATTACCGATCACGCCGAGAATAACAACCTCAAGGTTCTCACACAAGAAGATTATTCAAAATTGGAGCAAGCAGCAAACATACCACTTCATCAAAGATTAGAGGGCACAGATTTGAAATTAGTGAAGACTAGCGAATATGACGATTTGATTGTTAAGGCCCACAAACCTTCTGTCGATCATCTTCAAGGATTTGCTACCAGTATGGGTTTTATACTTGTACCAATAGAAGAGTTTGATGCTATGAAGTCAAAATCGGAGCAGCCACTTTCTGAAAAGATGATTGAAAATGGATATGCTGTATTGGCTCAGGAAGAGTATAACTCTATGCAAGAAGAAATCGAGAAGTTGAGAGCGACAGCTAGGAAACCACTTGAGGAGCAAGCTAGAGAAAAAGAGTTGGTATTGGTACCAAGAGAACGGTTTGAGCAGTTGCAACAACAACAACAACAACAACAACAAGAACAACAAGAACAACAACAACAATCAACAACAGCACAGACTTTGGACAAGCCGTTCCTGACAATTGTTGACACTTCTGAGACTAAGGTAGAAGCTACTGACAATAGCAAGGAGGAAGCCTTGAGCAGGGATAATAGTCTAAAGAGCGGAGATGAGTTCCTCTCTACTCGAACTGTAAAGGTACACAGACTAGAGTATGTTGCTCTTCCACAAAATAAGATACTGAAATCCACTTCCATTGGGTCTAGCTTGAATTGTTACCAACGAGGTGCAATGTCTGAGGATGAGTTGAGAGTCAAAGCAGTTGAGATGAATTTAGTTGTTTTGTCGCAGGAGGAATACGACTCATTAAAGGTAAAAGAAAAAGGAGAAAAAGAAGTAAAAGAAGTAAAAGAAGAAAAAGAAGAAAAAGAAGAAAAAGAAGAAGATCAGAATGCAATTTCAAATATAGCCAAGGGTTTAGCCGTTTCATTGATTACGGAATCTGAGTTCTTAAGATATAAACAGCTTTCAGCAGAAAAGGATTCATATGACCTGAAAGTGAAAGATTTGGAGTTGCAAATCAATAAGTTGAAGCAAACTATAGTTGAAAAGGAAACCAACCAAGAAGAAGCAAGAAACAAAGAGATACATAAAATTGAAAAGTTCTTGAGTGATAAGACAACAGTTACGTCTGCTGCTAGAAACATTGGATTATTGGCAGTACCGGAATCAGATTATATTGCAACAACAACTAATCCAAGTCCCGATCTTGAAAATGTGAGAGTGGTCCCCACGAGTTACTTCCATCAGCTTTTGAGGTTGAAATCGTTGTCAGTTGACAAGATTTCTGATGAGGATTTTGAAAAGCACGCATCTAAACGTGGTTTTGTACGTAAGGAAGCCTCACTTTCAACACCCGCTACAAAAGATGTTACTGATCTCAATAGGGCCAAACCAATACCAATGCAAGGCCAAAGTATAGAAGACTTGGATCACGAGACAAGTAGCGGACAGCCTTCTCACACGGCAGTTTCGAGAGGAGGAGAAAACGAGCATTTCTCATCGAAATCCGCATCTCCACATGGTAGAACGATTCCTCAATCTACTTCAATTAGATCAGACCTTTCAGAAAGGTCACTATCAGACTCAATTCGGTCGAATGCCATTTTTTCCATGGCAACAGACGTATCTTTTACTGATAAGCTGATGATCCCAGCAATAACCCAAGTTGTCATTGGTGAGTATCTTTTCAAGTATTTCCGAAAATTTGGTGCTTCTGCTTTGAACGTTATTTCAGGAACTAGACACGAACGATATTTCTGGGTTCACCCATATTCATTGACCTTGTATTGGTCGGAAAATAATCCTATTTTGGGTAATCCGTCATCAGTTAGAACTAGGGCTACTGCTATCGAAAGAGTTGAAAGTGTCGACGATAACAATCCAATTCCAACTGGGTTATACCATAAAAGTATCGTTGTTTATTCACTGGGAAGATCAATCAAGATAACATGTGCTACAAGACAGAGGCACAATATTTGGTTTAACGCTTTGCGGTACTTGACCAGCCGAAATATCAATGATCTTGCAGTGGATGAGGATACAGAGGATATGGGTAGTCACGAGGATAGGGATGAAGAAGGGTCGTTGTCACACAAAGTGGGGTCGCATAGGAACTTAAACTCGTTGATGGATACTGGTGATCGTCGTGCATATCCCAGACCCAAAAGAATAAGTTCAATGTCTGGAATAGTATCATCTCCGTCTTCAGGCCGACTTTCGAGATATCATCAACCTACAAGCAAAAACTAAAGAGAGAGAAAGAGAGAGAGAAAGAGAGAGAGAAAGAGAGAGAGAAAGAGAGAGAGAAAGAGAGAGAGAAAGAGAGAGAGAAAGAGAGAGAGAAAGAGAGAGAGAAAGAGAGAAAATAAAAAAAAAAAAAAGACTATATACGAATCGAAACATTACTGTACTTTTATAACTTTATATGTAAAATCATTATACCAGAATTTTTATTTTTTGTCTAGGATGGTCTGACTTGTCTCTTTTCAGTGTTAAACTCATCTGCTCTAATCTCCAGTAATGATAGTAATTGACTGCGCTTTTTGAATATTAGACCTGCTGCAATTAACGCAATCACGAGTGTCAAAGCAACAAAACCTACAATCGACGTCAACCTGAAAACTGAACTATAACATTTATAGCCTAAATTGCAACCAGTCATTAATACCGATGTTGGTACAGGTTCAATTTGCATATCCTTCCCCAATTCATCAGGAATTAGATTTGAGTTTGCATCATATACTTCACCAAATAAACTTGTGAAATAATAACTAGGTATAATTGGAGCCAAACTCACCATACCCCAATTGAATGAGAAGTTCTCCATTCCAAAAGTATCACCAACAATAATTGGCATGATGCAAAACACAAATCCATAAAAAAATCCAATTAGAAACGAATTTAGTTGAAGCTTGGAATAGTGTTGTATACTACCACACAAGATTTGAGATATGGTTGTACCTAATGCTGGTATTACAAGTAGCCACGATCTTGGTTTGCCAAATGATTGAGTGATTATATCCCCCAAGATCCCCGATGATATTCGACCAAGGCAGTTTGCAATTGAGATGAGTCCCACGTGAAGTTGTTGCTCTTGTTGTACTAGTAAATCTACACGATTCAAGAATTCCATACTTTTGTCGTTAACGTCTACTTTTGATAATGAATAGCCAACTAAAGCTTTGACAATGTATCCCACAGAATAGATGTACATCTGTCCAAGAGCAGCTAGGATACCAGTGATCACGAAAAGCAACCAAAATTTATAGCTAGTGAACAAGAAATTCTCCTTTTGATTCATCATCATGACACCAGCTTCATTACCGATGGATTTTTTGCCATGAAAATTTGATGCTGCTTTCAATTTGTGGTCCCGGTCGGCAATGTATACGCTAGGGACACATACCACAAAAATGATTACAATTGAACGAGCTAGAAACTCCAAGAATTCTGATGTTTTTCCTGGGTAAAAAGTAGATGCAATTACTGAATAAAACAATGCACTAAGGCCATATAATGCCAATGGTAACGAAGTTGCCACTCCACGTATACTGGGAAAACCCACGGCGCAGCATTTGAGACAAGCCGAATTAATAAATGTTGAACCCAAGCCAATTGAGAATATCCAATAACAGGAAAGAAGTAGATTATTCCAGACCTGGTCCAATTGGTATTTCATACCAATGTACCCAGTGATGATCAAAATGCCACCGATTAAGATCGAGATTGTATAGCCCTTTTTATCCACCACAACACCAGACACCGGTCCTGCAACTGCAACTCCAACTGTACCACATAGAGCTATTATAGACAGATGAGACGCTGTATAATGAAGTTGTTTTGCTAGCTGAGGACTATATGACGAATACAAGTATAGTGTGCCACATATTAGACCAAGAAACGTACAAGATAGTAAGACAAACACCCTCTGTACATTCCGCGTTACCATTTCATGAAATGTGTCTCATATACCTCCTTGTGTCAGGATATACACAAAAATTGCAACTTCAAACGCTGTATACTTTATTGAAAAATTTTGTATACCTTGTTGAAAAATTCTGTATTTAACTTTTTTTTTTTTCAGTAAAAAAATGAAGCAGAGCGACGCCGACCGACACTATCGAGTGGAGCAGCACTAACTGTTACCGACACTATCGAGTGGAGCAGCCCCGACTGTTACCGACACTATCGAGTGGAGCAGCACTAACAGTTACCGACACTTGGTAACACACGAGTCTGTTTGTCCACCTGTTGGAGGAGAAGGAAAAACACTGTAGTGCCTGGCCACCTACTGAAAAATTAACACTGTAGTGCCTGGTGAGAAATAAACACTGCTAAATTAACACTGTAGTGCTTGTTGAAGGAAGAAAAGACACAGCATTACTATATAGCCAAAAAAAGGTTACTCACAAATGATTCTCTAGCTCTTTTTCCTCAATGCCACATGATTCCTATAACAACAATACTGGTTAGTGTAAAAAGCCCCTCTGCCCACTATTTTTTTCTCTAGGTTACGTACCAAAATATTCTCTTCCTCCATCATTTCACGTAAAGTACCGTAAAATTGTAAAAACTATTGGTAGGATGATGAGTATTAGATGATTAGATAATTACGACACTAGCTGTCATCAAAAGATGAGCTTTTATAGATTATAGACGTACCATTTTTTTTCTCAGATTATGCATTTTCAGCAAGGTATCAAGATACAGTTGTGCTGCTTCGATATTGAATAGCTTGTTTTCCTGATTAAAGCAAGTCAATTGTTTTTCGCAGGAAGCAATATCTATAGCGATTGAATGAATTGACTCGACTAATGCGTCATTAGATACTACTGCAGCGAGTTTCTGAATCTCTTGAACCCAAGTTAGTAGGACAAAACAACAAACAATTGAACCCGTTTAGGAGCAAGCTATTACAGTAGAAGCAAGCTATTAGTGTAGAAGCAAGCTATTACAGTAAAAGCAAGCTATTTAACATACCAGAGTTCAATACACCAATATCCTTATTCAATTCCTTTAAATAAGTTTCAATACTTATTTCTTGTTCAATATCGATGCAAGAATCAAAAGAAACCTTGAGTTCCTTGTAGCAATAATAATTTGTCTTTCCAACCGATTTTACAATCAACTCTTTCTCGACAACCAATTCTTGCAAGATTTGTACAAGTTTTGTTTTGGTGACTTGGTTATGCAAGTTCAACTGAATATCATTAGCAGAAAATGGTCGATATTGCAGTTTCATATAATCTTTAATAAACTTTTTCCCTTCTTGAGAGGTTAATGTAGACTTTGACAGCGGCATTTTCAAGAATAGAGGTTAGAGGATAAAGGAAAGAGAACCACACGAGGGGGTTTGACTGCTTTCTCGCCCCAGATTTGGTACCATTTGGCGCGTAAGCTTTGTTTCACTTGTTTGTCATTTATTTTTTTTTCCCTTTATCACCATCACCATTAAGTTGAATTTGAGAAAGGAGATAGGCAATATTACAAGGTTTTGATTAGGAAGATGGGGGAGTATGCTCGGCAGAAGAATACGGCAGATAAGATCAATTACTTGATTCTAGACTATTTTATTCATGAAGGGTATAGTGAGGCTGCATCGACATTTGCCGCGGAGTTGAATATAGTGCTAGAGAAAGGGCCTAGTAAAGATGAAAAAAGCTTGGTATCACAAGAGAAGGGTCTGATGAGACCATTTGCCGATAAGTTTAGGGATGAGGATAAGGATAAGGATAAGGATAAGGATAAGGACAAGGATAACGAGTTTAGCCAGTTGAGCAGTTTTAGCAAGCTCAAAGATAACGAATGTTGGGACGTAATATTAAACTACTACCGTAACAAAAAGAATCATCCTCGAGTTAATGTAGCTCTAAACAACAAATGCTCAGCGAGTAATAATTTCATAAAAGGGTATTCCACGATAAGGGAAAGACGCAAGATCAAGTCACTTTTGCTAAGAGGAAAAGTAACCGAAGCCATTTTCGAGATTAATCAACGTTTCCCTCTATTACTTGATTCAAACAATTTCTTGCACTTCAAATTACTTCGACTAAACTTGATTGAAATGATTAGAAATCATAAATCCTCACCGCAGATGGAAGCAAACGAACGGGTGTTTTTGAACAAAGTATTGGTCTTTGTGAGAAGCAATATGATCAACAAAATATCAAACCTGTATAAATTGTTGAAGGAGCTTGAAATAACAATGAGTCTCTTGTGTTTCCGATTTGATCCCAAGGTGAAAAATTTGCAAGATCAAAAAGAATTACCTCAGGAGTTGAAAAATTTCTTCAACTTGAATTTAAGAAGTCAAGTTTTCCGGTTGGTGAACCAGGCAATATTGGCCGCTTATGAAGAAGGAAGTCTTGACAAGATATCTCATCATAGAGCTAATAAGGATGTAGTTGGTGATGTTTTACTGGATATGAGGAAACCAAGTAGTGGTAAGGAAGAAAGCGAACTAGATGTTGAATGTGAGTCCACAGACAGTAAAGGCTTGTCGTTGTTTCAAACATACACAGGACCAAAGTATAGTGAATTTGACTTTACCAACTTGGACAAGGTTGATGAGAACAAAAACTCAAATAAGATGGAGGCTGAGGGGGAGGAAGGAAAAGACAAGGAAGGGGCAGAGGAAAAGGGACAGGAGGTGTTGGAGGAGGAAGAGGAAGAGGAAGAAGAAGATGATGAAGAAGAAGAGGGAAGGGCCGTTGACGTTAAATTCGAGATGGGCTTTAATATGGGGAGAAGCCAATTAGATATTGATTCTAGAGATATGGTACTGCTTGATTTGGATCAAAAGAATGATGAAGAAATGAAAAACCTAATAAGGCTCTCTTTAGAAAGCAAGTTGGAAAAAGTTGTTAAGCTATATGTCTTGACTGAACAAAGGAAACTTGATTTGAAGATAACGGATGCAAAGGATTATTCAGCATTTGATGGGTTTTTTGTATAATGACACTATCTAATGACACTATTGAGCGAAGCGAGATAGTGGAGCAGACTGACTAGTGACACTGACTGATAACACTATCTAGCGACACTATCTCGCTCTGCTCGATAGTGGCTGACTGATAACACTATCTAGCGACACTATCTCGCTCTGCTCGATAGTGGCTGACTGATAACACTATCCAGTGACACTATCTCGCTCTGCTCGATAGTGGAGCACACTAGCTCGCTCTGTTCGATAGTGTCATAGTTAATCAAATAACAATTACTGCATCTATGGTGTTTCCAGTTTCAATATTAGTCTTGCTCAAATAATTATCATTTTGCGACAATGGTACTTCCTCGTTTCGATTATTGAAAAGCTTAACATCTTTTGGTTGCAAATGTGACTTATCATAATTGACAAATAGTTCTGAGCTTTTGAAAAGATCTAGAACCTTGCACCTCAAATGACTAATAGTTGATCCAAACTCTGGTTCCTGGTTCATTTCAAAATCTTCCGGGCTAAACTCGAAATAGTACTTGACAAACTTTTTCATTTCAAAGATTTCGTTACTAATTTCGTTTAACCTTTTCCAGTATATGAAATTGTGATAGTACTTTTGTTTCAAATCGTAGTAATCTACTAGCGCATGCTCTTTTTTCTTTTGAACCAAGTTCAATCTTACATTGAGGTGAGCACAATGAATAGGAACCTCAGTGAAAATGTCCTTTGCATGATAATCCCATAAATGCAAATATATCCCACTCCAGTATATCACTTCATAGCTCAATAACCCAAGAAAAATAAACACTAAAATCTCAGTAATAAACTTGGAGGTGGGTGTTATTAAGAGGTTGGAAGTAAATGAATTGGACTCTAATTGAGTAGTTAGGTATTTGTCGAATATATAGAGTAATTCAATTGCCTTAGTCATTACTTAGGACCAACAACAAAATAATAAGAACAATTAAAAAAAAAAAAAAACCAACAGCAACAGCAACAGCAACGGCAAAAACAAACAAGAGCGGTAACACTGGAACTGCCCGTAATGAATCCAAGGAATGAAAAATGGTCAGTAAGTGTAGTGTCGTAAGAAACAGTTACTCTTTCCAAGAGGTGGACCTTGTTTTTTAAAGGGTTTAGCCGATGCTTTGAAAAATTGAAAAAAATAAAATGTCCAGTGTCGCAAAAAAAAAAGTCCGTGTCGGAAAAAAGATTTTTGGACTTTCTGCGACAATTTGTATTTGCGACACAGACGCAGAAAAAGTCCGTGTCGGAAAAAAGATTTCAAGATTTTCTGCGACACTGACGCAAAAAAAAGTCCGTGTCGGAAAAAAGATTTTCTGCAACAATTTGTATGTCGACACTGAGCTTGCGACACTGGCGAAAGATGATGAAGACAAATTTTCCAAAGAGATCATTATAGAAGCAAACGAAGAGGTATAAAGTAAAACACATACAAGTAGTTGTTTGTGGGTTTTATACTATAAGTATTGGCTTCCAAAGAGCTAGTATTGCGACGAGAAGGTATTTTGAAGAGTCTGTAGGTTTTAAGAGGCTAGTAAAAAGGGTAGACGTTTTTTTTTTTTTTTTTCAAGTGATGGATAATCGTAAAGCCTTTCAAACACATCAGGAGATTGTAAATAAGTCATTTGGTGAACGACAACGGTCAACTTCACTTACATCAAAGTTGAAGGATCTCTTTACAAAGAGGAACTGGAAATCAAATGATGGTTCTGTATCTGTCTCGAACCGGCAAGACCCAGCGTTACTGTCAAACGAAGAAAAAACTAATTTCATATCCACGGAAAGACCTTCTTCCTATGCGTGGCAGTTCCAGCTGAGTAGTGGTGGTCCGCTGCAGCAATGTTTCAAGATTCCTGGTTCTTTCTCCTCAAACCAACCTTTAAAGTACCCAGAAACTCAACAAACAAAATCACAAATTGCCGAAAGTGCTCAAATGAAGGAAAAGGAAAAACACGAGAAGGAGAAGGAGAAGGAGAAGGAGAAGGAGAGGGAAAAGGAGGAGGATGACATGGCCAGGAATCCAAATGAGATATTATCGAATTTCTTCAAAAACAAAGGTGAGTCGCAACTTACCGATATTGAATATGAAGGAGTTATGTCTTTGATGTCCAAATCTAGATTGGGTACACCTTACAAGAGAACAAATATAGAACTAGGCGCTACAGAGCCAGAGAACGGTATAAAGCGAAGACACTTGAATGAGGATTTTTCTCTTTCCCTCTTGAAGAATGATACATCAGTAATTGGGTCAACGCCCTATAGACAACAGATCATTCGAATGAATGGCAATTCTACATCAAATACTCCAAGTTACAGGTCAACTTATAAAACCATATACGACGATACATTTGATAGATCATACCAACATCTACATAATAGTACAATCAGTCACGTACCGAGAAGAGTCTCACTGCGGACCCGAAGACCGGCTCCTTATAGAAGCAGAATAAGAGGCTCCCTAATGCAGAAGACGTCGAATTTAAATGACAGAGCAGCTGATACTTCTAGTAGACCACCAACCATGACATTCAACGAATCAATAACATTGCCAAAGAGTTCTGAAAAAAGGGAAAAACCTTTGAGTGAGACGGCAAGGGCATTGTTGACAATATTAGATGGAGACGATGCATCACAAAACTTGGAAAAGAAAGTGGCGACAGAGGAGAAGGAGGAGGAGGAGCAGGGTGAAAATAGAGAGAAAAAAGTGCGAAATTCAGAGAAATTGAAGCTTTTTGAAAATCCATATGCATCTAAAGGCAGAAAGAGGAAAGAGTACCGCGATATTTCTCCTGTGAACGCAAAAACTATAGAGAGAACCAAGGCATATTCTAAAATTGAAAAGTTGCCAGTGCTGTCAAGGGGGATATTTAATGATGGCGAGCAAGCAGCAGAGGTGGAAAACTCTGGTTCTGCGGTAAAAAAGTTTAAGTTTGCAAGTAATACATCTGGTGACGACAAACTTGCTTCAAACAAGAAAGAAAAAGAGGATGAACCAAGAAACGGAATAGAATCAAAATTATTTACCCCTTCTTCCCCCTCTTCTTCTTTTTTTCCATCAACCGAGTTTAACCCAAATAAAAACGGGGGAGATAATTTTCAATTTGGGGTTTCATTTAGGTCTAACGGTGTAGCAAATACACCAAAATCATTGTTTGCCAATAGCGAGAAAACAGTTAATGGTGGGTTTGTCCACAAGAAGGAGGAAACATCAGTAGGAAACAAAAAATCTTTTGCATCAAATTCCGATGCCCAAAAGTCGGCAACTTTTAAGTTTGGAGACAACACTGCTGGTATATCACCTAGTATGGTATTTCCATTTGGAAGTAATGCAAACAATCCACTACCACCGCCACCTAGCACTAGCACTAGCACAGCATTTTCATTTGGAGACAGGTCTGATAGTAGTAAGCCTCCTACTAAGGGATTTGTGTTTGGTAACAATACTGAAAGTAAAAAGCCTAGTACGACATTTGCATTCGGAGACAAGACTTCCAGTAAACCGCCAAGTGCAGTTTTTTCTTTTGGAAATTCTACAGGTAAGCCACCTAGTACAGCATTACCTATTGAGGACAGCAATGAAAGTAAAAGGGTTAGTATGGAAAAGTCCACCGGGGATACTGCTAGTAAGCCTCCCGCTATCACATTCTCGTTTGGAAACAAGTCAGAAGACAAACCTCTCACTTCATCATTTTCGTTTGGAAACAAGGCAGAAGAGAAACCTCCCACTTCATCATTTTCGTTTGGAAACAAGTCAGAAGACAAACCTCCCACTTCATCATTTTCGTTTGGAAACAAGGCAGAAGAGAAACCTCCCACTTCATCATTTTCGTTTGGAAACAAGTCAGAAGACAAACCTTCTACCCCAGCATTCTCGTTTGGAAACAAGTCAGAAGACAAACCTTCTACCCCAGCATTTTCGTTTGGAAACAAGTCAGATGAAAAACCTCACACTTCAGCAATCTCGTTTGGAAATCAAACTGAAAACAAGCCTTCAGCTCTAGAGTTTCCTTCCGGAGACAAAGATGCTGGAACAAGACCTGCTACGGCTTTTGCTGTTAAAGACATTACCGAAAACAAAGCTCCTAGTGTGTCATTTTCTTTTGGAAACAATAATGAAAATAAGACTTCCACCACGCCCTTTTCTTTTGGGAAGAAGAATGAAAGCACACCTCCAACTACGGCATTTTCATTTGTTGGTAGTACTGAAAACAAACCTTCCACTACGTCATTTATGTTTGATAACAAGACCGAAAACAAGCCTGCTACTGGGGCATTTTCTTTTGGTAACAGTAAGGTTGCAGCGGCAGATCCGGAACCCAAATCAAATTCAACTGAATCGAGCAACAACGTTCCATTTTCGATTGAAACAAAATCAAACGCTGATTCTTCAAAGCCATTCTCCTTTTTGGGGCAACCATCAGAAACTTTACCCGCGAATGAAAAGGAAAACTCCACAGTGTCAAAAGTGGAACCACCTAAAAGTCAATTTCCACTAGAGGACCCCAATTGCGAGTTTGTTTTGCCTCAACCGAAAGCTATTGAAGCTGAAATAGATAGGGCAGAAGTTGATAAATATAAACCATTATTTCCTTTCTAGTAACGGGTGAAAAGGGGGAAAAAGGGATGGCATGTTTATGTACATTTTTAATAATATATTATTGTGACAGATATCATTTGTTGTGAGGGGGGATTTTTTGTAGTTTGGATCTGCGTTTACTGTGCTTCTCTATATCCTACAAGTTGATATTGATATTGTAATGGTAGTGGTAGTGGTAGTGGTAGTGGTAGTATACGGTTTTGGCTATAATGCTACCATGTGACTCTAAAGTAATCAAGTGATTGATTGAATCCAGAAACAGAGAAATTTCCTTACTTTAAGAGAAGGCCAGTTTAGTAATTCACCTCCAGACTCTTTTTATGTCAGCTTCAAACTTCCTAGATTCTCCTCTTCAGTTTGTGAAAACACCTCGAATAATTATCCAATACTGTACCAAATGTAAATGGACCAATCGTGCGTTTTGGTATGCGCAAGAATTATTCCAAACATTTACTGATCCATTGGATATTGCCGAGATTGCACTACAACCACGAGTTGACATTCCTGGGACTTTTCAAATCTTGATACAAGTAAAAGAGAAGATTGCCCTTGTATATAGAAGGAAATTTAAAAAAGTAACGAATCGAAATAGTCAAGATAATTGTGAAGATGAATATGATGGATTTCCCGATGCAAAATTTTTGAAATCTTTGGTTCATAAGAAATTGGAAATCTTGAGAAAAGAGCAAAGTGGAGAGGATGGTGGTGAAGTAGAAGGAGGACCTAAGATAGGTGATCATTTATTGGGCGAAGGTAGTTTCTTGAATGAGGGAGACAAGGGCGCCAAAGGCGACTATGCCGATAAAGAAAAGACTGTTGATCCTGGTGATTTTCAGGATTGTAAAGAATGTAGATTACAAGAGGTGTAAAGCGACACTATCGAGCAGAGCGAGATAGTGGAGTAGCACTGACTGGCTTGATAATAGGGTACTTGCTGTACAATTCCGACACTATCGAGCAGAGCGAGATAGTAGAATAGCACTGACTGGCTTGATAATAGGGTACTTGCTGTACAATTCCGACACTATCGAGCAGAGCGAGATAGTAGAGTAGCACTGACTGGCTTGATAATAGGGTACTTGCTGTACAATTCCTGGATTGTTGCATTTAAGTGACTTTCTATTTAGGCCTTTCTTTAATCCTTTTAACTCTATGTCCTTTTTTTATCAACCTATCGACACTATCGAGCAGAACGAGATGGTGGAGCAACACCTAGTAGCTTGTGATGACACTATTTCGCTCTGCTCAATAGTAGAGAAACACCTAGTAGCTTGTGATGACACTATCTCGCTCTAAAGACTAGTTGAATAGTGGAGGTCCTTTCTATGGTTAATGTGACCACGTGATACATTGAACCAAAGTAGATCACGTGACAAAAATGTTTATATGAAGTGAGTATAAATTGCAACTCCCTCTCTGCTTGATAGTGTTGGTGTAGTCAGTGTAGTCAGTACTATTCCACTTTCTCACTCTCCTCAATAGTGTCATAATAAGCTACTGGGTGTCAAGAGTTAGTTAACACTCTGCTCAATGGTGTTTAGAATTAGTGTGCTCCCCATCTCGCTTTGCTCGATAGTGTCGTGACATGTTTCTCCACTATCGAGCAGAGCGAGATGGTGGAGCAGAGTAATCCTCAACTATCTCGCTCTGCTCGATATTGTCGTGACAAGCTACTAGGTGTTTCTCCACTATCTCGCTCTGCTCGATAGTTGAGAGTTACTCTGCTCGATAGTGTCGTCGTCATTATGAATATCTGTAAACACATGGTAGCGCTCCACCAACGATATCAACGATATACGATGAACAATTTTTTTTTTCAAGAAGCTTGTAAGTGATAAATTCATTCTTCTTTTTCAAGTTAAAGGGGAGCCAATGTCTAAGGAGCTCAATTCGGTTTTGCTTATAGGGGGTGCTGGGTTTTTAGGACTTCATTTAATTCAACAATTTTATACGCATTGTCCAGGTATAAAAATTACTGTATTTGATATACGTCCAATACCACTGAAATTATCGAAATTTTTCACTTTTGATGCTAAAGAAATTTCATTTTTTGAAGGGGACTTGACCAGTACTGAGGATGTAGGTCGAGCTATTAAAGAATCTCAATGCGATGTAATTGTTCATTCAGCTTCACCCATGCATGGATTATCGCAGGCCATATACGAGAAGGTAAATGTAGAAGGGACACGTAATTTGTTACAAGTTGCAAAGAATACAGGAATTGGTGCATTTGTGTATACTTCTTCCGCAGGTGTCATATTCAACGGACAAGATGTGATCAATGCCGATGAGAGTTGGCCCTATCCCGAAGTTCATATGGATGGGTATAATGAAACCAAAGCTATTGCAGAAACCGCAGTGATGAAAGCGAATGATCCTGAAAATGGGTTCAGAACAATATGTTTGAGACCAGCGGGGATATTTGGTCCTGGAGATCGGCAATTGGTCCCTGGATTGAAGGCAAGCGCCGAATTGGGACAATCCAAGTATCAATTGGGCGATAATAATAACTTGTTCGATTGGACTTATGTTGGCAATGTTGCCGATGCTCATGTTTTAGCAGCAAAGAAATTATTGAATCAAGACACCAGGGACAAAGTAAGCGGAGAAACGTTTTTCATTACCAATGATTCACCTACATATTTTTGGACATTGGCAAGAACAGTATGGAAAAACGACGGGTACATTGATAAATATTATATAAAATTGAGTCGACCTGTAGCTATATGTTTAGGTTATATTTCAGAATTTGTTTCCAAGCTTTTAAGGAAAGAACCAGGTATCACTCCGTTTAGGGTTAAAGTTGTTTGTGCGGTAAGATACCATAATATCAGCAAAGCTAAGAGATTATTAGATTATGAGCCAAAAGTGGATTTAGAAACGGGAATCATTAATACCTTAGACTGGATGAATGAGAAATTATAGAGTCAACTCCATATTCATTAAGGAAAAATAAAGTTAAAAAGCATTTCAATGTTGTAGATAGATTAAAAACAAAAAAAAAAGAAAAAGAAAAGCTAATAGGTAAAAATGACAATGTATGCTCCAAGTACGAGCTTCAACCAAAATTCCAAGCCAAAGCCGTTTATTGAGTATGACATATTTGCAAGCTCAGTAAAGTTTGCAAAAGAATTATTTGAGTAATTTTTAGCCGGGCCATTGACTAAATGAATAGTTTTAGCGAAAGAATTTTCTTCTTGTTCTTGTTGCTGCTGCTGCTGCTGCTGTTGTTGTTGTTGTTGTTCATCATTAATATTTGACTCTTCCTCGTTGAGCAATAATTTAATCTTTTTATTTTTAAATGGTCTTTCAGCTAACGAATCTCCATTGTAGATTTTGCTTTGCAAAGACGCATCGATATTGGAGTCGTTTAGTCTTGGATCATCATTCTCGTGAGACTTTATTATGCTTCTTCTAGGAGGTTCAGGATCTTCTTTTTTAAATGGTATAGCACAAGCATTTACATTACTCATTGCAGCACAGTCCAGTAATAGGACGGTTAGAAAATTTGTATTTGGGTTCCCGGGACACAAATGGTAACATTCTTGGTCGATGCTCTGCAAAGCACAGCACTCACAAGCCAAGTCGTTGGGTTTACATTCATCCAACTTTGATAAAACATCATTACAACAAGAAGATAATTTGACTAGATCATTTGAGTTGCATTTGGATGTTTTACGTGGATTTGGATTTAGGTAAGTGCCGTACTCCGAAAGTCTATTTAATGACGAGGCAATGCACGAGACAACGAGTACGCCAAGAACAACAATTGTGCTTTTACCTAAGATCATCTTTGAATGAATCTTTTGATATGTTTGTGGAAAAAAATTAAGGTGTAGAGAAAAAAAGTCCCTTTAGAAGCCTTGATTACTTTTGACTGGGAAGATTTTGATATCTACAATTAGAGAACACAATATCAATATCATCCAAAAACTAGTGGCATTTAGTAGCATTGTCAGACAAGGGGAGCAATCAAACCCGTGTATATATATTAATATACGTATGGTTTGTCAAAGTAACCCGCACAGAAATTTCGTATGGTATGCCGAAATTTTTCAGTATTGAAAATTGTTTAGTATTGAAAATTGATTAGTATTACAAATTTCATATTGAAACAAAGATAATGAAAAATAAGCTTTACAATGGAAAGTTAGACTGTAGCTTTTCGTTGTAACAAGTCAGTTGATCTAGCCATGCAACTGTAACCTATATCAATATATAACCTCAAACATAATAGCAAACAGGTTTTCAAGGACTCGATAAAATTGCTTGTTAAACTTTTCCATCTCTTTAATCTCAGATTCGTGCTAGCTTGAAGACCCTATCATTACTAAATTTTCAAGCCTAAAAATAACAATGTGTGTGACTAAAACCCGTAGCCCATCGAGTCATCTTTCACGTCAACAAACACGCGTTGTGTCTGCATTTGTTTGTTTTGTTTTGTACCAGAGATAGCCTTGGGACTCTTTTAAAATTTTCTTGGGTGCAAAATTTAACTTAATTGGCACAAAAGGAGAAGAAGAAGAGAAAAATAAAAGAAAAGATCACAAGGTTGAGACGGTAACCAATAGCTCTTGAGCATTTTCTGGTGGTTATTTTGGTAAAAATTGATGAACAAATACAGATTTAGTGTTTTATCAGGGAAAGAGAATGGAAATTGAAGTACCCATGCAATACGTAATGTCTTGGTCTGGTATTGATATACGAATTAGCACAAAATATGGTCCCAATGTGACACGATAAGAAAAAAGCAAAAAAACAAAAAAAAAAAAAAAAGAAAAGAAGGCTCAGCCACATACAGACAAACTAATTTTTCAAATCCGTATGTTTTTAGGTTTAAAAATGAGTAGGCTATACCTAGTTAGAAATAACCTGTAGTAGTGGGGCCCTACATATCTTACTTCTTTCAACTGTAATTATACGCATCGCCTAATTTTTTATGTAAGTAAATGTCGGTTAGGTGATAAACCACCTGGCAATTAATTAAGTATGGTTTATTTTTTTCCAGTACATAAGAAAAAAATAAGAAACAAAACACAAATTGTTCATTTTCTTAGCCGATAAAATTTTATTCAGCCATAATATGAAAGTGAAACGAGACATCTATATCTATCTATCTATCTATATATATATAGTAAAAAGAGTTTGTAGTGGGTATGTGGGAGGAGGCAGTAAGAGAAGGATAAATTGTATATAAGTTGATTGGAAAGCAACTGTTTTTTTATTAATTTGTCTGTAAACTGTGATATTAATTAGTTGTGCAACCGTTTTTTTTTTCGTTGCCTCGTTTTCGCAGCCATTTTCATAGCATAACAATTAAACCGTATCCACGTCAAGCTACAAGCTACAAATTAAACCGTGTCCACGTCAAGCTACAAGCAAAAACCCGTGTATCCAAACCCCGAGGCACCTATTCAGTTTGATTTAGCAACAGCAGTTTTTTTTTTCCAATTTTCCCAATAGCGGTCCTTTTGATCTTTTAAAAATATGAAGTTTTCCTATACAATCCCACTATCCTTATTCCTTGTAAGCTCAGTTACTGCAAAGTTTGAAGATACTACCCCGCCAATTGAGATCGTGGGTAATAAGTTCTTTTACTCCAATAATGGCTCACAGTTTCTTATGCGCGGTATTGCTTATCAAGAGGACTCTTCACAGCTTTCAAATAGCCAAGACATTTATAAAGACCCGTTAGCAGATGTCGAGTCTTGTAAGAGAGATGTTGTGCATTTAAAAGCTTTAAACACCAATACTATTCGTGTTTATGCGGTTGACCCCACATTGGATCACGACGAGTGTATGCAATTATTGAGTGAAGCAGGTATTTATGTTGTTGCTGATTTGTCACAGCCTCAGAACTCAATAAATAGAAACGAACCTGCTTGGGATATTGCTCATCATGATAGATACATTTCTGTTATTGACAAATTTAGCCAATACTCTAACGTTTTGGGTTTTTTTGCTGGTAATGAAGTCACTAACAACCGTTCAAATACCGATGCTTCTCCATTTGTTAAAGCCGCAGTTCGAGATATGAAGAAGTATATTGCCGATTCTGATGGAATGAGAAAAATCCCAGTTGGATATAGTTCAAATGATGATGAAGATACACGAGTTGCAATTGCAGATTATTTTGCTTGTGGATCTGTTGAAGAAAGAGCCGACTTTTTTGGTATTAATATGTATGAATGGTGTGGAAACTCAACATATGAGTTGAGCGGGTATAAAGATCGAACTGAGGAATACTCAAATTTGCCAATTCCAATTTTCTTTTCCGAGTATGGTTGTAATGTTGAAAGACCAAGATTGTTTACTGAAGTGCAGGCTTTGTATAGTCCTATTATGTCCGACATCTGGTCTGGTGGTATCGTTTACATGTATTTCGAAGAAGAAAATGACTATGGGTTAGTTTCAGTCAATGGAAATAGTCTTTCCATTTTGGATGATTACAAGTATTACAGTTCAGAGATCAATAACATTAGTCCAAGTTATGCTCGCGCTTCGGATCAGGATACTGCGACTTCGACCATAACATGTCCAAATTCTGATAAATCAACATGGCAAGCGTCTCCTAATTTACCGCCAACACCAGATAGCGAATACTGTGATTGTGTTGCTAGATCTTTTGGTTGTGTTGTTCAAGATAACGTTGACGAAGAGGATTATGGAACATTGTACGGTGATGTTTGCGGTAGAATCGATTGCTCAGATATAGGAGCCGATGGTGTTAAGGGTACTTATGGTGATTATTCGTTTTGCTCGGCAAAGGATAAATTATCATACGTGTTGAATTTATATTATATTGACCAAGGTCAAAACAGTTTTGCTTGTGACTTTGGTGGCAAGGCTTCAGTAAATAGAAATGCAGAAGCTTCTTCAACATGTGGGCTTGGATCAACTAGAAGAGCTTCAAGTGCAAGCGCAGGGGACTCCACCTCCACATCTACATCATCGGGTTCTCGTTCAAACAGTGCACGGGTCAATGCTGAAACAATGTCAAACATGAAGTTGATGTCCTTGGTTGTGTTTGTTACTGCATTGGTAGGAGGTGCTACAATTGTATTCTAATGTAGATATGATAATACATAGATAGATTTTGTTTTGAGATAGCAGTAAAAGAGAAGATTACATTGAGATTAGTTATCAATTGTAGAGCAGAGCAGAGCGAGATAGTGTTGTGTAGAGTAGAGATGTGTAGAATAGAGTGTTTGTCCTTATTTCCACTACTACTGCCTTTTGTTTATTTTTTTGAAATTCTTATTTTGTTATCATGAAAATCTCGTTTAGGGCTTTTGGATCCATCACCGAGGCTCTTTTTTGTTTAATCCATTTCGATCTTGCCGATAGCCTAGATGCTATAGGAGTCGGTGTTGACTCTGTTGATGTTGACTCTAGATCAGGTTCAGAATTGGACTCTAGTAGCTTTATTTTTGTATCAATGTTGATCCTCTTTTCTTTCCTCTCCTTCTCCTTCTTTTCTTTCTTTTCTTTCTTCTCCTTCTTTTCCTTCTTTTCTTTCTTCTCCTTCTTCTCCTTCTTCTCCTTCTTTTCCTTCTTCTCTTTCTTTCCTTTCTTCTCCTTCTTCTCCTTCTTCTCCTTCTCCTTTACTTCACCACTATTGAGCTTTCTCCTTTTCTTCTCCTTTTCTTCTCCAATTATACCATCACACTGTTTCCTTTTCCTTTTCCTTTCCCGCTCCTCTTCCTTCTCGGTACTCCCATACGATACCAATTTCTTATTTACACTATCCCATGTACTCAGCAACACTTCCCCCTTTACGAATCGCATCCCCCATTTCCCATTAATGATCTCATCTTTCCTCTTCAAATCCATCATCTTATTTATCTTTTCTTCCTTTCCATTTAACCTACCCAAAATCCTCTGAAACGCATCTAATCCGCTACACTCATCCAAATCCTTATCCTTGTCACTCTTTTTCAATTTCGCTCCTAACCCTGCATTATCACTCTTTATACTAATTTTCAAATGTGTCGTTATTGCATGGGGGACTAAACCGAGCCCAGATCCTGGCTTCCAGCCCATTTTTTCAAGATACCGATGTCCAAATTGTTCATTGTTATTAGACCAGTTTGTATTCCTCGGATCAAACCCGAATCTCTGCTTAACTTTTGTCCCAGCAAGTCCCATCTCAATGCTACCCTTTGCTACTTTTCCAAGATTGAAATCCAATTCCAAATGCGATGCAATGAGATGCGATGAGATGAGATTGAATTTTTCATAAAGTTATTTTTTCCCTTAATCACGTGCGGCACTATCGACCAGCGACACTATCGAGCGAAGCGAGATAGTGGAGCAGTGCTTACTAACAACACAATTGAGCAACACTATTGAGCAACACTATTGAGTACTTACTAGCTGTTACAGGGTTAAGAATGCTTAAATGTCTACTGTTTATTAAATGTTCGCATCGAGCGACACTATCGAGCAGCAACACTATCGAGCGAAGCGAGATAGTGGAGCACACTAGCTCTCATCAACACTATCTCGCTCTTCTCTATCTCCCTCTTCTCGATAGTGTAGAGAGGAGTAGTCTATAGCGACACTATCGAGCGAAGCGAGATGGTGGAGCACACTAGCTCTCATCAACACTATCTCGCTCTTCTCTATCTCGCTCTTCTCTATCTCGCTCTTCTCTATCTCGCTCTTCTCGATAGTGTAGAGAGGACTAGTCTATAGTGTAGAAGAGTAGCCTATAGTGTAGAAAGTAGTCTATAGTGTAGAAAGTAGTCTATAGTGTAGAGAGGAGTAAAGTAGTATAGTGTTTTATCTAGCTAGTAAGTACTGCTCGACAGTGTCGCTGCTCGAGAATATCGATAGTATAGTTGGCGTTGTCTTCCATTATCTCGCTCTGCTCGCTCTGCTCGATAGTGACGATAGTGACGATAGTAACGGTAGCAGCTAGTGTGCTCCACTATCTCGCTCCGCTCGATAGTGCCACTCGATAGTGCCACTCGATAGTGTCGATCCCAGACGCTCTTTTCTTTTACCTTATTTTTTGATTGCATCCAACCTGGACTCGCATCACATACCTTTCAGACCTCTCACCAGAGTATCTATATACTTTGTAGATACTATGTAGATACTCTATTCATTTTTTCGTCTGTTTTGTTATTTAAATGATAACAATAGACTACTTATCACTAACGAGCGAAGCAAGCTAGTGTCGCTACTAGTGTCGCTACTACACCACTAGCGAGCGAAGCGAGCTAGTTTCGCTACTCTCTTCTCTACTCTCTTCTCTACTGCACCACTAGCACCACTCGCCAGTGTCGCTACTCTCTTCTCTGCTGCATCACTAGCTCGCTCCACTCGCTAGTGTCGCTACTCTACTGCACCACTAGCTCGCTCCACTTGCTAGTGCCGCTTCTCTGCTGCACAGCTCGCTCCACTCGCTAGTGTCGCTACTAGTGCCGCTACTCTACTGCTCCACTAGCTCGCTCCACTCGCTAGTGTCGCTTCTCTGCTGCATCACTAGCTCGCATCACTAGCTCGCTCCACTCGCTAGTGATGCCACTCGCTAGTGATGCCACTTGTGCCGCGTCGGTAGAAAAACGGTAGCTTTGAAATAAAGCAGAGAAACACACTAGAGGCAATTCTCAAATTAGAAAGGTTTTAACGTGGCAATTCAAAGGTTTTGAAACGCTTTCCTTTAGAGAGAAAGAGAGAGAGAGAGAGAGAGGGGCTAAGCAAATTAGCTGAATAAATATATATACATATATATTTATATATGTTTATATATATTTAACCCACTATGTTTAAGAGTCCACACCAGTCGACGAGCAAATTGCTGCCCCTGCAGCAGCTACAACCACAACACCATTCGCTGTTACAACTGCAGCACTATTCGCAGTTACAACCGCAGTTACAATCGCCGCACCATTCGCCGCAGCACCATTCGCTGTTACCTCCACTCAATACTAGATCCGGGTCGACTTCACCCATAAGGCAGTCCTTTAATTCTTTAAACTACTCCAATAGCATACATAGAATGGGTAGTCCCACGTCGCCTAGCCAAGCTAGTTACCAGTCAAATCCCGAACAGCAAAGACAACAGGTTGTTGACAAAATTACCCACGACTGTTACTCGAAAATTATCCATGTTAATGGCCAACGAGTACACGATATTACATATATTGCTCATATCGCAATTCTTGAGTATCCACACTCAACAAGTGTTCCTCCAATGAAAAACTCGGATTTTGCTTCAGTAAAGAAACGTATATTGGTGCTTTGTAAGAGACATTCCGGTCGCGTGATGTTGCAGAAGGGCAAGTTTCAAGATGAGAGAGGTATTTATCAAATTGGACGAGATTGGGATTTATCTGAACTACAATCGATTGAGAAGGTCGGTTCAGATGGAATGATCTTGCAGTTGAACAAACAGTACTATTGGAGAAACGATGATGATGGGAACAGGATTTGGAAGTTTTGTCGTTATGTATGTCAAGAGTATGGACTTTTCATTGGTAAATATCCAAATCTAGTAGGCTTTACTTTGGACGATTTCATGCTTAGCCGTACACCCAAATCACCTACACAACCTTCTATTCTGAAGTTTTCACCAATTTCACCTCAGAAGAATTCCACTTTGGCGCCGCCGCGTCAATCGCAAGACCAGCCACAGCACCAGTACCAACAGCACCAGCAACAACAACAACAACAACAACAACAACAACAACAGCAACAGCAACAGCAACAGCAACAACAGCAACATGTTTCCTCAAACCCACTATCAATCAAGTCCAATTCGTTAAAAAAGATGATGCACAAACCATCAATTTTTTCACACGAGAAATCACAGCTGGATAAGAACTCAGCATCATCGATAAAAAGCTCGACTTCAGCTACCTCTACACAACCAGCTCCAACTCACAAGAAAAAACGTAGTTTGGATTTATACAAGAATATGGATTTTACTGTGAATGGACAATTGCCTCAAAAACCAATGAAGGTTATGCAAAGAGATAATCAGTCAGCAAATACTTCTTCATATACGGTTGACACCACATCCGCTCTTAGACAACCCAATCAAAGTTTTCAAAAGGAAAGCTATAACGTACGTCTGCTTTTGTTACCCGAGAGAACCAATACACCACATTCGAATCGAGATACACCACTGCCCGATAATGGAATAACTTTAAGAGTACCTCAAGGGGAGAATACTATGGATCTTAATAGAGCAGCAGATGTTGTTGTTTCTGGGAAAAAGCAACATCCATATTTTCAAAAGTCTATTTTTACTGATGATACTAATGCAAGCATTGTCAGCAATGACTCGCCGAAATTCAATTTTGGATCATTTGATGCTAGAGATAGTGTGAGACAGTCTCAAGAAAGATTACATGAGTATGCTAAAGGTAACAATACGCCATATAAACACTTCAAACCAACAAATACAGTAGGAGAACACAGGAAAGTTTCTGAATCTTTAGAGAGTGCTGCGGGATACAATTACAAACTTCAAGAACAATTAGAGGATACAAATAACAATAACAGAGGTCATTGGAAGAAAAATTCTATGGCTTCTGAAAAATCAGCTGAGGAAGTTGTTCAAGAATTTTCAGAATCTATACCTTCTCCGAGGAGGCCTCGAAAGATGGCAGCTTCTGCGATATCGCCAGACTTTGGAATTGAAGAAATAACCGATGAAAGTGATAATGACCAAAAACCAGGAAGTCAAACGTTGAACATCAAAAAAAGATATTCTGGTCAACAACAACAACAACAACAAATACACATGGGCAGTTTTAGTGAGAAACAGAAAGATGAAGGCATGAAACAGGGAATGCAAATAAATATGAAACAACAAGATCGAAATAAATTATCTAACAGCGCTCCTTTCAATCAATCCGTTGCATATGACGACAATAATATGTATCAAAATAAAGACGTGGGATTAGGAATTCATTCGGGTAGATCTTTTACTTTCATTGCAGAGTCGACTAAATTGCAAGATCATAGTAGAGTAGACTCACATATGCGGGAGTTGGAAAATATGCTCGATTCCCATATTAGCAGTGCTATTGAATTAGATGATGATGACGACCACAATGTTATTGATTTAAATAACAATGGAGACGGTGAATTACCATCTCCAAAAGTAGTAGCAGCAGCAGCAGTAGCAGCAGCAACAGCAACAGGACCAGCTATTATGGATCGAGAAGACTTGATTCGTTCTAAAGATGATTCTCTCGCATTTGAAGCAGAAGATGAGGAAGAGGAAGAGGAAGATGAAGGCATTACTGAGCCCGGATTGAAGATATCAAAAAAGCCCCAGGAAGTTAGTGATGAATATGCTTTTGCTAATGAGGAGTTTGAAAGAGATGCAGAAGCAGATGAGCTACTAAAGGATTTGGGATGGAATGCAAAAATGAATGCTGAAGTTTTATTAAGAAGTTTGACACAAGAGTTGAACAAAACCAAGTTGGAAACGGTGAATAAACTAGTCAGTGTGGATTTAACAACAAGTTCAGCAAGTGATGTTGAAATAGCTTCAAGCGAGATTCAAAATATGCTTCGTACGTTTCAAAGAATGGATATTGGCTTGAAATCTTTAAGGAAAGATGTCAATGTAATTGATGAGAAATCTAAAGGATTACAATTGAAATTTGTCAATAAAAAAATGCTTTATAACGATTTGCAAGGGATTTTATCAAAAGTTTCAGTTGACAGTGGGCATTTGCAATATGTTGCTTCGTTTAAGGAGTTTAGCACTTTGGACAAGATTGGCGATTTGGAGTCTAAGCTATTGAGTTTATACAGCGCCATTGTTACAATCAGGGCAGATGCATCACAGCTGGGCCATAAAGACGAAGACTTGAGTTCATTGAGAGCTCTTCAGCAACACCAGGCACAGTTTGAGAAGGTTAATCAGAGATTTGTGAGACATTTTTGTCAATTCATTGCCAATGAATGTGATAGGATAGGGAAACACTTACTCAAGGATATTGAGAATCTTAATTTGCTGTTATTGTTACATACAATGGGCAAGTTGCTTACATACAGTGGTATCACTTACTACGTTAAGGAAATCGATACTAAAGAACTCAATGAGATTAACCAACGATTTAGCCAAATATTTGCAAAAGTTTTGGAAAGAGTAGTAGTTACCAAGATAGACAATATTAAAACAGCTCAGAAAGCGCATAGCCGAACAACATCAACATCATCTCCGAAAGTAGATCAGGTTGACCGCTATTCAAGTTCGAGCACAGGGCGTTCTTCAAGGTCCTCAATATCACCAACCTTATCCAATGTTTTCGATTTTGATGACGACGATGACGACGACGATGATATTATGCCATTGAGAAAATCTAGATCAACGAGATTTGCAAGAAAAGGAAGTTCTAGATTTGGTGATATTCTGTACGATAGCGATGCAAAGAGAAAAGAGCGTCTTGAAGCACTCAAAAAGCAAGCTATGGCTGCTGCTGCTAGTAATAGTAATAGTGCTAACAGCTCAAATGATTTAGAAGACTCAAAAGCGGTTATTACGTTAATTGATGAGTCTAAAACGCTCATTATGTTTTTCCAGTTTTTCATCATTGTTTTTTTCCATTATGACGTAGCTGTTTTTGATTTTGCAGAGTTTCTTCGAAACAATCCATTTCCTACAAGGAGAAAGTTTGCTGATTTGTCGAGATCCAATTTTTTTGATACAATAAACAGCGATCAAGCTAATTTCAATATTTCCAATGATGTTATTAACAATCTCAATGCGGTATTGGGAGGTTTCATTAATAGTTTTATCAAGAATGTTAATCCTGCAGATTTGAACAAGCCCGTTATATTATGGCAGTTAGAGCAGATGATTAATTCAACACAGGAGACGTTTATGAATCAAGAATTTTTAATTTACAATTTTTTGAAAAAGGCTAGTGATCAGTTTCTGATGCAATGGAAAAAATTTGTACAAAATCATATTGTTGCAGTTGACAATTTGATAATCGGGTCTGAAGTTTATGTTTATCCAGCTGTTAAAAACATTGGGTTTTTGTTATTGATAACTGAGAGCTCTTTTGATAACAAGGATATTAGAGGAAGTCTGACTAGAGAAATGATTGACCAAGCGTATGACAAGATATCTACCAGTCTAGTTCATTTATTTTCTCGTGAGGATCCATTAATCAAGGGTCGCGAAATAAATGGGAAGGAAAAAGAGCTTCGGTTAATTTCTATGTTGGAGAATATTTTCTATATCTTACAACAAGCAAGTGAATTGAATACTCCAAACAATGCGGCAACCAAGAAGTTAACTGATAAAATGACTCAAGTCTTCAAAAAGAATGAAAAGATTTGTTTTGATAGCCTAATAAATGTCAATTTCGGGCCATTGATTGAGTTTATTGAAAGTCATAAAGACCACCACCATGGAAGTAGAAGCCACAAGAATAAGAAAAACGCCAAAGAAATACTTTCTAGATACAGAGAGCGTGATATTCAAGAACAGATTGGGCATATCTATGCTGTTTTGGAACAACGAATTCACAAGTCAAAGCACTTGAGTCATGGTAGTGGTAGTGGTAGTGGTACCACTGATTATGTTTTTACTAAGGATTTAATTGATCGATTATGGACTGATATGGAGACTGTGTTTATTGAGTATTTCACGAGATTAGGAAAAATACTAAGACAGGAATATGATAGAGATATGGAATACAATGTGGGAAGACAAGATATCCACCATATTTTCAAGTCTGTTAGAGATAACTAAAGAATGCAACCAAACCCGTGTATAACAGTAATAATAATAATAATAATAATAATAATAGTAATAAAGAGAGACCCAATTTCCCTCAATTATACCTCAATATCATCCAATGCTGCGAATCTGTTTTTGGATAATAATTGGTTCTTAATCTTTGCATCTTTATCCCCTTCTACATTCTCATTCTCATCCTCGTAAAACTTCCTCACATATTCATCTTCTTCAAGCTTTTCAATTTCCATCTCAGTCAATTTCTTATTATCCCCCTGCTTCAGCTGAGCGGCATTATTATTCAACTCATCCACCATATGATTTCGTATTTGGATATTTGAATTTGTTTTATCCCAATTTGATTTCCTTGAATTTTGGACGTATTTCGCCCTTGCTATGCTTGCCTCGATTTTGGACGATAATACTCCTTGTAGTTTATCGCTCTTGATTAGCTTATTCTTTAAAGAAGATGTCTTTTTCTTATTGGATTGTTTGTGGATTTTCGAAGATTCGAGTTTTTTGCTCAAAAGATTCTCATTCTTTATTTGAGTTCTAATTATTGACTTTCGCACACCGTCGTTTTCCAAAGATTGTTTTGGAACCGATACTGGTTGTTCTTGAGGGACTTGTCCCCTTCTTGCAGCTCTACTGTGCTTGGAAACTAAAAATAAAAAAAGTTGAGAGGTTAGTATTGCACCACAAGGGTTCTACACCAATTAAAAGAAAAATGGTGGTGGGCGGGGGGGGATTATCATACTCTTTTTGGCCATCTGGTTTATTCTACTCAAAAATGGTTCTAAATACTTCAAACCTCATGGCATATTTATCAATTCAATCTTCTTTTCTTTTGCGATGAGCATCGTATTTATGAGTTTCCCCATTTGGAAGAGATGAGGCTCATGGAATTGCTTTCCCTATTGGGAATCAATGAGGCTTATAAATTTGTTTTCCCCATTTGGACATAAATGCGACGATCCTGATTTGAGAGTCTCAAGACCCACCCCAAAAAACCCCTCTTTTCAACAATGACATTGGAAACACGGCACGCTTTTTTTTTTTTGTAATAACTTTCTTCTTTCACTATTACTATCGGTATACATCACACATACACACCAGTTTAACAGCTTACTTTGTTACTAACCTGACAGCTTTTTATAATATAACTAACGCTTATAATGAATCTTGATTGTAAACCACACTCTTTTGTCAGTTCATTAGACACTCGTAGCGGTCTGACGTCGACCTCTGTAGCAGGCTGTGAAGAGTGTCAACAAGTAGCGATGCAAGGGAAAAGTTTCAGTCAAGAAAAAAGTTTTAATCATCGTTATTTGAACACAGGGACAAAATGGCGTCTTTGACTTCGTAATTCCGCCTTCGTGTCGAAACGTTTATGAGTGTTTGATAATTGAAATTTACGATGAGCTTTTTAACCACCATCGACATGTGGTCTATGCTATAATAAGTGAACACTCTGGGATAAAGAGTGTTTCTGTTTTGTTGGATAATGCTCAAGTGTGTCAGGGAGTAATGTACGATAAGGAAAAGTTTGTTGATTTGTTGGATTTTCTAGAGGGGTATGATAATGTAGTGTTTATGATCAAAAGAAGTGCCATTTCTAATGTAGAGCAGTTGATAGTGTTTATTAACTCCGTGGTTGGCTGCATGTTGGTATCGGGTGGATTCAATAATGATTTTGATGAGTACGAGTGGATAGGACTTTTATGCCAGCTATAAAAGGAAAAATGTATGTACGTAGTTTATATAAAATAAATAAAGAGATAAACAGGTTAATAAAGATTTTTGGAAAAAGTTTTGGTTCAATTGCCGTTTGAGCTTTGAATGGCTTCGGTATACTTGGTTAATGCATTTTCTAAACTTACTTCCATTGGCTCCAAACATGAATAGAAATCCTTTGTTACTTTTTCTTTCAATTTTTCATTTCTTGAAACAAGGTCAATAGATTCAAGTTGCGAAATAGCTCTCTTTTTGAACTCTTTTATCAGATTGGAACAGTTTTTCAAACTTGTGAATATCTTCTTCAATTGCTGCGGGTTCTTCCCCTGGAGAAACAATTTCCAGAAATGAGATAAAAACTCAACAACTGTGATATTATAAGAGATGATTTCTTGTACTAATTTCTCGGGAATAATGTTTTGTGGTTGCTTGCCAAATGCAGCAGCTGTGCTTGAGATCGATAGGTCATCTTTATTTAAAAGCTTAAATGTTTTGAAATTTTGCCTAATTAATAAGGACATTTTAGCTGATGTTTCTTCAATTTCATGGCTTTTGCCCCTAAATGTATCGGTTAGGTCAAATATTCCTTCATGTGCTAGTTTTTGGAATTGTTCTTGAGCAAAACTCATCAATTCTTCGTTGCTCACTTGATTTTCTTCTTCTTTGCTTGTGTCATTTTCAATATTGGCGGTTTGGACATTATTTGTATTGATATTCAATCTGATATAATGGGCATCCTCAACTTCGTTAAGATCATGCAAGTTTAATTCTTCTTCGTATTCATTTACTTCGGCAGCAGATAAACCATCTACTGTTTTTTCACCTTGTACACCATCCAGAAATGAGTCTCTTCCACCGTCACTAGAACTCATGGTCATCATCTTCGAAGACAATTTATTCATATTCCTCATTAATATGATCATTTCGTTTTCCCTACCCGATGACCTTTTACTGGATTGCAATTTCAGCACGTCATCATCGTCATTATCATTTTCATACCTCATAGTCATATCGGGTCTATTTCCCAATTTTTGAGAATTATCCTGCTCATTACCGAATAAATCGAGAAATTTCTCAATCCGTGGATTGTCATTCTTGGAAACATCTTCTGTGTCATTGGCAAGTTTTTGTCTCTTTGGCGAGTTGCTGCCATTTTCTGGTGCCCTTTTCTCTTCATGATTTTGGCTGGGTTTAGTTCTTGTTAAACTTTTCTCATCCATATATAAATACTTGTCCAACACAACGTCGCCGCGCCCACTATTCAATCCAATTTTGTCACCTCTCAACCTGCGAAACAATCTGGAGTTAAAAAAACGAGACCAGAATTCACCCTCCAGTAGCTTGTGTGGCACCAAATCAGTAAATGCTTTTTTAATTATTGGATATATTTCAAAAATCTCATTTATGGTATCACGTGTAACATTCACATTGACTTGATTATCTGAAGTTGCCACTGGTTTTATGGTACTCAATACATTATAGGGGCCTCTATGTTGCGACACAGTTATAGCAAAAGTACGCAATTGGTTAATTCGACTTGACCAAAAAATTGTTGGTGATAGTTTGAAATTCATTACTGATTTAGTGAATGTATTTCGTAGATTTCTGTCCTCCAATAGTAGTCGTTGTTGTAGCTGGAAATCTTTCAATAGATCAGCATCTGAGAGCGCTTGTGGAAACCCAGAAAAGGAAGCAGAAGAAGAAACTGTTGCACCTGCACCCGCTGCTGCTGCTGTTGATGATGATGAAGAGTAGGAGGACGACGACAATGAGGAGGAGGAGGAGGAGGAAGGAGTTGAGGGTAAATTCAGTTGAGCAGACGAAAAAGTAGCCAGCGAGTTTGCCCCGACTTCTTTGTTTGGCGCCGGAGTCGGGCTCGACGAACCTTCGACCCTAGTTCTTGATCTAACAACAATTGCTTGCAAGGCATCTTTAATATTATTCATCGTAGGTCTATTATTAAAATGTAGCTTCAACTTCTTATCTGGCTCATTAGCACCGTCGTCTGACTTATAACTGATTTGCAAGATCATTTTCGGTACAGTTTCCTTGGTTGCTTGGAGATTAACAAGCGTGTTCAAAGGTATCGATATGGAATTTTTATCATCATCAATGGCCTTCCATTCTAACATCGATGGCGCAATGTCCTCCCGGATATAAACCATCCCACCAACTTTATCCTTAGAACACGCTCCTCGTACAACGTCCATTTCTCACCAATACAAATAACTCTAGAACCAACACCAACACACCAAGCTCGTATGGGAAAAGAAAAGCAAACTTCCAATGGTATTTACCTCTTGCTGAAAAATTAAACCTACATACAAAATCTTTATCCAATTTTCTCACTTGGTGAACAAAAAAATTTAATTAAACGCTAACAAAGGGGAAACTGTGTTGAAGTTGGATTCAGTTATTTGACTTTAGTTGGCGGAATTGGTTGATATAGAGGTATCTTGGTAGAAGTATGTCGATGTCGTTATCTTTGAGGAAAAGTTTATTTTCCATGAGTCGTCAGGTGGTTTGTTTGAGACGATTTCAAATCTGTACCCGTTCATTTCAACAAGAACAAGGCAAGGAACAGGTTAATTTATTCACGTCGAATAATAGTGCCCAACCTTTTCAAGGTGGGAGAAAACCTAATTTTGGTGGCTCGAAACCACAGATTACTGTTGACCGTGAACTTCCATATCCCTACAAAAAGCGTGACGAGAATAGGATTTATTTTGTTGTTTTTGCTGTTGGAATAACGCTTTCTTGTTTGGTTATCTTCAATTATGAGAAATCGTCTTCTCCAATTATTAACTCAATTCTTTACTATTTGCGAAGGTCTACTATAGCCCAAGACGCATTGGGCAAAGATATTGATTTTGCTTCTAGTTGGCCGTGGATTTGGGGCACTTTGAACACAGTGCAGGGTAAAATCGATATCAAATTCAAAGTTAAGGGTTCTGAGCAAAAAGGCTGGTTGATTTTGAAAGCAGATAGAGAATCCAAGATGCATCCGTTTGTAATAAGTGAGTTTGTTTTAGAGGTGGATACTCCTGATAGTAAAGTAGCATACGATATGAGATTGGATCCTGAGTACGAATTTGACCTTTAGAGACCAGACACTAACAACACTAACAACACTATCTCGCTTTGCTCGATAGTGTTGTAACGGGATAGCTAGTGTTGTAACAGGCTAGTTAGTGTTGTAACGGGATAGCTAGTGTTGTAACAGGCTAGTTAGTGTTGTAACGGGATAGCTAGTGTTGTAACAGGCTAGTTAGTGTTGTAACGGGATAGCTAGTGTTGTAACAGGCTAGTTAGTATTGTAACGGGATAGCTAGTGTTGCAATAAGCTATCGAGTGCTTCACTATCTCGCTCTGTTCGTTAGTAGAGCAAGATCTGTGGGCTAAGGGAGCTGATATTTGGATATATTTTTGTAAATAGTATAAAAGCAATAAAATAATGAATTTGAAGCAAACACTGAGTTGTAATAGGTATCTAGTGAGGAATGCCTTTTGGAGAAGAAACCAATTTTCTTTGGCGGCAATGCCTGGTGAAATGTTGACGATAGGAACACCATGACCGTCACTATCGACACTATCGACACTATCGACACTATCGACACTATCGACACTATCGACACTATCGACACTATCGACACTATCGACACTATCGACACTATCAACACTATCGAGCAGAGCGAGATAGTGGAGCACCCTAGCTGCCACCGACTATCGACATTATCGAGCAGAGCGTGATAGTGGAGCACACTAGCTCCTGCGGATACTATCGTATAGACTTTATCAATAAGTAAATAAAAGTGTCTACCTCTAGGTCAATAGGTCAATAGAAGTGTCTACCTCTAGGTCATTAGAAGTGTCTACCCTTAGGTCATTAGAAGTATCTCTTTTTAGCAATAGAGATGTCTCTTTTTGGTCAATAGAGGTGTCTTATTCTTCAATTTCGTCTACACTGTCTATTCCTTCTCTCGAAAGAAGCCCTTTGTTGACATTGGCAATAAGAGTTTTTACAATAAGCAGAAATGTAAGGCTACGAATAAATTAAATTCATATACAACAATTTTGTTTGGAAGGTGTGGTTTAATTGCTCTACCATAGCATCATCTACTCTACTCTACTCTACTCTACTCCACTCTACTCCACTCCACTCCACACCTCTGCTGATCTTTCTTTGTTTCGATGATTTAGCAATTTTTATTTAGCAAGGCTTAGGCCGAAAAAAATCAAACTAAGCGCGGTATAACTCGTATTACTTTTTCCAATCGTTACAAGTAAATCCTTGATAAAGTAGTGGGCCTTTTCTTTTACACATAAAACAGGGGGTTTCTGGTTTATTGTTTGTCGTTGTTACAGATATAAACTTCCAAGTATGGCCTATTCAAATGGGTTGGCAGTTGGGTTAGCAGTTGGAGTACCTTCGTTTTTAGTATTGCTAGTAGTTTTCACATTTTGGTACAGGAATCAAAAGAAGCTACGGAAGGAAGATTTTGAACGGGAAGATTTCGATAAGTCGTTTGGTGGTAATATTGAAGTATGCGATGAACAGAGTTTCCAAAGTGTCCAGGAAGATTTGCTGCAGTATAACCCACAACAACGATATGGGAGGTATCCTACATGTAGAAATGAATCTATAGAATGTTACAAATTGGAAATGGAAATGGAAAAGGAAAAGGAAAAGGAAAAGGAGAAGGAGAAGGAAGAACATGTGAGTCTGGAGAGTTTAGGCACATCATCGGAGGAGAATAATTCACTGACTAGGTTCAAGAACTTTTCTACTGCTAGTATTACTAAAGATTTAAAGTGAAGAGGGGCAAGAAATAATCAGTCACTATCGAGCAGAGCAACACTATCGAGCAGAGCAACACTATCGAGCAGAGCAACACTATCGAGCAGAGCAACACTATCGAGCAGAGCAACACTATCGAGCAGAGCAACACTATCGAGCAGAGCGACACTATCGAGCAGAGCGAGATGATACCTACCAAGTGTTGCTCCACTATCGAGCAGAGCGAGATGGTGCCTACCAAGTGTTGCTCCACTATCTCGCTTTGCTCGATATTGTGAGCTAGTGAAACGTGGCAAAGGAATAGAGTAGATAAATTAATAAAGTAAAGTTATCATTAAACGTGCCATATAGAATAAAGATATCAATTAGTGTCATATAGAATAAAGATATCAATTAGTGTCATATAGAATAAAGATATCATTAAGCGTGTAATATAGAATAAAGAGATATAGCTTGTATTAGTTAACAAGGTTGACTTCCGGTTAATCAAAACCCGGTTTGCTCATTCATCCTCGGATTTTGATCTCATCAACCAAAAAAAAACAAAAAAACCTTTTTCCGAAAGGCTGGGTGAAAAATTTCTAAATCCGATAATACCAGTTATAGACAGACAGCGGCTAGCTAAGATGTTTAGGTTGAAGCTTAGTACCTTTTTTGGAAGACAGCTGGTTGTTTTTGGGAAGCCTTTGTCACCTCTGCCTCCACGTTTCCGCATCAACATCGGCGGCGGCGGTGGCTTCTTCTCCTCTCGAACATATGCATCGTATCGCCGGTTCAACGACTCTCAATCGTCAACCAAATACACATCGCCGTATCAATATTATATTCAACTCCTAAAAAGCAGAAAGGTTCTATACACAGCTGGGGGACTATTAGGGTTTTACATCTACAACCTCCACGAAGCACCATATACTCACCGAAGAAGATTCATTTGGATTCCATTTTGGCTCGAAGTCAAGATTGGCGATTATTCATATCGACAAATTATGCAACAATATGGATCAATGATTTTGCCCCATCTGAATCCAATATACCTGAGAGTATCGGCAATAATGAACAAACTCCTAGCTACTACTTTTGCTAACGATGATCTGCAACAAAACTATTTAAAAGATTTGCATTGGGAAATCAATATTATCCAAAACGATAGCTTACCTCCAAATGCCTTTATCTTGCCAAATGGCAAAATATTCATATTCAGTTCGATATTGCCAATTTGTCAAAATGATGATGGCATAGCTACTGTGTTATCACACGAACTATCACACCAGTTGGCTCATCATTCAAGTGAACAGTTGAGTTCTCAGCCGTTTTATATGGCATTGTCCGGCTTATTGTATTCCATAACTGGTATTTCCTGGTTCAACGATTTGTTAATTAATGGAATATTTACCATGCCTGCATCGAGAGAAATGGAAACCGAAGCCGATTATATCGGGTGTGAGATTTTGGCAAAAAGTTGTTTCCTGCCAAATCAAGCAGTTTTGTTTTGGCAAAGAATGGGGAAAATGGAACAGAAGTTAGTAGGAAACACCAGTGGTATCAAAGGAGTTGAATGGTTTTCTACTCATCCCGCTACAAGCAAAAGAATTCGCGATATTGAGCTGTGGATGCCAAGGTTGAGAGAAATCAGCGAAAGCAGTGGTTGTTATGAATATGGCAAGTTCCATAATTTCAACAGAAATTTCTTCAAACGGTAAAAGAAAATGGATGATTACTGATAGAGTTTGTTGTTTGTTTGTTTGTTTTTTTTCCATATCTTCTTCAATATTTGTCTATGGATAATGGCCTTTTCTTAATCCAATATAGCCATCAGGAGCCGTAGATATATCCTTCCATATATCAGGCAATTCACCACCTTCGATCCCCTGTCGACTAACTGAATTTCCCCACCATTTCAACTCATGTGAATTATATTGCACGGTAAAAAATATCAATAACGCACTGAATGCAACACCAGCCGATAGTGCACTTGTTAAGATGTAATTATACTTTTCCCACCATAGTAGATAATGTTTTTTGATCAGGTACATGAAGATAAAAGACAAGTATAAGCCGCTTGTGAAGTACGCAAGGTTATAAGGAGCAAAATCCAAGAAACCGCCGATTATAATAGTTGGCTGAAAGTATCTTGTTAACTTGACATTTGCTTTTTTTTTGAACCAAACACTTGGAATTACCAAAAGTGCTCCTAGTAGGAAACACCATTTTAGGATAGGGTATAGTCCACCAAACACTTTAGCTGGTCCAATTTCTCCATACTGAATGCTTGCAAAGAAATAGGTATTGGCTCCAGGACAACTAAAATTGTCGCGCTGGTGTATTTGACAAATATCAGGAATGTGGGTTAACTGCCAATTAGCTATAGATAATGAAACAATTATATTGAGCAAAGTCGATATTAGTTGCCCTTTAAAAATAGCTCTCGGCGGGACTTTAGAATAGTGAGCTATTTTTTGATCAGTGATATAATTACTAGCTTGGCTATCAATATTATATCCAAATGCCTTTAATGTGATTAAGGCTAATCCAGAATTGGGGATTGCGTATCCAACAATCAATTCCACAAGTACATTCAAACCAAATGAAAAACCTGTAACCAGAGCAATTGCTGTTATAGGTATTAAAAAGATAAAGTTGATGAGAATTGTAAAAAGAACACCCCAAATTGGTGTTTCCACAGGATAAAATAACACGGCCAGAATAGCAAACAAGGTGCTAACGACAAATATTGCAATAAACCACCAATCTGGTACATCTTTATATTTTGCCATCATCTTACAATGGGGATCCTCAGAAAACGTATCGAGTTGTCTATGTTCATTATGAGTTTTTCTTTTGAATGCATCAACTAGTGACGTCCAAACATTACCAAATGCATTCTTCATTGATGTCCATTCTAAAACTCCCATGTATAAAATTGCAAAGGGATATAAACAAAAATAAGCTCCATAAACGACTAAATTGGCCGCAGAAAAATATGGAGGTCCCACCTCTTGATACTTGGAGTTATCAAATTGACTCTTGTTGTTGAGTATATCGTGTACGTTAAATTCCTTGGCTTTGTTGTTGAAAAGGTGATTGGAATTAATAGGAAGGTATGCAGTAAAGTAGTTATTGGTGTAGTAAATAACCAATATCAAGATGAATCCTAAAAATGTTCCCAAATATCGATTTACATATGTGTAAAAAGGAATGGTTAAACAAGCTCCTGAATCGATTTGGTTCCAATCAAATGTCGGCAACGGATTTAGTCCCAATCCCATTTTTGTACCTGCGATATTAGTTAAATGGATCAGTTTGTGATTAAACCAAGTAGGCCAATTGAAATTAGATAATGCTTGGAATAGATAGTTTGGCACCCAGTTCCAAACAAAACTACACAACAGCACAATTATAAAGAACATATACCGAGAAATCTTCCATCCATGTACAGTGTTATTTGCGTCTTCATTCATAAGTGCTCTATTTAATGCAATTGTTGGCAACACAGTTGGCCAGATTGATCTACTTGGAAACACGCATACTTTTTTCATAATCATCGCAAATGCAAATCCAAGAAACTGAGTAGAGACAGTGAGGAGGATTTGAAAAGTTAGACTTACCCATTTGAGACCATAGAATTTGTCAAGTTTCATAACAAAGATATTGTATATCAGGTAGGGGACACCCGCAGAACACAGGTAGATTATTGTACTCAACATCATTTCCTTATATGTCCATGGTCCTGGATTTAAGTCTATGACATAATTCTTCCCCAAATAAAGCTTTTTTTTGGGAATTACTCGTTCCCATAACTTACCACATGGATATAGTAAGATTTGTATAGTATGCGAGCTCAAAGAGATCCTGGGCATTCTGTGGATGAAAAAGCTATTGATTACCGAGCCGATGAACGTCCAGCCTAGGCCAATAACATAGCATCTCAAAGTTTCCACGGGAACATCTGGGTCGTCGAATGGGTCAGTAATAGCTCTAATTTCGGGATACGGTGAGTGGTAATGAATTAATGCAGCCTCTACTCTTGCTTCTAACGACCATTTCTCAATGGAGACGGTTTTCAACTCGTCTTGGTCTTCTTCTTCCTCCTCCTCCTCCTGAGGTATAGTGTTCACCAATCTTTCTAATAAACGGTAATCTTGATGAGGGAAATTAACATCATCTTTCAATTCAACAAGTGCGTTTCGTAGTATTTCAACTGCTACCTCGTTGGAAAGCATACTAATTTTGTCAATCAAGAATTCCGCACTTCTTGACAACTGTATATCAGCAGCACCACCAACTTCTTCATCAATTTCAATTTCGTCACCAACTTCTTCACCAAGTCGCAGTAGAATAAATTGTAGCTGCGTATTGGTAAAGTTATACTTATTTTTGAGAGCACTTTTGGCGTTTAATGACTCCGTATTGGTTCCCAGAGGAAACCGTTCGAGCTCGATATACTCACTGCTCCTCATACTTGGTAAAAACGGGCGTTACTCATGCCTCTTTTACAAGTTAACTTTGAACCAACGATTAGTCGAAGCAGTTTCAACGCTTTTTTGTGAAAAGTGGGGGAGGGGCAGTCACATGAGTATCACGTGTATAGATATATATACGAGAATTATTATATGCATCGAGTTAATAAATACACGTGATATTCAAGTGACTTGCTTTGCAACATATCATGTGCCAAGCACGTGATATATATTTATAGATATATATATGGAGGCGAATTTCCATAAATGTATGCCGATAAGATAAAGGGGGGGGGGGGGAGGGAAAGGGGGAAGCAATAGTGTAAGAAGGAAGGAGAGGGAGAGAGAGAAGGAGAGAGAGAGAGGGAGGGAGAGGGAGGGAGAGGAAATGTATTCTACTGCTCTTATCCAATGGAGTCTAGTTGAGAGATTACTGATGGCATTGAACCCAAGCAGCCCTGCTCGATAGTGTTGCTCCAACAAGAATATAACTAGTAAAGTAGAATTGCACGCCCGTGTGTAGCACATATATTTATCAATGCCCCACTATCTCACTTTGCTCGATAGTAGGTTCGTATTCATCAATGCCCTACTATCTCGCTTCGCTCGCTAGTAGGTTCGTATTCATCAATGCCCTACTATCTCGCTTCGCTCGCTAGTAGGTCCACTCCACTATTTGAGCCACCCCTTTATAAGTTCCATCTTTGAGCAACTTGGTCTTTCGAAGCTGTTTTTCAGTTGGCGCCGCTTAACGCAAGGGGGGAAAAAACATCACCCCCTAAAAAAGATCTTGCAAATAACCATCTTTTAAAAAAGTCATCAGTAACCGCCGTCTTCAGCAGAGCAAGGTAGAAGGACTAGAGACTTCAGCTTAGTCGGTGATATCAATGGGTGATAAGAAATCTAATGTTCAATCCTTTTTCCCGCCATTTTCAACCACTCCCTGTGACAATACGGTAAATTCAAATAAAGCTAAAGGTAAAGCGGCTACGAATGGTTTACAACCACAACCTTATCATTACCCCACGAGTCCTTCAGTTCCTACTCAACAGCAGCCTCATCCGAGTCTTCAGAATGTTAAATCGTCACCAAATTATCACTACTCTCCCTTTATGTCTAATGTAGTCGTGGGGAATGACACCCAATTGAATGAAGCTGTTACGTGGACCAAAACTGTAGCCGCCAAGGACTATCACCAACAGCGGCAACAACTGTCCACACCACCACCACCACCACCACCCCCCCCTCCTCCTCCTCCTCCTCCTCCTCCTCCACAAATACAACACCCACAAACTCATGTTACGGCTCAGGTTTTTCTTGACCAAACTCCTAGAAAATTGCCAAATGAAGATTGCTCACAATGGTTGACCCAACTGTCGAACCATCATTTTTTACTAGCTAACCCTATACCACTACCACAACAACAGCCACCTCCTCCGCTACCTCCTCCACCCCCTCCGCAGCAGCAACAACAACAGCAACAGCAACAGCAGCAGCAGCAGTATGATGTTTACGACTTGTTGAATCCTAGAAAAGCTGCAAATATGGGGTATAAGGAGAAAATAGTGAGTTGGCTCTCAACGGTTCCTCAATTGACCGACGATGAAAACGACGAGATTTATGTAGATTGTTATCCCGGAGTTGTCTCAGATATACTGAATTCAAATATATCAATGTCGTCAAATGGAAACGTAGAGATTGACCTAGCTGATATTGAAGATTTATTGGAATTGCAAGCACAAAAGATAACTAGATATGTCATGAGAATATATGGAAGAGAATACGAAAATAGTCAAGGAGAGTATGAAGAGGGAATGACTAGTAGAAGAACGGGGCGTAGACGCAGTGAATACGAAGAGGAAGTAATTGATTGTACTTTCCCAGTTGCTGAATCTACAAGAATGACTTGATGGTGGTTAAACATCCCCCTCCCCACCCCCTCCTATTTTCTTTGTTCTTTTTTTTTATATGTATTTCGTAAAGTAGTTCTTCTACTAAGTTCCATCTTGTTTATTACAAGCACAAGTCCAACTCTTCCAACTTAAATTGGGTATCCTTCTCCATGAGTCCTATTCGGGGGTAATATGGCACTAATGAATCGGCACTTTGAACATAAGCGCTGTTGAACACTTTCCAAAACGGATCCCTAACTTTTCTCGCCGGATGGAATAAGCCTGCCCATATATAGTTCATAAATATCCCATTACCCAAAACCAATCTCAATGAGTCTAAACTTTCCAAGATTCTTGAAATAACATGAGGTGACGTTTCGTATATATTGGGCATGATCAAGTTTAAAAAATGAATGAAAACATCACTATAATCACTATCAATCAACCCATACAAGTTCATTGCAATATGAAATACAACAGTAGCTGCCGTTTGTCTATGAACCAAATCACGGTCAATCAAAGCATCTTCTAATAATGGAGTAATTGCAAACAAATAGTCCATTGTAGTCTTCCCATCAAGATATTCAAATAGGAAACTCAATGCTTTCAAAACACCATTTTGAACGTTCTTCTCGGGCGTTCTATATTCATTCATAATAGCAGGTAGTACAGTGAATGGCTGGCATATTTCCACAACTATACCCATTGCCACAGCTGTACACACTCGAAGTTGACGCTCCTGAACTTTTAAATTATTCAACAACATCACTATAACATCCTGAGGCCCAATTGTCTTTGCAATATAGCCAAATGTAGCATTTGCAGCTATACGGATTCTCTTTCTTGTTGATTTCAACATCTCCAATAAATCAAAACATATCCTCATCCACTCTTTGGCATTTATTGTCTCAGCATTCTTGGTCGCTATAAGGCCAATCAATTTAATACTGGATTCTTGTACCTTTTCATGTCGATTTTTCAAAATAGGGGTTAATGTAGGTAGGATTTGGTTTACTGATGGATTGTTCATGGTTAATAATTTTGTTTTGCTCAAGGAATTGATACATGAATATAAAGCATTTATAATTGACCCCAAAACTTCAGGGTAAACTTCTCCCAATGCCTCGTATAATATTAAAACCAATTTTTCCAATAGTGAGTTATCATCATCACCAACAACATTGTTTTCATGTTCTCCACCGGTGCATTTTCTTATCACGGGGGCAATTATGGCAATGAGGTCACTTGATTGTTGACGTATTTCAGGTGTTTTATTCTTAATTCGGTAAAGTGCTGAGCTGATGATTAAACTCAAATGAGGCTTTAATCTAATGCCAAGGGCCTTAGATATAGAGGCAAATGTCTGAAGGTATATCTTGTTTTGAATCGCTTGCTCCTGAAATGCAAACAAAATACCATCAACTAATACTCGAACCTCATCTTCTGTCATACCAACCAACTCGTCAGGATTAGTTGAAACAAGTAAATTAATAGCCTCAATTGCAAGTCTTCTTAACTGCTCATTGTCGTCCTTGGCAAAATAAACCACATTATTCAAGATCGACAAAAAGTCAAATTTACTAGCGAGGTGATTAGTTGCTCCTACTACTAGTTTAGTAATTTGCAGATTATCCGAAGCAGTGCGTCTATTCCAAAATGACTTGAAAAAGGGCTTTACCAAACTGGACTCATAATCAGGTATCAATTCTTTTGATAATGGTAGTCTAGTTAAAACTTTAAGCATGGTTTTCCTCATATCCTCATCCGGAGATCCAAACTGCTTTGTTATCAAAAACATGACTTCCTTAGTATAATAATATGTATACTCCTCATACCTCGCATCAAACTTCATCAACGGTATCAATGATCCAACACACTTTAAAAAGGCAGCTAAACCTCGCCCTCTTTGTCTCCTGATTTCGTACCACAATGGTTCCAATGCTTGCTCAAACGAATCTATACCATATGGAGCAACGCTCTCTGCCAATTGTGCCAAAGTCAACACAGTAATAGTCTTGACTTGTTGCATTTCATCGTTTATTGCTGGCAAAATAATCCTTACAATCTGGGACAAAAATGGTAACAACGATGAGCCATTACCACTACCCAATAATAAACATAACTGTTGCACAACTTTAATACCAGTATGTCTTGCTGTCCAAGTCCTTTTTGACTTTACCACTGCTTGTAAAAACGGTAAAAATTGGTTTAGTCCCAATGTGTTGGCCACTATTGCAAGAACTCTCGAGGTTAAGTTTCTCACATACTCATCAACGTGGTCCAAATCAGGTCTTAGTGTTGATATCATATTAGCAAAGCCAACCGCTTTGGTTAAACTTGTTATTATTTCACGTGTCTCCATCCGTATTGTAGATTCTTCATCAATCAAGAATGGTGATAGAACATGGATGATTTTCAGAGTATAAGGCCGAATCGATTCATTCAATCGTAACATGATCCGCCCCACCATTTTAACCAATAAGTGACGCTCTTGTTCACCTAATGTTGGTTCTAGTAAAACAGGAAGTATTTGACTTAATAGAATTTTTGGTCCAAACTTTACTGCATTTTCGGTTAACGCTCTCATAGCTCTTTTGCGCACTATTTGCGTGCCGTTCTTTGCCTTGAGAACCAATTTCATTGATTGCATTTCTTTTTGCTCTTCTTCAGTAAGATCCTCGGGTTTGATCTTCAAAAGGTTTCCAAAGTATTTCATATCTTCGTCTTTGAAATATTCGAGACCTTTTAACCCAGGTATTTCAGTTGCAGCTGCAGCTGCTGATGCACTAAGACTTACATTTGCACTTGCATAATCACCCATTGGTGGTAAGTAATATTCAGGAGCTGCTAAACTCAACTCGGGACGAGTTTGGTTATTTTCAAAGCCAGCTGGCGCGGGGATAATTTTGGTAAAGCCTGAGGGCAATATCTTGGTAAGAACTTCGTCAGTCAACGGCACCCCGTTTATCACCGGTACATTTCCATCTTTCAACTTTTGTATTAGCGTCAAATCCTTTGGTAGATTGCTGATTTCATCCCTTCTCTTTTTGAAATTCGAGGTCTCGTCCAAGTCGAGTCGTCGTTTCCCGTACCCATATCCTTCCTGAGTTGCTTGTTTGTCACCAGCTTCCAGCTTCTCCCGCCCCTTTTCCCCCACCTCTACAGCCTTTCCCCCTACCTCTACAGCCTTTTCCCCTACCTCTACAGCCTTTTCCCCTACCTCTACAGCCTTTCCCCCTTCATCCTCAAAGTTCAAATCCACCCTTGTTTGAAATCGCTGTCGATTATAATCGTTTTGATTCATCTCATTGTGAATTTCTTCAGCGGAAATCGACATGTCTCGTTCAAATTCCTTTTGTAGCTCCTTCTTCAACGATTTAGGGATGGAGTACTCCCCAGCAAGAGCATTACCCTGAGACGGCATCACTTATAGTCCTCTAAATAGTAATAGTTATCACTTACCTACTCATCTCTGATATTCAATGTTTGCCAGGTTCCGAAAAATTAAAATAAACCTCATCGCGAGATACTCTTATTCGATGAGATGAGGAAACAGAAGCTTTTCAACTTACCATGTCTAGCCAGAATGCTGCAGTGTTGCTAACGAGGCTTCTATCGCTACGGGAAAGTTCTTCATTCCACTTGGTTTTGGACTCGCTAACGCAATCGTCGTATTATTTGGTTCGTGAATATATACATCATCAGTATGGCCATCAGCATGCAAACGAGGTTATATATTTATCATTTGAAACTGGAAATCGGCCTCAATGGGCAACGGAGTTTGTAGATTGTACCGTGGAGTCACAGAAAGATGCTGTACAATTTGTGAAAACTTACATCAACTCATTGTCTGCTGCGAGTAGGTCATCTAAGATATTGATTATTGTGGATTCTTTGAATCACCTACCAAACGAACATGTAATTCAGTTTGTTACAGGGTTAGTTGCTCCAAATGCAGTAGTTGTTGCTACGTATCATACGAGTTGTGTTGAGCCCTTTGTCAAGTACACCAATTACCCATCAACCATTTCTTTATTGACTTATTTCGCCAGCACAATATTCGAAGTAGAGCCAATATTCAATAGCTCAGTTGTTGACGACGAAGAGACCTTAGAGAGGCAAGTTGCGAAATTGAACTTCCCCGCTAATGCCAACCTCAATAGCCAAGTATTCAAGTTGGTGCTAACGAACCGAAGAAGATCAGGTCGATCCATCGTATACAAGTTCACAATCGACTGCAAAAGGCATAGTTATGAGTTATTAAAGGAAAAAGAAGAAGAAAATTACAAAGAGGATGAAGAATCGTTGTTGAAAGATCTAACAACGTTTAATTTGACAACTAGCTCTAAGGAGAAGTTGGCTCGAGAGCAAGTCGAATTGCCGTTTATGCAAGCGCAAGAAGCATTGGGGTCTACTGCTGGTGGTGCAATTGTCTACGAGTTTGAGAAGGATGATGACTACGACGAAGAGGACCCATATGAGGATCCGTTTTAATATATAGCTTTACATACACCAGGGTTTCTTTTATTTTTGCCATTTTCTACTCAATCTTTCGTTTCGGTAAAAGTTTTGATCTCAACAACTTTTTAAATTTAGCAAGCTTGGTATTTTGAGCTGCCAACTCAAACTCCTCCTCTGTAACAACTTTTTTTGTAAGCAAATTGAATACAATGCCAAACGCGAGAGACAACACGGTACATGTTAAAATGATGACATTGTAAGGCATGGAAAAATCGGGAGTTGGAAGTGTTAGCAATAGACTAGTTGTTCGGAATTCATAAATGGTTTCCCCACTCCTCTCATCTTTCACGATAATCACCGCGGGCTCCACGTCAAATCCGTGATTTGCATCAGGTGGATATTCTCGATACAATAACAAGGATTTATCAAATTCATAAGTCATTGCTAAAGTCAGATGCGCAGGAACCTCCATAACTAATTCCAAATGCGACGGTCTTGCTCTATCCAAAGATGGGCGATAATATCTTTCTTTGATGAACCTGCTCTCGTCTTTAGGTTCAACATTGTTGTTGCTGCTGCTGTTGTTGTTGCTGCTGTTGTTGTTGTTGCTGCTGCTGTTGTTGTTGCTGTTGCTGCTGTTGCTGCTGCTACTGCTGCCTCCGCCTTGAGCATCTGCTAAATTGAGTTTTAAAGTACTAATATATAGCCTCATAAACCATGGTAAAGACTCAAAATAGGTGAATTGAACAGTTTTATTTGTCGGGTTTGTAAAAGCAATACGTAAGCCGCCTCTATCCAATGAATACCCGGTCAAAGAACGCGAAACGTGTAGCGGCGGTTCTTCAATTGGCTTTACCACGCTGCTATTAGTGGTTGCAAACTTAAAGTCATAGCTAAATGGCTCATCTATTGCTTCAACAATCTTATCGGTATTATTGGCATATACAGAATTTGTAATCACCCATTTGGAGTTTTCCTTATGCTTAGTAACGTTCCATGTTGATGGATCAACATCAATTATAACTTTGCTCACGTTGGGATTATCTTCAAATGCAGCTCCTTTGATCAATCTTCCATAAAGCGTCTCTAGGCTCCATTCTAGTTCAATTGGATCGCCCAAGGGGAAACACTGCCATATGTTGAAAGTTTTATTAGTGTCGCATCTCAACATATTACCTGGTGTTGGCTTTGGTATTCCTCCTTCGACACGTTTACGCATCGACCTTATAATGTCGATAATTTGATAAACTGTTTGATGCAATTTTAAAAAGCATTCGCCGTCGCTGTTACATTCAGTGTGAACGTCTACAGACATTCCATGCCAAAGGGAGTCAAAGAGCTTATGCCCGTCTAGCAATGATGCTATCCCGGCCTTGCCCCTAGTAGGTATCAACTTCAAAAAGGGGGTCAAATTTTCCGTACACACTGGTTCACTAGGTAATGCAGCTCTCATTAGGTACAATTTGTTCCCAATTTGCGGTTTAAACCCCTTGACATCGATATTATTCACGGCGTGTTTGGGAAACGTGGTGATCTCGTCTCCAATCGAGTTTAGCGATGCGCAAAAAAATCCCGATAATATCTTGGTTAGCCTTGACCAATTCTGCTTAGCCATTTGTACATCTGGCGCTTCAATCACTGCAACAACCTCGACACCGGTACCTGCGGTAAACGCCCCATTATGTGGTAGTTTCCCCCAGGATCGAGCATCCCACCAACCTTGAGTAAACCTCAAGGAAAGATCTCGGGTGTTTGTAGTCTCAATAATGGGGCCCAAAGAGCTGGGGAAAAGCAAATAATGGTTCAGTTTCCTAACCTGTTCATATTGGTCAGACTCATTATAATAAGATAGCGAGAATGGCAACGACTCAGTATGGAAGTCAAAACTCGACAATAATTTGTTTCTCGGGAGCGGCTTAAGACCAAGTGTTTCATAATAAACATTGCTCGAAGCACAACCAGCGCACGAGACTAATACTACCGAAAGCACCATGACAACTGCTTGTACCACAAACATTATCAACCAAAAAAAAAAACAAAAACTTTTATAACCTAATTTCCCAAACTTTTCTCAGCTCTAGCAACCAAGTCCTTACCACCTAAATAACAAACAACAACTACCTATTTACTCCCCATCAATGGTTATATCAAATACAATGAACCTAGGAGGAAGAGCAATGGGGTGAAATTTTTCAACCTTTATATATATGGCATTTGGTAGCATCCATCGATTTGATTTTTTCTGCGCGCGCGCGCGCGCAGTTTTTGTTTTTGTTTGAAGAAGAAGAAGAAGAAGAAGAAGAGAAAGGTAAAGGGAGGTATAAGTGGGTTTAGATGGAGTCGTCTGTTAGGTCTGGGTCTAAGATAGAGATGCTTGAGATGCAGAAGGAGAATATCCAGCCGTTGGACGGAGGAAGGTCAGTATCGAAATTGGCGGCAGCGCTTAATTCATCACAAGTATATCGGTATCAAAAGAATAAAGTTAAGTTACTAGTTGAACGCGATCAGTTTGAGTACCAGATAGGGAAATCGGAGGAGCTAGATGATCCGCTTCAGCTATTTGTTGAGTATATTGATTGGACGCATAACAATTTCCCCCAGGGCGATAATACGGAAAGTGGGCTTGTTATCTTGCTTGAGAGGTGTACATCACATTTCCGAGACGTTTTTCATTACAAAAACGACCCTAGATATTTGAAGGTATGGCTTGAATATATAAAACACTCGGATTCGCCAAGAGACGTGTTTGTTTATCTCGCGAAAAAGGAAATCGGCAATCAGCTAGCCTTGTATTATGAAGAGTTTGCCCAATATTTGGAGTTGAATGGCAAGATCTCCGATGCCCATCAAATATATCAGTTGGGTATCCAGTCCAATGCTTTCCCAAAAGAACGGCTAAAAAAGTCGTTTGCAAAGTTTAAAGAACGCACGGGAACAGCAGCAGCAGCAGCAACAGCAGCAGCAGCTGATGGAGATATACTGATGTCTTCTTCTTCTTCGTCGTCGTCTGCTAGGGAGATTGTGCGAAATGTGCTAGCGTTGAAAAGAGGATCGCAAGTGGGTGTAAATGTGAATAACCAAGTTGCCATAAGAAAGAAGGCAAAAATTGACGTGTTTCAAGACAATGTGGAACAAAGCCAAAGTGTGCTACAGTCCATATTTGACGATAGTGGCAATAAGCAACATATGGAGCTTGGTACAAGAAGGGAAAGAATAAAGGAGAACATTATTGCTCCTGCAACACAGTGGCAGGGACAGATTATTAAGCAAAGAGGAGCAGGAGGAAGAGGAGGAAGAGGAGGAGGAGGAGGAGGAGGAGGAATGTCACCTCCGATGATGGACAAAATACAAGTATTTCGCGATAATCCTAGCACTAGTCTGGCAACTATGGGCATGGACCATCATATAAGTAAACTGGTACATATCGATGCTAATGGAATGTCATATACATTAGTTCAAGTTCCAGGAAAAAAGACTGAACGAATAATGGTAAATATGGACTTACTATATAAAGAAGAAGAAGATGATGACAATAATAAGGAGGAGGAGGTGGTGGATGAGAAGGAAGGAAAAGAAGAAATAAGTATCACAGAATTATTGGCAAGGAATAAAACAAAACAAATAAAACACGAGCCACAAAACGAGCATAATTCGTTGCTGCCGGCGGATGAAGAGAACAAAACTATTACCTTACCACTTAACGATGATATTACTGCCAAATTGAAGGACCCTACGATAACAGCTTATTCCAAAGTGGCGAAAAACGAAGTGCTAAATATGTACAACCAAGCAATGCAGCTGCATATCTCTGATGATGAACGCATGGATGATCCAACAGTGACAAACTTGGAGGGCTTTGTGACTGAGACAACAATATTTTCTTCTAAAAAACAAGAGAAAGCCCCAGAAGAGGAGTTAGTACCGACTCAAGTGGATTGTTCTCCTACATTGGGAGAAGATAACATTAGTGGACAAATAGGGTCAAATCAAGTACACCTCCGCCACCAACAAGTTATCAATCCTTTTTGTTCTCAAGTCAAAAATAGCATCTTGAATATACCTTCTATACCGATGAAACTATACTCAAACTATTACGACCGCTCTTCAATCACAGTCAATAGAATGAAACAGTTTCGAGACATTACAAACAAACAAAAGAGGATAAATCGAAGTTCCAAGCTGGCTATTATTGATTGTTGTGGCAAAGAATTGTATTGTTTGATATACCAATTAGGCGAAGGCGGTTATGGCTATGTTTATTTAGTGGAAACTGGCTCTAGCGGTTCATTAAAGGCTTTGAAAATTGAAAAACCTGCATCAAAGTGGGAGTATTATATTTTACATCAAATACATAGACGACTATTGGGGACCCCAAAAATCGATAGGTCATTCATTCATGCAGAAGCATTGTATTATTTCCAAGATGAAAGTTTCCTTGTTCTTGAATATTGTAGTCAAGGGTCGCTTTTGGATTTGGTGAATAATTTCAAGTCTCAAACTTGTGGAGTTGACGAGTGTCTTTGTATCTTTATAACCATTGAGTTATTGAAGGCAATTGAAGCTTTGCATGTAATTGGCATACTACATGGCGATTTGAAGGCTGATAATTGCATGATTAGATTTGGTCCTGTTGATGATAATCTATGGGGTGAAAAATATGATCGCAACGGAGCACTGGGATGGTGTAAAAAGGGAATAACGTTGATTGATTTTGGCCGTGCTGTTGATTTGACCACATTTCCAAAAGGCACGAGGTTTATATCGAACTTTCCCACTGATGAACAAGATTGCCCGGAGATGAACGAAGGAAAACCGTGGACCTTTGAAGCTGATTATTACGGTATGGGCTGCATTATTCACACTCTATTATTCGGAGAGTATATAAAAATCAAAAAAATTGGAAACAAGTTGGAATTGAAACAAAATCTCAAAAGATATTGGCAACACGAACTTTGGTCAAGATTGTTTACATTATTGTTGAATCCCTATGATGATGACCAGGTCATTCTTCGTTCCCCTAGAGTAAGCCAACTAAAAGAAATAAGAAGCATGTTTGAGGATTGGCTAGAGCAAAATTCTCAAAGTAGAAACTTGAAAGCAACGATTAAATCTATAGAGCATGATCTTGAAATTATCAACAGGACCAAAATTCATGGGTGAAAAAACAAGAAAAAAGAAATAGAAAGGCATGTTCTTACACTTTTCATCAACTACAATATAATCTTGTTTTTCTTTTTTAAAAAATTTTTTTTTATTTTCAGGGGCATTATTATTACCCTTCTTTAAAAGTATATATCAATTACCCTCTTCTTCTGCCCTTAAATTTCTTAACCTTGCATCAATTATTGCATCAACATCGTCATCGTCGTCCGAAACTCCAAAAGCTTTTGAAAGTGACCATTTGCTTATTCTACTTTTTCTTTTCTTAATCCTCACTCTTTTGCCACTTGGCAAAGTCTCATACCCATCGCTATCAACCGATCTGGAGTAATCATTTCCATACATCTTATACCCTTCGCCGCTCGATGGTAATTCATGTTCCATGGGATTGGTTCCAGCTCGTTTCCTATTAATCGAGGATTGAGTATTGGGGTCATTAGTATTGCGGTTGTCATTCATTTCATTCATTTCGATATCAAGTTCTAATCTGCTGCTGTTGTTGCTGTTGGTGTTGGTGTTGACGTTCATATTGCTATTGCTATTGCTATTATTATTATTATTATTATTATTATTATTGCTGCTGCTACTGCTGCTACTGCCGCGACATAATCCTATTTTCTTGAACAACTTTATAAAGCTGGCCTTTGTGGTAGACTGGTCACGAGGGAATGTCCAACTTTGAAACAATTCCTTGTAAGCTGTATTTTCGAAAAACCTTCTCAATTCTATATCTTGTTCGTAAACCCGGAAAATTTCATCATCATTTGGCTTGAACATAAACTTGAATATCTTGATGAAAATATCAAACAACAAGGGTATAGTTGAAAAGAGTAGCAACGCGGCCCACCAACTTTGATCACGGCCCCATTCAAACAAGCCGTATGCAACAAAAAATATGGTTGACTCTTTCAGTCGATAAAGAAACATAATCAACACATTCCAAAGACCAAACCCACCCACAGATATAATGAATGAAGCAAATGCTAACCACTGTCTGTTCTGCATTTCAAGAAGCACGCATTTTGCATTAATGATGATAACCAATGCACCAAACATTAGTGACCCCAAAGCAAATACCGTATTATCGCGCAAAGCAGTCGATCCCCAGCAATAAAATGCTAGAAAACATATTCCAATGCTTTGTAAAGTGGCCAACACCATCCATGATATAAAGACCTTGAGATTGAAAGCTTGATATAGTCTTCCCTTGGAATAAAGTTCGGGTACTGCCAACAATGTTGCCGGTTTCAAATCTTTATCAAACATACCTATACATATCACTGGAAGGGAAGTAAACAAAGTATTGAACATTGATAAAGACCAACTTTCATACATCGACGATCCAGAAAATAAAGTATTTCTTTGGAAAATGCATTGGGTCAAATAGAAAATTAGTTCCTTGTAAAAAGTACACAACACGAATTTGGATGTCCTAACATAGTTGTAACGTCCATTGACTAGTAAAAGCTTAAGCAAGAATCTGAATTGGGCAATTGCATAATCCGCAGATCTTGCTGCTTGGAGCCCTTCTTTACCAGTGACACCAACACCGATATCCGCACTTTGTATCATTGCAATATCATTGGCACCATCACCTATTGCTAACGTCACAGCTTCACTTTTCAAGTGTCGAACTGCACTAACCATACTAGCCTTTTGCGAAGGCGAGGCTCTGCAACATATTGTTGAGTCAACTTCAACGCAAAGGTTAAGAAAGTTGGAGAGTAGTTGAGGATTAGCTTCGACATCGGCCAAAGTACTTCCATCGATGACCAATACACAATGTGCCACACGGCCGCCTTGTATATCTTTCAATGTAGAATTTATTAAATCAATAATGACCAGCTGTTCATCATCGTTGGACAATATTACCACGGTTGAGTAATCTTTAATGAGTTGACAAGAATACCCGATATTGATGGCGGTTTCTCGTTTGTCCCCAGTAAGCATCCACAACTTTATACCGGCACGTCTCAACTTCACAATTGCTTCGCTTACCCCATCTTGTAATTTATCTTCGATTGCAGTTGCTCCAACCAACTCCAAGTTATTTTCAATTTTTCCACCAATAGTCTCTACTAATTTTGCTCGATCTGTTAACTCTGTTTTTGCAGCTGTATACTCATTATGCCATGCTTCGTAGTCCTTTTTATCCAACCATTTGAATGAGTAGAGTAATGTTCTCAATCCTTCTGTCGAGTATTCCTCAATGTGCTCCAACGTCTTTTCAATCAAAAACTCCTCATTGACAAGTAACTTATCATTGGGTATAAAGTGGACATTAGTAGCAGCAGTGGCGGCAGTGGCGGTAGTAGCAGTTACAGCACGCATTCGATGATGATTATTCTGATTATTCGTCGTTTCTAAATCTTCTCCTGACTCTAATTCTGACCCATTAAGCTCAAAAGTATATCGTTTTGCTTGTTGCAAATGTAATGACTTCCGAGCCCTTTCTGCAATATCTTCTATTTCCTCTTCTTGTACACCCATTAATGCATTGTCAATAGTGTTCATCCTATTTGAGACAGCACTACTAATATTGAAGCTCTGGCGCATAGACAAGCCAGATTTCCTGGATTCCAAATCTTGCGAAAACCTCGATTGCAAAATCACATCTGCTTCTTCCATCTTTCTTTCAGCAGATTGAGCAGATATTTCCTTAGCTTTGACTTTGGCCAATTTTGAATTTTTCAATTTTTCCAAAATAATGTTATCGGCTCCTTTACAAATCAAACATATTCTTCCATCTGGAAAGCGAACAATTACCGACATTCTTTTTCTAACTGACGAGAACTCAATCACATCAAGAATTTGGTACTCTTCCAAAATCGCTTCTTCATTAAATCCATTCGGATACGTCTTGATAATTAGCTTATCGGTTTGTCTATCAAACACAACATATCCTAAATCTCTCGCTGCTTGAACCAAAGCCAACTCATCGGGAGAAGCTGCCTGGTACGTAATTGAAGCATCATCTAAAACTTCCTGATTCTCGGCAACTTCTTCCAACGACGAACAAGAGTCGTTTACTCGTTGTCTTGACTCCTTCTTCTCGATCTTTCTTGGAAGGCAAGTGTTACAAATGGCCAAAGATAAAAGAAAAAACTTTGCCTTTTTGGAAAATAAAGTTTGTGGGTGTGATTGTAAGTATCTTAATAACTGTATAGAGTTGAGTGTATCCTGTACTTTGTGCGGCTGTGCCGTTGAAACCCATGTCTTTGCACTCAACCCTGATTGCCCCACGTCCATACTTTCTCGTACCAACGAAGTCGTACTTATTCGCGCACTCACGCCATTTGTCTTATCCTCTGGAGTCTTTTTTGCAAGAGACGTGTGTTGTTGTGAGAGTGAGAGTGGGATGTAATGTAGACTTGTTCGCGGTATTAATGGTTGGATATCAGTATTTCCAGGCTCAGCACGTTCATTTAACATGAGATCTAAATCATGTAGCCAACTAACTCCGCAAACACTAAACTTCCTGAATATCATCTTGTTGTCTGTTAATGTACCAGTTTTATCACTGAATATATAGGAGACTTGACCCAATTCTTCTAGAATTGTAGCTGTTTTCGCATCAGCTGGTGTGTTGGATTCCTTGTGGTACATGTCTATATCAAACTGCAAGAAACACAATTGCATAACCTTGATGATTTCCATCGTGACATATAACGATAACGGAATTAGGGTGTTGTACATGATAATAAATCCCATCAAAGTGGCTGCTACACCTGCATCCTGTCCCTGTAAATACCAAGCTTTATTCCTTGTTTCATTGAGTTTGATGCGTTGCGCCATAGTTGAAAATGCTGATAACATAATGACAACAAATACCATGAAACTAACAATGTAATTGATATTCTTTTGTAATTTGGGTGCTTTAGTACGTGGGTTTTTGATATTGTTCATTCTTATTTTAGTCTCTTCACCGGTAAATACAACGAGACCCAAAACAGACTCTGTGTTTCTCAAAATGCTGCCTCGATACACTACATTTTCAGAGCCAAGGGGATAAACGGTATCTTCAATTTGAAAAGATGCTTCGAAATTGTAAAGGTCTATGTTAGGGTCCTCTGTAGTCACTAGGGTACGTAAATTCTTCAAGCCAGGAACTGTTGAAGCTCTTTTGGAAATCTCTCTATGGGGAACTTTAGGCTTAAGATTTGTTTCTCCATCAAGTGCCATAGTTTCTACAAATGCCTCTTGTGTTTGCTTGTTGCTTGTTCCAATCAAGATCACATCAGCGGGAAACCACTCATTCTCGTTGATTTTAACAATATCACCAACTTTTACGTTTTTCCACTTTGTAGGACACTCTTTAAGATTATACAGTCTGATTGCTTCCTTATTGGTGAATGACAAGTTTTCTTGGGTTAAAGAATCCCCGATATCAGATAAGGATGAGTTTTTGGACACTGTTAGTTGTACTTGCAAATGATGACTTTTCAACAAACTTTGTCCGGGAACCACTGGGATTGTTTCTGTCATTATTGTGTTGATCGATTGGGCATCGAAATTGCTAAACTCGGTATCCTCTCGAACAACTGTAGTGAGCTTATTATTCTCCTCTTTGTCATGACCATGCCTTTTCCAATCATCAAAGCCTTCTCGAGCAATGGAGATGGATATAAATATGCAAAGTGGTATGATGGTGGTATAGTGGCCGGTAGTTGACCAGCCCGGTATCATTTGCATGATGGCCACCACCATGAAATAGCAATTGGCAATTTTGGAAAACTGCGCTCGTAGTTGTTTCGGTAGAAATGTGTATATCGTATATTTTGATGAGGTGATCAAATTACTGACATAAGGCTGGTTTGTTCGTTCATCTATAAAGCCTTTTAGTTTTGGCAAGTAGTATTCATCCTGATAGTACTCATTAACTGATTCTGGGTTGACGCTCAATGGTATGATTCTTCCACATTCTGTAGAGGGTAAACACTTGATGCCTAGTATTTTGTTTTTCAAATCAACAACTTTTCTGATAAAGGCGTTTCTAGGAACGCGATGCAATCGTTGTCTCTTGGCAAGAAACGAGTTTGTGCTAGTATTTGTCTTCATAGAGTCTGCGGTTAAATGAGTTGACGATTTTGTCAAATGTGCATCCACTGTTATATATGGGAGATCGTAGTTTATTGCCTTGGAGTTAACGGAAATTGGCTCTGGTGACTTTTCAATGTTTATAGCTGGAGGCGGCATAAAAAACCGGTTTTTTGAAATGTTTTCAAGCTCAATCTCATTTTGTGCTTCAAAAGCGACATTGTGTACTGGTGTGAGCTGGGGCTGGGGTTGGGGCTGGGGTTGGAGCTGGGGTTGGTTTGTTTCTGACTGTGGGGGGTACGGCTCTGTTTGAATATTGAAAGCTTTGTTGAACAATTGTGTTCGTAAGGATAACCCTCGCTTGCGCTTTGGATGCAAACTGCCAGCAACAAGAAGGTTGTTGTTGTCCTTGCCTTGTCTGTCTATGCTGTCCTCGCTGTGCCTGCCGTCCTTGTATTGTCTGTCTATGCTGTCCTCGCTGTGCCTGCCGTCCTTGTATTGTCTGTCTATGCTGTCCTCGCTGTGCCTGCCGTCCTTGTATTGTCTGTCTATGCTGTCTATGCTGTCTATGCTTTTTCTGCCATTTCTCAGCGGTTCCTTTGCGTCAGAGTCCAAGTTCATGTTCAAGCTTGGAAACGCCTGCTGTTGGCTTGCCTGCTGTTGATTCACCTGCTGTTGGCTCACCTGCTGTTGGCTCACCTGCTGTTGACTTATTAGCTTGTGCGAATCAATTAGTTTGTCAAGTGTCATTTTTTCCCCTACTTAGAGTTAACATACTCATGTGTGTTATGTGTGTTGCTAAGTCGACCAGGCCAAAGTAGGGGGGGGCAGTGCTAGAGCAAAACGTATAGGTAATTTTTTTTTTCAAATAGCCGTATGCTCAGTTTACAAGTTAGCGAGATCCAATTATAACAAAATGGAAATTTCACTTGACTAAGAAAAAAAGAAGTACGTGTCTCTGAAACTTTGGTGTTTTATTAGACAAGCTCTTGTCAACTGGACCTTGTCCAATTGATTCAATGCCCTATGTAATATGAAAGTTTTTTAGTCGCGCGCATAGACAAGAAACCAAGAGAAAAAAACAATCACTATCGAGCAGAGCGACACTATCGAGCAGAGCGACACTATTGAGCAGAGCGACACTATCGAGCAGAGCGAGATAGTGTTGTAACTAGCTACAATGTGTAGGTGGCAGCTAGTCAGTGTTGCTCCACCATCGAGCAACACTATCGAGCAGAGCGAGATAGTGGAGCACACTGACTAATGACAATATTGAGCGACAATATCTCGCTCTGGTCGATAGTGTTGGTGGCAGCTAGTCAGTGTTGCTCCACTATCTCGCTCTGCTCGATAGTGTCGGTGGCAGCTAGTCAGTTACTATAAAACAAAACTATAATATCGGATAAACTCCTCTACTTCCAGTATTGTTTCAATCGCTCTATAGGTTCTAGTGGAGTAGAGAACCAATCTTTGTGTCTTGAATAAATAGCTTTATGTTGTTAACTATTACCTAATCTAATTCTTATATCTATTTACCTTTTCTTCACTTGTTGCAACACTATTGAGCAGTGACACTATCTCGCTCTGCTCGATAGTGTCGCTCGATATTATCATTAGTCAGTGTGATCCACTATCGAGCAGTGACACTATCTCGCTCTGCTCGATAGTGTTCCTCAATAAATAATAACTCAGAGGAATACATCTATACAAGAGATTTGCTCAATAATAATCTATCATTATAAATAAAAAGCTTCTTTTTCAAAAACAATAATCTTAGAAAGCTACCATAATAATATGTATATAAATATTACTACCATGTGGTAAGACTTACAATTACATAAGCGGCATTGACTAGCTTGTCCAACAATATCGAGCAGTGACACTATCGAGCGACACTATCGAGCAAAGTGAGATAGTGTCGCTCAATATTGTCAATAGTCAGTGTCGCTCGATATTGTCAATAGTCAGTGTCGCTCGATATTGTCAATAGTCAGTGTCGCTCGATATTGTCAATAGTCAGTGTCGCTCGATATTGTCAATAGTCAGTGTCGCTCGATATTGTCAATAGTCAGTGTGCTCGATAGTGTCGCTCGATATTGTCATTTGTCAGTGTGCTCCACTATCTCGCTCTGCTCGATAGTGTAGCTCTGCTCGATAGTGTAGCTCTGCTGTCATTACTACTTTGGAATGTACCACACTTTTTCCCCACAGGTACTATTTGTCAACGAGTCAATCGCTCTATAAGTTCCACTTAAAACGTTTCCTTGCAAGTTATGGTAATACCATACTTCGTCAATTGCACCATTTAAGCATCCAACGTAAACCTCGCCACCATGGGCTTTGGACAAGGCATTTTGAACATCGCTCAACTTATACTGTCTTGCAACCGTGGGGAAAATCCCAACAGCGGCTAAAAACTGAAAAGTATCAAGTTGACTCCAGATTTCAACAACTTTTTTGTAAAAATTGACTGCTTGCTCATGCTCTCGATACCCAGAATCAAAACACTCAGGGTTCAAGGTGTTCATACAAGTACCATGTTTATTGTACTCGTGCTCCCATAATGCTACACTTGCTTGATCTTCAACATTGGACTTGAGTGTGTTTATCCAGTATCTCTTCATAACAGCTAATAGTTGGGGCTCATTGAACTCGGTGCCAATGAGATGTGTAAGGTTATCTCTTGCATCGTCAACTTCCCAACTCGGCTCACAGTTCAGTCTGTAAGAACCATCGCACAAATCGTTCCATAACCCATGAATTGTGAAAGTTCTTTTGATATCATTATAAAGCAAATCGATTTGACTCTGTGCTTCGGCTTGCACAATATCCTTGGTGGTACCATTCACAGCAATACTTAACAAGGTGGTGTTGTAATCCCAAAACTGTGATTGCAACAAGACACCGTAGTTTTCAAAACAACACTCATCACGAATAACAGAGGTATTATGGCATGACCATGAATCCGGTGTATCCTGGATGAACGCTGAACAATCCTTGATTGGATAGATATTTCCCTCTGATGAAGAATCAGCAGAAGTTCTATGACCATGGAAAACTTTACCAAAGTAAGGAGCAGAAGCAGAAGCTGCAAGGACAGACCGGGCAGCCAAGGTAATGGTGACAGCAACAGTTGCTAGCATCTTCTTTCTAAGGGGGGAGGTTGTTGGTTTTACATCTCTCCAGCAGAGAGGTATTACTATCTTTAAATACTTTGAAACAAAGGTTTAAAGATATAAACTTTTTTTTTTTTTTTGCAAAAGGTGCCGCCTACTCCTACGGTACCACAATCTGTTTTTACATTAGCACATCGTGAAGAATACAAGATGAATGAGTTTCGGAAAATTATTCAGGTATACTTCTAACATGATTTTGCAATAATTACTTTTTTTTTTTTTTCTTTTCCATATCGGTATTTTAGTGCAATTAATTAACTAATTAATTGGCCCACATGGTACGGTAGTGGAACACTTGGAAAGTAATAGTGTCTCTTTTCTCCTTCCTCCCCTATTTGACTTGCTTGCTTTTTCCTACCATTTTTCCGATTCCCATTTCAGTTTTGTATAAGGGCTAAATTGATTGAAAATAGTTTAAATGGGTGCAAATGTTTTTTTATTTGTTTTTTTTTTGTTTTCATTTATACAAATTCGTTCAAAATTGGGTCAAATATGGTAAGCAGGGAAATAACAGTCTAACTTGTAGTTTATAGGTCTTTAATTGTAGCTTTTAACATGCAGCACCTCGTGGGGTTGAAATATGTGGACCGTTTTTCCTCCCCCTCCACTATCGAGCAGAGCGAGATAGTGTCAACGACACTTTGTAGCTTGTTACAATACTATCGAGTAGAGCGAGACTATCTGTCAACGACACTTTGTAGCTTGTTACAACACTATCTCGCTCTGCTCGATAGTGTCGCTCGATAGTGTCTCTTCATTAAATAGAATTTTGGCTTTTTAACCGTGCCATCTCGTTTAGTTTTATCCATTGGCGAGCATTCTGCAAATTTATACCCCAATCTTGTATACCACGCAAAAGCTCGTTCATTTTCAGAAAACACCGTTAATGCAGTACCGTTTAATTTCTGATAGAGTTTATTTGATGACCGTTGTAAGGATGCTACATATTCATGGAATTGGTCCATTATACTCTGTCCCAAGCCGTGTCCTTGAAGTTTTTTACCAAGCTGTATTTCATACAAGTACAATACAAATTTTTCATCAGCATCAAAACACATCTTAAACGAAATAAACCCTTCTACTTGACCAGAATCATCTCTAGTGATACTAACTATTACCATTCCTGCTTCATTCAATTCCCTTTTCTTTGCATCTTTCCATTTCTTTCCATAGTTTTTCAAATAAATCTCGCCTAGATTATCGTCAATGATATCTACAAGTCTACATATCGCAGCATCTTTAAGTTGAGACAGCGGCAGGAAATGGAAAGCAATCCCAGGAAACTTGAATACATCCTCAATACTTGTAGAAGAGCATATGTCCTCTTCTATAGCCCTCAACAAATATAAATTGCACTCGCTAAATTCATTGAATCTGACACCATTGATTTCAAAATTAACCTTCAAGTGCAACAGACTATTCTCCATCAGTTAGCCAACCTTATCAATCAGGACTCGTTCCTCTTTAAAAGTGAAAAAAAAAAAAATAAAGAAATAAAAAGAAATAAAATACTGGGTTTTTCAAACGCGTATCATCATCGTAGATGAGGTTTTGGTATTATTCCCGTGGCACTAATATCGGCACTAACACACTGGCGACTCAAGTAGAGAATGAGTTCTGAAGTTTCTCAAGATACAAAGAGCGATGTGGCTACGACCTCTCCGGAAAGTTGTAGGTTCTCGCTGCACGCTACATTCACGTCATCACCACCTGCTTCAATAATAGAACAGGTATTTCAAACACAACAAGAAAGATCCAAAACTCGGTTACACCCACTTTCATCAAGTCCCCTTCAACTGCCCACACAATGTCGACACTATCGTCAGATTAACCATAACGATATTTCGCTGCAGGGGTCCAGAGCTGAAGGCAACAAGAGTAAATACGACATAATCCAAAAAATTAAAAATCAACATCGGCAAGAGATACTTCAACTTCGTAGACAACGTAAGGAGGATCAACAATGCGAATTCGATCGAATAAGTTCGCAGAATAGTGATCTTTTGGCTGTAATAAATGGAGATGACATTGAGAAATTGTTGGCTGAAGAGGAAGAAATTCGTCGAGAACAGAGGGAGATTGAAATTTTGGAGGATGAAGCAGAGATGCTAGAATGGGAAGAGGATATGGAGTTGATTGAATTGATACGTTGCTTGGATATGGATGAGTCTTGAGTTAGACAAAAGAGATGGCGAGAACTAGCTATAAAGGAAGAGACGGCGAGAACTAGCTATAAAGGAAGAGATGGCGAGAACCAGCTATAAAGGAAGAGATGGCGAGAACTAGCTGTAAAGGAGAAGTCGATACTTTGCACCACATACACACAAACGTGAGCATATTGTTATACAAAAAGGCCCGAATAAGGCATCTGAGTTTAGTCTTTTGAGAGTGGAGCGGGAATTAGTCTTTCAACAATAGTGTGTGTGTGGGGAGGAGGTGCAGAGAAAATTCGTGGAGTACAGGAAGTTTGTGGGGCACAAGAAGTTTGTGGGGTCTATGGACTACTCGCTCTGCTCGATAGTGGAGCAACACTTAGTAGACACTATCGAGCAGAGCGAGATAGTGCCGTTCGATAGTGTCGGTGGCAGCTAGTGTTGCTCCACTAATCTCGCTTTGCTCGATATTGGACCAAGACTTTGTAGACACTATCTCGCTCTGCTCGATAGAAGCAGAGGTTTACGTCCAATACAAGTTAGTTACTCCACGTTTAAATAGTCTTAAAAAAAGGAGAACAAACCAAAAAAAAAAAAGGAATTTGTTCACCAAAATTCAAACCTCAATAAATTCCAATCTCTTATCTTTAAACGCCGCGGCTTTTAGTGGTGGAGCAAATAATATCTTTACAATATATCAAGTAATATATAGAATATAAATAGAGTGACGTATTATGCCATAAATGCCCTTTCTTTTTCTCCCTTTCTCTTTCTCTCTCTTTCTCTTTTGTTTCTTATTTATGTAATAAGTATTTAGATCAATATGCTTTCAGACAATTGGGAGGTTCTTGCTACTAAAGCGCAACTGATTTATCAAAATTCGTTGGAAAAATCATTAAAATTGGTGAATTTTGATAAAGCTCTTGGACAAAAATACAACGAGCTTCCTAGTGCTAAAGGTGAGACGACAAAAGATTATGGGTCACCAACAAAACACCCATTTCAATTGTACTTAAAAACAGTACCACAATCGGTATTGGACATTACAGAAAAAGAACCAGTTGACTTATTAACCGATTTGAAGAATGGAAAATTTACATGTGTTGAAGTATTGAAAAGTTATATGACTGCAGCTATTATTGCTTCTAAATTGACAAACTGCGTTCAGGAATATTTACCTGATGAAGCATTAGAATATGCCGAATATTTAGATAGGAACCATGAGACTATGAAAGATTTACCATTATACGGGTTACCCTTTTCTATTAAAGAGATGATCCCATTTATTGGACGTGCAGTGACTCATGGATCATTATGTTATCTTGACAGAATTGTTGATTACAATGCTGATATAGTCAACATTTTGAAAAAAAACGGTGCTTATCCATTTGTTCGTACCACCAATCCGCAATCGTTAATGATGCTTGAGTGTGTTTCTTATGCCCATGGACGTACTGTTAACAGTTTCAATAGCGAATTGACTAGTGGCGGTTCATCTGGAGGCGAAGGGGTGTTGAATGGCTTATATGCTAGTCCATTTGGTTTGGGAAGCGATATTGGTGGCAGCATTAGAAGTCCTGCGGCGTTTAATGGCATTTATGGATTGAGAAGTACATTAGGCAGACTACCAACGGCCGACTATTTTTCATGTAATAGAGGCTCAGAATCGATTTTATCAGTAACTGGCCCATTATCGAGATCTTTGGAAACGATTGACTTAGTGATGAAAACGATAATTGATTCTAAGCCATGGTTAATTGATCCTACATTAGCACCTATTGAATGGAAACACACCAAACAAGATAAATTTAGGATTGGGATAATGGTATCTGACAATATTGTGAATCCGTCACCACCAGTTAAGCGTGCTTTGAATATCGTTCAAGAGAAATTATCCGAATTGGGCAACTTTGAGCTTGTTCCATTTGAACCTTTTCAACATGAAAGAACAATGCCCATTTTGGGAAAGCTTTATTTTGAAGATGGCGGACGTGATTTCAAGGCAACTTTGAGCTCAACTGGGGAACCGCTACTTGTGCAAACAAGTTGGGCAATTGACGGGGCAAAGGACTTGGAAATGCATGAGCAATGGTACTACAATTTAGAGAAACAAAAGTATAGAAAAGAATATTTGCAATATTGGGTTGATAAATATACTGATAAGGATGGGCATATTTTGGATGCTGTAATTGCACCCGTGTTCCCTAACGTTGCGCCAAAACATGAGACTTCTAAATACTGGGGATATACTTGTCAATGGAATCTCTTGGATTACCCAGTATTGGTATTTCCAGTGACCACTGTTGATGAGAATTTAGATCATCCATTGGCAGAGTACAAACCATTGAATGAAATTGATGAGTACTTTTACAAACAATATGACGATGCAAAATCATTCGCCAAAGCTCCTGTAAATCTAAGCTTGATCGGATTGAGAAATACCGATGAGAAACTAATTGAGATTGGAAAGATTTTGAGACAAGAGATTGGTGATACTCATTTTTGTTTCAAAAAAGTTAAATGAGAATTGAGTGAGATTAGCTTGTATAGCTTTGTATAGCTTCGTATAACTTCGTATAGATTTTATATATATATATATGTATGTATGTGTATATATGTGTATGTATGTATGTATGTATGTTTTTCTTAAATTTTTCTTTTTTTCCCGTCTGCGCGCTACCATGTACCGACTCGCACACAATTGGAAGCTAGTCGAGTTGGTTTACACGTGATAAATTGGGTTAGTTTTGAGTTACTTCCAGTGTTCGAATCGTGATATGAGTACAGTTTGCATATTATTATTTTTTTAACCACAAGTAAAGGAGATATCTATCTATCTATCTATCTATCTATCTATCTATCTCATCTCATTTGTAATTTAACAAGAGATATGTATTGACTAGTTTGATAACAATTTGGTGTAGTTTTGTAGAGATTCTAAAAATTGTGATTGTGAAAATAATGCTATATATATACTCAAAATCGAGCAAAGTGACTAAACCACATCTCTTCTCTAGAGTCTTTGTTCAAATGGAGTGATTTTCCCTTGCCGTGATTTCTCTTTTCAACCATGAATGATTGATTTTGAATACGAGCCCTGATTCCATAAATAAAACGCGTCTCTATGAGGCGGGAAAAAAATGAATAAAATTGAGTTTGTAGAGACGAAAGGAATAATAGTGACTTTAGACCACTCTCCCTTCCGCCCTCTCGATTCCAAATGGCCAAGAGGAAAATCACTTTGGCAGAGATAGAAGCATCTCGTGTAGAGAGCAACTTATTGGTCTCGGAGTCCAAAAGAAGGAAGAAACGGGCAATAGTAGATGACTATGAAGATGAAGAAGAAGAAGTAGAAAAAGAAACTGATGGAAGAGGAGGAGGTAGAGGTAGAGAAGAGGAAGAAGAAGATAACGAGAATGGAGAAGACGGAGAATATCAAGATAGTCGAGATAGAGGTTCGATACTGAATGAAGATCAAGATCTACAACATGATGTAAACCAAGTTGTTAAACTAATTCTTCAACGAGAACTAAAAGGTCAATTTTTCAAACGAGAGTTGATTGCTCAAAACTTAACCAACAAACGATTTAAAAGCGATGTGCTACTTAGAGAGGCAACCAAAATTCTTGAGAATGTTTATGGAATGACCTTGGTTGAAGGTGCCGCTAGGAAAAATAAACAAGAAGATTTTGTGGGGATAGGGGGAGGAGGTATAAGCAGTGGGAGTAAACTACGTAAATCCCATGGAGCCAGGCGACCATTGGTTTTGGTTTGTAATTTACTGAAGGAAGCGAAAGATGTTCTTGGTGAATTGTGGTCAATAGAAGTATCTACCTCATTAGATAAGACAAAGTTGGGAGATTGTAAATTTTTCCTACCTAAATATAGCAAAGTTAAAGGATTGCCTAGGTCCAACTATGATTTAATCAAGACCGGATTAACTATGGTTATTATCACCTTTGTAGTACTTAACGAGAACCATATATCGGAACAACAATTAATCACAAGTATGAAGAAATTTGGAATTTCCGATAAGGAGCATGTGAGAAATTCCAATTATGATATGAATATTCAAGAGCTAATAAAAGAGTTGGATGCGAAAGAATACATTGTGAAGAAGGAACTTGGTATAACTCAAAATGATAGGTCATCTGCATCGGGAGGAGCAACAGCGTCATTTGTTAGCAGTAGTAGTCAAACTAGTAATAGTGAGAAAATGTTTAGCTATGCTTTAGGCCGAAGATCACTTGTTGAATTTACACCACAAAGTGTATTTGATTATATCAAGATTGTGTATGGCGACGCGTTTACGGATGCTATTGCTGAACTGACGATTGTTACTATTGAACGTGCATATGGGGTTGCATTAGCACAGGATGAGAATAATGGTTCCAGTCAAGTAGATAGTCCTAGTGGTCGTAATGGCGGCGAACGAGAACAATCGATGAATAATCAATGAACAACACTATCGAGCGGAGCGAGATTGTGGAGCAACACTTAATACTTTGATACCTTTTCATAATGTTGATTAATGTTTCCAACTGCTGTTTGAATTTACCCTTTTCTTCTCTACTCGCTACTCAGTACTCACTACTATTTACTCACTACTCAGTACTTACTACTATCTACTCACTACTCAGTACTTACTACTATCTACTCACTACTCACTACTCACTACTCACTACTCACTACTTACTACTCACTTCTTACTACTCACTACTCTCTACTCTCTGCTCTCTGCTGAATTGAAGCCTATATCTACTATATCTATTGATTCTTCACCCAAGGTTATTCTTATTTCCAAGAGTGCGGTTTTAAAATGCCTTCTCCCAAATTGTATATCAATTCTTGTGCTTCTTTTTATTTCCAAGAGAGCGGTTTTACAAAATGCTTTTTACTAAATTGAACATTAATTCTTCTACTTTTGCTTCTGCTTTTTTCAAAAAGTGCAAACTTACTGCGAAAGAAACAATTGAAGCCAATATCTATTGATTTTTCACTCGACACTATCGAGCAGAGCGAGTAAATGGAGCACACTAGCCGCTCTGGTCGATAGTGTCAGTAGACAGTGCTGCTCCACTGTCTCGCTCTGTTCAATAGTATCATTAGTTAGTGTTGCTCCACTATCTCGCTTCGCTCGATAGTGTCGCTCGATAGTGTCGCTCGATAGTGTCGCTCGATAGTGCAGGTCAATAGTGTCAGTGTTATACGACGCTACCGCCTTATGGTTGTCTATTTTCCGAATTGACAACCATAAACATTCTACACATGCTTTAGCCTTATTACTAAACATGTCGTAGATTATTTTTTCCAATTACAAATTTAGGGGTTGTCAAAAGCCAGGTTCGGGAATTGAATGTCGTAACAAAAAGAGTTGCTATAAATCCCACAAGCTAGTCAGAAAGTGATGACAACAAAGAAGATCGCTTTGCTCGCTAGTGTCGCAATACAATGTCTATTAGACATTCTCTCGTAACTTTATGTCGTATAGAAAAATCTTTACATCCCACAAGTGATGTCGTGTCCCCACTCTTTAACTAAAATCAAATGCATGCTCATAATATCACAAGCCAAAATATACCATAGAAGAAAAAAGAAAAATCGCCTGTAGTAGAAGCTTCATACTTAACTGTATGCATTGTTAGCTGTTGCCAACAATTGACACTAGCTATTAACTTGAATCCCCCTCCCTTACCCCTATAGTTAAGCTCCAACCCCCTCGTAGTTAACATTTAATTGGCCAACAATTTCCCTTTCACTGTATAAATTTCTACTGATTGATTCTCTCTTTTTTTTATTCTTTAGTTTTCCCCCTTCTTTTTTTAGAGGCCAAATTTTTTACAACCCTTTTCTTTCTTTCTTTCTTTCTCTCTTCTTCTTCTTCTTCTTCTTCTTCTTGGTTCTTGAGTTCTTGAGTTTTGGTGAAAGCTGAGCCTTTATTTGGGAATATAGAGTGGATTGAAGGTTGACACAATGGCTTTGGATTCTTTGGACTTGTATGTCGTCATTATATTGGCAGCAGCTGTCGCTGTTTATTACAGCAAGACACAATTGTTTGCCAAAAAGGAAACCAGTGGCTTCTTAAATGCCGAAGGTTCAGGTCTAGCTGGCGGGTTGGCCAAGTCAAGAAATATTTTTGAAGTTATGGAGAAAAATGACAAAAACTCATTGCTCTTGTTTGGCTCTCAAACTGGTACTGCTGAGGATTATTGTCACAAAATGTCTAGAGAATTGAGTTCTAGATTTGGCTTGAAAACAATGGTTGCAGATTTCGCAGACTATGACTGGGATAAATTTGATGAAATCAAGGATAATATCTTGGTATTTTTTTTAATGGCTACCTATGGTGAAGGTGAACCCACAGATAACGCTATCGAGTTTATTGAGTACTTGGAGAACGAGGCAGACACATTGAGCAATTTGAGATTTACAGTTTTCGGTTTGGGTAATTCCACTTATGAATTTTATAACGCAATAGGTAGAAAACTCAACCAATCATTGGAAGAAAAAGGTGCAGAGAGATTTGCTCCATATGGTGAAGGTGACGATGGTAAAGGAACTTTGGATGAGGATTTCTTGACTTGGAAAGACGAAGTATTTGACTCATTAAGAAACAATTTGGATATGGAGGAAAAAGAATTGAAATATGAACCAAGTGTCAAGTTGACTGAAAGAGATGATTTATCAATTGATAACGATAATGATCAAGTGTCACTTGGTGAACCGACTAAAAAATATATCACTGCTACCGATGTCACTGAGTTGTTAAAGGGTCCATTCGATCATACTCATCCATATTTGGCTCCCATTTGCCATATTAAGGAATTGTTCAATTCTAAAGAAAGATCCTGTGTTCATGTCGAATTCGATTTAAGTGATTCTAATTTGAAATATTCAACAGGAGATCATTTAGCAATATGGCCCCAGAATTGTAATGAAAACATTTCCAGTTTTGTGAAAGCTTTTGGTTTGGAAGCAAAACGCGATACAGTTTATGATTTAAAAACATTGGATACTACATACCATATTCCATTCCCAACACCAATTACTTATGAAGCTACAATTAGGCACCATTTAGAAATTTCCGGACCAATATCAAGACAATTTTTCCTTTCAGTTGCAGGCTTTGCTCCAGATGAAGCAACAAAAGAAAGAGTAACTTCATTAGCTACCGACAAGGTAAAATTTGCTGAAGTTGTTACTCATAAAAAGTATAATATTGCCGATGCTTTATTGCATGTTTCAAATGGGAAGCCATGGACTCAAGTACCTTTTGAATTTTTAATTGAAAATATCCAACATTTGACTCCACGTTATTACTCAATTTCATCTTCTAGTTTATGTGAAAAGAACCGGATCCATATTACCGCGGTTGTTGAATCTGAATTAGAATCAGATTCAAGATTAATAACTGGTGTAGTTACTAATCATCTTAAGAATATTGAATTGGTTAAAAATAAGTCAACTACTGATATCCCCATTGTTCACTATGACTTGGAAGGTCCAAGACACAAGTTTCATAATTTTAAATTACCGGTTCATGTAAGAAGATCAACTTTTAAATTACCTTCGAGTACAAAAACGCCAATAATTTTAGTTGGTCCAGGAACTGGGGTTGCTCCATTGCGTGGATTTGTTAGGGAACGTGTTCAGCAAGTAAAGAATGGAATGAATGTAGGACCAAGTGTTCTTTTCTATGGATGTAGAAACGAAAATGAAGATTACCTATATAAAGAGGAGTGGAAAGAATACGCAAAGATTTTGGGCTCAAATTTTGAACTTAATTGTGCTTTTTCAAGAGCTATACCGGGGAAAAAAGTTTATGTGCAAGAGAAGATTTTGGAACAAGCTAAAAGAATTAATCATTTATTACAAGAAGAAGGAGCTATCATTTATGTTTGTGGAGATGCTAGCCATATGGCTAGAGATGTACAAGCTAGCTTTGTTAAAGTAATTAGTGAAGAAAGAGGTATTGAATTGGAAAAGGCTGCTGAATTAGTTCGAAGTTTGAAAGTGCAAAATAGATACCAAGAAGATGTCTGGTAAAAAATGTAAAGTAGAAACCAAGACATTTTTTCTTTTTTCTGTATAAAATTTTAAGAGAATCATGAAGGACCAAAAAATAAAAATAAAAAAATAAAAAAAAAAAAGAAACAGTATATAGAGATTTTTGACGTGGATGACATTTTCTAATAATGCAAAATTCTAATAAATATTGAATAAATATAAGCCAAAAGGTAAAAAAAACCAAAAAAACAAACAAACATATATATGTTTCATGCCTTTATATCCATTAAGAAGAAGGAAATTGTGGGGTCTGGATTTGGTGGTGGCAGCTTGTATGCTCGATAGTGTTGATCATGGCTCGACACGGACACAATGTGGCCACAGCGGATTATTCAGGTTATATATTGCCTTCAATTCCTCTTCAACCTTGAGCCAATGCTTATACTTCATCTTACTCTTTAAATCCAAATCATAGATGTTACAAGTGATCAAATATTTTTTGTCCTTCAATGTATACAAATTATTGATGTTGTTATGCGAATTATGAGTATTATTCAAAGGATTGAATTTTTCAAATTTGATGAATAGGCCAACATCACGTAAGGTCATCACTAACGATAAATGCTGAGACACGTCATCTGCGCAACGGATACTTCCAATTTGGTCTTGCTTATTGCAGATTTTTTGACATTCTTTTAATTTAATAAAGATGTTATTTGGTGTAGCCAAGTAATTGTGAAATAACTGCCTTATTGGAAATTGATTCTTTTCTTCAATTAAAGTGAGAATCAGTTGAGGTATCAATGCAAATATATCTGAAATGCCTTGATCTATTGTTTGTGGATATAGTAAATCTAAGGGACAAAAATGTCGAGACACATTGCGCAATTGATTGTGAGAACACGTACGGCAATAGTTGGAGGACGTGTTATCGTACAACCATTTTGGTTTTATTTCAAATATAATTGAGTTAATTTTGGTATTTAGGGAAACTTGTTGTAGTGATTGACAACCATTATAAAGATCGATTTCAGCAGTAATATTATTATTATTATTTTTATTGTTGTTGTTGCTATTGTTATTACTGCAATTACCATTATTATTGATGTACAATTGACAATTCTTCAGTAGTGAAAATCTAACATATTCACCATCTAGAATATTAGGCAATAGCAAGCCATATCGCTCATTCAACTGTAGTTGGAACCCACAGCTATCTAAATTTGCAACAAACTCATTAGTCAACACGACCAATTGAATATTAATAACCACTTGTCCATGAGTCGAATCGAATAAATGCTTGCATTTCAATTCAATAAAATCATATAATTCGCATGTACTTATATATTCCTCATCCTTTTTAACTAGCCTTAATCTTAATAGTTTATGAGTCAAGTAGTCGTTATTACCACAATACTTGAATAAAATGTTAGCTGATCCCTTGGCGAAATACCTCCATTCATTTGGAGTAGTAGTTTTATATATCTCCATCTTCACTTCAGCTTAATAATTATGCAATGCAATAACTTTGAGCAAATCGATGTTCAAAATTTTTATTTTTATTTTTAATATGGTGTAACAACCAATCCCGTATCACACTCTTTGGTAATGATGGTGCTGTTGCTACTATCCAAAGCCGGTCTGCGTTGTTACCAATGATGATACCTCTCTTTTTAAATGGTTAATGGATCAAAAAGAATGGAAAGAAAAAAAAAGATTAAAAAAAATAGAAAAAACTGGAAAAAGTAAAGGAACAAAAAAAAGTAAAATATCTTTTTGGTTGGTCTAGACTCGTAAATGGAAGTAAGGGGAGTTTATAGGAAGGTTGGTACAAGTATGCTAGAATTAAGGTAAGAGTAATGAGAGAAAGATGTGAGAAACCCCGTGTGAGGTTAAGGGGGCCAAAAAAAAAATATATATATATATATATAAAATAAATAAAAATATATACTTTACTTAAAAATACGCCTTATCAACAAAACAGTAAAATTCTTTTGTATTGGGGTTTAATTAAGATGGTTGGCAAATGAATACACCATTTTTTATTTTTCATGATTTTAACTCAACTTTTGTGTGCCTTGATATATTTATATAGATATTTATTTTTTAGTTTCTCATATCACGTGACTCGGAGATAACTTTTTTTTTTTTATTTGGCTTGCTCGTTTGGTTTGGCTTTATTTTTTTGGTACCTTATTTTCGATACACAATATCTTTATTAGCGACACTATCAAGCAGAGCGAGATAGTGGAGCAGCAGGCACTGATTAGCTGCTACCAATCAGGAAATTGATTGCGTTTGACAGGTGAGAACCTAAGGACCCAGAAACAAGGAACCTAAGGACCTTGGGTTCCCAGAACCCGATTTTCGTCTCCCCATATTTTGTTATTTAGTCCCACAACATTCTGTTTCATCTTATTGTTTTCCGTTTTCTTCATCGAAATCATCTTCATTATCAACAGAGTTTCTGATTACTAGTAATCCACTTGAGTTCTAAAAATAGATTAATATTGTAGAGACACGACTCTGTTTATTATGAGTTTAGCGGGAAAGTGGAAATAAGAAAACAATGCGCGTGTCACGTGAGTACTACACTATCGAGCACCACTATCGAGCACCACTATCGAGCACCACTATCGAGCAGAGCGAGATAGTGGAGCACAACACTTTAATAGCACTATCGACTGACACTATCGACTGACACTATCGAGCAGAGCGAGATAGTGGGGCACAACACTTTAATAGCACTATCGACTGACACTATCGACTGACACTATCTCGCTCTGCTCGATAGTGGAGCACAACACTTTAATAACACTATCGACTGACACTATCTCGCTCTGCTCGATAGTGGAGCACAACACTTTAATAACACTATCGACTGACACTATCTCGCTCTGCTCGATAGTGGAGCACAACACTTTAATAACTCTACCGACTGACACTATCTCGCTCTGCTCGATAGTGGAGCACAACACTTTAATAACTCTACCGACTGACACTATCTCGCTCTGCTCGATAGTGGAGCACAACACTTTAATAACTCTACCGACTGACACTATCTCGCTCTGCTCGATAGTGGCTCGATAGTGTCTGATAGTGGCATTTTTTCACGACACTGAAAAATATTGCGACAATTCCAAAAAAGGTAAAAAAGGTGATGAGTTGAGTAGGTTACTACTACTGGAGAGTAATAGTGACAATGTCTCAATCTGAAACACCACCCCCGTCGCTGCTGCAGGCTCCACCACTGGATATCAAACTTCCCGGTCCCGAAACAAAAGAAACCATCGATAAATCTATTACATATATTGTGAAAAACGGCAAATCGTTTGAAGAACGACTATTGAAAAATAATCGAAAGAAACAATTTGATTTCCTAAAGCCAGAAAATGAATATCATCCTTATTATCTATGGAAGTTGAAAGCATTGGAAGCAGTTGAAAAAGCAGAAGGCAATTTGGGAAAACCAGTTGAGGAGGAAACTGCCGATTTGAAAGATATTCATATTGCCAAACCCAGAGATCTCCCTTTTTTCATTGAGAATTTCCCAGTCATCACTCAATATGATCTAGATGTCATCAAGACTAGTGCCTTGTACATTTCAATTAATGGTCAAGACCAAATACCAAAATTGCTAGATCATGAGAAAAAATTAGGTAATGAAGCACAATTTGAGTTTTTGAAACCTCACCATTCTTTGCATGGTTTATTTCAAATCTATGTTGAGCAATACCGCCTCATAAACAATATGTCTACTAACCCCGAACACCCCTTGAGAAAGGAATTGGAACAGGAAGTGGATGACGTGAAGAATGATCGAGGGAATGGGCAATTTAACATTTTAACAAGATGTTTTCAACGTGCACAGTATATAAAACAAAATAAGATAAAGCAAAAGTTGAAAACGGATGAGGTTAAACAGAAACAACTACGCTTTGCTCAAATTGATTGGCAGGATTTTGTTCTTGTTGATATGATTGAATTTGATGCAATCGATGAAGTTAAAGAATTGAACCTACCTTTGAAAAGAGATGATTTAATAAAACGATCACTAGTTAACAAAAAGCAAGAGATACCTTTACAAAAAGCAAAACCAGTTAAAAATGAAAACCTAAAAGAAAAGTCAAAAGAGATTGAAGAAACTAAATCCGAGAGTAGTGGTATGACTTCTTCAACTGAGACAACTCCAGTACCAGTACCACCGCCATTGAAAGGAATGAAAATAAAAGCGGCAGGAACCTCAAGATTGAAAAAGACAACTAACCCTTCAACCACAACCTCCATCATTTCACCCACCTCTTCCACAATCACAGCAGCCGCATCGGAGAAAACAATCATATGTCCAATTACAAATAAAGCCATTCCTGAATCTCAATTCGACACTCATTTAAAAAATTTACTTCGAGACCCAACTTATAAACAACAACAAGAAAATTATCTCAAAAAAAATTTCTCATATGATTCAAATGTTACTACTGATCAAGTTTTTGAGAATATAAAACGATTGATGAAAAAGAGAAAGATCAAAGTGGGAGAAACAACTGAAAAGAAGGAAGAGGATGAGAACAACAAAAAACCCACACTTTAAAATGAAACTAGAAGCTGATTTAGTTTGATTGTTTTCATACATTTTTTTTTTATTTTTTTTTTTGACTGGTGAAAATGCCTAGTTACTCTCTCCCACCGCTCCTCACCACTTCATCAAATGAAACAAGTGTATGTATTATACATGTAAGATATAAATATACGCATCAACCAATATCTTTTATACCTTCCTTTTCAGCAACCATCATATTAATCACTTTCAACTCCCAGAAAACTTCCAAAATTTCAGTGTTTAAACCACATCTAATTCTTAACAGATTCAGCTCTCTTCTTCTTGATTTGGACCTTCTCCTCTCTTCTTTCATGCAATCTTTTTGCCAACAATTGAGCATATTCAGCAGCAGCATCTCTTTGATGTTGAGCATTCTTAACCTTTTGTGCTTTCAAAGCTCTCTTTCTTTGTAAGGTTTGAGGAGTAACTAATCTTTGAATCTTTGGTGCTTTAGTATAAGTTTTGTCACCTTTGGTAATTTCTCTTCTAACAACGTAATCTCTAACATCGTCTTCTTTAGTTAATCCAAAGAATTTTCTAATGTGGTTAGCTCTCTTTGGTCCCAATCTCTTTGGAACAGTTGTATCAGTTAATCCTTCAATATCAGAGTCTCCTTGTTTAACAATGGCTAATGATAATACAGACAAGTCTTGGGCAACAATGCATCCTCTGACTGACTTTCTTTTACGTTCACCGGTTCTTCTTGGTCTATAACATGAATGACCCTTGGACAACAATAATCTAACTCTAGTTGGGTGCATTACACCTTGCTTCATTGGGAAACCTTGTTTATCGTTACCTCCAGTGATTTTGAAAATGTATCCTTTGAACTCATCACCAACAGAGTCACCTTCGACTTCTTGGCCCATTCTTTTTTCGTAAAAGACTCTTAATTTGTGTTCATCATCGATATCGATTGATTTTTGAGTACCATTTGCTGGATATGAAATGTTCAACTATTTCAGGAGAAAGTTAGTATTTAACAATTAAAGATAATTGAGCTTAACTATGGCTCTGCGCCTCCTAAAGAGCTACACATTCTCAAACAAAAGAGAATAACCTTGGTATCTCCCATACAGGATCTCTCTCTCTCTCTCTCTCTCTCTCTCTCTCTCTCTCTCTCTCCGCAGGTTCCAACAAATCCTATATAGCTAGAAGGCGCTAGCCCAAACAAACAAACATACCTTCATGATGGTATAACTGGTCTTATATACTTAAACTAAAAAGGTTTCTTATGCCGATTGAAAGTTTTTCAAATTATTCAACCTCACTAGCTTTTTTTTTTCACTCTACTGTATGCACTAACAAAAAAAATCTCTCTCTAAGCTAAAAATTTTCCTTCATACAATAAGCTTACGCTACCATGTTATGCTACTAGTAAACCAGCGGCTATTGAAAAATTTCCACTTATGCGAATACTGACTTACGAGGTAGTGTGTAAGAGCATAAAAAGGTTATAGAAAAAAAGACACAGTAAGTTGTGTTTAACACGTGCATATGTTTATAACGAGGTCTTAACCCTGTTACATTATCAGGTTTTTGTTTTGTTTTGTTTTGTTTTGTTTTTGTTTTTGTTTTTCCCCTCACTATAGAGATTGATTACAAGGGAACATAATAAGTAACTATGTAAGAATAGGTTATCCTTAGATTACATTAAATGGAGAAAAATAACTTGTGGTACATCCTACAAACTGGTGCAATCGACACTATCGACAAGACACTATCGAGCAAAGCGAGATAGTGGAGCACACTGACTAATGACACTATCGACACTATCTCGCTCTGCTCGATAGTGTTGTAACAAGCTACTGAGTGTTTGCTCCACTATCCAGCAGGCTTATCTCTCTCTCACTCTTTTTTTTTTTTTACTTGCTCTCATCCAATAGTGCTACCTTTAATATCAGATTGAACAGCCACTCGAGTTGCATTGGTCCTCATCCCCTCCTCATCATCATCATCATCATCGACTTCTTCTTCTTCTTCTTCTTCCTCCTCCTCTTGATCTTGTTGTCCACCCTTGTCTTTTCCATCATCTTCTTCTTCCGATATTTTCTCAACCTGCGATGGTTGGCTACTCAACTGTGAATATATCATAGGAGATATATGTGTTTTATAAATAGGTGTACCTGACACAGAATTACCAAATTGCAGTGTCGTGTTTTGTGCGGAAATGTGAGTCTGATGCTGCAGTAATGGAGTAGATTGCTGATTCTGCTGCTGCTGTTGTGATGATGGTGCATGATTGGTTCCTCCTCCTCCTCCTCCTCCTCCTGCACTTTGAGGGATCATGTTATTCATATTCACAAAAAATTGAGGTACATTAGATGTAGTTGGCGTTGCACCCGTAGTCCAATCTTGAGGACCCAAGAAATTCGAAGGTGAAGGAAATGGAAACATATCATTCACGTATCTTGAAGGTAGTCCCGAGATTGGCGTTTGTTCACCTGTATTACTGCTGGTAAATTGTTGGCTTGAAAACGTGCCTGGTATACGGAATCTAACGGCCGATTCCGGCTGGCCGGGCGTATTCATACCGATACCAATTCCATTATTGGAGACTGTGGCACTTTGAGAATAAGTTTGTTGACGCGGCTGTTGTTGCTGTTGCTGTTGCTGCTGTGGTTGTTGCTGCTGTGGTTGCTGCTGGATTTGAGAAGTTCCGGTTTGTGTATTGGGAAATTGATGAAATTGCGAATTGTATGCTTGTGTAGGATATGTCATAAACGCATTGTTTGGGGAGCTTTGATGCATCGAGTAAAAAATATTTGCATTAGTATTGGGTAAATTGGGCTGATTATAACCCATAGCAGCAGCAGCAGCAGCAGCAGCAGCAGCAGCAGGACCACTACCACCACTATTATTACCGTTATTGGCACCTGTTCCTAATACATTGACATTATTGCTGTTATTAATAATGGATGATGCTTGGAGGTTGCCGATATTGCTGTTACCGCTACTTGAATGGCTTAGAGCAGTAGGCATCCCCAGAGCATTTTCACTTGTTGGTGAAGATGTTTGCGACTTGGTTTTGATAGGCAACGGTAATGTCGGCTTTTTTGTGTCAGGAGATCTAAATGATGAATATCCGCTGAATTTGGTTTGTGGCATTGTAGGTAATAAATGCGTTGAGGCGTATTGGTTGCCATTATTGGTGATATCTTCCTCATGGTGTCCGATTATATGTCGGCTGCTGTTGTTGATGCCTCCGCGACTTGAGCTTGTAATCGATGAAGATGAATGTTGTATTGATGAAGTACTATTGTCAATGGCTGTAATAGTTCTCGCCGTATCCTGACTAGCACTCTTATTTTGAATGTCAAAATGTGTGTTGACGGTGGTGGCGGTGACGTTGTTATTATTATTGTTGTTGTTATTGACGTTGGCGTTGGTGTTAGCATTGGCATTGACGTTGTTGTCAGTGGTATTATTATTATTATTATTGTTATTGTTGTTGTTATTGTTATTGTTATTATTGCTATTATTATTGTTACTAGTGTTGCCACTTTTTGCATCAGTCGGTATTTGAACTCGTAGTATAGGTCTAAAAGTTCCTTCCTTCCTGTTCAGTGGTGAAGGCGAGTCTTGCGATCTCATCTCTTCCAATTTAGGTTTCTTGTACTTGTTGAATGTAGGAACATTAATAAGTGATATATGTGGTGGAGGTGGTGATGGTGCAGGTTTCTTGCTATTGAAAATCCTGGGATTTAAATTTCGACCTTCGCTTTGGATTCGTCGATGCTGTATTTTCCGTTTACCCACTCTTGTAATTGATCCTGGATCTGAGAAATTGTCAGTTTCTTCCTTATCTTCCCCTTCCCCCACCACCTCCTCGTCGTCGTCGTCGTCATCATCATCATCATCATCCTCTTCTTCTTCTTCTTCTTCTCCGCCTCTCTTTACATGCTTTTTTTTCTCTACTCTCTTACCTTTACCATTATTTGTTTTCTCATCTCTAAATTCATCATTCAAATACGTCTTTGTTCCAACGATTTGACCTTTTTTATTAGTAAGTGGATCATGCAATTTTGTCTTTTTCCTATAATTCAGGTAATTTTCCGGCGATTTGGATTCGTTTACCTGTTTCCTATTTTTGATAACTTGATTATAACTATTGAAAATCTCCCTTGAGTCCACAGTGGAAAATTCATATATCTTATTGTTATTACCAACTATAATCACCGAAAGATCTACTTGACATAGCACTGCTAGCTCGTATGCCTTCTTGAAAAGCCCGGCTTTACGTTTGACAAATGTTACTGTCCTATTCCTCTCATCTGTTAAAGGTTCAATTTCAATTTTTCTCCTCCCCATCTCTTATTGATCCTATTAGTTTCTAGAAATATGGAGTCACCAACTACTACTCTCACTAGTAGTATTCCTACTCCAAATGCAAAAGCAAAAGCAAAAGCAAAAGCAAAAAAAAAAAGAAAGGGCGGGGTTTCAAACAAGTGAAGCAGCTGCAATCTTTGATACTGAGTATATATTGTAGTTGGTGGATGTATCTTTCTTTATTCGTTTCAAATCACGCTTTTAGATTTAATAACAGTGAAAAAAAAAAAACTTTATTAAGAGAAAGAAAAGGCCATGTGTGTATGAAACAAAAAGGGCTCTTTTGACCAGAGAGGTGGAAAAGACAATACTATCTCATCTGTGAGAAGAGGAGCTCTTTACTTGGGAGGTTAATCTACAGTGAAATTATTTTACTTGGTGAATCGATGATTTGACTGACACTATCGAGCAGAGCGAGATAGTGGAGCAACACTTTGTAGCTTACTAGTGACACTATCGACACTATCAAACAGATAGTGTTGGTCAATGTGCTCCACTATCTGTTTAATAGTGTCGACCAATGTGCTCCACTATCTGTTTAATAGTGTCGACCAATGTGCTCCACTATCTGTTTAATAGTGTCGACCAATGTGCTCCACTATCTCGCTCTGCTCGATAGTGGAGCTCGAGCTGTACCTTTGTTTTCGCGGGGAAGGATTGAGATGTTGTCTCAAAAGCAACAGGTAGGTGATTGATCCCCTGGTTGGAGATTGTCTACATTCTCACCCATCTACAAGTTACAAACTATAGTCATCTCACATCATTTCGCCTAATTCTAGCTCTCGATATACCGCTTGACTTTTAGATCAACGTCAAATTGATAGACCAAGAAAAACGAAAATGATCTTTAAGATGTTTTTTAGCGAGAAATCTATTTTTAGAATACAATTGCGACGCTATCGACACTGTCGAGCAGAGCGAGAAAGTAGAGCATCTCTGACTGACACTATCGACACTGTAGACTTGTATTGGGATGGTAGAGATGAATTTTTTTTAGACCGAATCCTTTGAACTGATTGTAAAGACTTGCAAGTGTAAAGTTGTATAGAATTAAATTTGTTAAAGCCATTCTCAAGAAAAGTCATGACTCTAAAGCTCAAAAAAATATCTCTTTTTACCGGATTCATCTACATGTAAAAGGTCCATCTTCATTGCTTTGAGATGCACCAATTTGAGACTCAACTTGAAAAGTTTCATCTCCAACTTTTGACTTTAAATGAAAAATCAACCAATTTTCAAGTAGAGAAAAAAAATAAAGAGAGAATAAAACTGCCAATGTAAAGATGACGAGCGCGGGAGTCTAGTCGATAAAAGAGAGACTAGAGATTAGAGACTAGAGATTAGAGACTAGAGACACTATCGAGCAGAGAAAGACAGTGACGATAGTGGAGCAGCACTTAGTAGACACTATGGAGCAGAGCGAGATAGTGACGATAGTGTCAGTAGCAGCTAGTGTGCTCCAATATCGAATAAAGCGAGATAGTGGAACAACACTTGATAGACACTATCTCGCTCTGCTCGATAGTGATGATAGTGTTGGTGGCAGCTAGTGTGCTCCAATATCGATTAAAGCGAGATAGTGTTGATAGTGACGATAGTGTCGGTGGCAGCTAGTGTGCTCCAATATCGATTAAAGCGAGATAGTGGAGCAACACTTGATAGACACTATCTCGCTCTGCTCTATAGTGATGATAGTGTTGGTGGCAGCTAGTGTGCTCCACTATCTCGCTCCGCTCGATAGTGTTGATAGTGACGATAGTGTCAGTAGCAGCTAGTGTGCTCCAATATCGAATAAAGCGAGATAGTGGAACAACACTTGATAGACACTATCTCGCTCTGCTCGATAGTGATGATAGTGTTGGTGGCAGCTAGTGTGCTCCAATATCGATTAAAGCGAGATAGTGTTGATAGTGACGATAGTGTCGGTGGCAGCTAGTGTGCTCCAATATCGATTAAAGCGAGATAGTGGAGCAACACTTGATAGACACTATCTCGCTCTGCTCTATAGTGATGATAGTGTTGGTGGCAGCTAGTGTGCTCCACTATCTCGCTCCGCTCGATAGTGTTGATAGTGACGATAGTGTCAGTAGCAGCTAGTGTGCTCCAATATCGAATAAAGCGAGATAGTGGAACAACACTTGATAGACACTATCTCGCTCTGCTCGATAGTGTCGATAGTGTCAGTAGCAGCTAGTGTGCTCCACTATCTCGCTCTGCTCGATAGTGTCAATAGTGACGATAGTGACGATAGTGTCGCCTGATTTTTGTGCGCATCTGACTAAATTGTTTCTTGGGTGCAAAAAAAATGCTGCAAATGACGTAATAAAAAAATACAAGGAAAAATCTCTGCTACAGTGTTTGAGAGATATTGATAGGATGTAAATAGGATGGATGTGGAAATCCAAGTAAAGAGTATTAAACCCAATTCGTCCCTGCGACATTTAACATTTACCCTTGTTGAAATTTCCAATTTTTTGCAAACAATTACTCAATTGTAAGAGATGAAGAAATATTACAAAATGTCAACTTTTACTTACAAACTGGCGTGATAAGTTTGTATCACCAAAAAAACAATACTCGAGAGTGATTAGATAATGGATTATCGACTCCTTCAGAACCTCTACCATTAAACCTGAAACTCTCGGAAATAAGTAGACTCCAACAGTATATAATCATGAGCCCCTAGCCTTTAGACTCCAACAGTTTATAATCATGAGCCCCTAGACTCCAACAGTTTATGAGCCCCCCTCTTTCGCGAATATATCATTCTCTTATGCAGATGGTAGCACTGTATGGTTCCTGTAAGGAGGTCCTGGCATTTTCTTTTTTCTCTCACTCTCACTCTCACTCACTCTCTTTCTTAATGCTCTCCACTAACAACGATCTGATTTATTTCAGTGACCTATATAGAAATTAGTGAAAATTGACAATACATTAAGTGGACCTTTTTTTTCTCGGGCTATACTTTATATATATTGAGGTTTGAGTTTTGCTCCGTTTTCGGTAATAAAAATTTTGGTAAAACAATTTCCCTACTAAGCTAAAAACCTTTCATTAACCGCCGCCGTTTGGCTATATTTTTTGTTAACACACTGGCTTATTTCATCCAAATGGTATAGAAAAAGAAAGAGTAGAGATACAAGGTCTTGATTTGAAAAACCAAGTATATAATGACCCACGCAGTAGTGCATCCAAGATATTCATATACTTCCAAGAAGCTCCCGCCTATACCTGGGGCCCCATCGTCATCGTCCTCATCGTCGTCATCATCACACACCCCCATCGATGCAAGTGAGTATCGCCAACCGCCACGCCAACAGTCACGCCAACTGCCACGCCAACAGTCACGCCAACTGCCACGCCAACCGCCACTCCAACCGCCACTCCAACCGCCACTCCAACCGCCACAGCCTTCCAATGATGCAAGTGAGTTTTCGTCGTTGGCTCATCGCCAACAGTCACGCCAACCGCCACAGCCCCCAATCGATGCAAGTGAGTTTTCGTCGTCGGCTCATCGCCAACCGCCACTCCAACAGCCACAGCCTCCCAATGATGCAAGTGGGTTTTTGTCGTTGGCTCATCTCCAACAGTCACGCCAACAGTCTCCCCCCCCTATCGATGCAAGTGAGTTCTCATTACCGGCTCCTACCATTGCAGCGGGTCCATACAAGACGGATATCAGGTCAATGCATAAAGACCTTGTCAAAAACGTTAACCGGCTATCAACGCTGTCGTCCTCATCCTCGTCCGCGGCGCAGTCTCATCATACGCAACAGCCTACACCAATGCAAAAGTCTATATCAAACAGCTCGCAGCTAACTTTTGAAGACATCAAGTATTACTATACCAAGCTTATAAATTACGAATTCAGGAACTTGCAATTAGACACTGACTTGCAAACAAAGTCGCTCTTTGATTTAATTGATTATTGTGAGCTATTATATGAGAATTCTAATATACAAATCAGCAATGCAAATAACCTCTTGGAACAACAACAGGGAATAAAGACATATATAAGGGGCTTTTTAATATTCAACTATTTTATCAATAGCTTTATCATGCTTCATTTTGAAGGGTTCGATGAGTTTATCAAGATTAATGAACAAGACTTTATAATATACCTCAACATCTATGCATTTTACAATACTGACGTATATTTCCAAAATGGCAACTACTCCATTAGTGCTATCGATTTAAGGAAATACGTCAAGCTTTATCTCGTGGAAAAGAATCTTTTGAGTTTTAATATTGAGGAACTATATGAGTGGTTGAATGAGTATATACGATATCTTAAGAAAAAAGACGAACACCAGAGATATAACCTGAGTGAATATAGTTCAAGCGCAAGTGCTTCGGAATACGAATATGAAGAACAACAACAACAACAACAACAACAACAAGACGAGCTCTATTCCATGAATGGCGAAGAAGGCTATAACAAACAATCATTTATCAACTCAACATACATACCGTCAAAAAACATGGCGAATCATACTGGATCATCATCAATAGGGTCATTGGATAGATTCAAAAGTCGATATCCATCGGTTAACGTCCAAAAAGAGTCTGTAAGGCTGCTAGATTATAATTCATTGGAATTGAAAGCGGCTAGAAAGGCTCCACCGCCTATTCCAATGACACTTCCACCAGTATTGGCACAATTAGAGGCAACATCTTTATCAACAGCTCCAGTAAGCCAGAATCCAATATCACCCTCACCCAACAAGAGAGTAGTACAAGGAGAACGTTTTGATTATCCAGTCACTCTTGGGGCTAAGGAAGCTGGCCTTCACCCGACAAAAGAGTTCAGTACTAACGGTAGTGATTTAGCGTCACCTTCATATCAATATGGCCGAGTGGGAAAAGAAGTTCCCGATGGGTACATTCGTCCTCGATATAAACACTCCGCACTACTGTCCACTCACAATAATGACTCGTATTCTCAACATAAGCCTAAGGAGTCACAAACTATGCAAGTGGAACCCTCGTACACAAATTACATACATTCGCAAATGCCGCCTTCTGTGGCGCCCTATCAGCAGCAGCAACAATATGACTACCATGTTCAGTATCAAAATTCTCCACAACCCAATATGTACTTGCAACAGTATCCAGGTCCTCCCCCTCCAGCTGTTGGTCCTCTTTCTCCACCAAATCCATCTCAGCTTTTTTCATATACACCCCATAACAATTTGATACCTACCCATGTGTTACAAAAGCAAGAGCAAATAAAGTCACAAAAAATGAATATGTTGAAGGATTATTCAGTGTGTGGACTACGAAATTTTGGATCTTCTTGTTATATCAACTCAACTATCCAGTTGTTATTTGGGTTATATCCTTTTAAAAGCATTTTCCAGAAGGGCTATCAGAGGTATGTGAAGGACCCTAAATACGTAAAGATTATTCAAAAACAAGATTCTCATAATAAAGATTGCGTATTGCTAAGCGAGGCTATTGCCAATCTTTTACGCACATTTCACCAAAACGGAGGTGCCTCTGTTTCACCAACAAAGTTTATAAGGATTACTTCATTGTTGAAACCCGGTTTCAACATTCCACATGAACAGCAGGACGCGCAAGAGTTTTTGCTATTTATACTAGAAAGGATGCATGAAGAACTCGGCGATAAAAGAATTGAAAATTATAACCCTGATGAGTTATTTGCCAAATGGAACATCACTGTGAATTTGGAAAATAGGTCTACTTATCATAAATGGTGTAAGTCTTTATTTGAACATGATGGCTCAAGCCCGGTACTGGATTTATTCCAAGGACATTTGCAGAATAAATTAAAGTGTGTTAAATGTGGCTATGAATCGATATCATACTCGCCCTTTTCAATATTATCATTGCCAATACCAAACACTAGATATCCTGACGAAGTTGTGGATTTGAGTTCGTGTTTGCGCTACTACATTCAAGACGAAACTTTATCAGGAGAGAATGCATGGAGATGTCCCAAATGTCATGGTGAAGTCCCCACTGTTGAAAACCATCCAGTATTTTCAAGTAAAAAAGGATTGTTCAGACTTGGGAAATCAAAAAAGCCTCATTCTTCTTCAAATGGGACAACAACAACATCATCATCATCTAGCTCTACGTCTTCGACTGTTTCCATCAAGTCATTAAATTTTGTCAAGTTGCCTACGATTTTGTTTATCCATTTATCTAGGTTTTCAATGTTTAACCATACAGATAAATTGGGAACTCCTATACGGTATCCATTGCTATTAAAGTTCAATAACGATGGCCATGAAATTGTTTACAAAATCACGGGGGTAATTAATCATTTTGGAAATTTGAAAAGTGGGCATTATACCGCGTTGATTAATAAATCTACGTTAAATGAAGCAAAACATGGTGTAGAGAACTTGGCTCATCCATTTTGGTGTTATTTTGACGATGAAAGTGTAAAGCTGAATCTAAGTAACGGAAATTTGAATGGCGGACCAGGTTATGATGAAGTGATATCAAAAGACGTTTACGTTTTGAGTTACGAAAGAATCCACTAGAAACGGTCTATTTATATACATATAAACTTACATATATACATAGAATAAGAGTAATAAAAAAAAAAAAGAGAATACATAAATGACATTCAAAAGTAATACCGGAGTTGGAGATTTGCCATAATTGATAGCTTGCTAGAAAAGGTAAAAAAAAAAAAAATGACGACAACTGCAGGACTCGAACCTACGCGGGCAGAGCCCAAAAGATAACTTTGAATGGATAAAACAATTCAAGTCTTTCTCCTTAACCACTCGGACAAGTTGCCAGATTTCTATAAAAAAATATCACAGTTTGTTAATTTACAAGGATTCATTTTTGAAAGTATGTGGCTAATTTTTTTTATAGAAAGAGGAATGGGAAGGGTATTTTAAATTACTGGAATACAACTATTTATCTTGGATTTCTTTTGTAGACATTTAGAAACAATTTTAGAAACTTTTCAATTAAAGCAAAGTGTTGTCGACTTGCGACACTATCGAGCGAAGCGAGATAGTGGAGCACTGACTAAACCTTTGAGGGAGAGATTTATTTCTATAATGACTCTCTTTCAATTTGTATTTTCTACCCACAAGTTTACTACTTGAAAAGTAGTAATTTCCTCCCACAAGTGTCGGTGGTTAGAGTTGCTCCACTATCTCGCTCTGGTCGATAGTTCTTGAAAAGTAGTAACTTCCACCCACAAGTGTCGGTCGATGGTGTCGATAGTATAAAAGAGACTATTTATTTATATGGAATAACCAGATCCTTTTGGCTAGTCAGTGTGCTCCACTATCTCGTTCTGCTCGATAGTGGAGCAACACTTTGTAGACACTATCTTGCTCTGCTCGATAGTGTTGGTCGATAGTGTCGCTCGATAGTGTCGCTCGATAGTGTCGCTCGATAGTGTCGATGTTTTTTCCTATATCTTCTATTTCTGTGTGTATGGGAAGGGAAGGGAAGGGCAGATTGGTTTTACTACTACGAAAGCCTTTCTCCCTCTTCTTTTTTTTTTCCTTCTTCGCTACTAATTCATAAATACATTGGGAGAGATTGAAGGTACTTATCTGTCTCCTCAATGAACTTTGTATTATTTATCTTACCCAGAAAATCATTTTCTCTCACTTTACCATTTCCTTCCTCTTTCCATTTGAATTCAATCGGCAGCAATGCGTTTTCAACAACATGCTTAATAAAGAAATTCGAGTATATTTGCCATAGTGTTAGCTGCAAGTCACTCACCTGTAGATCAGTGATAATGACAAACTTGAACTTGGTTAGCGATTCCCAAAAATGAACTCTGTAGTGGCCCAAAGTAAATTGTTTAAGCTCGTTTAACTCAGAGTCGGCGTCCTGCATCAACTTTGTTGCAATTGTTTTGAGAGAGTAAAGGATTCCAAATAGTAACTTTGAGTTATTACCATTATTGTTTTTGTTCACTTGACCATATGTCTTACCCACTTCTGCTGATGGTATTACTGCTCCTGCTGTCGTCGTGACAGTTGAAGCTGGACTTGTCGCACCAGAAAATTGCCTATCATAAACACAACTGCAGTGTCGGTCAAAAATAAAGAATGAGTGTATGGTCATTGGCCGTTGAAAGATAAGAAAAGTCCTCTTTGATTGCATCCTCTTGAATTTTACTGAAGAAGAATGAAAATAATAATGGGTAGTGCACTTGTGTATAAAAGTTGCAAATGATGGGATCAACCCCAACACTATCGAGCGACGCGAGATAGTGGAGCAACATTGACTGACACTATTGAGCAGAGCTTGACCGACACTATCAAGCGAAGCGAGATAGTGTTGGTGTCGGTCAATATGGCTTCAATATCGAGCGAAGTGAGATAGTGTTGGTGTTGGTCAATGTGGCTTCAATATCGAGCGACGCGAGATAGTGTTGGTGTCAGTCAATATGGCTTCAATATCGAGCAAAGTGAGATAGTGTCGATAGTGTCGATAGTGTCGGTGTCGGTCAATATGGCTCCACTATCTCGCTTCGCTCGATAGTGTCGATAGTGTCGATAGTCAGTGCTGCTCCACCATCTCGCTTCGCTCAATGATGGAGTGCCGAGTGTATTAAAATAAAACTAGGATGTATCTATATATACTAAATTATTTCCTTTTACTGTTCCCAAATAAGCCTCTTCCAATCTTACCAAAAATGATAATCCCACAAAAGAAAAAACTCCCAATCCACAACCAAAGAGCTATCATTTCATCGATTTCCAGAGTTTTATTATATTGACTGATAAATTGAAAGTTTTGTAAATATATGCTAATGCAGCATATTCCAGATACCAACAAGGAGGACAAAAACCCCAGAATTGTACCGTCTAGTAATAACCATAAGCCAGGATTAATCAATGACCATATAATTGACACCTGCAAAAAACTTGTCCATTCTATCTTTCTAATTGCATAACTTATCCCTAAAAAAGTGATGCAAGTTCGGATTAAATCGTTCAAAAAGTTTGTTCCACCACTAGATGAGCTTGTTTTGCTATCGGGACTCGATGAAAGCAATCTATTTGATAAAAACAGCGGCAATATTCTATCCATTATTGGATGAAACGAGGCCATCAACAACCCTTGTAAAGTCAATGCAAAAACAGCATCAACCATTAAACCAACTTCACTTGAATTAAAATCGGTGAAATAATTACCCACTTTGAACTTTGACACAAACGAGTAAAGAAAAACATGGGTTATGCTCAAAGGGAAGTTGACCAATTGATTTTCATTGAAATGATTATAATTAATATGTTTAATAATTTCATTATAAATAAAAGCTGAACTCGACAAAATGACTAGCTTTACAATAAATGGTAGTGTCTGGAACGCGTTTGCTGTGCCACTGCTGCTTGCAATGATGTTAGTACTAGCACTAGAACCAGGAATAGTAGACGCTATGTCTTTATCATCACCTATAGATAAATCCAAATCTGAGTTTGAGTTGCTCAAACTACCGCCCAAATCCTTAGTCAAATTAACAAACGAGTCATTCTTGAAAAAGCCAAATAGTTCAGGTTCAGTCAAATTCACCATCGAAGCACTTTTCTCCATCTTGTTTGATTTATTAGACTTTGGAGTAGAAGTACCTGAATTAGTAGGAGAAGTCCCCATACTCGCGATATTTGTATTTGATAAAGCAATTCTCCTTAGCTCAGTCATTATTTTTTTCTCTCACCTACCAGTTTTTCTTTGTTATACCGAAACTCGCAGCAACCAATATGCGATACAAGATCTTTACTTATCTATATCTTTTTCAATACCTTATATATCACTGTTTATAAACTTCGCCTTCATCGTTTACGAAAACGAAAAAAAAAAAAAAGAAAATGATCAGTGTCGTAAAATTTAGAGTCGTGAATTAAATCTTTTTTCCGACATGTTACATTACCATTATCTCCGGCACTATCTCCGACACTATCGAGCGAAGCGAGAATAGTGGAGCAGCATTTTGTAGCACTGACTGACCAACACTATAGAGGAGAGCGAGATAGTCTATATCTACTCTCTCTATAAGCTATGATTACAAAGCTACTATCACATAGCTATGATTACAAAGCTACTATCACATAGCTATGATTACAAAGCTACTATCACATAGCTATGATTACAAAGCTACTATCACATAGCTATGATTACACAAGCTACTATCACATAGCTATGATTACACAAGCTAGAATAGCCACATAGCTATTGTAACCTTTTGGCTATTGTAATCATCGAGCATAGCGAGATAGTGGAGCACTTTGACTAGCTGCAATACTTTGTAGCTTGTTACAACACTATCTCGCTCTGCTCGATAGTGTTGCTCGATAGTGTTGCTCGATAGTGTTAAAGAGAGAGTAGAGAAAGAATATAAAGCGAGAATATCGTAACAAGTTACTAAGCGAGCTAGTGGAGCAGTACGTAGAGCCCCCGGGGCCTATGTAGCTAGTCAGTTTGCTTTCTCGCTCTGCTCGGTAGGGTTGGTGGCAGCTAGTGTGCTCCCACTATCGAGCAGAGCAGTAAATATAAAGAGTAAATATAAAGCGAGAACATATAAAGAGAATAGAGAGAATATAGAGCGATAGTAGAGAGAGGAAATTAGAGAGGAAATTAGAGGAAGAATATATAGAAAGAAATTAGAGATTAAGTAAGTAGTAAATGAATAAGTAGTAAATGAATAAGTAGTAAATGAATAAGTAGTAAATACTAAGTGTGACAGTATCGAGCAGTATTGATTAGTGACATTAGTAAAAGACTCTAGTGACGCTATCGAGCAGAGCGAGATAAATATTCATCAGTAGATATTCAGCTGTAAGTATTTAGCAGTAAAATTTAGCAGTAAAAGTTTAGCAGTAAAAATTCAGTGGTAAAGAGAGAGACTAGTCTCTCTCTTTCGACTTAACAGTAAATAAATAAGCAGTAATAAATAAGCAGTAATAAATAAGCAGTAATAAATAAGCAGTAATAAATAAGTAGTAAATAAGTAGTAGTAGTAACAAAAAAATAAGCTTTGAAAGCCTTATATGGGTCCATGGGTATGTATCGGCTCTATACTGAACTTCTCAAATAATACTTGTGGGTAAGGTATTTTTGAAATACTTTTTAGTTTCCTTTAACTTTTGTACAAAATTATATGTAACTTTTATTCAAAACTGAGAGAGACTAGACTAGTGAAACGAGTCTAGTCGAGAGGAGAGAGTAGAGTGGAGTAGAGTAAAGTAGAGAGTAAATTAGAGTAGAGAGTAAAGTAGAGTAGAGAGTAAAGTAGAGACTAGAGTAGAGACTAGATTCGTTTCACTCGTCTAGTCTTTTTATTGTATATTCTCCAAGATCTCGAAATGGTCTTTTGTTCAAAGAGATTAATAGAATGGAAATGTGTTAGGTTTGGGATGTAGTATAATGCAAATACGAGTTTGGATTGATACTAATGTCATGGAAGGAGCAACACTATTGAGAGGACTATCTCGCTTTGCTCAACAGTGTCGTAACAAGATATTCAGTACTGCTCTACTATTGAGCTGGCTATCTCACTTTGGTCAATAGTATCAGGGAACAATCACGTGACTATAATATACGCTACCAATTACAAAAACACTTGCCCATCGAGGCTTCTTTTCACATTCCCCAGCCCCGAGCCATACCTGTGTTTCCCCTTAATTACGTTACAAGGCTGCTGTGTTATGTCGTTTAACAATGTTCTACCGAGTGCAAACTACTTTGAAACCAATTCGGTGCAAAAAGCAGACTCCTCGGACGATCTGGATGAGAATAAATTAGAGAGAGTGCTTAATGAATTAGATAATAATAGCTTTGATGATGATGATGATGATGATGATGACAGCGATGACGATAACGACGGCACCAACAATGACGAAAGTAAAAGGGATGAAGATGGGCTCATATATAACACCTCAGACGACGATGAGGACTTTTTATTTGAAGACGAACTGGAAGAGGAAGAGGACGACTACAATGAAGATTACAATTTTAAAGATGCTTTGAAAGGAGCAAGCAATTTCAGAGTTAGGAATAAGAGAGAGTTGTTGCCCAAAAGCGGCAAATTCTCGTATAAGCAAAAGATGACAAGATCGGAAAACAGAGAATTGGACCCCGAGGTGCGAATGCATTTATCTGAAGCTAATGAAGCATTTGTGAGAAATGATTTACAAGTGGCTCTACAACTATATACAAAAGTTATCAAAAAAGATGCAAAAAATTTCAGTGCCTATAAGGCAATTGGTGAAATACACAAAAGTTTGGGGAACCTAAACGATTGTTGTAACTCGTGGATGTTGGCTGCAAGTATTCATCCTTGGGATACGGAATTTTGGAGTCAAGTAGCTGAGCTATCAGCTGATTTGGGACACATTGATCAAGCAATATACTGTTACAACAAATCCATAACTTCGGATATCAACAAAAGTGCCGAAAACATACTACAGCGAGCTATACTATACAAAGAAAAACGCCAATTCGGTAAGGCCCTAGATGGGTTTCAAAAAATTCGTGCATTGTATCCAACTGATTCTAATATATTGAAAAACATAGCGGGTATTTACTCGGAACAAAGGAGGTTGAACGATGCAATAAACTTGTATATGAAGGTGCTAGACTGGAACATCAATCCCAAGCCGTCCTCCTCCTCCTCCTCCTCCTCCTCCTCCGCCGCCGCCGCCGCCGGCTCCTCCTCCTCCTCATCGTCGTCGTCCTCGGGAGAAGTTTATCCAAGATTCGAGTGGACAGAATTGAATATTTTGCTCGAACTTCATCTCCAATATCGGTCATACCGGTTCGGTCTTAATGTTTTAAAACTCGCTGCAAGATGGATTCAAGGAAGAAGTGATGAGACTTGGTGGGATGAACTGGACGATTCAGAGTTTGACCCAAAGAGAAGATTCCGCAATCTTTCAAAAAATGTCGATAAGGCACATATTGAAGAATTTGAAAAAAAACCGTATAAGCTTCCCATCGATATTAGATTTAAATTAGGTGCATTGCGATTAGGATTGGGAGATAAGGAAGAAGCTTTGTTGAATTTTGAGTTTTTGCTTGAGGATGATCCCGATGGAATTGCAGATTTACATTTCGAAACAGGTAAGTTATTGGAAGAAGCTGGACTTTACGAGGAAGCATTGACATACCTAACACAAGCTCAAGGAGATGAAGAGGTTTCTACTAGTTTTGAGTTTGTGCAATTATTGGGGAAATGTTACTTTGAAGTGGGAGATTTCATGCTTGCTAAGGATGCTTACGAAGATTTGCTACGCATTGATCCAGAAAATGCAGACTACAAATTGGCATTTGCGGAAACATTATATCATTTGGGAGATGACGCCAAAGCGGAAAGGTTGATTAATGAAGTTAAAAAGCTGAGTATGAAGTCTTCTTCTTCTCCACCCTCTTCTTTAGAATGGAAAAGACCATCATTTGTACAAGAAAACACTGAAAACTTGTCATTGATAAAAAATCGAATACTAAAAGGTCCCAAAAGGGCAAGGTTGACTGAACACGAAAAAGAGGAAATGGAGTTGAACGCAAAGAGAAAAGTTTTGGAGAAATACGGACGCATGGAGAGGCTACAGGAATCGGTTAATGCGGGAGATAAAATTGCAATTTCGGCCTGGATTCAATTAGCTACTCCATTGATCGAAATGTTTACTAACGTCAAGAGCTTTTTCCCTAGAGACAGAATGAAGAAATTCAAAGGAATAGTTAAATACACAAGGAGGAAAGATATGGATTTGAATGAAAAATTAGCCCGAGCATATAATCTATTAGAGGGTATTAGTCAAGGTGAAAACTATGTGCGACAAACATTGATCTCAAAATCAGAATACAGAGGCTTGACTTATCAACAATGGTTTGAGATATTTGCCCAATTTGCATTTGTATTATGGAAATACAACGAGAATGCCGAATACGCAGACGAGATTTTGAATGTTGCTCTAAGTGTCAGTGTTTTTGCTCAAGATAAAAAAAAGGAAGCTATATTGCAAGTACTAAAGATTATCTTGGGTATTTCTCAAAATCAGCCATCAACTACCATACAAACGTACGTGAGGCTATTGTTGAATGCTAACCAATTTTCACCATTTATTTGCAAATTTTTCATATGTTCATTTGTTTCGGGATATCGGTTTTGGGAAACGTTTGCCAATTATAATCAACAGAAATACTTTCTTCGACAATTGAAAGCATACGATTCGAGTTACAGCAAAGTCCACATAACCGGTATGTCCAATGTAACTGCTAATCTAAGTAATGTCACTTTGGGCGAATGTCATGCTGACCTAGTCTATATATATGGAAACTTGCTAGGTGGCAATCGGAGTTATTCGTCGTCTATTTTTTATATGAACCGGGCATATGAACACTATAACCGAGATCCAATGATTTGTTTAATGTTGGCGTTATCCCACCTCCATCGGTCGATGCAAAGACTCAGTGCCAATAGACATATACAATTATTACAGGGTATTAGTTACTTTTTGGAATATCAACAACATCGATCTAACAATGGTACCTTGTATGAAATTCAAGAAATTCAGTATAATTTTGGACGCCTATTCCATACATTGGGGTTATCGAGTCTTGCAATTAGACACTATAACAAAGTACTCTCAATACTGGATGAAAACGAGTTGGATGATGACTACAACTTGTCAAGAGAAGCGGCCTATAACTTATCATTGATCTATAATCTCAATGGAAATACTCACTATGCTAGCGAATTGGCTGAAAAATATTTGGTTATTTAATTTGTAAATAAAAAAAATGAGAAAAACAAAAACATCATCTCATCGCGATGAAGAGAGTAATATCTTGTCACTTTCTCTATAATGGTTAGAGTCAAGCATCGATATATATTGTTTGATATACTATATCCGCCTTCGATATCGTCGAATGAGCAAGAACTGTACGATTTTACCTCTTCACAGCAGCGTTCCCTCTTAACGCTACATCAGTCGTCATCGCCTGAAATAACGCAAAAGACTATTCTTCAAGGTATACGCAAATCCTTATATGTCCATTTTGGGGACATAGGCTCGGGATCTGCTGGGATGCTTATGTCGGTGCGGTATTTTTCAAACACAACCTCTACGGGGATAATACGTTGCGATCGAGATCAAGTTTCAACGATAGTTGCTGCCATGAGTTTGATAACACGACTAAATGCGAATGAACCTGACGTGATTATGAGGTGTTTGCATATTAGTGGTACTATAAAGAAATGTGAAGAATTTAGTATACGTAGTTCTCGTGAATTGATGAATAAGTTGGGTCAAGCTAGAGCGAAAGAGATGAATGATTTTTTGCAAGAAGTGGGCGAATTGAGTGAAGATGAAGAGGAAGAATAGGGGAATTGAGTGTTGCTTCACTATCGAGCAGAGCGAGATAGTGGAGCACATTGACCGACACTATCTGCTTGATAGTGTCGTGACAAGCTACTAAGAGTTGCTTCACTATCTCGCTCTGCTCGATAGTGGAGCAAGAAGAGTGTTTTTGTGTGCGGTGGTGCTATTTCTATACATTATTAACATACTGCTTAAACAAGCTGGTAAACACTTCAATTGCATTTTTGTTGTCTAGATAAAGCAGCTCGAATTCGGGCAAGTACCCAAATACTATGGTTAGCTCATTATTTGGCAATGTTGTTATGTTCACCACAAGGTTATACATTACACCAACGCTGGCACCAAAATACATCTCCTTGAACTTATAAATGTTATTGGAATCTGTCATTTTGCCCAAGTTTGAAATTGTAAATGTTTGTCTACCTCCTCCAATTTTACCAATTTTGTCATTTAGAAGCTTCCACGCGTTTTTGTATTGTAGCATTCCTATGGCTTTGAATGCATTTTTGGATTTGATGCTTGTTGTTAGTTGCTTGGTAAATTCTTGCATGAATAAAATGTCGTTTTCAATTGGGGGGAGATATACTTCGGCTCCACACACCATTGAACCAAATCTAAAATCTTGAATGTCTCTAGCATAATACCTGCGGCCGTTTATTGCCACGTAGGAGGTGGTACTGAGTTGAGAGGTCCCGTGCATTGCCTTGAACACAGAGTTTTGTAATGCCTTTATAACCATTATATCAAGATATGCTGTAACTGAGACACCGTGCAAACGACAAAATTCAGTGATTCGCACTGTAGTATCAGGGTTGATTTTGAGAATATTGTATTTGCTTGCCATGTCCTTTCTAATGGGTGATTTATTGACAAACAAGGGGTATTCACCACGCTTTGGTTCATATAGCCAATTATATATATTTTCATAAAAGGGCACATATCTACCCAAGTGGTAGTTCACCACTGTTGTTAACGGAGGGATGTACAAGTCCGTCGCGTATTCAGCGGGCGGCATCACTTTATTAGGTAGATATTGTAAATCCCTTGAGTAGTCGAAAAGAATTTCCTTCACTTTTGTTTCATTTTCTTCTTTCTCGTCATCATCATCATCATCATCGATTAATGCAAGTTCTCGGGACAAATCTTTTTGGAATTGTACGGCAGAAAGACCATCAAATTGAGAATGATCAACATAGATACAAATTAATTGCTCGTTGTTATTCTCCTCTTCTTCAAACACAATTATCCTCCATAACGGTTTATCAATATTCATTTCAACTCTTTGCTCGTTCAATTTAACAAGCACTTTTTCATTAAAGTGAGCAATTTTTTCAAAGCTCACAACGTCATCGAACCGAATCTGGTTGACAATTTGAAGCGTCCAATTGTGCCCATTGTGAATTGCACTATCTGTGCCATCTTTCTTGAAAAAATTATGGGTAAACCAGCTGTTTTTGCGTATCAAGGATTTCAATGCAATTGAAAGAGCAGCCGCAGTCACATGTTTGTCATACTTGACAGTGATGTTGAAGTTATTATAGAACCCTTCGGTACCACGACAAATATAGAACCTCTCATTAAATCCAGGTGCTCGCTTATGTCTATCTTCCACCATCAAAATTGTCTAACAGAGGGAGGAAAAGAAAGGTTCGTGGTGATTTTAGTCTGGTCCTCTGCACCATTTATAAATTTGCGGTAGCCCCCTTCAATTTATATGACTCACTTGAAAAATTTTGCGGCAATGGGTATCCGCAAAGATATCATAGTACAATTTGCCACGGCACTAACTTTGTACTGGCCAAAGGACTTGTTGAACAGGTGTAAATGTCTCCTAATCTGTCAAATGTGGAATAGAAAAAGTGAAAGCTAAAACTTTTATTGGTACCATTTTCCCGAAATATGCCATAACATGAAGAAAGATTTGAAATATTCTCCAAAACAAAAAAAATCAAATCAAAATCAAAATCAAAATCCGAGTAAACAGTTTTATCTTCTAAAATACCGTGCTAATACAGTTTGCCCTTGCCTCTGGGAAGAATATCATCACCTCTGTAGCCCTATTTGTTCTTTAATTTATTAGAAAAATATGGTTTTATTCTTTTTGCAATCAGTTGGCCATCTAAGCGCATACGTTGAAAAATTTCTCCGAATTATAGTATCACAAAAGTTGTTAGCGGAAAAATAAAAATAAAAAAATACCCCCAAAGAAACTGAGATGATCTTGTAACAACTAGTAGTAAAGTAACAGTATGAGAGAGTTTGGCCCTGAATTGTACAAGCTATACTTGGTAACGGACTCTACCATGGTCCCTAAGTCAAAGACTTTTTTGGGACAAGTTAAAGAGGCGATTGAAAATGGAGTAACTATTGTTCAATTGCGGGAAAAGACACTATCGACTCGGGAATTTATCGAGCAAGCTAAGAAAGTACACGAGCTTACAAAGTTATATAAGATTCCTTTGATTATTAACGATAGGGTTGACGTAGCCATTGCTGTGGATGCTGAGGGAGTTCACGTTGGCCAGGATGATATGCCAGCCAAGTTAGTACGGCAAATGATTGGTGATGATAAAATTCTTGGTGTGACTTGCTCTACACCAAAGGAGGTACAAGAGGTGATGGATGACGACGTTGCTGATTATGTTGGGTTGGGCACTGTGTTTGCTACAACCACTAAGAAGGATGTTAAAAATCCTGGCGGTATTGGGCCAATAGGTATAAGGGAAATGCTCAAGGTGATGGGAAAACATCCTCGCAATATTGCTAGTGTTGCGATTGGAGGCATCAATGAGACAAATATCAATTTTGTCACTTATCTGTGCCGAGTGACGAAAAAAGCAATCGATGGTGTTGCAGTGGTTTCGTGTATCATGGCTAGTGAAGATGCTGCTGCTGCTACAATGAAACTACTTGAAAACAGCCAACAGGGGTATGATGATGGTGATATTTCTAGCTTCAACAACGAGGAATGTTTGTCCAATGACAAACATGAGGCAAAGTTGAAAAAGTTGTTAGATTCTCATCCTCTAGTACATCATATTACAAACAATGTTGTTAAAAACTTCAGTGCAAATGTCACATTAGCAATAGGAGCATCTCCCATTATGTCTGAACTAGCGGAGGAGTTTGAAGAATTTGCAAGCAAGATTTCGAATATGGGATTAGTGTTGAATCTCGGCACACCAAGTGAACAGTTGATGGAGGTTTTTCTCAAGGCGATGAAGGTATACAATCAGTACGACAAACCAATAGTATTTGATCCTGTTGCATGCGGTGCTTCCAAGAATCGTCTCGATTGCTGTAGAAGGATATTAAATGTAGGTAGGGTTAGAGTGATTAAGGGGAACATTGGTGAAATTATGGCAATTTGGAAATTAACATCCACTTGTTTGTCTCTTAATGCAACCGGCTCAGACAAGAACTCGATGAGAGGTGTTGACTCAACAGCCAACGTACTGGAAGAGATACTAACTAAAATCGCAAAAGACATCATCGATGATTTTAGCGTCATTGTGGTGATAACAGGCCCAACAAACTATATCTACTCTACGGAAAACAGGTTCATCAAAGTAGAAGGTGGAAGTAAATTGATGAGTTTGGTCACTGGCACAGGATGCTCCTTGGCAAGCGTTATAGCTGCGTTTTTGGCGGCAAAGGCTGATGGCACAACCACAACAAAAACCTCCCATTGCGACTACTTTGCTTGTGTTGCAGCTGCTGTAAAGTTATACAACGATGCGGGTAGAATTGCCGCATCAAAATGTCAAGCTCCAAGCTCATTCATGACTCAGTTCATCGATGAATTGTATAGACTTACTCATTAAACCATAATCAGTTGGTAGCAGAAATTTTTCATTTAGATTAGATATAAACCATCGGTATCCTTTTACTCTTCTTAGCACCACCCACTAGCGCCACTGCTGTCGCGATACGATACGATACGATACGATCCAAGGGAATGGTTCGAGAAGGACAAGGTAAGTTTCCCGTCAAAAAAGTGAATCGGCCTTCGCCCGTTGCGAATGTGGGCAAGATTGGTTCTTTAACGCGTTATCCCGATCGAGAGTATGCAAACTCTTTGCTACACGATGCAGTCAAAGCATTAGCACCTGTTATTCACGAGTACGGCTTCAAGGTTGGTTTACTATGCGAGATGTTTCCAAAAAGTCCAAACTTATTAGGACTCAATATCAACAAGGGACAGAAAATTATGTTGCGACTAAGGTACCATCATAATGACAAACTGTTTTTACCAATGTGTGACATTATAGGGACTTTGCTTCATGAATTGACTCACAATGTTCATGGTCCCCATAACAAGTTGTTTTATGACTATTTGGCCGAATTAGAGAAAAAATACTATGAACTACAAGTAGGTAACGTTATGCGGTCTGGCTATCGATGTGAGGAAAACGTTCTTGGCCGAGGAAATTTACTAGGTACTGGTCTTGTCGATGTACGTGCGCGACGCCTTGCTACAATGAACAAACCAAAGTTCAAAACAGAGACACTACAGTTAGCACTGGATTCTAAGGTAAAGAGGCCTGAAAATTTGAGGCAAGCAATACTAGACGCGGCTCAACGACGGTTATTAGACTCGAAACAATGTAGTTCTCATCTTGATGCAAAAGAAGAAATACCTACAGATCAGGAACTAGAGATTGTAGAACTAGACGATGAGGATGACAATGGGGGAAATAATGATGAGGATGAAACTAATGGTTGGCTCAATAGCGGTGAATCCGACGCCAAAATAGAGATTATCGATTTAACGGAGGAAAACGATGATAACAATAACGATGAAAATCTACCGCTCACAGAAGAAATAATTGTAATTGACTGACACTATCGACACTATCGAGCAGAGCGAGATAGTGGAGCACACTAGCTGCTACTGACACTATCAACACTATCGAGCAGAGCGAGATAGTGGAGCACACTAGCCGCTACTGACACTATCGACACTATCGAGCAGAGCGAGATAGTGGAGCACACTAGCTGCCACCGACACTATCGACACTATCGACACTATCGAGCAGAGCGAGATAGTGGAGCACACTAGCTGCCACCGACACTATATGGTACCACCTTACTACCTCTATAGAGCAGTTGCTGTATACAATACCACCTTACTACCTCAATAGAGTAGTTGCTCTGTACAATACCATCTTACTTCCTCTACAGTAGTTGCTGTATACGGCACTTCCCCTATAGCAGTTGCTGTATACGGTACTTCCCCTATAGCAGTTGCTGTATACGGTACTTCCCCTATAGCAGTTGCTCCATACGGTACTTCCCCTATAGCAGTTGCTGTATACGGTACTTCCCCTATAGCAGTTGCTGTATACGGTACTTCCCCTATAGCAGTTGCTCCATACGGTACTTCCCCTATAGCAGTTGCTCCATACGGTACTTCCCCTCTAGACCAGTTGAATGGGATGGGCGGCTAATTGATTCTTTTTTTTTCATCTCTGGTTGATAATTTTGCAATCTTTCTTTACATATATATAGAGAAAGAGAGAAGGGAGAGGTTCGGACCATGTTAGCATGGTGGGTATTCACTCGTTCGGTTATACTACTGCTGCTCATACTAGCGAGTCTAATTAAAGTTTCGAGTGCAATTGAAAATGGAGGAGAAGTAGTGGTGGCAGTTGATGCAACTTGGCCAAAGTTGGACTTTATAACAAATTTCATTGAAAGTTTAGCTGGTTTCAATGAGACCCTTTACATACCAGCGATTGAATTGATTTTTGGGTTGGGAGAGGATGAAGAGGAAGAGGAATTGGACATTTTTGCTGCTGATGAAAAAGTGTACAAGACAGTTGTTGAAAAGTTGAAGCTTGATCAAAGCTCGATTGACATTATCAATTTCAATTTGGCTCATAAAAAGTTTGCTCCGAGAATAGTCGCCCATTTTAGTTATTATGAGAGAAAATTGTGTCCCATTTTCAAGGATAAATTGCAAACAGTGTGTGCTCATGATCTGTTTGGGGAGCCAGTGGAAACCAAGAATGGAGCTTTAACGTCGTGGGTCTTGTGTAACGATAAAATATATTGCTCGGCAAATGATTTATTTGCGTTACGTACTGATAAATCAACAACTGCAGATATTCAATTGTTTGACAGAGTCATTGGAAACAATGTTGACTCGCCCTTGTTGGAATTCTACGGCGATCCAATGGCGGAATCTACGAGAAATATTTTGAAAGTCTTGTATCAAGAGGCAAATTCCAATAAGCTCCGTTTTGTTTGGCGTTATATACCTTCTCTGTCGAAAACTGCAGACTCATTGAGCGGGTACGCCGCCCACCTTACTTTGAATAGTGGGAAGAATCAGATTGAAAGGCCATTTTCAAGTGATCTAACCTTGCAGCGCGATTTTCAAAAGATAAACAATTCTAATGAGTTGATCAAAGCTGATGAAAATTTAAACAATGTGGGAACAAAGCTCATTTCCTTTCTTTTTTCAAACAAGTATAAGCTTCCACGGTTTGACATTTTAAAGACCATTTTGAACGATTTGCCGAAATATATGTATTACCTACAAAACCATCCTAAAGATTATCATTTCGAAAAAGCAAAAACAAAAATTGCAAGTAATGAAGAAACAGGATTACTGAAGGATTCGTACGGTGTGTATGTTAACGGGTCTCCAATTCATCCCTTGGAGTTGGATATTTTCAAACTTGAAGAGAAGATTCAAAACGAATTGAAAATCATTACTGATTTGGTGAGTTTGGGATTTAGTACAGTGCAGGCCAAACTATTGATCACTAAATTTGCATTGCTTTCAGCCGTAAAGCAAACTCAATTTGAAAGCGGTAATACCCTAATGGGCAATAATGAAAATAGGTTTAAAGTGTATGAAAACGTGTTCAACAGAACAATTGCTCACAAGGGGGGTGTTGTATTGTTCAACGACATTGAAAATGACCGAAACTATGACACTTATCTGAGTGACAGAAACGAAGTGTACCTTGGTGCGGAATCCCTTAGACTAAAGCTGAACCAGTTGCCCCCATTAAGGGAAAACATACACGATCTTATCTTTGCAATAAATTTTAGCAACAAACAACAATTGAAGGCGTTTTTCACCTTATCCAAGCTTATTTTGGATACAGGCATACCCCAGCAACTCGGGTTGATCCCCATCGTGGCAGATGACCCTTTGGATAAAGAACTTGCTAAGAGACTCTATCGTATACTAGAAGTGCTGACGCCAATTGAGGCAATGGCTTTCCTATACAGCTATATGGAGGCAAAGAACTCGCTGGAGATTGAGAGGGTATTGAATAAAGTTGAGATAACCGATGATTTTGAAATTGATATTCAAGCAATTGCTAGAAAATTCTCAATTACGTTGCCATCTGTTATCATTAATGGTGTTATACATGACATGAGTCAGTCCAATTGGCAAATCCTAATGAGTAAACAAATCGCCCAAGATGTTTCCCTTTTGAAAAGTTACCTCAGACAAGGACCCGTTGAAGGGAAACTTAAGGATTTGCTTTACCTTAATGCAAAAACTGAGAGGGATTTGCGCATACATCCGCAAACCCCAAAAGATGTTTTGTACAAGCTTGTAAACAAGGATCTTTTCAAAGTGTCTTTTAGTTTCAAAAAAATTGATAAACCTAGCGGAGTGCTGGTGACGTTTTGGCTTATATCGGACTTTGGCAATCAAGAATCGATCAAGCAACTTTGTATATTACTAGAGTTTATGAAGAAAACCCCAATTCAAATACGTGTTGTAAATTTAGGCAATACCAAGTTTTTTACAAAACCTCATGGTACAGAACACAAATTAACGTCGTCTTTGACCAACTTTGATATTGAAAAGTTAATAGATTCAGTCAAGAGCGTCAAGTTGTCAACAGGTCCAAATTTGGAGACGAGAAAGGTCTTGGAGAAGGCACAACTTCCTACTCAACATTCTTACATGTTGTTAAACTCTCGATACTTGCGTTTGGAGCCTGCGGCTTTTTCCGTTGAAGACTTGACAAACCTTGTTGATTTTGAAACTAAGGAACGGTTGAAAATTATAGATGATGTTGTACAATCATACCCAGACACGTTTTCTTTCAAGTTGGACGAATATAACTCAGTAGCTACTGGAATAGACAATATGGATTGGTTTGATTTGGTGTCAAGTATAGTCACAAAATCATTCCACACTGATGAAAAATTATTTGTTGTTGATGTTAATAGATTTGACTTTGATTCTTTGGATATGTCCAACCTGATTGATGTTGTTGCAAGCGATGAAACCAAGCCAATAGATGTGCTAGTCATTATTGATCCATTGGAAGAATATGCTCAAAAGGTTGTTAATATGCTCGACTTTTTTAGCTCCTTTTCCTTTTTGAACATTAGAATACTATTGCAACCAATACTGGATTTTAGTGGGAACAAAATGCCAAATAGATTCTATAGAGGTGTCTATCCCAACTCGTTGCCAATGTTTGACCGTAAAGGAAGATGGCTTCAAAACTACGCTGCTTCTGGAACTTTCAATCTGTTGCCGTTGTTAGAGAGTTATTCACTTAATTTGGATGTCCCAAGCAAATGGGTGGTTGTTCCGAAATCAATTGCACCGTCTGTTGACTTGAATAATTTTACTGTCAAGGATAAGAAATTGTCCATAAAGTACAGGTTATCCAATTTGATTATCCAAGGCTATGCACGAGACATATATACGGGAAAGGCACCAAATAATTTAACGTTTGAGTTACTGCAAGATTCTGGTAAGAAAACGGACACTTTAGTTATGTCTGCATTGAACTATTTCCAATTAAAAGCTACCCCAGGTGTAAACACTCTCAAATGTGGCTCTGACCATGCATTGTTATCAGCATCTTGCAACAAGTTTGATTCTAATTTGAAACCACTTGAAGGTGTGGATGTTCCGGTATTCAGCTTGGTGGGAGCAACATTGTACCCAAGGATTATTCACCAATCCAATGAATCAAAGGAGAAGAAACCACTGCATTCTCAAATCAACATTTTTTCAATTGCCAATGGAGAATGGCAATCGGAGAAATCTTTGAGTATAATGATTGCTTCTGTGCGAAAACATACAAGTAGCCTGGTTAAATTTTGGATCTTAAACAATTACGTGTCGCCAACTTTTCAACAATTGGTGCCGTTACTTGAGGAGAAGTACAATGTGGCCATAGAGTTGATTACGTACAAGTGGCCCGAATTTTTAAGGAAGCAAGAAAATAAAAGAGAAAGGGAGTTGGCAGGCTACAAAATCTTATTCCTCGATGTGCTTTTCCCGCAAGACCTTGAGAGAGTGATATTTATGAGTTGCGAACAAATATGTCGTTCTGACTTGATTGAGTTGGTCAATATGGATCTAGAGGAAGCACCATATGCATTTGCCACCCGAGGTGATTCTAGGTTGAATATGGATAAATTCAAGTTTTGGAGACAGGGATACTGGGCAGATATGCTAGCAAACGAATTTATATACCACTTTAGCGACTTATTCATAGTGGACCTAGACAAGTTTAGAAAATTTCGTTTTGGAGATAGTTTACGCAGACATTACCAAAAATTATCAAGCGACGCCAACACATTGGTTCGTGTTGATCTAGACTTGATCAACAGTCTACAGCGGCAAATTCCCATTAAAACCTTGCCACAAGAATGGCAGTGGAGTGAAAAATGGTGTTGCGATGAAGATTTTGCAAATGCGAAAGAAATTGATTTGAGTAGTTTGTTAACAAACGAAAATATACACCAAGCTGGAAAAAGACTCGTACCGGAATGGACTAGATATGAAGAGGAAATAGACTCATTGGTTACATTGACAAGGGTAAACCAATTGGAAGAAGAAGAAGAAGAAGACAAAAGCCAAATTTTTCATTTGAACGATGGGAACGATGGGAACGATGGTAGCGAAGAATTTGATTATCATGATGAATTGTAGATAAAAATGAACTCGTTTAAAAGGAGAAACAAAAGGCAGAAAAAGCATAAAAGGCAGAAAGAAACTAGACATGTTTGAGTAACGAGTAAATGATAAAGAGTAAGTAGGTAGAAATAGTGGGAAAAGTCAATTGCTCCCACCACTTTAAGTAAACAATCAAAGTGGACTCATTTCGGATAAATCACTCCATCTCTCGCACAAGGTCTCACATTTCTTTTGTGTAATTTGTCAACAACAAAAAAATTCCGTGAGGCGGAATTTTTTTTAATGGCATGATTGAAAAATCGATATCGAGGAAACAAACGTTAAAAGGAAGACAGAATTCCCTTGAGTATAACTGAGGTGTATTTATATACAAGTGTATATCTGTATATCTGTAGATACAAGTGTAAAATTTTAGCTTTTAGTGTATAAATATTAGCGTTTATTGTTGTATAGGTTAGAGTAAGAAATGGTTGGGCCAGACAGAATTCATGACAAGACATTACCGATGAGGGAACGGATGGAGGCACTTGTTCGGTTGAAGCAAAAAGAGATTACGCAAGCTATAGAGGCATTGGATACCACTACTTTCCGGACCGATTCGTGGTCAAGAGGAGATAATGCAGGAGGAGGAGAATCGATGGTTATCCAAAATGGTACTACATTTGAAAAAGGAGGTGTCAACATCTCGGTTGTGCATGGTAAGTTACCGCCACTTGCAATTGAGAAGATGAGAGCAGATCATGCCAATTTGAAGGGAAGCAGTAAAGACGGAAGCATTGATTTCTTTGCTTGTGGGTTATCATTGGTTATTCACCCACGTAATCCCCATGCCCCAACGACTCATTTGAACTATAGGTATTTTGAGACTACCGACCCTGATACCAAGGAGGTTCAAACATGGTGGTTCGGCGGTGGTGCGGATTTGACGCCATCGTATTTATACGAGGAAGATGCCAAACTTTTCCATAAAAATCATAAGGATGCATTGGACAAATACGATGTGTCATTGTATCCAGAATTCAAAAAGTGGTGCGACGAGTACTTTTTGATCAAACATAGAGGAGAAACTCGTGGTGTGGGCGGTATATTCTTTGATGATTTCGACGCAAAGCCAGCCGACGAAATCTTGCAAATCGTTGAAAGTTGTTTTGATGCTTTTATTCCATCCTATTGTCCAATTATTGCAAAGAGGAAAGATATGCCATTTACTCAAGAGCAAAAGGATTGGCAGCAGATTAGAAGAGGAAGATATGTTGAGTTTAACTTGATCTTGGACAGAGGTACTCAGTTTGGATTGCAAACTCCAGGATCGAGAGTTGAGAGTATATTGATGTCGTTGCCTGCTACAGCTAGCTGGGCATACGATCATCATCCAGAACCCGGTTCGGATGAAGACAAGTTATTGCAAATATTAAAGAATCCAATTGAATGGGTTTAGGGTTATTGCAAATATTAAAGAATCCATTCAATGGGTTTAGGGTTATTGTAACTTCTTTGTATATATCTACGTGAATAAGTTATGAATCAGACAAATCATGAAAAAAAGAAGGCTAAAAAGAAAACGCAAAAGATTGTATACCTCAACTCTATCTATACACCGTCTCTTTTACTCTTTTATATTTTTTTCAACTGTATGGTTAGCACCTCTAGTACGTTCAATCTTGAAATCACTTTCAAGACTTGGAGGACACCACTCATCAAAACCAGAAAAAGCATCGTTTAATGGGTACGTTTTATTCTGTTGTTCCATTTTAACAATGACGGGGATTATACCCCCTGTGGGAATACTAAAGATTCTATGTTGAACAACATCCAAAATACTGTATATGATTCCCGAGTGGAGAACAATACTAATCACTTTTTCGTCTTGCGCATCGTTGAATATGTCCCGCAACAAAGTAGCAGCCCTAAATTCACTGTGCTGACCTTCCTCCCTCTTGGAAGGACTCCAATTTACATCTTCCTCGCTGAAGCCCGGCTCAAAGTCAAAGTTTGGGAAGTTCTCCTCGATATATGTTCTATTGTGTCGTTCACTCTCGGTGTCAATACCATAAATTTCTCTTGCATATTCCTTAATTAATGCTGTCTTGTGAGGGAAATTTAACCATGTAAGCTGCCACGTTTTCAATGTTCTTCTAAGTGGACTAACGTAAAATTTCTCAGGCAAGGGAAAGTCCTCGGTATTTTTAATTTGATCAACTAAATGAGCAATTTGCTCTTTACCTTTTGGAGTTAAGTCAGCATCATACCATTCAATACCATCTTTCCCATCACGAATCGACCAATAACACTGCCACTCACTATATGGAATTTTCAAATACGATCTAGCAATATTGTGCCATCCCTGTCCATGTCTTTGCAAAAAAAAAAGTTTTTCATCAGGTGCCAAGCTTTGAACCACTTGGTCCCAGGTGTACTCGGGTAATAAGCCAAATCTTGTTAAATTAACATCTTTAGTGGGAATTTTAGGATCACTTTGGCCAAAATAAGTTTTTGACGAGCTAAATACTGGCAAATAGTTATTTTCTAATGATAATATCGACTGAGCAAACACAAGCGATAAAAGACAGCTGGAGAACAACATCGTCGTCGTCGTCGTCGTCGTTGCTGAAATGTGGAAAGCAACCATTTTTTTCCTTTTGACCAAATATGGCTTTCTCAAGGACTTTTATTTTATAGTGGGTAAACTCATCCTCCCACATGGCCAACACTCGAGGTGTACACACGTGGATGGTTTTTTAAGTGCATGATGCTTTGTTCTTTTTTTGAAAAAAAAATTGCTAAAAAGAACAATTGACTGAAAACAATAAGATGAGTGGGGTAGAAACAATTCTAACGTAAAGCGAAACTATCGGGCAGAGCAACACTTTGTAGCCTTGTGATGCAATATCTAATTTTGTAGCCTTGTGATGCAATATCTATTTAATAGGTTCAATTTGGCGAAAATTTACAAGAAAGAGCATGCAGATAGTGTTACAAGTGTTGCTCTACTATCGAGTAGAGCGAGACAATGTCGATAGTGTCTACAAAGTGGTGCTCCACTATCGAGCAGAGCGAGATAATGTCAATAGTGTCACTAGTCAATGCTACTCCACTCTCTCGCTCTGCTCGATAGTGTCGATAGTGTCACTAGTCAGTGTGCTCCACTATCTCGCTCTGCTCGATAGTGTCGATAGTGTCGATAGTGTCGATAGTGTCGATAGTGTCGATAGTGTCGATAGCGGATTCATTTTTTGCACCCATTTTTTTTTGCAGCAATTGAAATTTGTGCCAAAACTGACAACTTAAAGTAAGAAATCTTTTTCCAAGCACCTAAGAAATAGAATTCTTTCATTAAACTAGACTTTTCTCTCTTCAATCTACCATATCTTAACCTACTTTCCATCACTCAACCTACTTTCTATCACTCAATTAGACTCCCATCCCATCCCATCTTCAACTCCTCTTGGTTAATTTAACTAATTTAGTAGACATTTGGTAGCACCGCGGCAAGAGAAAAAATGAATTTTTCAGCTTTTGAAAAATGGATCGAATCATCCCCACCCCCTCCCCCCATTTGATTTGTAGATAAAGATGTCTAGCTTATATGACAAGTTGGGTGTTGAGGGTAGGGCTCTTCTTCGAGGAAAAGGAGGAGGAGAGCAGGCTTTTTCCGGTAATTTTAATTTCATTAACGAGGCGCCGCAGGAACTAGACTATGTTATTGATGAATTACGCAATCCTAAACCCGATTTAACTATTAATAAAGTACTTGGCTATATGTACAACTATTTGCCGTACATAAAGCGCCAACGAAACTTGGGGCTTGTGTTAAGCAGCTTTTTAAACAATACCGTTTGTTTTGGTGTCAACGGAACGGTTTCACCACCCTCCTTTGAAGAACTCTACCCCATCATTGAAGTTTTCAAATTGATTGTTGATAAGAAATTAAAAGTTTCACAACCTACTTTGCAGGTTAAGGAGTTTTACAGTATAATTGGCAGGGAACTCGAGCACTTTGTTGCATTCAACCCTATTGCCAATAGCTGGAAAGTTTTGCCTATATTATGCGGTATTTTCTTATCAAACCAGTTAAGAGATGAGTTATATACCAATTCCAATTGGTTCAAGTATAACTGGTTTTTCCAGGAATGGGACAGCAAAATGAAAAATTTGTTTGTTAATAGCTTACAGTACAGTTTATCCAAAACTCATTCGCAAACGATTTTAAATTTGAGCATCACTAGTTTGGCATTGGTGTATCAGAGGAACGTTGAGAATGTAAAAACTTACACATCAAAGATAGACGATAGATTTATGGCTAATACGCTTGTCGATATGATTTTCGCTGACCCGCAAATTTCTATGATTGTGTACCAAAAATATTTCTACTTGAATCCAAACGATCCAGAAGTAGAAACAATTACCCAGAAACAAATCTTGAATAAACCAGTAATTAAACATTTGAACAGGTTTGCATTTCTTTTGGCTGCTTACTTGAGTCTGTTGAAGTTTGATATGGCAAGGGCAGAACTAGTTGATGAAATATTACAGAAAATAACCAATTTTAATCAAAATCTTTCACAAACTTGTTCGCTGTCTATATTCAATTCATTTAATGCGTCAAAGGAGAACAATCCTCTTTTCCAGCTGTTTTGGCATTTTATGAAAAACTTGTTGTTTGCTGAGATAGCCATATTCCAGGGTTTGTTCACAAGGTTTCTCACAGGAAATAACAAATCTAGTATGATTTGGTTTAATCGACGAGATTTAGCTCTTGTTGACAGGGAAGGTCGCGCTGTGGCATTAAAAGTGATTCCCAACTTATATTACCTCAATTTTATCCTACTTTCAGTTGGTCAGGGAGGGTTTGATAGTTATAATTTTGTTTATTACCTCAGCATCGAGTTGGCGTTAGGTACCAAGGAATATTTTAAACAACTAACAATGCAATTGATTGGTAACTACCAGGAGGTCAACATGTATCCTGATGTATTAAACCATAATCACCTCATGCAGCTGAAAGTACTATTTGTTTTGGGTCTTTGGGAAAACTTTCTTCAACTGAAAAATATGCATGATGAGAAATTCGCCAAAGAGATTTACAATATAGTCAAGAGTTTGGCTGATGACCGACAGTATATGAATGATGACTTGATTGAAGCGAGCCATTCCGTGCTACTTTTCTATTTTGCCCACAATGAAAAGAATGTAAATCTTGCCGATTGTATTGATTATGTCAATATACTTATAAAGCAGTTTCCTTCAAGGATATCTGCAACCCAACTATGTATTGCCATTGAAACTATTGGGAAGAAGATTTTGTCCAACCCACAACCGTATCCACTAGGAGCTAAATTTCTCAGCTCAGCTGATGAATTTTTTCAATTTCTTGTTGATCAATGTGTTCCTATCCAAACAGGACTTTCAATTAAAAAACCTGAGGAAAATCCAAATTTTTCTTCGGCACAACCCATCGCTCAAATAGAAGCAAATGCTACTTTGAACACATTAGAACAAGATAAGAGATTGCAAAATGATGTAATTAATGAAAACAAAGCTAAAAAACCAAAGGATAAAGTAGTAGGTGATTTGTTATTACCTCATCGTCGTTCTGCGGAGTACGAGTTTAAACAGAGGTTTATTCCCGAAACCGTAAGAGAAGCAGCAGTGCTTGCGTTGATTAATCTAGTACCGTATTTTCCTATCTCGGTGTTTATTTCATGGCTTGAGAAGATTTGGAAACTAATTATCAATAGTGATCCACTTGAGAAAGAATATCTAATTGGTATGCTATGGAAAGTTTTGAGCGATAGTTTGGATTCAAATCGTGTTGAATTGGCTATTAGATGGTGGTACAACGATAAAAGGGTACCAGAGGCGAGTTATGCAAAGATGTAATAAAAACTTGTTTATTTAATAAATATGTATTTTGCATAGAACTTTTTTACTTTTTTTTTTTTACTTGGTTGTATTACTGTACGAGTAATTTCTACCATTGTTTGACAAACTCCTTTTTAACCCCATCAAGTCATGAGCAGCTCCGAAATCCTTGTCTTTATTTTCGCTAGGAAATGTGCCGGCATTTTCTGGGAAATACTCGTATTTTGAGAAAAAAGAAATAGATGGAATCTTATAATATTCAATGAAATTTACCGAGGACGCTGTTGACATTGGCGCTGGGGCAAGAGCCTCGTTGAGCTGGCGGGAAATTGACTCAGATTTGTATTTGATAAATTTGCAAATCTTGAGGTATTTCAAATCTTCATCTAGCTCCTCATTATCCCAATCTATACTCTTGTAACGGTTTGCTCCCAGTTGACCAGTGATATTGTCTTCATCATCTGAATCTTGATGTTCATGTTGTGATTGATGCTGTTGATGTTGTTGATGTTGTTGATGTTGATGCTGATGCTGATGCTGGTGCTGATGTTGTTCTTGTTGTTCTTGTTGTTCTTGTTGCTGCTGCTGTTGTTGTTGTTGCTGATACTTCAACATATCATCTTTAAACTCATTATTCATCAACTTGCTAAATATTACATCTTCAATCTCCTTCTTTGAACCCAGAACGCCGGGTTTGTAATTGGTAAAAATCGAGATAAACAAATCCACAGATTTGGTCAACAACAGTATAGATTTGTGGACGTCGGAAATCAAATCATTTTGCTTGATATATTTCATTTGACAAATCAATAAATACAACATTTGCAAAACAATCGATTTCTTCAAATTTATTACTGTGAGTGATAATCCATTAAGCATAGAGTTGAAAGGTGACAAGGGGATCTCCTTGATAAACCTCTTTGCGGGATTTTGTTGGATTCGTGGCTTCTTCTTCCTTCTCCTTACAGAAAAGTCATTAATAACAAAACCATCTTCATCCACATCCAAACCTAAACTTTCCATGACTATTGAATTTGATGAAATTAATGGTTCGTTGATTTTCTCGTGTGCAATACCAACATGATCGAATATGAGAAGGAAGTACTGTAACACTTCTTGAGAGATTATAGCAATTTCCTTATAGTGAATGGAGTTTAGATCCTTATCCACGATAAAGTTGAGATAGTTCATTGATCTGATAAGGATGTAGTGGAAATTCAACTGTATTTTGATCAATTGGGAACAAGTATAAATATCGGGTATACCGCCACTCTGATAATAGTTGATCAATACTTCTTTTGAAAAAGCTTCTTGTGTCATATCGTGATATAGGTTATTTTGTGTAATGTTTAGGAGATTCGGTAATCCCATGTTGACTTCGAATGGTACCAACGACAAAGTCTTGGTCTTTAGGGATAGTCTCCAATTTGCCAAATTCTTGTCAATGACAAGAAACTGATTAAAGTTATAGTTTAAATTCCCATCGTTACCATCTCCATCGTCTTCATTTAAGATCCAGTCAAGTTTATGGTGATTATGGCTATGACCAAGATGATTATCTTTTCCCTTATCCTTTCCTTTCTTTTTCTTATTAGTGTTCTTCAAGTACTGGTAATAATTTGGAGAAAACGAAGATGGGATGATGATATTCATGAGATTCAAAAACTCAATACTTGGTTTCAACATGGTATTCAAGATACCATTATCGCTATTATTGTCGTCTCCCAATAGAGAGGATAATTTTTCTGGAGTTAATTGAAAGTACCGGTCAATAGTAACAGGATTGATTACAGTTGTATTCAAACTTGGCTTAAATCCGAATTTCAAGTTGAAGCATTTCAAAAGAACTTTAAAAGTCCAAAATATCTTCACTCGGTTTCTTCTCTGTTGTTGATTTAATGACAAGTCGTTAAAAAACAAGTTTTTGGAATTCAAATTTATCCCTAAAATACCAATAAATGCATTCACCAATGAGGATAAAATAAGTGACTTTTCTTTGTTATTTGTAAGTAAGGAGTAGTAAAGTAGTAGCAAGTATGTTTGTAGTTGAGGCACAGAAATTTGAAATCCATTGAAATAAGGTAAGAAATCATAGAGTGACTTTAAAATAGATTCATTGCCACGGTTGATTGAATAGTGAGGATCTGAATGGTTGAGCAATAAATTTAAATTGATTGTCGGATTGGTAATTGTGATCATTGCATAAATTTGGATTATTGTTATTAGAAATTTATCCACAATCTGATAATCATTGGAGTTGGATAAATTAAAACCGTTAATAGACGAGTCATTATATGTGAATATGAAGGGATACATTGTATGGAACTCATTATAACTATACATAAACTCGCTGTAATCGAAAATTGGGATAAATATGTTGTAGTTTAGGAAATATTGACTAATTTGGTTATCTAGTTCCTTTTTGGATTTGAAAATGTTTTTGAAATTGTTGATAAGTTGAATAAACAAGTCAAACACATCACCCGGTAGTTCCTTTAGCCCTATATCGGGAGAATGCGTTCTAGTTAGTGGGTTATATATCGAGTCTAAATTTTTATTTTGGATCTGGTTGTTCTTTGCAAATGATGATGTATTATACAAGTAAGTATCGGGGTCATTTAGTAAAAAATTGTGACTATTTGTGATTTTTAAAAATGGCAAGTTCATGTTAATCAATAAATGGTTGAGCTGGGATTCAAAATTTAGATTGTCATTACCAATGATTATGCCTCGATCATCCAAGTTGAAGATTTGATCTATGGGATTATTTATTTGTACAGATTGGTTGGTAGATTGGAACATGACCTTGTCATTAGCGGTGGTTGTCGTGGTGGGGACAATATTGTCATCATCGTCATTTTCTTCATCATCACCGTCTGCGTCTTCATCAACATCCTCTTCTCCATCTGCATCATTATTATTATTGTTGTTGTTGTTGTTTTCCTTCTTTTTCTTCAGCCTCGAGGAGGAGGAGGAGGAGTGCAGCGGCGGTGGTGGTGGTGGTGGTTGTGGTTGGTATTGTTGTTTTAATAGCGCCAACTCCTCCTCCAACTTCTTTACCTCCTTCTCCAAATTCTCAGTGTACCCTTTAGGAAAAGCACGCCTTGTTAGCTTGTCTGACGTCTTGCACTCAATATCGACTTTCTTGCAGTTTGTGCACGGAGACTGCCCGTTACACTTGATTTTCTTAATTCTGCACCTGTCACATGCTTGAGAAACACGTACACCTGATGCTGTGCTTATAAGTTTCAAATTAGCTGCACCTGTTTCCAAATTAGGCTTACCATCTTCAAACTTGGGCTCCGTCATCTCACCTGCTCGTTTTGCCCCCTATCGCCGTAATTTTCGGGTAATTTGATATATCTTGTTCGGCAAATTAATCTCACCGTATCTACTAGCACCAAAACCGGGCCCTAAAACCTCAAACTTGTCTGTTTCTATTCGAAAAGAAGATCCTATAGTGTGCAATGTTTATTATTGGGTGCCTTCTTTTTTCAGCGTCGTTTTTGATTTCCCCGGATTTTAGTGACATTTGGTAGCGATGGTGGATAATACTAATGGCCTTGAGCTACGGCGAAGCGGGCGTAGGATATCGAGCGAAGCGAGATAATGGATATCGAGCGAAGCGAGATAATGGATATCGAGCGAAGCGAGATAATGGATATCGAGCGAAGCGAGATAATGGATATCGAGCGAAGCGAGATAATGGATATCGAGCGAAGCGAGATAATGGATATCGAGCGAAGCGAGTTGCTCTACTATCTTGCTCTGCTCGATAGGCTAGTCTCTTCTCACTTCTCACTCTCTACTCTCCTCCTCTACTCTACTCTCTCTACTCTAGTGGATATCGAGCGAAGCGAGTTGCTCTACTATCTTGCTCTGCTTTCTCTACTCTCCTCCTCTACTCTCCTCTACTCTACTCTCTCTACTCTAGTGGATATCGAGCGAAGCGAGTTGCTCTACTATCTTGCTCTGCTTTCTCTACTCTACTCTCTCTACTCTACTCTCTTTACTGCACTCTCCTCCTCTATTCTCCTCTCCTCTCCTCTCCTCTCCTCTCCTCTCCTCTCCTCTCCTCTCCTCTCACTCTACTAGATTTTACTAGATTTTACTCTACTCTACTACATTAGTCTTTACTCCACTACTCTTTTTCACTAGTTTCTAGTCTATTTTACTATAGTCTACTAGAATCTACTCTACTATAATCTACTCGACTATAATCTACTCGACTATAATCTACTCTACTATAATCTACTCTACTACTCTCTTTCACTGGCTCTACTATAATCTACTCTACTCTATTCTACTATATTCTACTCTACTATTCTCCTCCTCTACTACTCTCCTACTCTACTCTTCCCCTACTCTACTCTTTCCCCTACTCTACTCTTCCCCTACTCTACTCTTTCCCCTACTCTACTCTTCCCCTACTCTACTCTTTCCCCTACTCTACTCTTCCCCTACTCTACTCTTTCCCCTACTCTACTCTTCCCCTACTCTACTCTTTCCCCTACTCTACTCTTCCCCTACTCTACTTCAATCTCTACTAGGTTCTACTAGATTCTACTAAATTATAATCCATTAAATTCTACTCCATTTTTTTTTCCTACACTTTACTCTACCCCATTTGATTCTAATCCATTGCTCTCTCTCACTGGTTTCTACTCTATTCTACTTTAGTGGAGCAACATTGACTAATGCTGCTCCACTATTTCGCTTTGCTCGATAATGTCGGTCAGTGTGCTCCACTATCTCGCTTCGCTCGAAAATGTCATTAGTCAATACTGCTCAACTATCTCGCTTCGGTCGATAGTGTCGCTCGATAGTGACGGTTACCCAGGGCACAGCCCTAGGTATCTACAATAGAGACCTGTGTTATTAGTCAATGCTGCTCCACTATCTCGCTTCGCTCGATAGTGTCGTTGCTCGATAGTGTCGTTGTGTCGGTTCGTTGCTTTTTCGCACTAAATTAAATTAAATTAATAAATACAAAGCTTCTCCTAGAATTTTAATTATTTAGGATTTTAAAAATTGTGAAAAGTCCAAATCATCCTCATTCTCTTGATTGTTTTCATTCTCGTTGATCATTTCCTTGGATACAGGAACACTTCTTTTCCGTCGTGGCATGTCTTCACTCTTGCCTATACCTAATGGCATCTCTAGCTCAATTGAAGAAAAATCTAACCCCATCTCCGCTTCAATCTCATCTGCCTCCCTAGCCTCCCCCTCCCTAGCCCTAGTCCTAGCCCTTAGATATTTCCACACTCTCCACTTGTACCTACCCCCCTCCCCTGTGTATTTCCACGGCCTCTCGCGATAAAAAAATACCATCGAATCAACAAACCCAAAAAATGGCTGCATGAACGCTCCAATAACATTTAACCAGTAAACGGGATGGTGCGTTTCTTCATAGTTGAATTGCGTCGCTTGTAAGATGAATGGAAACATCCAAACAAAACAATATGCAAGGGGGTAGACAAATATAGACTTCATCTGTTTTTGGATGATCTTCTGTCTCTGTTGCAATTGGGTCATGTTCTCCACATTGATATCACATGTGGAACATGTGATAGGGGGTGGACTCTGGCCGCTTTGTGGACTGGTGTCTGGACTAGTATTCGGACTCTTCAGCATCGGCGTGTCTGTATCTGTACATCCATCTACGTCCTGTTGTCTTCCTATTCCTTTTATCTCCTTAACCACTCTTATATAAATCAACGCGTAGATTACAAATATTGCAACTACTATACACCACCGCGGAACCCAGCTCAATACGAGCCGGTACCACACGGGCCGCATAGGCAAATAACACCAACATGTTAACGAGTCGTACCCCGTGCCAATAAACGCCAAACTCGCAAACACTAGGGGTACTAATATTGATGTGGAATATACTAGGTAGCGGATTTTGTATAACCCGCCCTCCACCCTTGTGTTGTTCACTCGGCTCTGCACCCTCGCGTTGACCCTCGTGTTGAGCGACGGCTTGAATATTAATAAATATGTATGCAATGCAAACGACAAGATCGCTATATCTGCACCTTGAATAGCAGTCGCAGTGAAAAACCCAACAACATTGCAGAACCGTCGATTATAATAAGATGAACTGTGTGTTAGAACTCTTGTAGGATAGATCAATAGGATAACTGCCTTTAACAAATCAAAGATTAATAAAAAGAATATGAGCTGGTGTCGAAACACTAGTCGCTTGGGTTCAATCATGATTAAAAAGTACATGGCAATCAATACCGCAGCTATGGAGGCACACGACGCGGATGTGGCAACTACTCGTTGCACAAACGCTTGGTGATCCGTAAAGTCCTGGATCTGATCAACATATTGAATAGATTTGATATTTATCATGGAGCAGGACTTAATAGCAACACTATCTCGCTCCGCTCGATAGTGGAGCCGCACTGACTACGCCGGATTTATTACCAATCACCCGTTAACAAACGTAAACCTCGAACGTAGATACCTCTAGATACCTCTAGATACCTCTGTAGTATGATTCTGGAATAATGGAAAAATTAAGTGCGCATAAGAAAATAAAATTGGATGCGGCGCGCAGGCGGGTGGCAGCTACTCAGTAGCTCGTTACAACACTATCGAGCAGAGCGAGATAGTGTCGATAGTGTCCCTAGTCAATGTTACTCCAGTATCTCGCTCTGCTCGATAGTGTCGATGAGAGATACTCTTTTTTACATAATTATATTTCCTAAATAACCTTACAAAAGCATGGGTACATAATAGCAGTAAGCAAAGCTTTGAGATTCGCTAACTTGGAAACACCGCTATTTTCAAGGGCAGTAATATCAGCAACATCATTAGCAGCTTCCTCTGGAACTACAGCTTCATCTGCAACTACAGCTTCATCTGCAACTATAGCTTCATTTGCAGCCGCTGATTCCGCTGCTTCTGCCTCATCTGTAATAACAACATACGTGGCAAGCGTGATTGTGGTGTAGCTCGTACTCTCCACAGTGGTGATTCCATCACACTCTTCTCCATTGCAAAGCGTAATAGTAACATCCGTAGTCACAGCTCGTACTTGCGTCTCGGTGGTGTATAACACTGGACAATATGTTGTGATAATAGTTCTTTGCGTAGTGAGATACTCACTACACCTATCCTCCTCACATGAAGTAACAGTGATTGTCGTTGAGCCTGTATAGGTGGTGAGAACATTCTCGATTAAAGTTGCTTCTACACTGAAAGGTTCATCGGATGTAGTGGTTGCAGCTGCAGCCGCTGAAGCCGCTGAACCAGTGGCTTCAGTGGCTTCAGTGGCTTCTTCAGTGGCTTCTTCAGTGGCTGCTTCAGTGGCTGCTTCAGTGGCTGCTTCAGTGGCTTCACTGGCTTTCTCCTCCTCCTCCTCCTCCTCCTTATTAACTGCAACAACTTCTAGCTCAATGCAACTTCCATCAGAGCCAATAGAAACAACAAATCCATCATCTGCTCCACATGCTGAGAATACAACTGGCTCTTCACGCTTCAAAATGGTCCGACGTCTCATCGCAACATCAAATGTGATAACGTTCTTGTCAATTCCCCATCCTTGGACTGCCCCTCCAATATCTCCAAGTGATAACACTCCATCAAATTCAACATGCACATGTTGCTCGCCGATTTTGAGGTACCCATCAACAAGATTAAAGGTGGCTTCAACTCCATTCAATAAGGTAATATGTGTTTCATTTGTTCCAAAACTGACAATCTCATCCCCCATCAATGTAAGAAGTATAAATGGCTCGTCTGTATTAAGTTCTTCGTCTGGCAATGTAGCTGGCTCCTCGGTGGTAATTGGCTCTTCAGTGGTAATTGGCTCTTCGGTGGTAGAGGGCTCTTCGGTCGTAATTGGCTCTTCGGTCGTAATTGGCTCTTCGGTGGTAGATGACTCTTCAGTGGTAGATGGTTCTTCTGATGTAGTTGACTCTTCGCTATAAGTTGGCTCTTCTGATGAACTTAGCTCCTCGGTGTAGGTTGTCTCTTCGGTGGTAGATGTCTCTTCTGATGAACTTGGCTCTTCTGATGTAGTAGGCTCTTCGGTGTAGGTTGTCTCTTCGAAGTAAGTTGGTTCATCAGATGCGGTTACTTCTTCGGTGTAAGTTGACTCTTCGGATGAACTTGGTTCCTCGGTGGTGGTTGACTCTTCGGATGAAATTGGCTCTTCGGTGGTAGATGTCTCTTCTGATGAACTTGGCTCTTCTGATGTAGTAGGCTCTTCGGTGTAGGTTGTCTCTTCGAAGTAAGTTGGTTCATCAGATGCGGTTACTTCTTCGGTGTAAGTTGACTCTTCGGATGAACTT